CGATTGGAGTGAGATTGCTATTCTGTGGCATATAGTCCTCTCGAGCAGGACTTCCTTTCAATCTCCGAAGCAGCGTTGATTTTGAGACACCGTAGGTTTTTGCAGCAGCATTTACAGATCCTATGTCACCTGATCTGAAAGCTGATATTGCAAGCAGTACACTCCCTTCGTTTGAGCTCTTTTGGACGCGTTTTGATGGTGCCATCGCGTGTTGAAGTTGTTGTTGTTATGGACACGTAATTCGTGGACCACGCCGTGGGGTGGACCGCGCTCTGGTGTTTGACGTTAGATCGTCGCTGGCAATTTTGCTGAGCATCTTTGCATGACAAGCAAATGCGTGTTCCGGTCCACAAGCAGCATTTCACTCGGTCCATCGCATTTCCTCTGGGTACGCCACGCGAGATTCGTTAGGCTCCTCACTTCTGAACTTATCAGCGTACGGTCCCTTGCACAGAACAACAACCACATTCCAGAGACGCGGACCGCCACACTACAGAACAATGGCCTCGACATCAGAACGGCACGCATCATCTCCAACGTTGCTCGGCAAGCCGCTAGACATTCCCAAATGGGTTGCGGCAAATAGCCATCTGCTTCAGCCACCCATCAACAACTTCTGTGTTTATGCAGATCCTATGACGGTCATGATCGTCGGTGGTCCCAATGCTCGCACAGACTACCACATCAACGTCACACCAGAATTCTTCTACCAGTACAAGGGCCGCATGCTTCTCAAGACCGTCCAGGCTGGCAAGTTTGTGGATATATACATCAACGAGGGAGAGTTGTTCCTCCTGCCAGGCAACACACCCCATAATCCGGTTCGTTTTGCTGATACAGTGGGGATTGTGATCGAACAGCCCCGTCCCGATGGTAGCGTGGACCGTCTGCGCTGGTATTGCCAAGATTGCGGAGAGCAGGTCCATGAAGCCAGCTTCCACTGTACGGATCTTGGAACTCAGATCAAGGAGGCAGTCCAGAACTTTGAGAATGATCAGGCGGCAAGAAAGTGCGGCAAGTGTGGTGAATTATGCGACGTCAAGCCAAAGCCAGACGTTATGGAGCGCATGAGAACAGCACCATCGTAGTTTTCCGCGCGGAATCATCACGAGATTTCGTGCGTGCGAGGCTTTTTCCAGAGGTTGCCAATGGCGGGGATGTGCCAATATTGAATGAGGCGTTCGGTGGTTGTTTTGGAGTGGCGCACGAAGTAGTGCGGATGCCTTGGCCAGGTGGATAGGCTCTCGCCGAATTCGACTAAGCAGATTTTGAGTCAAGTAATGGAACGCTTCATATTTTATTTTGGTGGTTTCGTGAAACGGCCAATGTTGGTCAGTGGGACGTCGACTAGTAAGGTTCATGAATGGACGGTAAAGGCTTCACCGTTAAAGTCTCTGATAAATGTCCTGCTCGCTGACTGCGTCATCGCCGTCATGAAGTACCATGACCTCACGGTGCCGCCGATGTCGTCTGGACTGTGATGCAGCGACCGCTCGGGCAGTCGGACGGAGTGCTCGTGGCGCTGAATTGTCATCGGCTATGCCCTTTCTCACAGGAGCCCTGTGTGATCGAAGACCCGCCCATGTTCTGACTTCACGGCCAACGACATCCCAAAAAGCATGTTCTGCTGCTGCAGCTTCGTGCTCAGTGGTGATGATGATGTATTTGACCCGGTCAACCGTTGACAATCGGTTGAGGATCGTGTGTGCTTGATAAGGAATGACCGTTCTTGTTTCGCTCCAGAGATTTTCGGTGGCCGTAGCTTCAAGCAGGTAGCTTACTGCTGCTGTTGCTTTCATATGTGTCGTTCTGTCTGGCGAAAAGACATCCGACACAATGCCACGTACGTTGGCTGGGTCGATACAGCATCGCTGGACGACAATACTGCGGGCTGAACCACTGATGCTATCCAGCGGCGATTTCAAAAGGCTTCGAAGTGTTGATATCTTGATGGCTATGGATTGGAATTAGTTTGTATTGGAAAAGAAGCGCTTTGAACGAGACTTGCTCAATGGACTGTCATCAGTACCACCCTCAGCTTCACCGCTGACGGTGATCTCCTCCGGGGTGGGAATAGGCGCTACTGGTTCGATTTTGATGAGACATATGATGTCGGCGATGGCGCGTTGAACGCATATTGCTGAGCCGGCTAAAAACAGAGCTGCGCCGAGATATAAATATCGATCACGATTTAAAGAATTCATAGCTATTTCGGAGTTAGGAATCCAGATGTCTGATGAGTCTCTTGTAGAGGCGAGCACATGGCAGGCAGACGCTTATTGCTGCAGTAAACCGGATCCTCTCATTGAGAAGGACAGAGTTGTACAGGGACCAATGCGAGGTGTGACAGGCTGCTACACCGGAGGATTGTCTGGCGAGCACAGCAGAAGAAACGGCAGCAAACCAAGACTATCACTATACCTCGAACACGAACAGCTTTCCCATGTGTTGCGCCAGCTCAGAGATTGGCAGTTCCGAAGCACGCCCTATGCAAATCATGAGGTGCCGGGACGGGAGTGTTCACTCACAACCTGGGCAGCCACAAAATGGGTGGGCGGCTGCAGCCGGCTTCATCAAATCCGCCGTCTCGGTAGATCTGAATGATAAATATATGACGCCTGACCTTCCACTGCATCTTCGAATTCTTCCACTATAGACTTACTACTCATACGCCCGCTTTTTACAATTGTGTAGAGGCGATTGGTGCCGATCCTGCCGCATAATCCAACGCATCATGGCGGCGACACGGCGACAAGACTCACTACAAGAGGTGCCTCCACAGGCCATTGACGAAGAATCACCACTCCTGGGCAACGCAAACCATCGCACTGATGATCAAGATCACCTTGAAGCGCAAGCAGAGCAAGAGAGGCGAGAGTACGAGGCGGGCGCGGTCCCACTCGCAGACGAACCGTCCAATGCCAAACTACTTCTCGTCATGAGCACCCTATGGTGTTGCGTGAGTATATGACGAGACAATTGCACCTTTGCTGTATGCTGACATTTCATCTGCGCACACAGAGCTTCTTTGCAGCATTAGGTATTGGAAAAACGCCTTTGAACTATCCAGACCTTCATTCTGACCAACATTACTCAGATTCCACCGTGGTCGCGACCCTGACGGGCCCTATCACTTCAACCTTCAAATCTGGACAATCATTCTCGTGGATCGCCTCGGGTTATCTGATCGCCAATGCTGCAACGCAACCGCTGTCCGGCAAGTTGACCGACATCTATGGGCGTCGTGCAGGTCTCATCTTCGCCGTGACCTTTTTCTCTATTGGTACACTTATCTGTGGAGTGGCTCCGACCGATAAAATCATGATCCTGGGTCGCGTTGTAGCGGGTGCCGGTGGTGGCTGCTTGAACACCATATCGGTTTTCGTAGCATCCGATCTCATCCCGCTCCGAAAGCGTGGTTTGTGGCAAGGAATCGGAAATCTCGTGTACGGCGCTGGCATGGGTTTAGGTACGATATATGTGGGGAACTGCTGAAAGACGATTTATTTACTAATACTGTTCTTAGGTGGTGTTTTTGGAGGTCAGTCTTCACATGTTTTCTTATGCCCACGCTCACCATGCTACAGGTTTTGTCAACGACCATCTTAATTGGCGCTATGCATTCTACATTCAAATACCTTTTATCGCTCTCGCAGGTATTCTCGGCTGTGTCATGATCGATGTGGGTGAAGAAATTCAAACATTGTGAAGTTCCTCAACTAACAGTTGTGCCAAGATACCCATCAAGGAAACCGACGCCTCAAAGATCAGACGAGTTGACTTCCTGGGTGCCATTACTCTGGTCGCAAGTCTGGTCCTCCTCCTGCTCGGATTGAACAGCGGTGGCAACATCGTTCCCTGGAACCATCCCTTGGTCTATGTGTCGCTGCCACTAAGCCTCGTGCTGTTCCTTGCATTCGTCTACATTGAAGACCGAGTTGCTTCCGAGCCAATCATCCCGGTCAGGCTCCTTCTCAACCAGTCTGTTGCGGCGGCTTGCCTGACAAACTGGTTCATGACCATGTACGTGTTCGCCCTCAGCTACTATGTCCCGATCTTTTTCCGGGTTGTCAAAGGAGCAAGCACAACTCACGCGGGTCTCCTCTTCATACCACAAGCCGTCGGAGTGTCCTTTGGGTCGCTCGGAGCTGGCATTCTGATGCGATGGACCGGAAAATACCGAGTGTTGCATTATGTGGTGCATCTGCTATCACTCGTGGCGACGTCACTCATATTGGGCACATTCAACGCCCATATCGCCGAGGCCCCACCGTATATCTATCTTCTTATGGTCGGCACTGCGTATGGAGCCATGCTCACCATCACGTTGCTGTCACTGATCAGCGCCGTCGATCACAAGTACCAGGCCGTGATTACGTCGGCATCCTACGCATTCCGCTCGACCGGCTCCAGCATCGGCGTTACCATTGCCAGCGCAGTATTCCAGAATCTGCTAAAGGCTTTCCTCTTCGACAACTTCGGGGATGAGCCGGACGCTGCCAAGCAAATTCGCAAGATCCGCAACTCGCCGGATGCGATCGACCACTTGCCGCTCGGATGGAAGGTTCGAGTGATCGACACTTATGTCGACGCCTTGCGAGGTGTTTGGATTGTCGTGTTGGGCTTCGCTGTGCTCGCTGCTACGGCCAGTGTTTTTGTGCGCGAGCATAAGTTGTACTCCAATCTAGCCCGCAAATAGGGCGACTGTAAATGTATATCTCGATCGCAGACTTTAGAATGTAGCAATTCGGCAACACGTGCGTCTCTTATTCGTCTCCCAGGTTGTACTGCTCAGTGGTGCGACCCACGCCAGCTTCCTCATCACGGACGCGGCGGAAGCCACCGTTTGGGCTGTTTCTGCCACTGCCTGGTGGTGGGTGTGGTTCATCACAGCCTCGGGACAACAAGCTTGGGAAATAACGTCGCCAATTGAAGTATGCCACCGTGAAGCCGAGCGCAGAGCCGGTCACAACGTCACCAACGTCGTGACGGTAGTCCTCGAGACGACTGATGGCGATCATAGCAGCAGCAACGAGCGGCGCGAGGCACAGCAGCACGACGATCAAGCTCGCACGGGGCCGCAGAACTTGAAACTGGCTCGCCAAATAAAGTGCCAGCCATCCCAATCCAGCAAAGGCAAATGAACTATGTCCACTGGGGTAGCTCCTCCATCCGTCATGCAGTTTATGATGATCTGTCTCGGTGCAGACATCTATTGTAACCATCACATCTTTCGGGGTGGTTGGATCTGGCTTACATCGCGAGATCAAGTCAGGACGAGGGCGACCAATGGCGTCTTTGAACAGATCCGTAAGCGTCAAAGTCATAGCCAAGGTGATGGCGAGTCCCAGAAGTACAGTGTGGATCTTGCGTGTGTCCGAACGCCAGCCTACGGACCAGGCGACCAAGAGGATGGCGGGAATGAGGCCAGCATAGCCAAAAAGAAATGCTAATATGCGGCGCGATAGTTAGCTTGCAATAAGTTTGGAGAATCTCGGAGAAATAGACAAGGCATACTGGGCGGCACTCTCTCTACTTCAGCGAAAGGATGCTGGATTCGCATATCGTCCAGGCGAAACTGATGATGGAACGGCGCATCAACCAATTTGAACATGATGTATGCAACTATAAGACCGGCGAGGCCTAGATAGTCACCAGCATAGCTCTTCTGCCAGAAACGGCGCGCAGACTCGTACAGGCCGCCATCGCTGTCTCCGAACATTGCGTCTTTGGTCTTACGACTCTCAGCAGCCTTGATCTTCCGTTTCACGCGTTCAGACTGGCCGGGAGGATTTCGAGAGAGCGTGGCGAACATTCATTTATCCCGTAAAGACAGTCTATGAGAAGTTAGGTGCGCGCGATACAGGAGTGCTCGAAGACGCAGGCGATGGGAAAAGAAGACAATGATGGACATGACGAGAGGCACGCGATCTCCCAATGACAAGCTACTTGAGTACCTAGGTTGGCATAGCTTCAAGTACGCTTGTTCAGGGCCAGCCCTGGTGTCCTTGAGTTCCGTTCTCCAGACGGCAGGAACGCCTCCAGGGCAGACGGGCATTGCTGCGTTGCCGTGCGCCGTACAATGGATTGCGGCTTCCAAGGATGTTGGTGACTTCAAAATTCCGAGCCATTTGATGCCAACAAGCATCTTAATAAAACCCACCAATCTTGGAAGTCTAAAGCATCATAATCAGAATCACAATACCACTTGTCAAGACCAGGTCAACTCTCACGGCATCCGTATCGAGTCTTGCAATTCGTTATCATCATACGTGAGAAGCAACATCGGTCTTAATAGACGTATTCATTGCCTCGGCTGCGCGTCTGAAGACAAAATGCTCCAGGAAAGCGATCGGGTTCGCGATGCGGAATAAGCAACACATCTTACCATCTACACCTGGCAGTGCCTGGACATGCAAATAGAAGCATTGTGCTTAAGCAGGTACTTCAAGACTGAGCACATGGGTGGTCGTAGCCCTACCTGCAACATATTCATCGTGCCAGCCACAGCGAAAGTTCATGTAAATACTCCTCTTTTGCGCCACCTCCCGTCAGCGTCGATGTAGCATCACATTGCAATCATATTTTGACTTCCCTCAATTCGCTGAACTCGGATCACATTCCGTATCGCCGTGGAAGGTGCATTGGCCTCGATAGCTTGTTGCTAGGCCTGACGGCAGTCTGTGAGCGCCACTGTCAATCCGACCCGACATGAGCTCCCATCCCATTCTGCGCCAGGCGCCACGAACATGGCATGTTGCGATCAGTCCGTTTTCGAGGTCGACATTCGCATGTTTCCGACTCGAGCCCTCACGCGCGCGCTCATTCGTCTAGATATCTTGCCAACATGACTGGGACTTAGCTACATCTTCCATCTCCGCATTCGTAGCGTGCCACATTTGATAATCCTAGACCTCTATCATGTGGCTTCGCCTGGATGAGCCCTGCTGACGGATCCGATACCACCGCAATGTAGCGATACCACCTGGGCATATCTCCATCCCGAAACCCTCACCCGGGTTTCTATTCGTCGAGACTTGCAAGCCCCCGAAAGAGGCATTGGCAGAACCACAATGTAGTTTGAAGCTTCTCCGAGCGACTGGCCAACATAAATATGAACGTCCTATCACATCCATGACGGAGGATCAGGCTCTATCAGCGCATACGAAGAAGCCCTTCTGCAACGAGCAATACTCAGTTCACTGTCACCACAAGCATGCGTCTTCTTTCGACCTGCACTTTGGCTCTTGCCATGGTCCTCAGTATAACTTCTGCCCTGCCCGTCGATCACAACGGGGGCGCTCTTCAGGTACGTCTCGAGTCACTCCTATTGACGAAATCACAAGGACCTACTCGACTTCTCTGCTGACGTTGCCGGTTCATTAGCTGCAGAAACGCGATGGCAAAGACGCTGTCGGCGACCTCCTCAATGCTACGTACATTGAATTCTTCGCGTTCTATGCCTACTGCATTCTCAATCCCAAGAAATGCGGCAGTTAAAACGCGACTCCTTACGGACTTATGCCTAGGTGAGTCTCATCCTGTATCTCTCCGCCATACGACACAGATCCAAGGTTATGAGTTTCAAATGGAGCTGATTGTTGTTGTAACGGTGTAGGTTCGAGGCGCTAGAGGTCGACTCTCAACGAACAGATGACTTCCCATGCAGCAGCCGTAAAGGGTCTCCTCGGTGCAACCTGGAGCTGGTCATAACATTTGAATCACGAACGGTGGAAGTGGAAGCTTACCTTCATTGGCACATCTCTTCACTGTCAAGTATCAAAGTCCATAGTCAGAAATGTTGGATCATCAGAGAACCCATATGTGCTCATCGGTAGGCTCGACTCGCTAAAACTTGTAGTCTTGAGACGGCCGGCACCAGCATGTGAGTTCCGCTCATATGAATGTTCAACGGGTGTTTCGTGACAAATATGTTGACACGCAGGTTTTATGCGATGAAGAAGCTAAGATGGACTAGGTTGTCAAAGAAAAAGCTTCAGGGTCTGCTGGCTTGCTTCAGCCCCAATGCTCGTGGTCCCGCCAAAATTCGTTGACCAGCTTGACATCATCCTAGCAAGCTTTCAAGATACATGGATGGGATAATTTGGGTCAATTCAATTCTTCTGTCGCAGAAGCCGAGTTTCTTGCTCCTTGCTTCCACCCATTGTCAAAAAACATAGTCGAATCAGCAGCCATGGAATACGATCCTCAAGCTCGTAAGCCCCTCAATAAGCCTAGCATGGCTGCATCGTGACCACGTTTGTGTTGCTGATCGGGTCACTAAGCCCCCTGCCTGACAAGTGATCCGCTCTCGTTTGCCTGGACTTCGGCTCGAGAACGATGGCCTGTAATTTTGGTATATATCATGTCCACGACGCAGCTTGAGACTCGCTAATTTTCGATGCCACCCACAGACAGGAGCGATTGACGACATTCACAAGGCCACAGCTCGCAGCCAAAACCCAGAGGAAGCCGCCGAAGGCAAGAAGATTACAGAGGCAATTGCTACGCTGAAATATGAGCTTCAGCATAACAGGAAGCTGACGTATGTTGAAGGCATGCTTTCCACTCAGCATTCTTTCTGACGTTGTATGCTACTAGTCCGTTGCCTGATGATGGACAACCAGACATCAAGTCTTATAACGAAGAGCTAGAAAAGCGTTCGAATCCGCAGTGGCATGGCGTCAACTGGCTGTACTCAGAATGCTATCTCTACCGGTTCGTTCTTGTCAGACTTCCCTGGAGTTACGAGCAGAGAGTCTTAGCTGACATGAGTGTAGTCGTCTCGCAACGATCTTTGCAAACTCCACGCACTGGAAGCAGTACGATGTGTTTGCCAAGCAGAAAATGTCCACATTTCGTTCGTCGCGCCCTGCAGTGCTTGAGCTCGCTGCGCGATACAATGAACTGGTGAACCAACTTGATGGGAAGCCTGACCCGACTGCCGAGGTATCTGAAGCGGACAAGGATGCCGCTGAGAAGCTGCTCTTCGCCGAGATGTGTGACATTTGCCTATGGGGCAACGCCACCGATCTTTCACTCCTCACAAACTTGACCTACGACGATATTCAGAAGCTCCAGGGTAGCGAGGCGCGGAAAAAGAACGAGAAGAACATCATTACAAACGATCTCGACGCCGCGTATACTACGCTCAGAGATGCGCGGAAAAACAATCCCAAAGGAGACCGACAGATCGACATCGTGCTTGATAATTCCGGCTTCGAGCTGTACGTCGACCTCATCCTTGCCGGCTACCTCTTGCATGCAGGTCTTGCCACACGAGTTGTACTTCATCCCAAGAACATACCGTGGTTCGTATCCGACGTGACACCTAAAGACTTTGGCGCCCTTCTCAACGCTCTTTTCGATGCCAAACGACTTTACGAAACACCTTCTGAGGACGAGACAGCACAAGGAATCACGCCAAATGCTCTCAGTGACGATCAATCCATCCTACTCACTGAGCTGTTCAGAGACTGGGCTCAGCTCCATGCCGATGGAAAAATCCTCCTACGATCGAACATTTTCTGGACTGCGCCGGGTGCCTACTGGCGGTTGCCACGCGTTGCGCCGGATCTATTCGCTGATCTGCAACAAAGTGAGCTTGTCGTATTTAAGGGCGACTTGAATTACCGCAAGCTCGTTGGTGATGTACTATGGGATCCTACCACACCATTCGCAGAAGCTGTTGGGCCATTGGGTCCCGGGTCCGGCATGCGCACTTTGGCGCTGCGGACTTGCAAAGCGGACGTCGTTGTTGGCCTCGCGAAAGGAAAGGATGAGGAACTGAGACAGACGGAAGGTGGAGGTGGAGATTCTGGACAACGAAAATGGGCCTGGTCGGGGAAGTATGCTGTTGTGAGCTTCGTGGACGGAAAAGCAAAGAACGGGAAATGAGAGCGGCTTCCATATGTCATACGATGCTTGTCATTTGACTGGCAGTCATACACGATAGAACAAGCGATTACTTTGGCCATGATCATCCAGGCATGTTGACAGGTGGAGTGTCGTGGCTCTAGGGGCTATCCTTCACCTTACGAATCTACACATGTAGTTGCGATGAGTTGGGAATTTCAGTACTGCGAGAACTTGACACTTTCTGATGGCCCAAATCTATGTCAACGAGGAACACATATTCTGGTACTCATCAGATCGAAAACTGAAAAACAGCAATGCCACTGACGAAGAAGGCAGGCGTGTAGTTGATGTCGAGATCGAAGCTACTGTACTATTCTGATATCCTCGTCAAAAGTCCCAGGGATAAATGCAGCCCAAACCCTAACTTGCTCGTGCTGCAGCTTAGAGTTGCATCTTATCATTTATCAGCCGGCTGCGGATCTCGAGAGCACGACATCGCACGCCATCACCATCCGCGTGTCCCACGAGTCGTTCACGCAATGCAGTGCGGCAGCATGAAGATCCGTGTTGTCGTCAGAGCTGATGAAGTCAAGGCATTGGCGTGTCGGTACCCCGCCATGATGGCACGGCCGCCGGCATTGATGTATCATTCGACCCTCGCCGAAGGCGTATGGCGTATGGCCTGGCTGATCCGCAGGTCAAGTTTCTCATGTCCATTTTCAGATAGAAGTGTTTTATACCACGCAGATTTTTGATTTCTTCTCAACATCTATCAAGATCTTCCCTCCCAAAGTGAACGCAAGAATGGCCCCCGCTCTGGTTGAGAGTCTTCGTGAACCGTCCACTTTGCTAGACCATCGGCCCTCCAAAGCGTTGTTCCCTGATGGAATCAAGACCAGTGGACAGCAAAACCCAAACTACGATCAAATCCAGCCCTACAGCGCCTTTCCCAAAGAAATCGTTGGCGAGACTGTGTGGAAGGCAGAGGATTATGTTGATCGACCAGAACAATGGGTACACCGATTCAATGAGCGAGAGATTGGCGAGTTGAGCAAAGCAGCAGACGCGTTCCTGGCGTCAGGAACGCCTTTGACAGGTATCATGCAGGTCAGTACATTGATTGTAGGTCTTATTCATTTATCTGACAATCCTGCGTCCATAGGAGAAGTTTCCACTGCCTACCATGCAACCCTACTTGATCTCAATGCGAAACGAACTTTTGAATGGAAAGGGCTTCATATTGTTCAAGGGATTTCCAGTTGAGAAATGGGGCAATCACAAGAGCGCTGTGGCATACATGGGCTTGGGAACGTATCTTGGATACTTTGTTTCACAAAATGGACTAGGTCATGTGCTGGGGCACGTCAAGGTATGGCATCTCCGAGTCCTTATTGAAGTCGCCAGAACAATTCGCTCTGGCACTATAAGACGGGCGATGCTGACGGATAGTCTAGGACACTGGCGCCGACCCAACTCAAATCGACAAAGTTCGCATCTATCGAACCACTGCTAGGCAATTCTTCCACGCCGACGATTGTGACATTGTCGGCCTGCTCTGCATTGCGCGTTCATTGGAAGGAGGCGAGTCAGATATCGTGAGCACGCATCACGTTTTCAACACCCTGCAACGGGAGCACCCAGAAGTAGTTGAAACATTGACCCAGCCTAACTGGTACTTTGACCGCAAAGGCGAGATATCGGAAGGCCAAGAGCCGTACACACGACAGCCCGTGTTCTACAAGGAGACTGGTGCGGATGGACGTGTATACGCCAAGTGGGACCCCTACTACGTCAAATCTCTCACGCGCTTCAGCGACGCCGGCATCATCCCACCTCTGTCGCCTGCGCAGGCGCATGCCGCCCAGGTACTCGAGGACACGTGCTTGCGGCTAGCACTACACATGATCCTTGAGATTGGCGATATTCAATTCTTGAGCAATGCACATGTCCTACACGCTCGCACGGCGTACAAGGATTACCCTCCGCCAGCGCCGCAAAGGCATCTCATGCGATTGTGGTTAGCGACACCAGAGACTGAGGGTGGATGGAAGCTGCCATTCAGTGACTCCGCGCACAAGAAACGCGGCGGAGTGCAGGTCAATGACACACCTCCAAGAGCACTGCTGGATGCCGAGTAGTGCGAGGGACGGAAATGTAGATCATTTGTATGAGTGTGTCCACACTCCAGAGATGCTGTGGCAATATGCGTAGACAATGAATGTTGCGGGCTTTGAAATGAAGCATACCTAGGTTTATATAACAAGGGTTTGGTGCTCACGCACTATCGATAAGATTTGTTTGGTGCTCACGTCATTGAACCTCGACATGCAAAACACAGTCCCCATCATGGATAGCTTCTTACCAAACGAGTGCACTCGATCCTCTTCATCGCAATAAATTTACATCGTTGCCTTTCAATACAGTCTGATGATTGCTGTTCTCCTTGTCTTTGCAAGTCCCGATCATGTCCGCAACTGACAACCTGGAAACCATCACGCAAGAAGACATCAGGATGCGGATTGATCCAGGCCGAGCTCGTACTTTGCTAGAAAACTTGCAGCACGTGGCAGAGAAAGTCAATGCTGCAAAAGGCAACCGACCGGTAAGTTGTTCCATACTCGGAAGCCGGACAATACTGCGATGTGAAAACATAGTGTTGTCCTTTCATTAAATTTTGCTACTGACCACAAATCCATTCTCTACTGTTCTAGGTTCGACTCATCGCTGTGAGCAAACTCAAACCAGCTACAGATATCCTTGCGCTACATCATCCTCCCTCTTCAGATCAGTCCGATTCCTCAAAGGGACCGACGCGGCCACATCACTTCGATTTCGGTGAAAATTATGCCCAAGAGCTCACCGAGAAAGCTGGCTTGCTGCCGCGGACCATTCGGTGGCACATGATCGGAGCATTGCAGACCAACAAATGTAAAGCCCTGGCCGAGAGCGTCCCCAACCTCTTCTGCGTCGCCAGCGTAGATAGCGCGAAGAAGGCCGATGCCTTGAACAAGGGCCGTAAGGCATGTCTCGAGCGTGAGGAGGGCGCTGCTGGCAAGAATGTTTCAAACCAAGCAGACGATTCGGACCGCCGACTACGAATCCTGGTCCAAGTCAACACATCTGGCGAAGAGAGCAAAAGCGGCGTCTCACCGGATTCGGACGAGCTTCTTAACCTCTGTCGCCACATCCACTCCGATGCTGAAAGCCCACACCTTCGACTGGCCGGCCTGATGACCATCGGCGCCATTGCGCGGAGTCGTGCGGCGGCGGAGGGAGAGGAGAATGAAGATTTTGTCAAACTTCGAGACGTTCGCTCCCAAGTCGCAAAGGCGCTAGAAATCCCCGAGGACGAATTGGCACTCAGCATGGGAATGAGTGCCGACTTTGAGGCGGCTCTAGGAATGGGAAGTGATGAGGTGAGAGTGGGCACTGGAATCTTTGGCGAGCGGCCGCCGAAGGACCAAGCCAGGGTCGTATGAGATCTGGAAGAGCGAAACGAATTCTTCGGGCAGGAACGATTCACCAGCGCATCTTTCGCAGCGTGTTCAGCCAGCACGGGCAGTAGAGTGCTCGAGCACTCCGTAATGCCCACGAAAATGACGATTGTGTGGTGCGATCGGAGAGATTTCTCTCGAGCGCGTTCCAGGCGATAGACGCCATATCTCATTGATGCTAATCCATCTATGCAAGTATGCTTCATCATGTACATCATTTATATGCGAGCGCCTATATACTGTAGATGGAGACGAAATGGACAGATCAGCCTAGGAAGCGTTGAATCTCACCTCCGACCCCTTCCAGGTCCAACAGGAATGTGTCATGGCCGAAGAGCGACCGGTCTTCGCCGAGTTCGACGTGAGTCACACTACGATTGCCCACGCGGCGCAGAGTATCGGCAATCTCACGCTGCTGCCATGAAGGGAAAAGGATATCCGAATCGACGCCGAGCACTAGAGTAGGTGTATCGCGTAGAGACACAAGGCCTTTGACCAGGTCCTCGGGCGGACCCGACGATAATGATTGACTGGGCTTCGCAGCCGTATCAGCCATGATCTCGGCGGACGAGGTCTCGGTCTCCTCGTAAGGCTCATCGGGCACAGTCAGACTGCAACGATCCTCCAGCGAGCCGAACCGTTGTGGATCGCCATCGGACAAACGATCGGCATTTGCGAGCCGTCGAGCAGCGGTGGCATCCTGTAATGTGCGACCTAGATCGAACAGGTCCATAGCTTTGCTGACATAGAGCAGACTGTTGGCATCATATTCGAGGCACCATTTCTCGCCCGCGTGGTCGAGATAGGTCTCGATCAAGAAATCTGGACAGAGCGCAGGGGGCTTGGTCGCATCCGCGCGCTGTCGTCCAAAGCGTTTCTCCCATTCAGGGCCCGACCGATACGTGATGGTGGCAATCTCACGCGCAAGCTTCATACCGGTGTGCGGGGGAATACTCTTGTAGTAGTTTCCGCGTGTCGTGGCCCAATTTGGATCGTTCATGAGAACCTGTCGCTGGGTGTGGCGCATCGCAATGCTGTAAGGGTGACTCCTCGCGCAGCCAGAGACCGTCACGATGCGGGATACGCGTTCGGGTTCCATGATGCCCGCCGCGAGGGATTGCATACCTCCCATACTGCAGCCGACGCTGGCGTAGAGCTTTCTGATGCCCATGGCGTCCAGGAGTCGAAATTGTGCGCGGACCATGTCCTGGAGCGTCAGAATGGGAAAACTCGTGCCGTAGTGCTCCCCGCTGATCGGATCGATGCTGCTCGGACCAGTGCTACCATAACATCCCCCGATGACATTGGTGCAGATGACGAAATATTTGTTGGTGTCCAGAGGTGCACCAGGACCGATGAATTTCTCCCACCAACCCGGTCGTGGGTTGCTCTCCGTGCTATGCGCGTGACTGCTCGCCGACAAGCCCGTGTGAACGACGATAGCATTGCTCTTGTCGCTGTTCAGAGTACCCCAAGCCTCCCAAGCGATGTCGAAGGATGGCAAAACCCCACCCCAGTCTAGCAAGATCGGTTCATCCGAATGGAAAACTTCGTGCTTGCCAGTTGTGTAGGAAGGCTCGGGACCGGAGAGAGAGCGTTTCTTGTGCAAGAGATCGCGTGTGCGGTCCTCTGCGTTGTCCAGGCAAGGAAAGGATAATTGCGGATTGGAAAGCGTCGTGGCCTTTGAAGATGAGGTGGAAGTAGGTGCAGGTCGCTTCACATTGGAATGTATGCTGCGCAAGGGTGTCGTCGCCGATCTGATCCTGGGATTTGTTCGTCGCAATGCCTTTGGAGCGATCTGCGCCAGAGTGCTAATTGCTTTAGGAGTTGCCATCGTCAATGAAGCTTGAGATCACTTTGGTGGTGAATGTGGAATGTCAGTCTAGATTTGTCGCATTGAAAAGTCGCCGGGTTATGACGGATTTGAGCTGCAGCAGAATTATGTAATCCAGAATTCGTTCCGCGGGCCAGACCAGGCTCCCAGACAGGCGAATCGTGAAAGACATCAAGAGTACGTGCTTTATTACAGCCCATCGAAAATGATCAATTCGTTTGAGCAACTCGATGGTTGCGACTAGGAATATGCCCGGCTTTTCATCGCGCTGGATGCTTGCATGGAAATATGAAAGACTGAACTGGATCAATCCGCTCCCAGATACACAGAACGACCTTCACATGCAGCACCAGAGCTCATTGCCTTCACGCGCCTTGCGTGATCTCATAAAAGGTACATATCTATCTTACTGACACCCAAACGCCGTGACCCATAATTTCGTATTCTTGCAAACCATTCTTGGATAATCCTGCCAAGACCTCGAAGTTGCGAAAACGCCATACCTCTTCAATCTCTCCTTCGACGGACGCCATCTGGCGGTGTAGCCGCGCTGTCTCTTTCTCCATAGTTTCCCCACACCCAATTCGACCAACCCTTTTCTCCACCGGGCGCGCCGGCACGTTCGGTGTGTGGTCCACGGCCCACGGCGCCGTGTAGATAGTCTTCTGGATCAGGCATGTTTGCCCCGGGTGTGAGGCCATCATCCTCGTGATCGTCATAGCCTAGATCTTCGAACTCGCTCTCGCTGCGGGATCGACTGAGGGCGTCGTATGATCTGTTGGCGGCGCGATGGCTGCTGGAAAGACCGGACGAGGTTGAAGGGCCGAGCTCGTCGGCTGCGTCTATAGCCATCAGAGCCGTCCGAAGACGATCTTTCGCCGCGCGTACAAAGTCGTCGCGCTCAGCGCCTCGCAAGTTCGGAGGTATGAGTGTGCCAGAGCGGGCAAGATCCCGTGCCTGTGTCCGTGGGTCCGAAGAGTTTGAGGTCTGCTGAGAAGATCCGGTAGCAGATGAAAGAGCTTTGCCCAGCAGGCCGAGAAGGTCCGCAGCAGGAGCATTGGAGCCAGCTGGTGCTTCGGAAGCAAATTTGGAGGCGAACGCGCCAGCGACATCCGCATAGCCCCCCATGTTGCGCGCCGAGGGCATCGCGAAGCGCTCATAGAGCTGGGTCGTGTAGCTGACGTTGCGAGCAGACGGAGGCGGTGGCGGCCGAGGTGGCTGGCCAAGGATCTGAACACGCACGTATTCAATCGCGCGCTTCACCGCATCCATGCCCGCGGCCGTAAGCTGCGCGTGCGAGTCGCTGATGAAACGATCGATCTGGCGCTCATGTTCGTCAAGGAAGGGGAAGACGTAGCGTTTGTATACGAATACGCTGCCTTGTTGCTCGCCTGGAATGACGAGGTACAAGTGTACGCCGAGTCGGATCCAGCTGTAGAAGGGCACCCAGCTAAGGATGAAGTTGAACTGGGATTCAACCACGAGAAGAAGGCTGAGGGTCGTCCAATACATGAGCCATGGCGTCAAGACCGCCGGATCCGAGGTGCGCAGTGCTTTGTAAGAGAAGAAGACGGGAAGAAGGATGGAGGTGACGGAGCTGTGAGTCGTGTGAGTTTATGCATGAGTGGATTATGGAGGCGATCAGGGCCATGAGCCGGCAACATACGTGAGGATGTCGGCGATGAATCCGAACATGATTGTGAGTCGACAGTTGAGGAAAGCGCAGAGGAAGAGACGCTTGTTCAAGTGGAACGAATCGATCGATGTTTCGACCTTTGGCAGGTATGCGATCGTGGAGTGAACAAGATCCCTAGCTAATCAAAGATACTTACCTAGCACGAATTGTAGTAGCTGCCTGGGTGATAAACTGATAACGAGCGGCGGTCACTTGGGCACGCTTGGGAAGAAGTAGAAGACAGGTACATGTGCATTTGAGCACTCCAGGGCTCTCCAGCTGTATGCAGGTGGAGCGCTCCACAAGCACTGTACGTGCAGGTGCTGAAGCATGCAGGTGTGCGCGTCCCGCTTGGCCTGGCTGCTGTTTGTTGTAGCTGCTGCTATTGGATGACGATAAGCCGCACAGGCTATAAAATAACAATAAACTACCTACCTAGGTAGGTAGGTATTGTACGACGACGATGGTGACTGATGAGGGAGGAGGAAAAGAGAAGGAAGAACCGTTCATGTATTAATAATCTCTGTTCATATCGTGTCTCACTCTCCTTGTCTGGTCTGCTTGATCCCTCTGCTCGTGACATGTCCGAGGATCTCACCGGTACAGTGGTTCTACATAGTACATACTACGCCCGCCCGAACCACCGCAAAAAGTCGTCACGTTGGTTTCGTCACTTGATCTCGCCCCGCACACCGAACTTTCCTCCCTCATCATGAGTCAGTCAGGGCTCCAGGGCTCCAGGGCTCTCCGACTGAGGTCATCCATCGCTGTACAGCGTCCATTGACGTCAGCCGTTCTATCGAGGTCCCAATGGCTTTCCTCTTCGCGACGCGTCTTCCTGACTGATGGCCATTTCCGCGACGCGTTTGCCTAAAAGTCGGGACATTGATTCTATGCATCATCGCAATCTCGCTCCTCACAGCACAAATTATCCCGACCCTTTCGGAGCATTCATCGCATTCATCGCATGCGGACATACATCATCACACACACGAGATATTTCAGAAGCACGTCATTCATCAATATGTCATTCAAAAGAAAGGCTGGAGATGCGGGTCTGGATTCAGCAAAGAAGCCGAAAGTCAATGCCTCCATCACTTCTTTCTTCGGACAGCCCAAAGCGGAGCCCAAGACCAACAGTCCTGCCACATCACTCAAGGCCGATGCAACACCAACATCTAGCACAGCTGACAGAGCCGAACCAACGCCCATCAAATTCGATAAAGATGCTTGGCTAGCGAAGCTCACTCCGGAGCAGAAGCAGCTCCTGGCGTTGGAGATCTCCTCCATGGACGAAAGTTGGCTAGCAGTGCTCAAAGACGAACTCGTCACCAAAGAGTTCCTCGACCTCAAGAAATTCCTCAAATCCGAGGTGGAGTCCGGCAAGAAGGTCTTCCCCCCCAGCTCTGACGTCTACAGCTGGTCGCGCCACACCCCTCTACACAAAGTCAAGGCCGTGATTCTCGGCCAGGATCCGTACCATAACGTGAACCAAGCCCACGGATTGTGCTTTTCCGTTCGTCCTCCGACCGTCGCGCCTCCCTCGCTGAAAAACATGTACATCGCGCTGAAGAAGGACTACCCCGATTTCAAGGCACCACCGCGTAATGGCGGTCTCCTGACCCCCTGGGCCGACCGAGGCGTGCTGCTGCTCAACACTTGCCTGACCGTCCGTGCCCATGAGGCGAACAGCCATGCAAATCGCGGTTGGGAACGCCTCACACAGAAAGTGATTGACACTATTGTCGCCAAGCGGACCAAAGGCGTGGTCTTCCTGGCCTGGGGCTCTCCGGCGCAGAAGCGCTGTGCCAAGATCACGGGCACCAAACACCTCGTCCTGAAGAGCGTCCACCCCAGTCCTCTCAGCGCGCACAAGGGCTTCATGGACTGTGGGCATTTCCGAAAGGCGAACGAGTGGTTGGAGGAGAGATATGGGGCGGACGGTGTGATCGATTGGAATCTAGATGTCGAGCCGGAAGAGGCGGGCGTTTGATCAGAGTGGAGCAGGATTGATAGGCGCAGAGTGGTGAAGCCCCTTTGAATGGCTTTATTTGGCAGGAGTGATGTTGTCAATGCGTTCATATCGGAACGTCTTGTAGTGTTATGTATCTTGTTTTCTGGATAGATCGACCGACCTGTCTCAAATCAATGACTCATGACTACTCCTCAACCGTGGTGATTTTGATCTCGATGGCAGAGAGGCTTGACTCCAGCGACCGAGAAGGAGACCGGTAGACTTCCTCAAAGTGTTCATGAGCCCATAGGATGCGACATAAGCCTGTGACATGCATGTTCTATGTGCCTTCAACACGCTGTCAGAGGTCGAATTGCAAAGAGTTTGTGGTTTCCGGTGCTGTATTCCAAGCCCCTGCATTGGCATATGCCGGAGCCGACGTGCCAGGTGGAAGAGTGGACGGTGACGGGACGACCGCGTGTGACATCTGCAGCTGTTGCCGTAGTTGTTGCTCCTGCTGAGATGGATGGTGGCTGCCGTCTTGCAAGCTAGGATCTAGCGGAAGTTTGGAGTGTTCGTGTAGCAGTCGCGGATCGTGGTGGATCTGGTGGCCCTCGAGCGCACTTGCGTCAGCATCTCCACGATCCCGCGCGTTCTGGAGACCGAGATCGATGTTGCGGTTGTCAAAGGATTCCCGCGGACCATTGTTCAAATCGTTCTGTAGGCTGTCTTCTTCGATCTCAGCCTGTAGCTGTGCGTCTGCCATTTCCTGATCTTCCTCGTCCTCTTCCGTCGGCCCTGCACCTGATGATGTCCCGGCTTTGCCCGCTTTGCTTCCTCCCTGCTTCTTCCATCCGTCTTTCGTTCGCACGTATCCTGCCTCGTACATACAGCCTTCGAAAGTGGAGGTCGACATCAGCGGCAGGCCCAATGCGACCAGCTCTGGGTCCATTGTCCTCTCGATAGTTCCATCCGGGAGTTTCCTGACGCCGACAAACTTGCTCGACTTTGCCTTCAAGGCCTCTTTGTCCTTGGTGGCGACCGATACCACCAGAGCTCTCTGCTCCGGGGTCAACAGCTCTTTTCTTCCACGCCGGCTGGGCTCCTCGAACAGTTTCGGCGCGTCTTTGATCAGTCGTGGGTCCGAGAGGTTGAGTTCATCGATGCCGAGCTCCGCCGCGCGAGCTTTGAGGCGCGTCATTGTCCGTGAGAGGGTAGCCTGAGAGATCCCATGGTCTCGCGCGAGTCCTTTCTGTGACGCGCCACCGAGGAGTGCGCCGCAGAGAAAGGCCCGCTGGATCACATGGAGTTCACGCCGTGATGTTTTATGAACCGGTTCCTTTCTAGGTCGTGGCGTTCGCTGCACGCGATGCGGTGGCATTGTGATTGCGCCTCTCTGGCTGGTCTTGTGGAGTGGTCGGATAGTGAGTCGTTGCGACAAACGGACCGTGTTGCCGGATGACAGTTCTACACGCTCACTTGCACCTGTGGAATCTGAACCCTTAGAGGTCGCAGGGTTGGAGAGACATTGCCGAAATGCCGATTATCTGAAGTTCGTAGTGGCGCTGCACCTGTACGAGACAATTGTTGCAATCATTTACTGATCTACCAACGAATTGCATAGGTAGAAGGTGCTTTCCCTTCTAGCTTCATTACCATTGTAGGTGGTAGATTGCAGGTGCAGATGATGTTAAACAATTCAGCGCAACGCGGCGAACCCTAAGAGCACCACCGATCGTCTGCAAACTCGTGTAGACCTTGCCCAGGTCCTCGTCCTGTCTTGCGTCTCCACCAGGCTCTCTCGAAAGAAGCCGATCGACAGTGCTCACCTGCATATTGGATCCTACCCACGCAACGTATGGACTTGAGAAGACTGAGTTTCTTGCGGATGTCATCTACTCCAGATGTGTATGGATTAGTTGGCATCACACGTGCTATCTGATCCACGTTATCCCATCATGCGTGGGACGGTCCCCGACGTGGGTGCACAACACAACAGACGGTTCAAGACACACGTCCATAGTCTATGGCATTGGTGACGATGATGTCGACGGCACTAGGTACAGCTGCCATTGAACAATCCTGACGTCGGTACAAGCCAAGTATGGATGGACACGACCATCCTAGCACTGGCTGCCGTCCTCGGCTTGGTGATTATGATGTGCAGTATACGCCTAATAGAAGTGTTTTTGCGATCGGGCTGCCACTTGCGTCGCTGTATTTAGATGTCGCCCATGTGCATGCCTTGTCCATCGCGCGCAGTCCTGCACATAGAGTACTGCACAAAGAAAAGAGACCGCGTGTGCCGTAGCGATGATCTGTAAATAGGCATTGTCGCAGCCGTCCACGTCAATAATAATACCAACAACGACCTAAATCCATCCCACTCACCTCCTCGCTGGCAATCGGCCTTGCTGTCATTGCCACACAACACAATCCACGCCTTCCCACGCAGCAGCAGCCCTGGAGACATTGAGATCATCAGCCACCACCACCAGCACCACCATCAGCACCAACCAGCTGTGCACCCTTGTTGATTTCGGGCTATACCGAGCACTGTATACACACACAGAGGTCTGCCACAGTACATTAACATCCAACACTAGGTAGAATCCGCGCTGTTTGTTATACTCCACACACGCACGATCCGCGAGTTCATCCGCCTGCCGAGCTCGACTAGCTTCTGTTGCTGCGTTGTTCACCGCTGGCGTAGCGGCCATCGATTCACGACCCAAGTGCCACTTCCGTCGTGTTGTTTGTGCGACACTACTGCACACCCGTGAGTCCGTCTGCGCGGCTGCTTTTCCCTCGAGCCCAAGGCTGACCATGACTTCGCTGCTGCAGCCCTGCCCCGAATATCCTCGCCCACGGTCTGCATCCTGCGACCGGCGTTGGGCTCCTCTCTGACGTGGGTGCAGCCAGCGAAACCGATCTACCATAGCCTTGACAGCTCATCGCTCGCTGTCTAGACGGGAAAATCTCGTCCTCCAACGCGCCTTTGATCGTCTAGCGCCAGGGCGCTGCCGGCAGATATATAATGTCACAAACCCAATCTCCCTCGGCCGACGTCGAGCAGGACCGGGCGCCTGCCGATGATGAACCACAACAGGATCTCACCGGTGACAACAACGACATGAGTCACGAAGATTTACTACAAGATTTCGATTTCGAGGTCAAGGAGCAAGACCGCTGGCTCCCTATTGCCAATGGTACGTCTCACATGCGTGACTGATTGCTGTCATCTGGAAAATAGTGGTCACTGCTCGCAGCAGCTGCACTGTCGATTGGCGTTGTTTCGTCCGTTGCCCCTTGGTCGCAAGGACGTTGCAGGCCGGTGAAAGAATGCAATGAGATCTTGGCTTCGATTGATATGTGCCGCATCAATTTTCCCGCCTGCCACACAGCGACAAGCCATGTCTCGCCGAGAAATGATATTTTTGTCGCCAGGTTGACAACATCCAACAACGAACATGTCTGAGCGCCGCAACTTCTAGTCTTCCCTCAGATTTCAGGCCTGCGCGAAGTAGCGTTATGATCACAATGCTGACGATTGTCTTTCGCTCTAGTCGCCAGGATTATGAAGGGAGCACTTCCCGAGAATGCAAAGATTGCCAAAGAAGCCAAAGAATGCATGCAAGAATGTGTAAGCGAGTTCATCTCGTTCATTACCAGCGAAGGTACGGCCCAATCTCCATCACAATGCCAACGTTATCCACGATGGACCTGGATAGCTAATGTAAATTGTAGCTTCGGAGAAATGTCAACAAGAGAAGCGCAAGACCGTTAATGGCGAGGACATTCTCTTCGCAATGACATCGCTCGGCTTCGAAAACTATGGTGAAGCGCTCAAGATTTATCTAGCACGATACCGAGAGGTCAGTAATGCGGCATCACCTCTGCGCGACAAATAATCAAGCGCAACGTTGAAACGACAAGACGTGGCTCTAACAATTTCCCACAGAACCTCTCCGTCCGCAGTGATCAGCCACAAAAGCCCGCCACAGCCACAGGGACGACTGCTGGTTCCAATTCTACCACTTCACCGTACAACGATACTCCGAGCCATGGCGGACTTGCCAACCCTGTAGACCAGCCTACAGATGGAGCCACCGACTTCGCATACGTCGTCGGTGGAAACAACAATGCTGACTTTTAGGTCTCGCACCATGCAATAACCTCCAATCTATCGTGCTTCAGCTCGACGAGCCATGGATGTGGAGCGCTTATCACCGGGCTTTGATCTATGTATATACATCTAGCAATCACGACATTTCTTCAGGGATGGTGGAGTTGGCGGGTGGTAATTCCCTTTTGCACGCCGGCCCAAGTACATCGAGAGACTGCTTAGGCAGCCAAGTACCATCGAATTGGATAGTGTATGGACCGAGACGCCATATTGCATGCAGGACCAACATGCTGCCTGCTGGAGCATTTTGAGGAGGGCACGTAACGTGCATTTTGTATAATGTAGTCGGAGGCGGCCAACCAGCGTTGCCCGCGATGTAGAGGGATGAACGCGTCTGAACCACTGCTCGCGCAGGTTTACAAAGACAATAAATCTACACATCCTGAAAGCACAAAATCAACTCTTGAACATCTTGTAGGACCTTCGCAATGCTGCTGGATTCGTGGACGATTGAGGAGTGAGAGTCGTGCTTGTTTCAGACGATTTCGTGATACCGGACGAGCTTGCAGCCTGAGGCTGAAATACGTTCTGTGACGTTTTTACGCGGGGCGAAGCTCCAACTACACTAATGGCTGAGCGTCACCAACCTTGTGATGTGGACTACACCTAGGTATTCAGCACTGCACACGATATAGAGTCAAATTGATATCTATCATTGAATGACCGGTTTGAAAGACACATCATTAAAATGTCGTCTGCTAAGCTAGAGAAGGTGCTCGCGCGCCAGAAGACTAAGTAAGCATCTGAATTCCAGGATGGCCTCGCTAGAGTCCAATACGCTGACCATGACCTGCAACCCGTAGGATTGAAGAAGGAGACTACTATGAAGCCCATCAACAATTACGGACCGTCGCGAATCGCTATGTCAAAGCCAACGACTACACTGCTGCCATCGACATTTTGGCTTCAGGGGCTAATATGCTGCTGAAGGCTGGCCAAGGTGGCTCAGGCGCCGACTTGTGCATCTACCTTATGGAAACTTACAACAAGGGCGATGTCAAGCCAGATGCCGCGAGTAAGGCAAGACTGGTCACATTGCTGCGGGCCTTCCCTCACAACGAGCCGTCCAAGAAAAAATTCGTGGGTGGAGTGGTAGAGTATGTGCCCAATGCCGAAACTTTTGAGAACGAGAAGCTGCCGTTGTCTTTTCGCTTGTCGCCACGATGAGGCTTCGTCCAACATCCGCAGACCAACGCTTGCACATGGATTGCTGACCAAAGTCTCTCAATAGATGGTCTAGCAAGACTGGTGAATTTCCCGCAGGTGACCCTGACCTACATCACGTCATTGGCTCGCTATATGCTCAAGAAGGAGAGGTCTACGAAGCTGAACTTCACCTGACTCTCGGAACATCAGAGTCGCCTGCTGTATTCAGTGACCTCGAGTACACCTGGTACGCTAGTAGCGATGAGCCCAGTAGTGCAGCCTCCTACGCTGCTCGCTGCGTATTTCCTTACCTGCTCATTTTCAACACACGCGCCGCGAACAAAGCCTTTTTGCTCTTCACCAGCGCCCTCTCTGCAGCACACCCGAACGGTCTGGGCGTACAAAGTATCTCCAGCCCGTCTGCCGATATCCGTATCTACCCTTCCCTCCCGCTCCTGAATTTCATCGGGCTTCTCCTTCTTGCCTGCCAGCGCGGTGGTACCGATCTGTACAAGCAGCTCAGGGCCCACTATGCCGCGAATTTGAAGGAGATGCCACAGTGGGAGGAACCCTTGGCGCACATTGCAGAGAAGTACTTCGGAATCAAACTTCCCAGCGCGGGCGGCGGCAATCCCATGTTGGACATGATGACGAACATGATGATGGGAGGAAACAATCCTTTTGCGGCGGCGAGAGGGAAAAAGGACCAGGGCCGGCTTGGTGGTGGCGGACCACCAGCTCCTGGAGTCGATTGATTGGCAGTCAGCGATAAGGAAAGGAAAGATCGTAATGGCTCAGTAATATGGAACAGGGATGATGCCGAAGTCATGAGTCGGCGGTGTTTCGGAAGCGCTGTCGCCACGTACGGAAATGTCACATGGCGATACCATAAGCCTCTGGAGTATAGATGAGTGGGACCAGTGGTCGATATTGATTTGCAAATGATTCTTGCATCGAACTGTGCGTTTCCGGCTCTTTGAGAAAAGTGCATTGTATGATTGACAGGGTGGTCCAAACACGAAGATTTGCACATTGACGAGTAGCTTATAATAATTCGAAGGACTTTTACCCGCGGCCAAGGAGGTAAACACGATCTTCAGTGCTATATGGTACTGCATTCTCACCACCAGCGCTTGGCTGAGTTCATCCATAGCTGCGCGTGATACGTGTTCCATGTTGCTACTCTGGATCAGCTTTTTGGAAGTGCAGTCGAAACTTTTGATCCAATTGACAAATTTCTCTAGAGATCCTGCCGGAGATAACGGAACGCCATGATTGATCCCATACATGCAGACGTGATATTTCCATGGAGCCATGACAAGAAATACTAACCAAGTCACCAACCGCTGGATAGAGCTTATTCCCCAGTCTTTATTCCTCTACGGCTCCGGTGCAAGTTATTCTTCTTTTCGGGTGATCTTGAAACAGACCTTTCCGACCTCCATCGCATTGAAAGCTCTGTACGCCTCTGGAGCTGTCTCGAGATCACGAACCTCACCCGTGAGGAACATCAACTTCTTGTGTTCCTGCACAAGCAGGGCCAACGCATCCTCGAAGATACTTCGGACAGGGCAGCGCCCGAAGGCCATGGTGACGTTCTTTCCGTACAATTGAAGACCGTTGACAGGGAAGGTCTCAGTGCTATTTCGGATGAAAACATAAATCGTCAGCAAACTGATGCTTCAAGAATGGGCGAGCAGTCGAATTTGGAAGAAGAAGAAGAAGCAATGATTATAGGGCAAAGGAAAGGTGACGTACTGTACTCCGATACTGCTGATCATGCCCCATGGTCGAATCATGTCAAAGCACAAGTGGAATGCGTCCGCGTGCCCGACACCTTCAATCACAACGTCGGCACCTCGGCCATCCGTGGCAGCCTTGATCTTGCCAACTGGATCGTCGTTAAGGTTGATCGGAATTGCTCCTAATTGTCGCGCCTGTTCCAAACGTGCCGGAACGGTGTCGATAGCATAGACGGTATCCACCATTGTCAGAGCACAGGTGATAGCGCAAAGTCCCACAGGGCCGCAGCCAACTGTGACAGCGGTGTATTCGCGTCGGTCGCGCTCTGGCAGATCTTTGAGGAAGCGTGCGGCGGCGAAGTAGCCTGTGGGGAAGATGTCGGCCATCAGAACCAGCATCTCTTCCGGGATACCCTTTGGTGCGAGGACGAAGGTGCTGTCGGCGAGAGGGCATCGTACGAATTCCGCCTGTCCGCCGTTGATGGTGTTGGCGGGAGCGCTGTTACCAAACAGCTCGCCTTTGGCACATCGAGAGGCCTGACCGCGGACGCAGTAGTAGCACTCGCCGCATGCAGTGTAGAAGGGGACGACGACCTAAAGAGAATGACCCGGAGGTTGACATCAGCATAGGCTCTTGGACAAGCTTCGTGACGGAGGTCACATTTCCGCATGGTGCACCGCGAAGCAGAAACACCTCCTGATTGTATTTCGCGCTAGGTGTGTCCTTACCTTGTCTCCCAAGTTGAACTTGGTGACTGCCTCACCCTTCTCGACAATCTCGCCAACGAATTCGTGACCGCAAGTGAAGCCAGGAGGACATTTTAAGTGACCTCGATAGAAGTGCAGATCGGAGCCGCACAGAGCGGTGGAGGTGACTCTGAGAATAGCATCGGTTGGCTGGAGGATTTTTGGTACGTCTCGGTCCTCGACAGCGACCTGTTGGGTTGAGTCATCGTTTTAGCATTCATTCAAGATGAGGTGCGGCCATCATGCCATGTAGGCATCTCAAGGCGGAGATGAAGCCGCGAGCTGCCACGCTCACGCTCTCTTTTTTGGATATGGAGAGAAGTACGTACTTCGAATGGGCCCTTGAACACAACGGCTCGCATAGTCTTCTGTTGGATGGGAGACATGGCGGCGACGTAGGCTCCGGCAACTGCGAAACCTTGATGGCGTGTTGCGAAGTACCACGATGGAGCCGCGAACCTTGATGGCAGCGATGTATAGTTGTTTGGACTTTGACGGGTCGAGGTTGGTTTATGACGCGGAATGTCTTTGTGCCGTCGATAATGAAATGTGATGGAATTCCCGCCTTTGCTCGTCAACAGTTCGTAGGAAGGTGACGGGATGTGAAGATGGGAGGATGAGCGATATTAGCGATCACGGCGGGCAAGCGATTAGACGCGGCTCATAACCTGTGATCAGACTTTTAGTGTGAGAGGATTATTACTACCCATGTCCGCTCGCTGTACCGTCCACCATGCGCCAGTGTGTGTTTGTGTCTTGCACCAAACCTTCCAACCACTGCCGAAGCCACCGATGAGGGGCCAATGGACGTTTGCCCCGCTCCGACGGCCCTGTCCTGACCCACGCGATCCTAGAGTTCCAATTCCAAGATTGCCCGCTGCCGCAACCGGGATTAGTCATTGCGTTCGGCGCTTTCCAATCTTGGAAGTTCAATCCTGAAGCGTTCCATGGTTGGTATGTTCTCGTGCAGCACTTCGAGAATTGCTGCGCTGCAAGGTCTGGAAGGGCGGGACACTGTCCGTAGCGTCTTGCAGTTCATGTTGCACGCAGCTGTCATGCATTAGCCGTGGATGGTCCGCAGGCCGTCTTCAGACAACAACAACAGCGACCATGAGGATGACAGCCGACGCCCAACCCGCGACAATGATATTAAGCCGTCACGTCCAGCGGTACATGAATCTCTGTCAACTCAGAAGGAGGACCTCCGGCTTGATTCACGCTCCTGGTAAGTGATGCCAAAGGCTCCGGCATAAGAAATATCAGAGACACCTTCGTCGTTCCTCCGAAACCGCAGTAGCCGTTGAGAGACGGTCGCACTACTGCGACCAGGCTAAGCCGAGGATTCACAACTGTCAAAAACAAGTACAATAACAGCAGATCCAATCGTTCTCTAGCAAAACATACCAGAGTTCGTTGTTGTTAGTTTCTAGATGCTTATTATCGACCGTGTAAGTTACGCAATACCTACCTACTAGGTAGGTACCTGCCACGTCTCGCATCACTTCTATGAATATAGATCCATTGTTCATTTGGCGAGTGGAACAAGTCTAGCAAGCGTACCTTCTCGTTATATCGGAATGCTGGTGAACGGTGATAAACACATCGCAGACGTCGTCCGCCAGACCTATAGTGTACCTTTGACGTCATTGCATATCTGTTATATACTGTCGCACGGTGTCATGAAAATTGTTGGTGCTTCTGATTCAAGAAGCTCTGGCCTCTCTGTACACCACATCGCCGAGCTAAGTGCGGCTTGTGAGATTATAGATCCCGTTCGTTTCAAAGAGGCACCGCAGCGTACATGCGACAGGGTCGCGGTGTTTGTCAAATCGCTGATTCGACGTTTCGCAAGCGTTGTGAGGTCAGGGTGATCGGAAGCGGGTTCATCACTTCGTTGGTTCGAGATAATCCCGAGCGAATGCTGGCTGTGGTTGCGAAGCTTCTACGAATATGTGGATCTCACAGGCAACCGAAGGCGCAAAATGGACATTGTAAGTGGATATCAAGCGTGAGAAACAAAAGTTCTATAATTTCGAGTCAAGTTCTTGCTTGAGCCGGACAACACCCTGCGATTGTGATTGTTAGTCAAGTAGTAGAATCATAGCAGTGGATAACAGAATAACCATACCTCTTGAACGCAACTCGCGATGAGAGTTCCATCCCTTGAAAACATTCTTTGCATGACGAAACCGCGACCCTCGCCTGCCCATGGTGTCTCTGCCTCTGCCAGAATCCAATCGTCCGCGCGGAAAGCTTTCGGGTTGTGAAAGTAGATGGAATGATCCAGTGAGACCATCATTCCGATCTCTGGTCTCTTCTCCTTCAATCCTACAATTTCGCCGTCTTTGATATCCAGTGTCTTGATAGCATCGATGAGCTCATCATCCATCTCCTCATATTTTCGCAATGTTTCAATGTCCATTTCCTTGAGCTTGTCGACCAGACTGCGCGGAACCAAGTGCTTCGCCGACTTGTCACCCTGTTTCAGCACGACAGCATCGTATCGCATGAGCTTGTGAGTTCTCGCGACAGTACCGATGAAATATGAATCACTCATATATGCCAAAGCCGAAAGGTGTGCCTGATGACCACCTTCATCGCTGATCCGGCCTCGGCATTTGACCCATTGCCTCGTTCGCTTCTCTTCCGGATTTTCGCTGTTGTTATTGAAGATGCTGACTTTCTGCGTCACGAATGGCGATTTGACGCCTCGTAAGATACTAGCGGGCTCCTCGTTCTCTGCAGGTGGAGGAGGAACATCACTGGGCATGCGTGCCTGGTGCTGTACAGTCTGCTTGCCGCCAGACCCGTCGCGCGTGAAGCTGAGAGTGGTGGTGAAAATGGGTTGGCCGCGCTGGCGGGCTTGCACTGTTCGCGTCGCAAAGGACCGCCCTTCTCTTACGTGCTCTACGTGAAAAATGATCGGGATATCGGCATTGCCATTCAACACGAAATAGCAGTGCATGCTGTGTACGGTGAAGTTGGGCGGCACCGTCTTTTGCGCAGCAGCCAGACATTGTGCAATGACGGCTCCGCCATAGATCCCTCGGGCTCCTGGCGGATGCCACACTTTGCGCGTGTTGGTGAACAAATCCGGCGCGATGTCGTTCAGCGCCGTGAGTTCAAGAACATCTTCAATCGGAGCTTTGCCCTCCGATGAGGGCGGCGGTTTGATTAGTGTCGGCCGACTCATTTTGCTGAAGTCAGGCAGGTAGTTTGTCTGGCAAGACCACGAAAGAATGGAAAAGGTGGTAATTATTGTCTTTACAAGATAACGCTGCAGCTCGTATGACGATATAGAAGCAGCGGGTCTCGTAGACGACGACTCGCGCTCGGTGTTCGGAAATAATTATGATCGATTGCGATGACAACCCCGGATCGTGACACGCATCTAGACCGAGGGACGAGCTCCGCGTGTGCTATTTCGCCTTAGGTGAGACGGGCTTATTAATTACACCAATGATCAGCCTTCCTGCGCCGTGGTCAGGCCAATAGAGGGGAATCTCCGGCCTGTGGTTTGCATCTGCCATCACGATACGAGAGCGACCTCTAGTCCACCTGCAGTCGCCTAATTTCATTAGAGACTACAAACACGTGCCTCGTCCGTCAAGAATCGTGTGTTTCTCAATCGGTCCAATTTTGGCCCCGGAGAGGCCGACTGCCGCGTGGCAGGTGAAAACCCGCACTCGTTGAGCCCATGAAGGTGACCTCGGGACGGCTGTGGGTTAGGGTCATTCGTCGTCACGGATGCAGGCCGGGAAGATGTCCGCTGGGCGTGCGTGGATACGAAACGTCATTGGAGGCGCAGTCGCTGCATTTCTTGTCTGATCTCACGATGCCCATCTTCACGCGCAATGCCTTCAACATTGGAGATCACCGGACCTTGAAACACTGATAAGCGCAAACAGCCCGACGGAATTATTACAGTGAACTCACTGTAGGCTACAGAGGCTGCTGTCAAGGCACGCATCGTGATATCGCTTTATCCCTCCGTCACTCTTGCATACGCGCACGACCCCTCCACCACCGGATTTCTTTGGTTTCTCCTCTGCCTGCTCGCCATCGCCCTTCTCTCTACCCACACTTACGTCGCTGCTGGACAGTCGTCAACCGACTGCTTGATCGCTGTTGTCGCCCTCGCCCAACATGCCTCCTTTCATCAATAATCCATTGCCGTCGTCGATGCGCAGCGAGTGCAAGAAATGTGGTCGCATCCTTGCCTCGTTCATCGACCCTCGGCAGGCATTTGGCCCTGACAAAATCATTCCTCCGCACATCCTGGCTAATGCCGAGGGCCTTGCCATTCTGACCGTCTTCAAAGCCGGTTTCCTCGGATCTGGCAGGTTTGGTAGTGGTGTTGTTGTTGCCCGAAAGGAGGATAAGTCCTGGTATGTGCCATCGAGCCCTATTTCTATGCTACATGTGGAGTCATGATTTGCTGACGGGACAATTGTGTTTCGCGTGATGCAGGTCTGCGCCGTCAGCGATTGGAACCGTTGGTGGTGGTTTCGGTGGCCAAATTGGTTTTGAGCTGACTGACTTTGTTTTTATTCTGAATGACAAAGCGGCCGTCAAAACCTTCGCGCAGGTCGGTTCTCTTACACTCGGAGGCAATGTATCTATTGCCGCCGGTCCAGTCGGTCGCAGTGCTGAAGCAGCTGGCGCTGCCTCTCTGAAATCAGTCAGCGGAATCTTCGCCTACAGCAAAACTAAGGGCTTGTTCGCGGGAGTCTCGCTAGAGGGTAGCGTGCTAATAGAGCGTCGCGATGCAAACGAAAAGATGTATGGCCGAAAGCTCACAGCAAGGGAGCTTCTCGGAGGAAGCGTTCCCATGCCGGCACAAGCGGAGCCACTTTTGCGTGTGCTCAACTCGCGCGTTTTCGGCGGTGTCAATCCTGGCCCTGCTCGCGGCACAGACGACATGTACAACGATGTGCCTGTATACGACGACGCGAACGATGATGCGAGCTGGAATGCTCAAAGTCCGACAAACAACAGTGGAGGTTTCGGCAGCGACCACTATGGCAAACCGTCTCGCGCTGCTACTTGGCAAGACGACCCATACGATCGTGCATCTGCGCGCATGTCTTCGCCACGCGCCAATCCTAGCGAAACATTTGACCGACTAGAATCTTCCCGTTCCGCCCGTTCCTCGACCTTCTCCTCCGCGGCTGGAGTTGATCCCTCCGACAATTATGTCTACTCAGATCGAAAAGGCCCGGCTCCAGCAAGACCAACAGCGCCAAAACCAGCTTTTGGGACTGGCGACAAGAAGGCTTTGGCACCAGGTCAGGCAAGAGCCAAATTCAAGTTCGAGGCCGCACAGCCTGGAGACTTGGGGTTCAACAAAGGCGATATCATCACCATAGTCAAAAGAACGGAGAACGAGACGGATTGGTGGACGGGAAGGATAGGCGACCGGGAAGGTATTTTTCCGAGCAATTACATCGAGACCGTTTGAGGAGGAGTAAAGTCTCCGAAGACTTCACGAGTGGACACTAAGCACACCTGCGCTTGATGTCTTGCTAGAAATGATTAATTGGCCGGCACTCCGTGGCATTCATGGCAACAATCGGAGCATCGGAGACCGGATCCGATCCCGAACGTTTGGCTTTCGGTCGCATCGCAGGCATCTTTCAGGTGGCTTGGAGACACTTTCGTTGATTTGAAGGCAGACGTCGGACAAAATGTCCATTCATGAGTACCACGGCCGCAAAACTTTAATTCCATTTCCAACACCCGCAACGACCTCGAGTCGAAAACACTGGCGCTGATACCCCCGATTAGAATTTGATAGCAGGAGCGTCGGAACAATGTCACGGAAATCAGAAACGCATGAAATTTAGCACATGGCTTGCTTTTACCCGTTTGCTCTCGTGCTTAATAGTCTAGAATGCGCTTGATAGAGTCGTAGACTCGCGCTACATCAGGGAGAATAAATTTCTCGTACAAGAGACCTGTGTGTGTGCTCCAACCCGCAACTCTCTGTACCGGCGCTGCCAGGCGTAAGAAACATCCCTCCTGCACCGTTGCCGCAACTTCTGCACCCACGCCGGCATTCACCATACTCTCATGCACCACGATGCATCGCCCAGTCTTGCGCACGGAGTCCATCACCGTTTGTCTATCCCAAGGATAAATTGTTCTCAGATCAATCAATTCCACAGAGCACTTCAGGTCTTTTTCCACGGCATCAATGGCTGCTTGACAAGTGTACAGAGGTGTTCCATACGAGACTACAGTCACGTCTTCTCCCGGTTTAATGACGTCGGCCTTGTCCAGCGGTAATGTATAAGCCTCCTGTGGGACATGCTCAACAGCAGCACGATAGAGGATCTTGGGTTCCATGAAGATCACCGGATCCGGACACTCCACTGCCGCTAGCAACAAGCCTTTGGCCTGCGTGGGCGATCGCGGCACAACGACTCTCATGCCGGGGACATGCGTAAACAAGCTCTCAGGACTCTGAGTGTGGTAGAGTGCACCGTGGCCTACTCCTCCCGCCGGCATGCGAATCACGAGTCCACCACAATGTACACCATCTCCACCACCATCCTCTTGCTGCGCGTGTTGTGCGTTCGTCCCTGATCGGTACCGCACCTTGGCTGCCTCGTTTACGATCTGATCGAAAGCAGGAAAGACGTAGTCTGCAAACTGAATCTCCGCAATCGGCCGCATGCCTTGTAGCGCAGCACCGATTGCGAAGCCCACGATGCCTTGCTCGCTCAGTGGTGTGTTGAAGACTCGGTCAGGCCCGAACTCGCTCGCGAGGTTCATTGAGCAGCGGAACACACCGCCAAAGGAGACATCTTCACCAAAGACTAAAGTCCGGGAATCTGAGCGAAGAGCGTGTGCGAGAGCGCTATTGATAGCCGTGAAGAGGTTTTGGCGGCTCGTCGTGAACGTGGTGGTCGCAGCTGCTGTTGTGGTATCATGGCCACCGTGACTTTGTTTCAAAGCTGCCACAAGTTCAGAATTTGAGAGAGCAGATCTTGACGTATGGTGGAGAAGAGGTGTTGTGGAGTAGTCGGTAGGTAGATTTAGACGCGCCCTGGGAGCATGCGAGGAGTAATGTCTCCCTGTTGCTTTCACGATATTTATGTGGCATGTCGCTATGATTCGTCTCGTTTTGAGTGATCTGACTTGCGATATCATCTTTGTGTGTACATATAAGTCAACTTTGTTTCTTTCACAAACGACCTCCACTTCTCGACGAGATGCAGACTCATCCATCTGGCAAGATCTCCAAAGCCGTCATTCCATTCGGTTGGATGCGGCTTAAGTCCGTAGATTCCCACACGCCGATAACAATAATCCACGAGGGCAAGGTCTTCTCCAGCAATCCATATAATTGAAGGAAAAGAGACATGTTTGAAGAATGCAATGCATCAATTCTGGAAATTTGAACGGTGGTTGAATTGTTTCGCACACTGATACGAAATGCCGCACACATTCGAAGAAAGTGTTCAGCGCGCTTCTGAAGGTGAATTCTGCTGTTGCATCACTTCCGCCGCATGTGGCTCGTGCGCAGACCTAAACATTCGGGTTTGTGGGATTGGAGCTTCAGCAGTATCAACACGCACAGAGGTTGTACCCGATATTCGATTTTGATAGATACGTCCTGCGATTCCACAATCTTCACGCCCGACATGGCCATCGACCAGGCCAGTGAAAACGTCGCCGCAGATATGGACGTCGACATGAAAGAGGAAGACGAGACCTTAGCTGAGCCCGCACTGAGCAACACCCACCAGAGCGACCCCGAACCCATCGATACAGACCCACAGCGTCTCAGCCAGACACCCTCTGTAGCGCCTGACGCGCAAGCAGGTCATACATTACCATCAGCTGATGCGCCAAATAGCGCAGCATCGCTGCCAGCTGCTGCCTCCCCAATGCCCCCCTCCATTGCGTCGATAGCAGCATCAACTCGGCCGGGTTCAATGCCTCCACAGCCGACTGCGAGACCGGAGAAGCCAATTGCGCACGGTGGTCCAACTCGTCAGTATCTGAATATGAACGTCACGCCACACCTTCTCGAGGGTATGAAACATCTCGCGGCGTATGAACCTGAGAAGCCTTTGCTGTGGTTGGCGGACTTCTTGAGGGAGAAGAGCAAGGAGGTCGAGGGTCCTTGAAAATCCGGCAAGGAGATCTAATCGCTTGCGGAGACGTTGTTATATCGTCAATGCATGACATTCGCTCATTGCGCTTCCACTTAGCCACGCGCAGGTCATTTGGCGCTGGCCGCATCTCCATGGCAAGAACATCCACGAACCCTTTTCGCGCTCATGGCATATGAGCAAGTGGTCGTTCATTGAAGTGAAGTATCTATGTCCCGCCGTCATGCGCCGAGGCGGCTCACTGGCGCGACACAGCCGAATTCAGGACACGCTCTAGATGAAAAGATCGATTCACGGCGCCTGATCTGGATGATCCTCGCGCAAGTGAGGATCCGATAGTCCCAGGCTTTTGAACGTTGGAAGACACATGCTCCGATCGGAAATTGGCTTAAGTACTGGGATGATGTCGGGGAGATGGACCTATGTATCCAGCGCAGACAATTCATCCCATTCTGGCAGTCTATTTCGACTCGCCAACGCCGAGCTTCCTCACACCAAAAAAGTAATTGCCCCAGTCGGCACTCCCTGAAACCTCCTTCCAGCCAAGCCCTGGAACATAAACTACACCCATCACTTGCCATCCGCGGCCGTCCACACCGACATCCACACCATCTTCATATTTGGCCCACTCGCGCATCTCCGAGGGCTGGATATATTGACTCCATTCGTGCGTGCCACGCGGCACCATCCGTAGCACCTCCTCCGCCACAAACTTGGTCGTCAGCCAGCTGACGCCTGTCCGCGCGATCGTCGACCCGATAAGCCAGCCACCAGGTTTGAGATGCTTCAGCACTGCACGCAGAAATGGCACGGGTTGCTGAATATGCTCGATGACTTCGAAAACAGTGATGACGTCAAATCCTTCTTGCGGACTTGACGGCAATGGAAGGTTCTCAATTGCAGTGTTGAGATATGTCAAGCGACCTTCCTCCATGAGCTTGGGATCCGTACGAGCGTGCTTGCGTGCTATTGCGATCACCTCGGGTGTGGGATCGATTGCTGTCACACTAGCTGTGCTCGAAAGGCGTGCAGCAGATTCGGCGAAGATGCCGCCTCCGCAACCAATATCAAGTATCCGCATCTTCTGACCTTCCTCCTGTATGCGTGTCTCTTTACATCTTTGAATGAAGTCGTGACGCAATGGATTCATAAGATGCAGCAGCCTGCTTGAGCCATGCGGATCCCACCATGATGCAGCGAGAGCATTGAAATGCGAAACTTCTGTGTGGTTTACTGAGCTGTGTGGAGAAGATGAATTCGGTTCGGGCGATGCAGCGGTAAATGTGGTGTTGTATGTTGCGTAGTGTCGATGTGCGCCTGGGGCAGCATTTGAGGAGGGCAAAGCTCGTAAATCGTGATTCTGTGTGGCGATTAGAGCACGAATGCTACTTGGAAGCGCGAGGAAGCGGCGACTTGTTAATTGTAATGAAGACATTGGTGGTTGATGTGGAAGACGATGAGTAAGTCAATGTTATAAAAGTGAATGCGCATTTGGGCGAACTGGGGAGATCTGCGGATTGCAGGTGATAATAAATCACGGCATGCTGCAGCGCGCAAATGTCTGTCAAGCGAGCGTGCTTCGAAACCAACGTCCGCGTCCCCTCAGTAGTCGACCAGCACATCTCACCTTTATATGTACATTGCATAGACAGAATTTATTTTAATGATTATCATCGCAGTGGACTAGCATGAGTGAGAGTATTATATTGAATAAACCCACAGGAGTGCAGGCGCTTTATGTCAGAATTCTCACCCGGCAACATCCATTAAACTCGTTCCTCGGCCGGTGCAATACTAGCGACGAACATGTGCAGGTGCTTCATCACCTTGTCGTCTGTGAGGTCGTATTCAGTCCTTCCAGCATATTGCCTGACCACAAGGCATGGTGAAAACAGATGAAGGGTCGGCGACGAAACGAGCCCACCCAACTTGCATTGCTTCAAAGTCCTCTGGATTGACTCCAGCGTTCCGAGCATGTGCCCGCCAAGTCTCGTCTGAGCTTACCCTGCCGCTCATCGTTTCGCCCCAAAACTTGCGTTGACTGCCTGAGTACACTATACCGCCCATGCTGAGTTCAATGCGCGGTTCGTCGAAGCCTGCTTGCAGTGCCCATTCTACGAGCTGCATTGCCGCGCGTGGATTACAATTCTTCCGCTCCAAAATTTCCAGACTTGCTTGCTTCCATTTCTCCAGCTCCGGAATAATAGGATACATTGTTGTTGTGTAGAAATCGCCTTCGCGAAGTGCCACAAAGCCATTTGGACGGCATACGCGCCGAAGCTCCTTCACAGCCGCTGCAGCGGACGGGATGTGCGCGAGCACCTGGCTAGTGTAAACGGCGTCGAACGAGGCATCTGGGTACGGTAGTGCGAGAATGTCGGCTACGGCGAAGGAGCAATTGGCTGGCAGGTTAGATTGGGCGCGAGCTCTTTCGATCGCTGTCTCTGATGCGTCAACGCCGAGAACTGTGCCACCTGTCGCCTCTAGCAGCACAGCCAACGAGGATGTGACAGACCCAGGACCACAGCCGGCGTCAAGGATCTTACTGTCTCTCTTCAGGTGCTTGAGAAAATAGCCACAGGTGTCGGCAGCTGCACGACTTTCGTGACTGCGGTATACCGCGGGGTTATGGCCCTGGACGTATGCAAGTTCGGCCATGACCACACACTCTGCAAGTTGTCGACTGCGTTCCTCAAAGTCGCCGGTACTGTCTCACGAGCGGCGGTCAAAGACCTTGAGTACGAGTCAATGCTACTTTTCTTGACACAAATCATCCAGTCGGCAATGATCTTCTTGACCAGATCTGGGGACGTTAAGAACGTATGGCTGATGGTGTGCATGGCGTCGTGAGGGCACTTGTCCAGTCGCTGCTTCCGCTACTGCAGCTAGTATTCGCCTTTGCACGAGTCGCGCTGATTGGTCTTCGGCACAATCTTTGAGGCGATGACCAGTCATTGAGCGCCATGAGCGCCAGGACATCACGCTTACGCTGCACTCGAGCGGCACGCATGGGCGACACACTATCAGCTCGAGCTTGGTGGGTTGTCGCGTGTTCCTTGTAATGGCAGCATTCGAAGAGCTCTGCCATTCTTCCTCGCTTTCTAACCCACATTCACTATGATACGGGCATTCAGTGAGCCTTCCAGAAGGTCAACGTTGTGATTCTTGGATTTTGGATCGGAGAATTGCTTCGTTCGAGCGCGGAGCGTCTTTGACGATTGGTCACCAAGGGTTTCAGAATAAGATGGTGTTGGAACACTGAGGTCATACAGCATGAAGTTCAAGACATTATTCAGACGGAATAAACCAGCCTCGCCGGTACCAGCTACTTCGGCGACAGCTCCGAACACGGCCGCCGACAATAAGGCAGCTCCCGAAACAAGAGGTGCTTGTGCGACCCAAACGTCTTGCGGTGAGGCAGGTCGCAAAGTGCCGATTTCCCTCTCAGCCACGACGGCAAGTTTATCGGCGCGGATCTGGAATGATGCGTACGAAGGGATTCAATCGACCTATCCCGAGTTGGTAGCGGAATATGAAATAGTTCTTTCCACTATCCTCGGAGGGCCTGGCTTCAGCGCAGTGACGCATGGCGGGCATGGACCCATCTCAAACGACCGAGAAGAACGAGCAGACCAGATGCGCCAGCTTGTTCAGAAGGGCCTGGAGCGAAGTCGCGCACAGATGGACATTGCAGAGAATGTTAGCGAAGGGATTCGGGCCATCTTTGCTGTGAGAGGAACCATCGATACAGCAGTGCAGGCATGCCCTCAAGCCGCTGTCGCTTGGGCAGGGATCTGCTTTGCCCTAGAGGTGTGTACCTCTACCCGCCTACTCCTTCCTTTGATTCGTTTCCGTAATGTATCACTCGTATCAGGTGATGAAGCTGATCGTCATACACATAGCTGTTCACCAACCCGGGCGAACAGGCGCAATCTAACCGAAACGGGATCGCTTATGTGCTGTTCAATCTGGAATGGTACTGGCAACTTTCAGAACTATTACTTGATGAGAATATACGTCCGAGTCAGAGGGGTCTCCGTACTGAGCTTGAAAAGCTCATGATAGAGCTTTACAAACTTCTTTTGTTGTTTCAAATGCGAAGTGCGCATAGGTACTATCATCCGCGTTCAACTTTTGTACGGGATCTCGTCAAGTGGGACGACTGGGATAGCAAGCTCGCGGAAATCAAATCGGCCGAACGCGATCTCCAGCAAAAGTCGGACGCCTACAATTCCGAGAGCATCAAGATGCGGCTGACAGACATCGCTACGCATGGTCGCCAACAAGCTGAAGACCTCTCACACATTCGCAGCCTAGTCTCCAACCAAGCTACGCAGCAATTGAACGAACAAGACAGGCAGTGCCGATTTGAACTGTTTGGTGGTATAGGCGACGGCGCAAGAGACCGCATCACGTCACAACAGGGACATCCTCTTCAGAACGTCTGCGACTGGATCTTCACCAACAATGTCTATCAACAGTGGGCCGAGAAAGATGGACCACGATTACTCTGGATTTATGGTGATCCTGGTCAAGGCAAGACCATGCTGCTATGCAGTATCATAGATCAGATGGAGATGCAGAGCTCGAACAAGGCTCCACCAGCGTATTTCTTCTGTCAAGCTTCAGATGTGGAAACTTCTAAAAAGGCGGCAGTTCTACTAGGCTTAATTGCTTTGATGACAGAGAAGCAGCCGCTCCTTATGCGTCATGTACGTGAGGTTTATGATAAATTCGGTCCAAAAAACTTTCAAGGGTCAAGCGCATGGCAGCCAGCAACAAAAATCTTCACTCGAATTCTTGACGACCCATCACTGCAGTGTGATACCATCTTTATCGATGCTCTCGACGAATGTGTTGATAAACGGGATCGCGCTGACCTTATTCGTTTCATTATTGATCAGTCTTCACGGGTGAAGCGTGTCAAATGGCTTGTTTCCAGCCGCAAGTGGCCGGAGATCGAGAAATTGATGAAGGGATCGCAACAGCTTATCCGCCTTCACCTCAATCCGACAAACGCCTCCATAGTATATGCGCTTGACCTTTACATTGATCAGAAGGTTAAAGAGTTGTCTGAGTTGCATGAGTACGATGCAGAAACGGCGAAGGTGATTAAAGATCAACTGCGACAGCGCGCCAACGGCACATTTCTCTGGGTCGCTATAGCATGCCAGCAATTGGGCGACGTGGCAAGCTGGGAGGCTCTGGAAACTCTCCATAATATTCCACAAGATCTGGAAGACGTGTATCAAAAAATGCTGAAACAGATTGATGCTGCCCACATCAAGGTGAGCCGGGCGATCCTTGCTCATGCCTTACTTGCACAGCGACCTCTTCATCAAGAAGAATTGAGAGCTTTAGTGGAAGAACTGGACTCGGTTCCTCTGCATGGCTTACAAGAGGTCGTAGCGAGATGCCGATCTTTTCTGACGATTCGCAGTAATGTTCTATGCTGGGTCCATCAATCTGCAAGGGAGTATCTGCAAAGCCATGGCATGAGATCGAACATCTTCCCGGATGGTGATATGACGATCGTCCACTGTGCGATTGTCTCACGATCATTCGACCTCATGAATCGAGCGCTTCACCGTGATATGTATGATGTGGCCGAAGCCAATACTCTCATAACCTCGATCAAGATTCCTTATCCAGATCCGTTGCTTCCTCATGCATACTCATGTGTTTACTGGGCACACCACCTTCAACAGTGCAAATCAAGGTTTCTGGCACATAGCGAATCTCACCTATGTCTAAAGATCGAAAAGTTCATGACCACAAAGTTCCTCTATTGGGTAGAAGCTATGTGTCTACTTCACAGTATCCCGCAATGTATCATTGCGATTGGAGATCTACGGGTGTTGGTTCAGGTGAGTGCGGATTTAGTACATCGAAGATTTGCAGCTAATTGCGCGTAGGAATCTGCAGCGTGGCCCTTGCTTGACTTTGTTCAAGATGCACACAGGTTTCTTCGGTATCATGCGGACTGTGTTCGTACTGCACCCCTGCAAATATATTTGTCGGCCTTGTTGTTTAGCCCAGCAAATTCGCATATCAGGAAAACATTCCAGCATGAGGAGCCAAATTGGCCGCTAAAGCCGGTCACTGCGAGCAATTGGGATGCATGTCTCCAGACTCTGGAGGGACATGGCGACGGGGTCTCTGCAGTAGTTTTCTCGCCGCAGGGTTCTATCATTGCTTCGGGGTCACTGGACTGGACCGTCCGCTTATGGGACGCAGCAAGTGGACAAGAGCTGCGGCAGCTGTATGGCCACCAAAGTTGGGTCACAGACATCGCTTTCTCTTCGGATGGATCAATACTTGCATCTGCATCCCGCGATTGGACGATTCGGCTATGGACTCCATCGAACGGCCGAGAACTCCGGAAGTTGGAAGGACATAGCTCTGGCGTTACTTCTATTGCCTTTTGTCCGGATGGATCGATGCTTGCATCGGCATCTCAAGATCAGACGATTCGTTTATGGGACATAGCTACTGGCTTGGAGATTCGTAAGATACATGGTCACAACAGCTGGGTAAGTGCAGTCGCCTTCTCCCCTGACGGGTTGACGATTGCGTCTGCCTCAGACGATAAATCCGTACGACTGTGGGATAAAGTCACTGGTCTGGAGGTGAGGCGACTGGAGGGCCATGATGCCAGCGTATCGACAGTTGATTTCTCGCCTGACGGTTCAATGCTGGTTTCCGCATCTACAGATCAGACGGTTAGGCAGTGGAATGTTCTGAGTGGCCAGGAAGTGCGGATACTCTCAGGTCACAGCGCCTGGGTCACCGAAGCAGTCTATTTCTCAGATGGTCTAACTATTGCGTCATCATCGGTTGACCAGACGGTGCGACTGTGGAATGCAGAGACTGGTCATCAGATAAAAATACTTGAGGGTCATCAATCTTGGGTTTCAGCACTCGCGTGCTCTCCAGATGGACTAGTGATCGCCACAGCGTCCGCAGATTCAGTAATTCGACTATGGGATTCATGCGGACAACAGGAAATGAAGGAAGAGCAAAGGCAGCGCAGTCCAGTGGGGACGATTATCTGCTCGCCTGATGAATCGCTCGTAGCGACCGCGTCGTACGACCAAATCGTACTATGGGATGTCTCGACAGGCCAAGAGACGCAGAAGATTGAGCATGATTATGGTGTTCACGCTCTCGCCTTCTCCCCGACTGGATCGATTATTGCATCTGCGTGCGGAGACTACACGGTCCGACTGTGGTCGTGCTCAACAGGTGAACTGATGCAGCGTATCGCAATGGAGACCCTGGTTCCAAGCATAGCCTTTTCCGAAGACGGACGTATCCTTGAGACCGAATCAGGGAGCTTTACTGTCGAGTATGAGCTCCCGTTGCCCCAGATCAAGCAGTCGCATTTCTCGCCGAGCCACGGCTTCAGCGTGTCGCATCAATGGGTAAGACATCAGGGCAAGAATCTACTCTGGCTACCGGTCGACTATCGTGCAAGTTGTTGGGCATCCTGTGGCAAAGTCCTAGCTATTGGGCGGGACTCGGGTCTTATAGCAATACTCGAGCCCACCGAACGTTGATCATTAGCGGAACGCGGGCTTCGCTCAGATAGCCCAAAGGCCGCAAGACCCATATTGGAATCGCTTGGCACCAAACAGTGGATTGACGCGGCAGGACTGTGAAATGACCAGCTGAGACCATGGATCAGAGGACCTTGACCTCGAGAGCTGCGCTGCTTGCCAAGGGGGCAAGCTATCTTACAGTGGACGCTTCGAAGGCAATGTAAACCAAGTAAGAACGGCCTCGAGATTGAGCCCAGTGGTTCGGGCAGCGACAGGCACTCGTGGTTGATTTCTTCATGTGTATAAAAATACTAGGTATATGTCAGAATTACTTTAGGGGCCTGTGGTAGACCGGTTCTTTCAAGAATGCTGCTCATTCGAAACAATGCCTTCGCAGCCAATGGCCAGGATGAGCAAAGCAACCAGACAATGCAGAGGATGGCAGGGTCCTAAAACAGGCCGATGCAAATCCCCCAGTCGGAACATTGCTTGAATATCCATCTGTAGGAACGAATGACATGCACTTGCAGATTCATAATAGTCCACTGAAAAGATCATCAATGGCGTCGCCCTTTTTACGCCTTTTACTGGGTTTCGACTTGGGCGCGGGTGAGCGTGACTCCTTCTCGTACAACACTGAGCCCGCCTTCGGAATACTATTGTGCCCAGACACGTTTGCCTTGGAGTCAATGTTTGTCGATTGTCGGGGATGGACTGGCCGCACTTCCTCGCGAGTGACGAGCTGCCCTATATCTTCAGCCCCGGCCAACGGATTCAAGCTTGTCCCCAAGCCCCAATCCTCCTTCGCGAACTCAGCCAATACCTTTTCAACTTCCATCTGACCAACCTGCTCAATGTTTGCGATGATTCCGGTGACCATGCAAATCTGTGCCAGCGCGGCGATCAAGACTATTCCAAGCACGGCGAATCTTCCATCAGCTACAAGCTGCGAGAAAGCTTGCTGCCATTTGTGTATCAACACTTCTTGCCACAGAGCAGTGCGTTGCTGGATGCGTGCGCGATACTTGGCATCTTGAGCCTTTTTCTTGACCCGCGCGAGATGTGTAGCTGGCACGTCGATCAAGAAGACTATGTCGCCGAGAAGGTGGTTGAGTTGCTGACGGAATACGGAGAAAGCACGCCACCAGACGCTGTGGCGATGTTGGTTTTTGTTCCGGTAATGAAATAGGTGTAGAAGATCAGCAAGTTCACGCAATGACTCATGATCTTGTTCGGAGATGTCCAGCCAGCGACGTTCCCTTGTGTCGTGTGGTCTTTCCATGATATTTGTCGTATTCTCTAAGTTTTCGAATGACAATGTTGCGACTGAAAGGACAGTACTGGCATCACATTACCGAAACACCCTTGCAACATGTGCTACGCATGCAGCTTGAAGGTAAGTATGATCTCACGAGACAGTCGTCTTCTGGATCACCGCGATGACTTGAGAATATTGCATGGCCCAGTCGAGTATCTTATTTTCTCAGACTCATGTCGAACCAAGAAAGAAGAGTCAACGCACGAATATGAGCACTCGTAATGGTGAAATCTAAACCTGTCACCCCAGATCTCTCCGCATCAGTTTCATACTTCGTCGACTGTAATCTGGTGTGAAGCGAATCACGAATGATGTGAAGTGTGCTTGAAAGAGCATGCCCCCGGTCACCTTGCAAAAGAAATGTCTCGGGACGTAGGGCTGCTACGGTATGCGCCGAGAGAATTACGGTGCTCGGTAGCAGGCCACGCACTGATAGGGCTCACATCACGCGAGACACGCGACGCCGACAACGACCAGAGGATAGTGCTTCCGCGCCTTCCACAAGCCATCTGCGACACCTGCGCTCAAGCATTGATATTGCACTTTTAATCATACAGCGGTCCTTCTCGAAAGTCCATCTCCTCTGTTCATATTCCAAGCATCACAGCAGCACAAAGGTCTCCGTGCTCCACATCACGTCATCTGCAGTGTTTCGCATGCTGTAGCTATTTCCTGGCATCATCCTTCATTCCGAAATCCCCAGCATCAGACAGGCCGTCAAAATGGCAAGCAACAAGAAGGACATGCGGCGGCAAGACCTCAGTAAGTCGCTGCGCTTTCAGTCATTCAGATGAACATACATAGACAAGTGGCGAAGCCGGCCTGGGGACTGGAGACATTGCGGTATTGATTTTAGATTTGACACTGACTGAATCGACAGTTGTTCCGTACATCGAGCCCGTCAACGACAAAGAAAACCAAGATTTCAACAGTAAGTTTCGTCCACGGCCAGCATGCATCACAGTCATCATTCGGCATTTGAGCTACGACGACCGCAAGCATGCTGTGTGACATTTGATACTTTCTAACAATTGGCAAAGGCACGATGACGAGCACTCTCCCCATGGCTGCGGTATGTCCAATACTAACCAATCCCGTCGCTGGAAACTTGAGCTGATGTGGTCCCTTCCAACAGATGTTCACAAGAAACAAGTATGTCAAATGAGTTGGGAAAATCAAATTAACTCGGAGGAGCAAAACACTGTTATCTGACCCAACATTCTGTTCTTGCAGGCTCCTCGCATGGACTTCCGTCTTGTTCGCCGTACAATCGTGGCTAGGAGAATCTTCCAGCCAGAAGTCTAGTGGAGGAACTCCAGCCATTATGAGCCTGGGAATAGCATTCACGGCCGTCGCTGTGGTACGTTGCAACTTCCACACACATTTATCCACACCGTACTCCGCGCGCACACAATTTCACTACGAGAAGTAGAGCTAACTCCGATTCCCGCTTCTGCAACAGAGCTACATGTCCTTGTTCCTTCCTCCACCGCCCGGAGGCTCCATTGTGCCCGGTGGCAGCACTACTGGAGCCGCAGCACCAGCAGCAGCGGAATGATCATGGACGGCTCTTACTTCAAGCTGGAGACCGATCATCCCCGAGACCGAGAAGTACCAATATATAGGGGGCGTCTTCGCGGTTCCTGTGAGGGAAGTCGCATATTCGTAACAGTGCAGTGTTGTTCAGATACAAATTGGCTAGTTGGTGCTAGCCGATAAATTCTAATCACTGTACAATGATGCCTTCTATTTTGTGTACATAACCAAGTCAAAACCGATGGCTGGATCCGATATTTAACATGTTGTAGTGAGCTTTAGGTTCTCGTTGAGCAGTATTGTCCGAATGTTGGAACACAAATAGTCCATATCGCCTCCCGGCACTGCAAGATTCATAATCTCGTCAACCATGACACCATTTGCCAATCTGGAGAAGTCACTTCCTCATGGTGTGAAGCTTGCTAGTGGTCACCATGGAATCGTTTAACACATGGAATGAACAACTCTCGCGTGGCGGCTGGCTATTTTGCGGAAGCATCAATGAATGTTGTAAGCAACGCCGCAAAGCGATCTTGATTCGGTGTCCTCGAGATTTTCACCGTTTCATGACTGAAGCGATTCAATCTCATTCAGCAGCTGTTGACCAGAAGCACTCCCATGCGCGAACTGAGTATGAGCGCAAGGCAGACTCTAGCGTAGATGCTTCGATATTTTTCTGAAGTGGCACCAAGACATCGGTTTTTGGTTCGAATGCGAATTTGCGTGGGTAATGTCGCCCATAAAGATCGTCTTCGAGGACCATACGCGCAAGCATTGCTGATTGCAGCGGCAAATTCAGCCATCAATCAAGCTTTGCTTGTATCACGTTGCTTCATCAGCGAAGCCCGGCGCAACCTCGCGTCGATCACGCTTTGCATAGTCCATAGAACAAAGTCCAGGTCAGGACGAAAGACATTAATCCGCCGAACATGTCCCCAATCCAGAGGTCTGTAGTCGGTCGGAAGAAGAACGCCGCTGCATTTTGTTCTGCCTTGAGTGCGAAGATGAGAACAGAAACAACGGCGGTTCCGATGAAGTAGAAGATGAACCCAGGCCAGGACTCGAGTCCTAGTGTGCCAGCAGCTACACCGAATAGTGATGCGGTCAGTGCTCGGATATTCGATACTGTCTAGATGCACGCATTGTGATTAGCGACGCGTCCTCGGAGGATGATGTCTTGACCACGAGTGTTCGTTCTTCAGTCATGAGACTTACTCTGGCATTGTGTTGCACACTTTCTTGTACCATCGGACGAATAATGAGCTCCTTCTCGTTCAACATCTTGGCCACCTGTGATGATATCCCCGTTGCGGTTTTTTGATTACTATGTTGTATAATACAATTGCAGTTACGACAGCCATGAAGGTGTAGTGAAAGGGTGTGCTCATCGGCATTGCCCGTGCCTGTATTATGTAAGCCGGAGCGTTTCCGTCGCGCCCGCCGACAACACCAGGCGGGCCCAGCAGTCCCCGCCATGACTGACTGACGAAGCCGTGATCGACGTGGAACAAGATATGCTAATATTTTGATTGGCAAACGTATGGCATGACATCGTGACATACGTGGTTTTCATTTTGAGAGGTACATTGAATATCACGGACCCTTCGGAAGACGACAGTCGATAGACCATCATGGCATCTCTCCACGACCCCAAGCCATCAATGTCAGCAGTTCATGAACAGCAACGACGATTTTCTGGGGAACGTTCACTGGTCGATGCTGCGGCGAACATCCATGTCGCTCTGACTTATGAGCCTTTGGACGCAGCATCACATATGGCGCGAGTCAGGAGTCCGAAGGCTGGTGCCGTGGTCTTGTTCGCGGGTACGTTATTTTAAATTTCATCTCAATCCGCTGTACCTTTCCACCAGCACATTCCAGCGAACGAAGCACCTTACCGAAGTCTTCCGATACCATCTCTAGCCGTGTATCGCTCTCAATCAAGGGTGGAGGACTCGTCAATCAAAGTTGGAACATCAACTTATTGGCAGGTAATTATCGCACGCTAGAGCGTTTGTCGTCGCCTGCTCTGCAAGTTCGTTGCAGATGAGTATTGGAATCGTAGTATACATAACTCTAGGTAGCATTGCAAAGAGCCAGAATATCTGAGCAGTCCTACCCGGAAGCGTTCTTCAAATTGAAGCTCGAAAAGTGGAGACTTCGCTCAAAAGCGTTCATTATGGTCCCCAGTATTAAATTCATTGGCCTGTATGTTGACCTTAATCGTGAACCAGGTTGCACGCGCGATACTTTTGTTCCGGAGGCTGTTTCTGCGGAAACCCCGTCCGCCACCGTGACGACACCGTCAGAATTGGCGAGACCCTCGCCTCGTCCCGTAACGCATCTCGTATATGCCGCATATCCTCCGCTTGCTCTTCGCACTCTTCTTACGATCGCTCAAGAGATCTCTAGAAGCTACGCGCCCGATCTCATCGGTCTTGCTATCGTACACCGCCTTGGACGAGTGGAAATCGGGGAAGAAAGTATCCTGGTGGCGGTAGCAACGCCTCATCGAGGAGCGGCTTGGAGGGCAGCAGAAGAGTGTCTTGAAAAGGTTAAGAGGCGCGCCGAAATTTGGAAGGAGGAGTGGGTTGTTGGGACTGGCAATAATGATGACGGTTTAACCACAGAAGACGGGAAAGGGATCTGGAGGGCCAACGACAAAGTCATCGTTGTTGGGAGTGGCGAGGTTGTTGGAGACGTCAAGGGCAAGGAGGGTCCGAAATAGAAGGCAAGAATAGTCGCTCAAAGAGATCAAAGATGCGAGGCGCGCCAGGGCGTGAGCAAGCGCTCGCCTTGCTTGAGCGCCACTGATCATCGTGTGCACCATGGAGTCGGTGGTCCAGTCCCCAAACTCCTGAGTTGGTAACATTTGTCGGTCGTTCTCCGTATCATCACGATGAACCTCCCTGGTGCGCTTTCTCATCAATTTCTCCGACCGTTTCCTGCTTTTTCCGCTGCTCTCGTTCTTCTGCGAGGCTCGCTAGCTGACCCAATTTTGCAACCAACCCACCCTGCTCCATCATCTCCTTCACACCCACCTGAACGTTCTCTACAGCACCGCTGCTGTCGCTCTCGTCCTTCTTCTTGACAAACATCTCTTGGACCCAACCCTCGATCTCTTTATCTGCCTCCTTGTCTCCGCCATACACATCGAACCCAGCACCGCGATTGACTGCTGCGCGCAGGTCTTCCACTTCTGCCACATCCCAGCCGACCATGAACGTGCCGACACTCGCCATTCCTAGTGCGGTAACATTCAGCGTCGCGAGAAATAGCGCATCGGCAGCCTCCACTCCACCGGAAACTGGTGGTAGCCCATTATGCGAAGGTTGATAGAATGGCGGCGTAGGGAGATAGATGCGTTTGCGTAGCGCTCGTCGTGTCAGCGTGAGCGAAGCGATGGTGAAAGCTAGTCCACCAAGAAAAATGCTGCCCTTGCGCCATTCGCGCTGGGCATATGTAAGACGTTGTCGTGGTGGTGGTCGAGGGTTCGTTTCTGTCAATGATGGAGAATTTGGTGTCGTCTTTGACGTCAAGGACCCGGAATCTTGCTGGCGCCTCTCATGTCGGAGCTTGGCGCGTATGTCGCCAGGCGCGAACCATTCTTCCCACAGCGTCATAAGTAGGATGCTGCAAACGTAAGACAGGAGATGAGATGGAAGCGGATCCGGGTTTCCAATGACAGAGCGCGAGAAGCCGGGCTAGGATGCAGTACTGTCAGGTAGAGGGTGTACCGGCTCCAGCACGAAGGACGAAGGGGCGTGCGATACAAGGCCAATGGCGCTTGCGATTCTGATGATGATTGTCTGACGATTCAGAGACCGATTGACTATGGGAGGAAAGAATGAGATGGAAGTAGTCCCTACGTACGACACGTGACAATGTTTAGTCTGTGTGCGACCTACGTTGTGCCAGCAGCGCTCTGTGCCAATCTCCAAATGTCGGGATACCCTAGATGTTCTCGTACAACATGACAAATGCTGTCTTCGTGGAGCTACAGAGGTGATCGATCGCGAACAGCGACGTTCCCCCCGCAAGTCCCATCTTTCCTCTGTCGAATACACCTGCGGACAGCTGCTCTTCAGGGTCGCTAGCCGGACCCTGGTTCCGGACCGGAAACGGTTCCTGAACGTTCACGGCTCGATAAGTTCGGCTTGCTAAGCCGAAGTTCGGTCTTATGAATTTATTGACTGTCGTGACAGCTCGAGTGTACCATTTGAAATTTTGTCGGTTTCGAATGATCGCTCGTAATCGCTAGGCCCGATAAGTCGGATTTCGTATGGGAAACGAGAAATATGAAGATACTTGCGGCATCTCTAAACAGTGATTATAACAGTAGGTGTCGGGATATATATCTGCACCTAATCTCAAACGCAGCAGACTAGATAAAGGCGGAAAACATGCATCGAATACCAAGAGCACTTCCCCACAACTTTCTATGCGATAAAGAATCATTCCGCCGCTCAATCACGATTATGGTCCTCAAATAAGAATGATGGGGCACTTGACGTACTCACATCCCTCCACTACCACCACCGCCACCACCACCACCATCCGCTCCGCCAGCTGAGCCACCTCCGCTACCGGAGGCATCACCAGAAGTGTTACCAGTATAGCCGTTTCCACCAGAGCCGTCTCCGCCGGCCTCAGAGCCTTTGAATTCATTCTTCGGCCCTGTTCTCCTCACATGCTCTACGGCAGTCCCACCCGATTCTGCCGTCGTAGACGTGGCGGAGGGTCCCTTCAAGCCATAGTGCCGACCCACCTTGCCGACCTTTGACTTCCCTTTGAACTTCGCTTCTGCCACTGCGCGTTTAATGCCATTGCTTGTCGTACCATCCTGGCCTCCGATTTCATCATCATCGATGTCCAAACCCGCCTGCAAGGCATCCAAATCTTCCTCGTCCGAACTTGACAGACTAGAGTTTGCTGATCCCCGTCTTTGCATGTAAACAATCCGATTGCCTTCGGCTTTTTTCCTATCTCGCTGTTCTTGTTTCATCTTGCCCATCTTCTCAGCATCTGCCTGGCAATCTAAGGTGAGAATGTGTATGCCAGGGAGCGATCTCGCCAAGAAGCTTTTCAGTTTCGGGAGAAGGTCGGCGTTCGGTCGGTATGTTCCGCTGTCATTATCGATGACCAATTGGTAGTAGTATGGTTCTTTAAGAGGGTCGTCGTTTGGAGGGCCGGAAGGGAGGGATGAGTCGGGAGGGTGAGAAGCGTTGGCAGAATGCGGCGGTGGATGCGATTGGGAAGAAGATTCAATTGGTTCAGGCGGAGGAGGCTGCTTTGGGTGCTTAACCCGGCGGATGAAGAACTCTCCGCTGAAAGCAATGTAAATACTCACATCGCTATGCATGGTGTGTTTGCTCAACATGTCCACGCCAAACTCTTTACCTGTTTCGGTGAAACGCCAGAGCGCATCAAGGGTAAGAACATAGGTGAAGATGCGCCCACCTTCGTCGTAGTGGACTAGGTCGAGGAATCGTTTGGTTAGCTCTTCAGTGGGTTTTCCTTCTGGCAAGGTGCCACGATCGGTGGAGCGGCCAAAATTGTAGACACGCGAGTGCTGATGATGCAGCGCTTTGCCGAGGATGATCCCTGAGAGCCCAGACGAAGTGAACATTCTTTTGACCCAAGGCTTGAATTCAACGTAGCGATGATAGAGCTCCGCTGGGACAGGACCCTGCAATTGTATCTGATTGGCTTGAAAATTGTATTGCTTGACCTGTTTCTGTTCAGGCGAGGGCGCATCCGACTGCTGAGCCTTAGCTTGCTGGTGTGCTTGCGCACCTGTGGTGTTCACGAGACGTCCCAAGATGGGACTATAGTGGCGGATCCACCGACAAGGCCCGACAGTATACAGACGTCCATTCTGCCCGTCCTCTTCTGTGCGGCCGAGCATTTCGATGCTGACAGTGAGGTCGCCTCGGAGGGATTTATCCGCGCGCATGCAAGTTGTAAGCGCTTGCAGGGTGTACGCTCGCCAGCTGCCACCATGCGTCTTAATTTTGTAAACCTCTCTGTGAAGACCTTCCCAATGATCATCAAGGGACGGTACAGTGATGTGGACTCCTCCCAATAGGTCATCCGAATCGGCAGGATCTTCATCGTACACGTGCAGTTTTAACTTGAAGCCCGTGGACGGCACATTTGCAACAATCCAATCATCCTCCCAGACAGGTGCTGTATCCTTTTGTATCGTTTTTGTGCGATAGCGGAGGTACGGGTCCTCCTTGTGTCGAGTGGGCACGTCGGTGTTCAGCTGGGCCAGGACGAAAGGATCCGACGCAAAGGTGTTGACGTCGCCGATGGGTAGATTGGCTGCATTGTGGAAAGTGAATTTCAAAGTGTAACCAGCCGGACGTTTCGGAATGGGAGTATCATCGTAGCCTCCTGCTGGCTGATCATCATCGGCGGCAGCTTTTGGCTTTTCGTCGTTCGAATTCGTGGGCGCATTGTCCTGCGTCTGGGGCGTTGCATCGGATTCGTCGCGAGAAGTATGCAGGTGGGTGTTATGGTCGGGTTGTGAAGGATTTGCTGATGCGTCTTCTGTCGAAATTGGCCATTTCTCGCTGATATAATGTTGACCAGTCGGAGCAGACTGCTCCGATGTGGTAGTCATGTTAAGGTTGATGAAATGACGTCTGAAAACGAAACATGGATGTTGCCAAGTCGGAATCTGCACGCGACTAGGCCGTAGTTCATGCGCTACCTCATGCAGAGCGCAAAGAGGAAAGGCGAAATGGGACGCAGAGTGATATATCACAGTCTGTCACAGGAATAACAATGCGACGGAACAGATCAAAGAGATGAAACGCTAGAAACACCAGGAGGTGAGAGGAGGCTGGGGCAAGCAAGAGCTGAATGCGCCTCGAAAGAGTTCAGCGATGTCCTTTGTACCAAATGCGGTGGACACGCGCCCGGATCCGCTCGCTGACGCCACATAGATGCAACTGTTGATGGTTTGCGGCCATTTCTTCCAACTGTAGACACGAGGTTGTTCTTTGTGACGACTTTGAGCATGACAGTTGCACGCTTGTCATTACAAGTGCATGTAATGCAGTTGGTCAAAGTTGGAAATCCTGGAAGACATTTCGCCGATACAGTGCACACACGTTACCGCGAGAGATGAGTCGATATGAGACAGCACAATTGCTACGTGAAGAGGCTGGTGTCCATGCATGATGAACGCGCGGCTTCCTCCTTTGGTGCGAAAGAAAGGCACTTAACGAGTGCACATTACAATCCAGGGATAGCATCACACATTGTCAGAGCGTACCGCTAATCCCTCTGCCAGTCAGCCGACCTTCATGACTTTCTGCAGAAGCCCGGACTCATCGACGGCAGAGTGGCGTCACGAGCGAAACGTTAATCGCATTTTCACGTGAGGCAGATCTCTTTCACTCGGTGAACGGCGAATTGCCGACCAGTCGTCGATCTCTTAGACTGACGTATGGTTCCGCTGGTGAATGATCGACAAGGAACTCCGCCAGGGTGGTGTGTGATATCATTGCACTGCTGTATCCTCAATGGTCCGGTGCGCGTATGGGAGTCTGCAGCAGCACTTGGAGAACTAACACCAACAGGCAAGAGAATGATATTCAGACCGACAGAAACCAATGTCTATCACTCTCAAGGTCGGCATGACTTTCGCAGCGTGTCGAATCAGCGAGCGAATGGCTGAGCAGCGCACGTGACCAGTCGTGACGCCGCTCTTTCTCCAAAAAAAAAAGCTGTGCTGCATTTTATTAGGGCAATCGTCGAGTATCGTAGATTGTCCAATTCGACAGTACCATAAGAGGCTTCTCCCTCCCATTATTCCTATGGCGAAAGTGAAGGGCAAACAAGGGTCGGCAAACAAGCACCTTCAAGCGCGTATCAATTATCTGCAACAGGCCGCGACGTATCTGGCGTCACGAGATCCGAGTATCTCTATCGAGAAATGCTTAGACCCACTACAAAAGACTACTCCTCCGGATCACCGGCAATTGCACATAGAAAACGCGGCCTGCGAGCCTCGCACGCTCAATGAGAATGTGCCCCACGGTGTCGGTGCGCTGATGACGCGACTGCCGAATTCGAGAAATCCTGACATCAGATTTGACGCGCCATCAACGGGGGGGCTCCCTTTGCGACTGAATGATCATCTCCGGCAGGTAGCTGCAAAGTCCCAGGCTCGCCTTTCAACCGCCGTCAAACGTTCGGCCTGCAAGCGTTGCAATGCTGTGCTTCGCGATGGAGTAACCTGCACAAAGTTTATGGAGAACCTTTCCAAAGGTGGACGCAAGCCACACGCAAATGTTTTAGTATTGCGATGTGCAGTCTGTGAAGCTGAGCAGCGGTTTCCTGTTGGCGCTAGAAGGCAGAGCAGGAAATCTGATCGCACGCCAGCTACCACTAATGCTGAAGCTGATGATGATGCTTGCATGGCTGTGGCTGGTAATGATTGAAACAGTAAAAGTTGATTGGGACGAACTCCATGCCTTCAGCCGCATCGGACCTCTCTAGGACCGTCCAAAGCATGTTCCTGCCATCCGATTATGATGAGGCCCGCATCTATCATTTACTGTGTGTAGGCAAGAATGCTCTAGACATGCCGAATCACATGCGGATTGATAAGCCATCGGAATTCGCTCCACTCATGATCAGTCGAGGTTTCACGGGGTGCAGATCTCAAGAGTGACGAGTCGATGCACTGCTCCATGGATGCATTAAGCATATTCCTCATGCCAACCGGCGCCTCGTTCATCACTCACAGAACGGGTCGAAAAGAGGCGTGATCGAACCTGAGAATCTGGAATGCGCTTCTCGATTGAGCCTCCTTGTGCAATTTATATCACCTGGATGTCCAATTTCAATCACAACTCTTTCTTGCTTGCTGCTGCGGGCGCCTTCTGCTTGACATCCACCGGTACCTTTACCTTCTCTTTACCATCGACTGCTACCGCAGCTGCTGTGACACGCAGCGCCCAAAGCGAAGCAATGGCTTCCGATAGCAGCGAGATGACGCTTCCGCACGCGATCGCCCAGATGTTGACACTGATGCTGCCCAATGGGGCCTTGGGAAAGGACAAGACCCATTCCGCGTAATATGGGACCCAGCCTTGGGGCAGCCAGAACATAGCCTGCTTGGAGTACCACGTGTTAACGATGAAATTGACTCCCTGAGTGCCGAGCCAGCGAGCTTTCGAAACGATGCCGTCGAACGAGGCACGGAAACCTTGAAGGTCGCGAGCTATATAGATGCGATCAGTGCCTGCCAATTTCAAGTAGACGACGATCAACATTTCCTTTGCCATACATACCAGCTTTCTCGTATTTGTCTTTTGCCTTATCGTGGTCTCTCCTCAATCGTGCCCATTTTGCAAAGTTGTCCTGCGCCGAGACGCCCACCATTTCTCGCTGTAGTCGCACCACTTCATTTCTCAGCTTCCGATTCTCGCCAGCCTGTTTCGCTTGTGGCACTGGTAATTGCGTATAAAGGAACCATGCCTGAAATATCGTCAGAACGAATCGTGTGTGAGGCAAATTGTCGAGCTAACAGACCAGATCGTTGACCTTCTGTGCACCGACGGTGCTGACAATGTTGAGAGCCAACTGAACGATGAACACGACCAGTAGGACTGAAGGCATGGTGGAGGTTTCTGCGGGATGATCGTACTTGTCTGCAGCCGACGGAGCAATAGAACAACAAAGCAGCGACGGAACTTCGACGACGACAGCAAATCGAAAGTGATGTTCACGCAGTCTATGAAAGCATTACCACTACCAGCGTCGTCGTGCCATTAGGGAAAGCTGTGCTAGCATTCTCTCGCACTGACAGCTTTCTTGCGTTGCGAATCCCAACCCCCGGGCCCTACTTCAACGTCACTGTCAGCAGCTCAGATATGATGTATCACGTGAATAACATGGAAGTGCCAGTACCCTAATGATCATTCTTCGAGGTCGCCCCACGAGTGCCGGACTCAATGGTACCGAGATTTCAACTAGAAGACCGCCCCACTCCTGCGAACCGCCCCTCGTTGCTACAACGTCTGACCATCTTTGACGCGACGCGGGTTATCCAAATGTAGTGGCCTTTGATTGTCTGTAGTGATCAAACGATAAAGTGATACGGTGCCGTCGCGGATCTAGCTAAAAAGTTATCGTGAGAATTGCAACTCGCATCGACCTACTCAAGAGCAATCTACCGTCGAGTGTGGTGCCAATGCCGAACATCACTGAAGGTGCGCCTGTGCATGGCAACCCGGCTCATTTACTGCCGCCCTCATGGAAGAAGCACATCGCCCTATGGCTCGAAGAAGACACGCCGAGCTTCGACTATGGCGGCTTCGTTGTCGGTGATGGCCCGGCCGAAGCTCGCCTATTGGCGAAGAGTCCTGGAATCCTCGCAGGCGTGCCATTCTTCGATGAAGTTTTCCGTCAGCTCGAGTGCACTGTTGAATGGCACGTCCTCGAAGGCGACTCCGTTGGCACGGGAGAGGGCAACAAGAAGCAACACATAGCGACAGTGAAGGGCCCCGTCCGTTGCCTGCTGCTAGGAGAGCGAGTCGCACTTAACACACTATCGCGGTGTTCTGGCATCGCGTCTCAATCCCATCACCTCCTGACTCTGCTTCGTGCGGCCGGCTATAAGAATACCTTGGCCGGAACACGCAAGACAACACCAGGATTCCGCTTGGTGGAGAAGTATGGCATGCTCGTTGGTGGATGCGATCCGCATCGTCACGACCTCAGCGCCATGACCATGCTCAAGGACAATCATATCTGGGCCTGTGGCGGCTCCATCCCAAGTGCAGTCGCTGCCGCCAAGGCGGCTGGAGGCTTTGCAGTGAAGGTCGAAGTGGAATGCCAAAGCGAGGAGGAGGCACACGCTGCCATCGAAGCCGGCGCTGATGTTGTCATGTTGGACAACTTCACACCAGAGGGTGTGCGGATTGCCGCGAAGAACCTCAAGGATCGCTGGGGTCGTGGCCGAGCAGCTCGAGCGCTGGTGGAGATCTCCGGCGGATTGACAGAGACGAATGCACCGAGTTACGTCTGCGATGACATAGACATCATCAGCACATCCAGCATTCACCAGGGCGTGCGACACGTGGACTTCTCGCTCAAGGTGGTGCCCAAGGAATCAGCTGCGGTTTCGTCAGCTGCGGCGCAAGCAGGGATGGGAGAATCTCCTGATGTATAATTGAAATGAGGAAATTCCAATGGGTAATTCCAAGTGAAGTGCTGGGGTCCCATGTGCCTTGCCATGTGTTGAGTCCAGACCCGAAGCTTTGATAACTTGCTCATTGATATGAACGTTAGTGGGGTAGTCAATGTGCTCGATCTATAGATTCGTCATCTCGCACCGTTGTGAAGGTCATGATTGCCGTCCAGCTACCTGTCGAGCAACATGACCACCAGGAGCAGTCAACGGTCAAGATGACGCAATGTCGAAGGCATGAAGGGAGATGAACCAACGTCGCACACAAACATTTCACATATTAAACAGCTTTTCATTCATATGACAATTAGACCGTGCCCGTGCTTGCGTCTTCTGATTCTCTTGATGCGCGCGTCGCTTTTTCTTCTGTTGCAACATCTCCAGACGCAGTCTCGGTCTTGTTCGCACCAGCAACGCCCTCGACCACACCAGCGCCAGCCTTCTCAGTGATGAGCTCCTTCAACCACTTGTTCTCCATCTCAAGTTGCAAGATCTTGCTCTCAAGTTGCTGCACCTTGTCAGACATCTCCTTGGTGGTCTTCTCGAGAGCCTGTTCACGCTGCTTCTTCTTGACGCGGAACCGAGCAGAGGCGGCGGTATTGCGCCGCCGTTTGTCTTCCTCAGCAGCCATGCGTGTGACCTCTTCGATATCAGCAGGCCCTGCGCCCATGCTTCCGGGAAACGACGGGCCATGTAACGCAATCGAGGCCTTGCGTTTGTCTCCAGTCACAGGCGAGGATTCTGAAGCAGGGTAGTGTTGTGATGGGAGTTGGAAACCTGTTGAGAGACCGTTCTGTGGGCTGGGAGCGAGTGTGGATGGTGATGTGATCTCATTTGGCTGGAAGGCATTGAAGTCGTATGCGAATTGTGAAGCTGCAGATGCAAGTCAGTACTCGCAAACGACGTGGATCATGCATGCGATCCCCAGCACAGTGTATGCATGGAGCACAGTGATGACTTACCATCCTTCATTGAGTTGGGAATTGTGTGCGCATCGAATGCTGCAGCGGCGGCTGCCGCGTTGGGGTTGAATTGATCGAAATCGAAGAATTCCGCAGTGGTTAAGAAATCGAGACTGTCATCGCCGAGCCCGATGGCCTGCTGTTGCTGATGTTGCTGCTGAGCGGCGATTTCCTGTGGTGATTGCATAGTGTTGAGGTTGGCGAGATATCGCGACACGTTTGGCGCCCGACGGGCGTTGTAGGCCGACATGGTGTCGTCTGTCAGCGACTGTCTCTCGAGAATGGGCGTGATCCGTATCGAGAATGAGTTGACAATATGATGATTTGTCGTGGTGGGTACAATCTCGCTAGTATGTTCAAGTTGTGCGTGTGTGAGTCGGAGTGTGGTGAATATGAAAGTGGGTGATGATGGTGAGAACGAGGTGGTGGACAGTCAATGCGGGTAGTGGGCGCCTTTCGTTTCTCGCTGATGAGTCTCTATCCCACACGTCCAGTGGAGCAGTGAGGGAATGGGTGGGAGGGCAGCAGAATTTGCCGGGTGTGGGAGCCAAAAGTGGCGCAAGTGCCCCCAAGCCAAAAGCAACCCGATGTCGGCTGAACAGCGGCGGGATCCGTGTGGTCAGCTCAAGGCACCAGTTGGCTTTTGACGATGCTTTCAACAAAGGGAATCGTAAACTCGAGTCCACTCCAAACAGCGCCCAAAATATCAATGATGACTTGAGAATATCGTCGTCACCGAACACTGTCGTCGAAAGAGAGTCTGATGATACAGTGCAGTGTTACGGGTTCCGCCGATCGATTGCTCCTACGAACGCACACTGTTCGAACACACAGCTACCTAGGGATGCAAGCAACATAGGCGTGTATGGCGACATCCTTGGTGAGGGGCATTCACGGACTCGTACAGTACGATGCTTAAGGTTCCCAGTAACAAAGCCAATACCATATTGTTCCCTTTGTTCAATAGCTGCTTAGCTGCTACTCACCACTGACACCGCGATCGTCCGTCAATGGGTCACGCAGAAGACTTCTTATGGGATGTGGGACCGTTTGACAAACACGGCCGGATTGATTTCTAATCCAGCGTGGTCAGAATGAGTGTTGATTGGCGGGCACTACCAGTAGTGTGGGTGGACTACTGACGAAGCAGGAATAGCACCTTGCTGCACCAGTTGCATATGAGATGAGTAGACGAAGCGAGAAGGAAAGGCAAAGGGAGACAACACGGACAAGGGTCGGCGTTGCGGCCGTGAGCGCTACTGCATGCGGCTGCTCATCGTCATTCTTACAACGAACTGCATCTACAGACGGCTGCAGAGCTCTGCAGTTGTTGTTGCCTTCTATGCAGAGGTTCCTCCTTCGCTCCATGCATGCAGTCCTCCTTTGCATCCGACATAGGTTGGCCGTAGAGAATGAAATGAGAAAGCAGACGAGCTCAGGCAAGTAGATTTTTATCAGATGGAAGCTTCTACATCAGCGCGCCCGTTGGAAGGATCGGCGAGCTACAGATGCTAATATATACGAGACGAAATGATCTCGGAAACCGTTCTGCAGGGTCTCATTCCCGTGAACAGAATGCATACACACACGACATACTTGGCACGACCGTTTGCCCCTCCACACACAGGACTTTTCCCATTGATCAAAATGCAGATCCGTTTCGAGGGCTGGACCAACCTGGGTCTATGGTTGATTGAAACAGAGGCTGTACCGTGAAGTCCCATACAACGAAAATCAACAGCGTGTCAGATCAACCGTGGAGTACACGTCGCACCAATTGCCGATTTGCTGAATCATTTCTGTACTTAGGCGGCTGAGCGCACGCAGAATCTCGCCGATCACACAGCATTTCACCCTGCAGCATGTCTCGGTTCAGCACAGTACTGTACATGCCTTGGTACTGTACCCTGTCACACCTGTACTGACCCTCCATCGCCATTCAAAGTTTTGGCATCCCTACCAAGTCAAGGATACTCGTCAACCTCACATGCATGTACCAGATGAATTCCCTGTACCCAGCAAGTCAAGACAGAACGATTCTGCACAGGGAAGGGATTCATATATGCACGTGGAGCAGGATTCAAGTTCCCTTGGCCCTTTCGACCCATGAATCTCTCTCCTCCATTGAATTTCCTTCCATCGCGCAACGTGTAGTGACGCGACAATTTTGGGAAATTGATATATTGCATGCTGCTGGAAATCGATGTCGGTGCACGGTTCTGACACGCTAGATGACCCTCTCTATCGTCTTTACACTTTTCTGGTCTACGGTGTAAAATCGCTCCGAAATGATGAACTGTAGAGCGGCTAAAGTTTCATCTGAACGATTATACTTCGGTATCATATCAATGCGGAACGCGAATGCTGGGTCTTGTCCATAGAATCTTTCGACTCACATGTCTCACAGCCCGCGTATCACAACTCCACGAGATGTGCCTCGGTCTACACAACGACAAATGCTTGATGATGGATATGCACGGAGGCTTAACGTCCACAGGCCGTTCGAATCTATAAACTCTATCCTAAATGTCTTCCTCAAACCTCCTGACCAACAGACCAGTCTTCTGTAGCTCTTCCTTGACTTGTTTGACGGTCCACTCTCCACGATGGAACATACCCGCACCCAACGCGGCATCAACGTTGGTGTTTTGGAAGACCTCGGCGAAATGAGCCGCATTTCCAGCTCCGCTCGAAGCGATCACGGGTATTTTAACGGCCGCCTTGACGCTTCTGATCAACTCGAGGTCGAAGCCCGAGTTGGTTCCATCCTTGTCGATACAGTTCAGGAGTAACTCGCCCGCGCCCATGGCTTCGACAGCGGTGGCGAGCTGTATGACGTCCAAATCGCGTGTTTCGCGTCCGCCTTTGACCGTGCAGGCATACCAACAATACTTTTCGCCCTGTGGACCAGGGTACGAGGTCGCAACAGTGTGATGGGGGGTGGCCTCTGCCGACTCCACGTATACCCGCTTTGGGTCGATCGATACCACTACGGCTTGCGCACCGTAAGCTTGACTTATAGACTCGATAGCAGTCTTGCCTGTCAGAGTCCGGCCAGATGAGAAGTACTGCTCCGCGGCAGTGACAGCATCAGAGCCGATTGAGACTTTGTCGGCGCCCGATTGAAAGTAAAGTGTGGCAACTTCCAGCGCTGGCACGGTTTTCCCGGTTTCAGGATCGTGGGTATCTCGGATGCCTCCTCCAATCGTGAGCGGCACAAAGACCGTTGCAGATGCTTGTCTGAGGACTTCCAGCATCGGCAAATCGCGCAAGGGCGTTTCCCGAAAGGAGGTGATGTTTAGGAACGTGACCTCGTCTGCGCCCTGTTCGTAATACTGTTGCGCCTTCTGTACCGGTTTACCAAGATTGCGTACAGCATTGCCCGACTTCTCGCGCACGTCGTACTGATCGCCTTTGGTGACTACAAGATCCCCCTGATCGTTCGTCCGCACATCAAGGCATGCAATGACCCGGCGAGTGAGACCCTCCTGAGTCGAAAACTCTGTCAGGTCCTTGATCGTTGCGTGACGATTGCCTTCGAGGAACGCCTTAAGAACCCGTTGCCCTGCAGCTCCACTCTTTTCTGGATGGAACTGAGTGGCGAGGATGTTGTCTCGTGCGATTGCTCCGACGAATTCTTCATCACCGTAACGCGCTGTTGCTACTGTCCATCCATCCTTCTCTAACTCGCCCTTCTTATATGGGACTGCGTATGAGTGAACGTAATAGTATTTGCTGTCAGGTCGCATGCCGTAAATGCTCACATCTTGCGAACCATCCTTGCGAGTATTTGCCGAGTTCCATCCGATGTGAGGGACACTCTTGTTGGAGTTGTCAAATCTCTCTAAGCGACCACGGGCGATCCCCAGACCAGGGACAGCAGGGTTCTCCGAAGATCCCTCGAAAAGAGCTTGGAGTCCGACACAGATGCCCATGAATGGCTTGCCTGATTTGATGTGCTCTCGCACCGGCTCGACGTAGCCGGCATTGGCGAATTGTGTCAAGCAGTGCCCGAAATGACCAACGCCGGGTAAGATTAGTTTCTACAGGAACAGTCGCGAATCAGCAATGCACATCGGTAGGTCGGCTCGACAATCCTTGGCCATCGTCGTTGCCGCCGGATGATTGGAATACCTCTGCCTTGTGAACGTCTGCCGGTGTCTTCACCCATTCCACCTGCCAACCGAGCTTCTCAATTGCATTCACGAGCGAACGAATGTTGCCCGCGGCATAGTCCAGGAGGTGCACGACCGGCATGCTCAACGGATAGGCGTCTTTTCTCTGACGATAAAGTTCGAGTCGGATTGCAGAAGCACAATTTCGCAACCGTGCTGCCGACGATGACTCAATGGACTTGGTGATAGAGATTCGTCTATGTTCTTGCAAGAGTTATGCTCGGGAGTTTACATTCACGAACGTGCCTGAGTTTGTGCCTGCATATATCGAAATTCTTATCCGATCGCTTGCTCGGCGACTGATGACTCTTTTTTACACTATATTTCGTTCGCAGGTCATTGTCCCACCTTTGAGCTGCCCTGAAGCGCAATAATAATGCAGGTGGAGTCTCGAATGCTTAGGTAATTCAACAGCCCTAGAGCACTTTTCGTCCACTCCGGGCGGGCAACCATCGTAACATCGGAGGCGCGCGCCCATACGGTGCTGTATCCATGAGATGGATTCCCACAATTCACAGCCTCCATGCGCAGCGCCAACTTTCGACGTCGAGGAGAAGAGTACAGTACAGTACAGTGTGTGCACGCAATGGTCACTACTTGCATGTAGGACCGAGGATGGGCATCACTGTTCTGAATGGGCTGTCTTGATCCAGGACCAACCTTGTTCAACTATACATTAGAACTATGCTGATGCACCGTTTTATGCACAGTCCCTTTATCCAAACGGCAACGTCCCTTGCAGGCAACCCTCTCGTCGCCGTTGCAAGTCCGTGAGAACAACCTTGGGAGCTAGGGAATCTGACAGAACGGCGACTTATCCGACAAGTCCGTGTGCTGGACCTCCCATCGCCACTGCGATATTCGGCGCCCACGGGCCCTGAACACCGGGGACAGTGCACGGTTTTCTGGAACCGATATTGTGATGAAACATGGAGAAGGGGGTCAGCCCGAGGATTAGTCGCAATGTCGCAGGCATTTTTTTGCAGCCGTTATGATCACGCCATCGACGCAATTCCAGACCCTCCTTTGTCCCTCGGCGCACGTCGAACAATCACGAAATGGAAATCACGAGTAAGGACATGGTACTGTAAAAAGGCACGGAACCAGATCGGCCATGGTATGTACCTGGCGAGGACTGAGCCGTGCCTAGCTTTTCCTGCATTGCGGAGATTGCTTGCCTGTGTTCCAATGTTGTTGTCGAGTGCAATATGCTGGGAAGTGACCTCACTTCTGAACTCAACGGTGTTAGGGTTGGGGTTATGTCGGAAATGCCTGTAGACCCCAGGTAGAATTCGTGGTATGTAACCACATTACACATGAGCTTCGATCTTGTGCAAGACAAAAGTTGCGTTGTTAGTATGTACGTCTTCTGCCACAAGTTTCCTATCACAAGTTTCCTATAACGCCAACGCCTCCGTGCAGCTGCGTGTAAAGTCAGGCGCGCGCGCATCGACTGCGTCGCTCTTTTAGCACCGAATTTCTGATATATTCGAAGTCGTCGCAGAGATATTCCTTTGAAGTAGTTCTGCAGGTCGAAAGGATAGTTCGCATAGCAATCAGAACACCGTACCTGCAGCTCTGCCCGTGCGAGTTGACACTGTCAATGCGATCTGTGCAAGCATCATATTCACTACTGTGAAGGGGCGTCGAAAGGCAGACTGGCATTCTTGATACAGCTTTCATGCTCGCCATCGTGAACAAGAACCCATCGAGTCGGAGGTGCAGGTTGCTTGTCATAATCATGCGGCAACCTTGTTCACGGAATAGTCCTTGAGGAACTCCGGATCGTTCTCAAATTCCTCCTTCAGCTACAATGCTGTTAGTAAAGATTCTGCTTTCGTCTGACTTCGAACTTACAATGTCCAAGCCACCGACAAATTCTCCATCAACGTAGACCTGGGGAAAAGTCGGCCACTCGCTGAATTCCTTCAGGCCTTGTCGGACTTCATCGTCGGCCAGGATGTTGAAAAAGCCGTACTTGATGCCGTTCTCTCGCAGGATCGCTACCGTTTTGCGACTAAATCCACATTGCGGCGCGCTTGGAGTGCCCTTCATGAAAAGCATGACAGGCGCTGCGCTGACCAGCTGTTTGAGATGTGCGTCCAACTCCTCCTTTGACCTCTCCTTCGTGTCCTCAACCGCAGACGATCCGTTCTCTTTGGCATCGCTGTTGGACGCTGCCGGAGCCCCAGCTGGTGGAGCAGGCGGGCGAGTAAGCTGTTGAGCCGGTGGCAGACCCGTTCGATTTACAGTTCCGGGCGCTGATTGTCCCAGTTGTTTATGAACTGCATCACCCACTTTGGTCGCATCAGTACCCTTTACGATCTCCAGTATGTTGCTGTCTCGCTGCAATATCACAGAAGGAACCTGTGTAATCCGGTACTCTTCACTGGTCTCATAGAGATCCTCGGCTTCGAGTGCTAGAAAGGTGATCTGTGGCGGGTCGGTAATCGTGAACTCCTGGGCTAATTCGTCAAGTTTTTTGGACATCACTTTGCAAGGCTCTGCCCAAGAGGCATGGAAGTAGATGACGGCTAGACAATCGGCCGGAAGTTCTGAAATGTGTTGCTTGAACTCGGCCGTGGAGGCAATCGGCTTCACTGCACATTGCGGTGCCATTTTGACGGAAGGTGAAGATGTCACGGGTCGCTGAAGTGTGCGGCAGCGCCGTTCGCAATGCTTTGGCGGAGTGATGAGTGGAAGCAAGGGTGGGAATGGTAGATTTGGCGCGCGGTATTGACAATGTGTCCAAACGTAGGGAGTCTTGAGAGGGAGTCTGCCCGAACGGTCAAGTGATTTTTGTTGCAGAAGATAATCAGATAACAAACTCGCGTGGCAGACCCTCGCAAAGATTTGTGAGCAAACGCCGCTTTCACCCCACCTTTCGCAATGTCAGTGGCCGAATTTCGTCATCAGTCGCGATGACTAAATGTTTCAATTGTCGTGAGTCCAGAGCGCTCCCGCCGCAGACAAATGGTTTGATCCATGATTTCAGCCTCGTGTCGAAAAAGCTGAATAGATCAGATGGCATCCGCTACGCCCTCTTCCGGCATCTTTGATCTCGCTTCACTTGGGCGCGTGGAATTTAGCCTATGGTATCGAGACTGCACACGGACGGACGAGGTCAAAGTACATCATACTGGCAATCCCGAAAGCTGCCGATGTCCGACTTCTCCCAGAACACGAGACGAATTTAGGCGGTTGGCGAAGCGGCGCGCTCTGGACTCTCTCTCGATGCGATGCGATCTTTACCATTCGGTCCGTCGCGTGGACCGACCTACTGGCACGCGGGGTTCAATCGCGGTTATGACGACTAGCACTTTTTACATTTTGGGCGATTGACGAGGCCTCTTTGTGTCGCTCAGTCCGTTGTACTCGGGAACATACAAGAGAATGATGGCCCAGAAGAATTATATGGGATTTCCATGAGACGATATCGCACCCTCTCCTCATCAGAGCCCATCAAAAAACCAGTCCATCCCCGCAGTTGCTGTGCAGTTGTAAACGTTTACGACCGTCGGATTGCTCTCCGAGCTCCATGTACCCAGATACTACTCCCGGCAGGCATTATTTCTGACAGCTCCAGGAGAAGTGATCGACAAAGCAGTCATTAAACCTCGACCATTCGTATCCGACTACAAATCACAACAGCCTCGTGACCTTACCACGCTGCACTTCGATTTGTCACAATGTTGGAAATTGCAAAGAGCAGCATGGCTGCGCTCACTCCAGCCTCCAAAAAGAGCAAAGTCCCACTCTCGGATCTCCTGCCTCCTCTCATTTTCGGAACTGCAACATTCAATTATCAATACAACCCAGATCCTTACGAACTCGACCCGACCGGGCTCGTCCAGCAAGCCTTGGAATACAAGATCCGTGCTTTCGACACATCTCCATACTATGGTCCATCAGAGGAGATTCTTGGGGCTTCCCTGGATACTCCCTGGGTCCACGCTAACGTCAGACGAGAAGAGTACTTTCTCCTCACGAAATGTGGTCGCATTTCTTCGGACCACTTCGATTATCGTCCGGCTTCCATCGCCGCGAGCGTCCGCCGCAGCCTGGTGCGCTTACGGACGACATACCTGGACGTCGTCTACTGCCACGATGTAGAGTTCGTATCGAGCGATTCTGTCGTGGCAGCGGTCCGCGAGTTGCGTCGATTGCGCGACACCGAAGGCATCGTCAAGTACGTCGGCATCTCCGGCTATCCGGTGCCTGTCCTGGTTGCTCTCGCGACCCGTATCTTGGCCGAGACAGGGGAGCCCTTGGACGCGGTCATGTCCTACGCCAACTTCACGCTGCAGAACGGCGCGCTCGGCTCGGCCGAGACTCTGGCGGCGTTCGCGGCCGCGAAGGTGGATGTCGTGCCGAACGCATCCCCGCTCGGCATGGGCTTGCTGCGCCGGGAGGGAATCCCTTTGGGCAGCTTGGGCGATTGGCACCCGGCCCCGTACGACTTGCGAGCTGCTGTGGCTCGCGCGAGTGACCTCTGCGATGTCCACGGCGAACAGCTCGAGGTCATCGCACTCCGCTGGGCACTGGAGGAATGGCTCGCCCGGGGCGCGCCGGTGGGAAGCCGTGGGGATCCTGCTGCGGGTACCACGCCTGTGGCGGCCACGCCCACGCCGACGTCGGAGAAATCGCCTCGCCTTGGAGTCAGCGTGATGGGGGTCTCGAAAGCTGCTGAGTTACGCAAGACCGTGGAAGTCTGGCATAGCATTTTGGAAGGCCATGCGGGAAGCAACATCGGCACTGCGAATGATCTTGAATCGAGCTTGACTCGTCGTCAAGTCGTACAGAAGCTGGCCAGCGAAGTCCAGGAACGCTTGGGCAAGGAGTGGCTCGATTATGCTTGGGATAGTCCTACGAAAGGCGCGAAGGTTGTCAGTGAAGGAGAGACAGATGAGACTGCAAATCAAGCGTAAGGGGGTACACAGTCGGACAGCTGAAAGTGAATCGCCAAAGCACGATCTGGGGCGTCAGATGTGGAAGATGTCCTGCGTTGCCTTATGATTCCGTCCAACGCTAGCTCCACTGCCTTCTGGAATTTACGTTTCCGTGCCGAAAGACACAAGATTAGAAAATCCGTCTGCATTCTGGGAAATGCAGCTTAACAGTCAGGATCAGATCCAAGGGATATCAGAGAAGATCTAGCAGCATCTGAAGCTTTATAGGGATCTAGCGTTCTGCATACAGGACAGCGAGGAAACTTCTTGCTCGAGAAGATGTACAACGGGTCTGGGCGCAGCCCACGAACCGCGGCCGTTCATGTTCCAAGCCCATCTAGAACGTCGTGATTGATTGATTGCTGCATTGTCCCATCGCTTCATGTTGTAGCTTTCCAGATTGAAGTCCAAGCGGAAATCGCGGCCGCCAATGCATCTCTGCCGAACTTGCAGTCGACGCTGAGTCGTGCAATAAACGGGACAGGTACGATGTGTAGTTGTGAGGTGGGTGCTAAGGCCACCGGGAAATGACAGACATAGCACCGGAGAGCTATATCCAGCTTTGGAGAGAGCACGACGACCGAATTGTACACATTTATCAGAAGATGGATTTGGTCAATTTCCCCGATTCCTGGATAAGAGACTTTCATGGCATGGTATTCAACGAGCGATATGGTTTCGCATGTGGCTACTCGTCATCCTCTTCGTCGTCGTCGACTTCCGCCAGGTCGTCCTCCTTCGGCACAACACCCTTCTTGTTGGCCTTGGCCGCGGCGGCAGGGCCGCTGGCTTTGCTGGTGGGCTCGTCGTCCTCGTCCGCTTCTTCGTCGTCTTCCTCCGGCGCGTCCTCGTCGGCCTCTTCCTCCTCCCCCTCGTCATCGTCGGCGGGCTTTGACGTCTTCTGCTTCTTGGCTTTGGGAGCTGTGATATTCAGTCGCGTCAGTTCGAGTCGTGTAGCACGGGCGTCGGGATATCATCCGCTCGAGCATTGTGGTGGTGGGAAGATGGGTATCGACTCACCCTCGGCCTCGGCCTCGTCTTCTTCCTCTTCCTCCTCCTCCTCATCGTCGTCATCTACGTCATCCTCGTCACCATCGCTCTGGTATCTGAGCAATGCTGGTCAGTACGGATTCCATGTGATACACAATGACCCGCATGCGCCATTGGCTCAAAGACCCGGCACGAGGCATCGGCGCATACGGTGTGCAACCGCCAAATGAAGCTCCAGGTCGTGCGCCGAGAGGCGCGGCCTGTCTTCGTGGAGACGACTATGGGAGGGACTCACTCCTCTTCCTCTTCACTGTCGTCTTCGGGGAGTTCGACGAGCTCCTCAGGAGCGTCCTGCTTGCGCTTGCGGGTAGACATGGTACGGATGTGAGTGAGTGAGTGTGTGTCGAAGTGGCAGATTGAGATACGCGTCACAAGGATGACAATGAAGCAGTTGTGAGACGAGCGGCTACTGTAATGTATATCTATAGAGTGAAGGGGAGAGAGAGCGTCTCAAGTTAGAGAGAGGGCGAGAGGGAGAGAGAGAGTGAGGGACGGGGAGCGCGCGAGGAGAGAGAGAGCTCTCGTCCAGGGACGCGCGCACGCACATTGAGCGCAGAACGTGGAAGCCCAGCATGGCTCTCCCGTTCGACGTAATGCGAATGACGAGGATGCACCGACGCTGTTGGGTGATTATGCCATGCGCAGGACGAGGAATCTACGGGATCCGCATAGGCCGCGACCCCTGCAGCCGAGAGGAGAGGAGGAAGCTCTCGCGCGCGCGCAAGCATCGAGGAGAGAGCGAGAGGGAGAGGGAGAGAGAGAGAGAGGGAGAGGATGGGGAGAGTGAGGGAGGCGGGAGGAGGCCTGACCGCCCATTGATGATGCGATGGCCAACAGCGGCAGCCCTGGAGGTGTTGGGAGCGTGATTATTTCCCGGGCGAAGCGAGGAGGAGGAAGAGGAACATCGCCCAGGTGGTTGTGGTGGAAAGGTGGAATGAGGGCGGGCGAGCAACCTTGGAAGCTGTCGTGACGACAAGTGAAATAAACCCTTAGAAAGTCCAGTGCAAGTCCAGTCCAGTACGTTCCGTACAACCCAATAATAATACTACTACAGTACTGTGCTGCGGTCACCACAGCTCCCGGCTCTTCGCATTGGCCAAGTTCCCGACTCTTTTTGGCCTACAGTCTACAGTACACTGAGTATAGCACGGTACCACGGAAAAGTGCACTGCGCGGTGACGGAGTTGGCCCACCCTGTCCATTGCTTGCAGGTGCGCACTCGATGGTCCTCTCTCCGCAGAGGCAATGCCATGCTTTCTCCCCTTCATTCCCAAGGTTCTTTCTTGAAGAGCCACGCCGATTTGGCTCGGATTGGGCATTCGCCTGTCACCACACTTCCGGCGGCCATACACTTAGCCTGCGTCATTATTATCAGGAGGTAGGCATAGGATACAGCTGGTTGCGACCCGTCACGTGATGAGAGATGATCGTTCTCGTCATCATCGTCATCCCTTTCCCGACTCATCATCATCATCATCAATCAATCGGTCAGACGTGCCGCACGTGTTTGGCAGTCATTGTTATGAACTATCATCAACGGTCAACGATCAACGATCAGCTACCTGTGTCAATTCTTGTGCTCAGACCACCCGCGAATTGTGCCATGATGCACATCTACCGTGTCCCGCTCAGATAATATCACAATGTAGATGCACGCCTATCGCACAAACCTACCTCGCGCATTGTCCAGGGCTGGTCGCAACATCATACAGATTGGTGCATCCTAACAGCCTTGGAGCTTAACCATCACGTCGTTCGTCATCACTCATCCATTTGGAATGCCACCAACCGTGCACGTTCAGCCCAGCTCAATGACAAGTTCCTCTCCAGCCGCCAGCTAGGACGGGCTTCTGCCCTCACGTCCTGGCCGAAAGTGTTGAGACTGGACACGTCGAGTGGCTGGTTCGCTCAGCTGCGTGCAATCTGTCTCGGATGTTTTTGGTACGGTCTAGCACCACCCGGCAGATCTTGTGCTCTCCGGAAGCGGATCTTTTTGGGAACTCTCCTCTCGAGATCGTCAAGCCCGAGCACGCTTACCATGATGACGCGGATTGGTTGCGATGACGACCACGATGAATACAGGTTGGAAAAATGACCAGGCCGTGCAGCGTGTCGGTAGCTGTGTTGAGCAAACAAAATGGGCACGCATTGATGGGAGTGCGCTTTTTGATAAGCAGTCCTGGATAACTTGTCGATAGAAAGCACTCGCGAAGGAAGGACATCTCCTTCCCTGTCGTTGCATCTGCATGAACGTTGGCAATCTGGTAGTCTGCTCGTCAAAATAACTCTGAAATATGTGAGTGGATCTGTTGCAACCTCGCAGGCTTTCGTCCTACAAATACCCAGGTAGGTAATTGAAGCTCACATGCGAGGATGCTTTCAGAATTGTCAAAGTCGAATAGGCGGGACACAAGCTCCGAGAGCTACAGCATAGTACATTGCTAGCATGTCTTGATTAGGTATTTGTAGAAGTCATGGAGACAGCTTCATCAATCATTGGAGATTGAGCCAGGCTGTTCTGTAATATTTCCTCGAATATCGACATTTGATCTGCCGTGCTCTGGGCGTAGATAACATAATAATTGGCGGGGCAACTTCAACGCAACATGCCTGTGGACAATCGAATTGAGGGCAGACTGGCCCTGATCACAGGTGCTTCAGGAGGGTCTGTACTCAGACATCCACCGCCGCTTCATCGCCAGTCTCGTTTTACTAACAACATGCGATAGCATCGGTGCCGCCTGCGCTCGCGATCTTCTTGCAGAAGGCGCCGCACTGGCACTGACGTATTCGTCGAACAAAGCGTCGCTCGATCAGCTCATCCAAGAGCTGGAACCGGCCGCCAATGGCCGCAAGATCACCGCGCACCAGGTGAACATGGCCTCCGACGAGGACCTTCATCGCCTTTTCGACGAACTTCAGCAACAGCACGGCCAGGCAGGCCCCGACATCCTGATCGCAAACGCTGGTCACGGCAAGGCCATTCCGAACATTCTCGACATCGATGTTGACGAATTCGACTACACGATCCGCGTCAATCTCCGCGCCAACTTCGTCCTCTCCAAGCTGGCCGTGCCGCATATGCAAGCGCAGCATTGGGGCCGCATCGTGTACATATCCAGCATCGCCGCCGGCGGCACCTCCATCAACGGCTGCCACTACGCTGCCAGCAAGGCGGGGATGCAAGGGTTGAGCAAGAACCTCTCCGCTAAGCTCGCGAAAGATGGCATCACCTGCAACGATGTGGCGCCGGCCATGATCACGGGCACGGGGATGATCAAGGACGAGGAATCTCTCAAAGGCACCGTCGGCGATCCGAAGAACATCCCCGTCGGCCGTTCGGGTTCGACACAGGAGATCGCCAATGCCGTGACGATGCTGGTCAAGACTGGTTACATGACGGGACAGAGCTTATTGATCGCAGGCGGACTGAAATAAGAGGGATTCGAACGGTCGTTCCAGTAGAAGAATGGATGAGCCCGATCTCGATCCTTGACTGTTATCTAACTCCGCAGATACTCGAGCACTTTTGGTCCCCATACCACCTCGCGCTTGTAGTATCGAAATTCAGGCACATTCCCCTGACCGAGCCCTTCAATGGCGTCTGCCAAAGCTTCCGCTTGCCCGCTAGCTTTGATGTCTGCCAGTGTATACAAATAAGTCTTGAATGAGAAAATGATAGCGCCCGTCTTGGGCAGTCGAAACAGGGACTGCCGTTCCGATCGCAGACAGCAATCCTCAACTCGAACCTCCGCCCGCTGAGCTCCAATCGTCGCCTTCAACTCCTCCGAGATCGGCTCGCCGTTCTTCTCCCGTTCCAGGTCGTCCTGGCTTCGAAAGATGTGTGTCCCTCCCAGTTGGAACAAGACGTCGTTCGTGGCGATGCTCCAATTCCTCCGCCGGACCAATCTCCCCAGCTCCAGACGAGCGAACGTCCTGTCCATCGACCTTTCCAATTTGGACGTGTAGCCAGGTACGGGAGCGTGCACGCCTGAAAGCGGGAGACCAAGTCTTTCGTAGAGGTTGAAGCCCGCCGGGCACGGATTGACAAACCCTTGCAAGTGATAGATGGGACCGCCATCCTCCGCCCGGGACGAAGGAAGCATGATGATGAAGTCGGCGTCGACCTGCCCGCCCAGGGTCTGTAGAGCTTCCCGAGGTGACTCCGGAGCCTTCAGAGCTACAGACTCGCCCGTGACTGCGTTGATTAGACATTGACCTCCAGCTCGTCCTGGCTCGGGGTGAATTGCAAACATGCTTGGAAAACGCCTCGGTAGATATGTGCCGAACATCCATTCGTACAACTCAAAAGCGGCCGGGGCAGCCGTGTCGGTGCATTGCAGAGCGGTTTGAGGATTCTGCTCTATGGTCTCTCGTCGTGTCTGGATGCCCGTTGCATACGTGCGGTCGAACGCTACCAAATCCGACAGTTCGCCGGCTTCCAAGCCTTTTTCCCTCCGAGATCAGCATCGTTCGTACCAAACTTAATGGGGGAAAATTGAACGTCTTGCTTACCCATGGTGAGGTGGTATTTCGGTTTCAATGGCGCATTTTGTGGGACGGGAGTGTTCGCCCAGTCGAAATGATCGAGCGGCCGGATGTTTGAATATGGGTCTTGAATGTCTTTCTCTACTTTTGCGTCGAGACACTCGACCACTCCCGGCTTGGTGGATCGCTGATGATATCTCTGCCAAACTACAATTACGATCAATAGACATACGACCACCGCCATGGCCATCTTGGTTTCCATGTTGTGCGTCTCTGCGTTTCGCCCTCTATCCGATACAACCTTCGGGCGGGAGATAGCGGATGCTCACGGCAACAGGAAAGTGTCGAGCACACTTTGGGTTGTTTTCGAAATTGACCAGGCTTGTCATCCAATCCAATCCAATCGATAGATAGAATCCAAAATGATGTTCACTGTCAATATTTGTTATCTACTATCTACGCCCTATGATTGACAGGCGGCCAGTAGCTCCGATAAAGCTATATCATTCGGGCCGAGCTGATCATGGGCCGCTTTGAGCAAACCAGTTTGTAGCGACATTGAGAAGGAAGCGACGGCGCAGCTCTCTGTCGCGACGTTCTCATTACGAAGTGACGTCTCCGCCGTTGTACAGAGGGGAATCGTTTGAGCGTGCCCAAAGTTTCCACGCATGTCAAGACCGCTCTAAATCCATTCGCATTTTCGGAGCATTTGGCTTCGGCGGGCCTCCATCACGTAGAACATCAGCGTTCAAGCATTGGAATATGAAATATGTAAATTGAGGCGGCGGAGAATTCAACGTCATGCACTTCCTTTCACGAAAGATTGAAAGGAATCAACGTGGCTTTACGATACAGGCTTCAACAAGATTATTGCAAGGCCGATGTGTGGCCACAGAACCCAACTCCTCCATCCATGAAACGGAATTTGAGGCCTGATGCACAGTCATGTGGTAGTCGTTGAGTTTCTGGCCCTTGAGTCCTGCGCGGCACCAACCTGTGCCCCTGTTTTCGTGGCGGATGCATCGTCGCCAGCAGATCTTGCAAAGCTGGGTACCTTCTTGTGCCCGGTCGCGTGTTCAACGAGCTTGGCCGGCTCCGGTTTGCGGTGGCCACGAGCTTTGCCGCCGATCACAGGCAGCTCCCAGAGAGCATATCGAATGAAGTAGAGCAGGAAGTCGTAAGCGAAGACGAGCAACCACGGCCCCAAGGTCAAGATCGCAAATAGAAGCTATGGTCGCGTTCAGTCATTGCACCCGTCCCGTGCGGATCGCTGTTACAACGTACGAATGCGCGCGCAACCCAGGTCTCGATGGCCTCGAACGACGCCGGAAGAACAGAAAGTCTGCCCATCCTGCGTGTGGGTGTGGAGTAGGGGTGCGCGATCCCGCTGCGGGCGAAAGCTGGGACAAGGCGACGGCTTGCAATGATACGATATCGCCCAAAGGCGAAACGAGAGCGAGAGCTCCGGGCGTGGTACGTCTTGATGAGAGGCTTGAGCGCAAAAGATCACGATCGTATATAGTGCTAAAACTACATGGAATGTTGGAGTTGCTCTGGATCTCAAATACTGTACTGTACCATTGAGAGGTCTGAAGCGGAGTAGGACCACCAATGCGCCGAGCCGGCTGCCTGGCTGGGCGGTGCATCATTCCAGTACTCCAATAGCTCTCTTCACGACTCGATAGCGTTGCTTCAGAAGTTTACTCGTCGCACAAAGTGGAGCATCGCCATGACCTGGACGCTCCTTGGATTCATTTCCTCACATCAACGGGGACGATGTGTGATTCCCACAGCGGGGAAACGGCTACACTGACCCTGATGGTGGAAGTGCTTGCCGTTCAAGAAGGAGTGTTTCCACCACAGTCCCCAGCGTTGGAGTAGCTAGGAGTCGTTGCGATCACGTGCGACGGGAGGACATCGTCATAGTGCAGTTTGAAGCCGGAGGTCGTCCAGCAGAGAGCCTCTCTTGCTTACATGCATTCTTTGCGAATCACACAGAACACATCTTCTTCCACTGCTGCCATTGTCCCTCCAAGATCGTTCGCAGTAATCACAAAGAATCCAAAGATCGACGTCAGAAGACACCGTGACTGCATCCTATCTTCGACGTCGTCCTAGCATACACTGCTGCCTTTGCTCAACATGGCCTCCGGCTCCACGCCCGCTACGCCTCTGCTCTATTCCGCAATCGCCTACAAAGACACCATCCTTGCAGAACATACAACGTCGGCTGCAGCAGGTACCGTTGCCACCAAGCTCGCCGCCCTAGTGTTGCCTAAAATCACCCACACCGCGGCGCAGAAATTGACCTACGAGCACAATGACGATCTGGTACACTATGTTGCAGACGCCGCGCCCTCCTCGCGTGATCCAGCACATCTCAGTGCTGCGGGATTGACCTACCTCGTCGTCGCCAAACGCCCTCTCGGCAAACGTGTTCCCTTCACCTACCTCCTCGCGACCAAGCAGCGTTTCCTCAAGGACTACGACCCGGAACGGACCGATTTCGCCTCCTTGCCTGCCTACGGGGCCGCCGCTTTCAACGTCCAGCTCAAGAGGTTGATGCAGGAGTTCGCCTCTGGTACCGCACAGGGTGGAGACCTCGCCGAAGGTGGAGATGCTTTCGCATCAGTACAGGCCGAGCTGGATAGCGTGCGAGGGATCATGACTGAGAACATCGAGCGTGTGCTGGAGCGCGGCGAGCGGATCGACCTCCTGGTTGACAAGACGGATCGGCTGGGCGGGAGCGCGACGGAATTCCGTGTGCGAAGTCGTGGGCTGCGGAGAAAGATGTGGTGGAAGAACGTGCGCTTGATGGTGCTCTTGGCCGTCGTCATCGTCTTCTTGATCTATCTACTTGTGGGCTTTGGATGCGGATTGCCAAGTAAGTTGTCTCAATCGCGCGTTGCGCTTCTCTCTTGGGCATTATCGAGAAAAGGCGACTGGATGTTAAACGGAATTTTCACTAATGATTCATCTCAGCGTGGTCGCGCTGCATAGCATGATGCTCAAAGTCCTTTGTGGCCACAACGACTCCATTCCCATGCCATTTCCTACATAACCACTCAAAGCGGAATTTGCCTGCCCTCTTTCTATCGATGAGGTGGTCGTGTCACGAGAACAGACCCGCACCGAGCTACCCAGACCCTGTATGGGTAACGTCACATACTTTCCTTCACCTCAAGCATGTTAAGGATTCTGTTCGCATCATCGATTGATGTTTTGGAGCGGCTGTTGCATCCGTTTACATTTGCGCTACACCCAAGAGTCATTTGGACAATTGGTGGACTCACTGGTCTTGACCATATGTCCAAGCTTACAGCGGCACCCATTCACTACGAACGGACTCCTCCAAACGAGTGCTTGCTTCTCACAAAACCTCGAAGCGAGTTCACTCTGTTTGACCCAAACGACCACCGTTCCACCGTATCGAGCAAATAAATGACAATATTGCCTCCACAGAACCGCAACTCGCTGTTATCTCTGGCTCTGCAATCTCTTAAGCTCGACAGGGAGTCACTCGTGGAATATTTGCTGGTGGAGTGCTCGTAAGTGGACATGCCTCTCAATCCTCTCCTCGTTTCAAGGGCCATATTTGGGCACTATTTCAATGGTCTTGCATCGTTTTTGGGCGACCAGACACTGCTTGAGGATCTCGTTGGCATACTCTGGAGGGAAATTCCTGTCATGCTCGCCGTCTTGTTGGCTCTTAAGCATAAGGGAAACGCGAGTTAGCTCATCGTTCAGGACAGGGATACCAGGAGGCCTTATTACCTATGTTGGCTGCGTGAACTAGAACACCATATCTGGCTCCGCTGCAAGTTTATAGGTTTTCCAGCGGAGAATCCTGGAGCCACATCTTTTCGACAATGTGCACTTGCATAGCTTAGGGAGGGTTATTCATCTCAGGCGTATCTCAATATATGTATATGTTCAACCTCGATCACATTTGAGGCAGACAAAGCGCTGTAGCCCACATGAGTACAAGGTGACTGCTCTTGCATAGACGTTCGGCGACCGTCCTGGGAGATGAACGAAACGTGCTGAGCTTTGATTTAAATCTACGTAGCAAAATTGTGACGCCCCAGACGCCCAGTCAATCAACATTCAATGCAGACTCCTCACTCAGTACTTGCGGCGGAACATCCATACAGGCCATTGCACGACCACAGTTCGGTGGAATGATAGCCAGATTCGGATATTGATGGTCCTATCCCGACATGCAAATTATTACCTCTGATGTCCCAAAATATCTACTACTCTCGACCCTTCGTTCGCCTTCTATAATGAGTCTCTTTCATCTTCAAATTATGATTGTCTTGGTTTCCGAGTCATCGCGTTTGCATACTTGAATCGGTAGAGTCCATACACTCTTGTGGTCGTCGGCTGCGGGGCTGACGCGCCTTGATGCATGAATCCACCACATCGTTCAATTTGGTGTCGAAATATGCTTGACATGCATACAACGATAAGTTTGATGGTCTTTAGGGGCCCGAAAAGCTACTCAAATCCTGTCACTCTGATCCAAAATTGCAGCCTGCAGTAGCAAATGCGTCTTCTCAATGTTGATACATTCACGTTCACCGAGTTCTTCGGGATCAAACCGCCAAGTTACGCAATTGCATCGCACCGATGGCTTGCGGGTACGGAGGCTATGTGGGAGGATATCCATCGAAGGAAAAAAACAAGTCAAGTAGGATATCTTAAGGTGGTAGGTTTTGTGGACTACGTCAAAAAACAGCTGCCACTTGTCAAGTGGTTATGGATCGATACGTGCTGTATCAAGCAGCAGAGCGATCGGGAGCTTTCAGAGGCAATCAATTCCATGTTTCGATGGTATCGCGAGGCGGAAGTATGCCTCGCTTATCTTGAGGACGTCCCAACTTCAATTGATATCACTGCCTTCGAGCATAGCGTATGGTTTCGGCGAGGATGGACATTACAAGAGCTACTTGCGCCGAGCGTGGTAATTTTCTTGTCCAAAAATTGGCAAGTAGTCGGACACAAGGGACATGCCGGCCAAGGCCGTAGTGGTATAACAATGGATACAGGCCCCTCGCTGATGTATCGCATAAGTGGTATCACAGGCATTGCGGAGGCGGTCCTGCAAGATTACGACAACGCTCGAGACCTAAACACGAAAGACAAATTGAAGTGGATGCAAAGCAGAAACACAACGCGTGAAGAGGATCTCTCGTACTGCCTCCTCGGTATCTTGGACGTCAGTATGAATATACGGTACGGAGATGGCGATGAAAAGACTCGAAAACGACTTATGGAGAAGGTTTCGAGTCGAGAGGCCTTGATCCAAAACGAATCCCACGATGACTACCGCATAGAGTTTAATCTTGCAGAGATCCCGACCACTGATCATTTCGTAAAGCGCGAAGCGGATATGCAGCATCTGACAGCTTTCTTCGCATCTGAGGCTCGCAACGAGAGACAACAAGTCTTTGTGGTGTTTGGAATGGGAGGCACAGGCAAGACACAACTATGTGCCGAGTTCGCAAGAACGAATAAACTGCGGTTTGGTGCCATATTCTGGTTTGACGGATCCTCAAAAGATGCACTTGAGCGATCGATGGCGCAATCGGCTTTGCGACTACCCAAGCATAACGATCCACTCTCGGTCCACAGGGCAGACACACAGATAGATGACTCGCAGTTACGTAGCAACCTCTTGCGATGGCTGGCACAACGCGCTAACACTGGATGGTTGATCGTCATCGACAACGTTGACCGCGAATGGCAGCAGAATGCTAAAGATCCACAAGCTTATAACTACCGCGATTACCTTCCTCATGCAGACCATGGAAGTGTGCTAATAACGACGCGGTTGTCTTCACTTCAGCGGCCGCAAGCAAGCCTCAATCTAGAAAGTGTCGACCGAAAATTGGCGAAAGAAATGCTCGAGATCCGTGCTGGCGGCCTAGTGGAAGGCAAGTGGTTTCAGACACAACCCGAATTGGTAGACTGCTAACTTGAGATAGGCATTGATGTACTGCTTGATATGCTTGGCGGATTACCCCTTGCATTGGTTCAGGCCGGCGCTTACCTTCGAGAGACGGGGACGACTGTCGCTGATTATATGGAATATTACAAGAACACCTGGGAGGATCTGATGCAAAGCCAAAGTCGATCCCTGCTACAAGAGAACGGCGGAGAGAGCGTTCTTACTATATGGAAAATGTCATACGAGCAGATTAAGAGCACAGATATGCTTGCTGCGAAGTTGCTTGATTTATGGGCGTTCTTGCATCGTGACGACGTCTGGCCAGAACTCGTGCTTACAAGTCAAGCCAACAGTGAGCTACTAGGTCTCGTCGAAAGCTCATCCTTCATCCGGGCGACCAAGCTGTCACTCACGAATTCCATCGGGACTCTTGCGAGGTTTTCTATGATCAATAGAGGGACATCAAGCAGATCACATTCCATCCATCCGGTAGTACACACTTGGTGTCTGCATAACCTTACGACCCCCGTGGCACGGAATGAAATGCTCGCTATTGCAGTCAGCTTGGTTGCTCAGATGATCCAAGTCTTGCCGGAAGACGTGACTCGACACACTAAGTTGCGACTCGCCGCTCATGCGAAAACGGTTGGGTCTAGAATGGAGTCGCTCACCGTCAGTACCGAGCTCGCAGATGATTGTGACCAGATAGCGACATTTCTTGCGGGCTGGGAGAAGTCCGATGAAGTTGAGACCTTGTACCGTCAAGCTCTACTAGGTAAGGAAAGACATCTGGGACCCGATCACTTGTCAACACTGCAAACGGTCAACAAGCTTGGCAATTTGTACGCCGGTCAGGGAAAGACAGGCTCTGCAGAGGAGATGTATCAAAGAGCATTGCAGGGCAAGGAGAATACGTTAGGACCAGAACATACCCAGACGCTTGCTACGGTTAACAACCTCGGACTCCTATATGCGGATCAAGGCAAGATGGCAGCGGCGGAGGACATGTACAAGCGTGCCCTGCAAGGATATGAAAATGCATTTGGACCGGATCATACTTCGACGCTCGTGATGGTGAACAACCTCGGTATCCTCTATCGGAACACAGCGAAGACCGCGGAGGCAGAAGAGATGTATCAGCGGGCCCTCCGAGGCAAAGAAAAGGCATGCGGGCCAGAACACACGTCAACTCTCTACACCGTCATCAACCTTGGCAACCTCTACGCTGATCTGGGCAAGACGGCAGCGGCGGAGGAGATGTACCAACGTGCTCTCAAGGGGTATGAGAAAGTCTGGGGCCCGGAGCATACATCGACGCTCGACACATTGGACAACCTCGGCGATCTATACAGGAAGCAGGGCAGGCAGACGGCCGCGGAGGAGATGTATCAGCGAGCCCTGGCGGGATATGAGAGCATGTCACGGACGCCCAAAGTAGAGGCGCGCGTCACTCAGATAAGAGCATCACTCTCATCCGTGCGGGTCGACGTGACCGCCTCGGTTTCGGAGCCTGCACGTGAGACCAGGCCGCAATCGACCTCTGCTTCTACCCAGAATACTACATCGGACCCTCATTTGGAGCCGACGCCTTCGATCCCTCGCAAAGGGCTACGCCAGGCGGTGCTCGCGCTGCGGAACCGGTCATGGTCGCTATCATCTACTCGGTGAACGACTTCGCGAAAGGACCGGGCAACTCGAAAGACTTTGTGCTCAAATTGGCTGCAACCGAGAACCATGATGGCCATCGGCTCGATAGAGTTTGGGTTGCCATTCGATTGGTATCATATTATGCTATACATTATCACAGGCCCATAGCTGGAAGAGCCGCACCAGGGAAACCTCTTGCGCCCGCCTCGGCTGCTTGCCACTGTGTCGGCTGTACAACTTTGATGCTCACTGTCCCTCGCCTGCTGTCCGCGCCTTCAAGGACATCGTGCGCACAGGCGGACGATCAGACAACGCGAGCTTCTTCCTGAACGGACCCAAGCGAGATAGTGCCAGACAAGCAACATCTGCGACCGCACGGCTATTGATCACTGCTATTCACTTCTCGTGGTCATTGCTGAATGGCTGAATGCAAGAGCACGCATCATCGACGGCCCATAGATCGAGAAGAATTGATTTTCTGTCTTGCGCGAGACTTCGCCCTTTCTCTTGTGACAGGATGGAAATTCCATGCACTCGAGTAGAGGCTTCATGGTTCCCGTACCAGATCGATCGGTGCCCATGGCGATTCATCGAGGTGCTAGAGGCGAGAGGGACATCAATCGAAAGTCTCCTCCCTCGCCACGAGCTCAATCTCCTCGTGGCCTTCCGTCAACAATTTCGGCGCTTTCCGCCTCCTTCCCTCGTCCTCGTTGAACAAGTCGTCAGCTTGCAGAGGTCCCGCGTTCAGCCGCAAGGCCGGCGTCGCGGGCGTTCTGCCCTCCTGCGCCAAGGACAGCGCGCCGTCCTCGTCCGGTCGCCGTCTCCTCACGCGCTCGTAAGCCTGGTCCAAGGCGACCTCGATCGCACATCGGACCTTGAGCGCGCAGAGCGACGGCCACACCGACCGCTCGCCGCGCATGATCCAGAAATCGACCTCTTCCTTGGACGGGTTCTTCAGCAGCCGCCACCAGTCGAAGACTTGGACTTCGGGGACCAGCTTGAGGAAGTCGCCTTGGATGGTCTCGTCGTTCAAGACGCGCTTGAGCCCGTCGGGCAAGAAGCCCATGATCTCGGTCATCAGCAGGCCCTGCTTAAGGGCGGAGGCCAGATCGAAGCGGGCGAGGTCCAGTGGCCAGCGGACAAGCCGAGTGAAGGCGGGCTTGTTTCGTCGTTCGTACGGTAGAGACGGGGAGACGAAGGGCGCAACGTAAGGTCGAGCTTGTGAGACGATGAAGTGGTCGATGTTGAACTGCTGCTTCAGCCGTGCGATGGGTGTGCGACGTGCTGTGACCGAAGGCGGACGGCGCAGCTCTCCTCCACTACCAGGGGGACCAATCTCCAGAGCCCGAATCTTACCGTCCCGTTCTTTGTAGAGAAACTCGATCGACAACTCGGAGAAGGACTCAATGTTCGTGATGTGTGATGCCATGGCTGCAGAGCGGATCAGCATGTTTGGCGCAGTGAGGTAGTTCAATAGACTCGGAATTTCCTCATTCGGAGGGGAGATTTCAATGTTCAGTATTCGCCCGGTTCGCTCGTATGCCTCGACGAAGGTGATGTCGCCCACATTTGCACGGATGGCTTCTTCGAGGACTGCCGGATCGAGGACGAAACCTTGCTGGAACAGTCGGTGAGCGCGACGTCGGAGAATCTCGAACCAACCATGGATCCGGGTCTTCGACGAATCGGCATTGTATTCAGCAAGGTCCGCTTCCAGCTTATCACGTTTCTTCTGAGCGGATGATGCGAATGCGCTGAGGTCAATGCTATCGCCATGCAAGAAGTGCGGCAGTTCATCACTCGTGCGGATGCAGACTAGTGCCGCGATGAGCGCGCCGGTAGCCGTTCCCACGATGACCCGGGGAAGAATGTGATGCTCTTGCAGTGCCTTCACGACTCCGAGATGGCATAGGCCGAAGATGGAGCCTCCCTGGAGGAGCAGCGCGGTACTTCCATAGGTGCCCTTCGAGTCGTGCAGCAAGTCCAATTTCTCCTGCGCAGTGAAGCGGCCAGTCCCAGAGTGTGGCGCGGTCGGAGAGTCGGCGATGTAGCGAACGGCGTCGACCGATTCGGCGATGTAGGCTTGAATACTCGATTTAGTAAAGGCATATGTTCTGTCATACAACTTCAATTTCGTGACGTTGAACAGATCGCGCATCAGTCCATGGCGGAGATAACTCGCAAGCGCAATCGGGTTCCCATTTCGACGCAGACGGGCAAGCTCGGTTCGCCTCTCTTCCAGGTGGCGGTGGTCGTAGTATTTGTCGATGGGATTCATGCGCCAGTCGTAGGGCTCGCGAAGCTCGTCAAACGCAACCGCGGCGTCCCACCATTCCTCGTAGCTGGTGGCATTCTTCAGAGCGGTAAGCAGGCGTCGTTCTTCGCCCTTGCTCGTCAATAAATTCCATAAGCCCTGCAACATCATAGCCGGTCAGCGCGCTTTGTACGGGAAAGCTTGAAAAGTAGTGCTGGCGAGATGAACTGACCGAACCCCAAGCGTATGCGATATCACCAACGATGAAGCCACCTCCAATCAGGGCCTGTTCCCAGGTGGTGGTGGCCGGCTGCAGTGTCATAGCTGGTGACCGGCGAGATTATGGATCGGTCGTACCACCATCGGGCAAATACTGCACTGTACTGTACTGTACTCGAGGCCGATGCGGATGTGAATGGGCGGAACGGTGGATGCGTGGTGGCGGTCAGAGATCAGTTGTGTGGTACGGTTGGCCACCCTCGTGAGCACTGCACGTGTGAGACACGCTTTGTTTGTGCTGGATGTACTGTACTGTGCACAGGAGGACTCGGATCCAGTCAGCATGTGCAGCCAGCACCCTTGCATTCGTGATTGATTTGTTTTGCCCAGCGACGGCGGGTATACAGTACCTATAGTAGAGTATATGTGGACACCTTAGGTATGGAAACAGGTCTCAGCCGAACGTGACTTTTCTGGCTGCCTAACAACAGTGATGGGTACTTGGGAGTGTAGGTTAGGTAACCATATATTGCCCCGGTGCTGTTCTGTATTCGAGCCAGCACATGTTTCATTGCCAAATGAGGCGCTTTCAGTGAACCCCGAAGCCCAGGGCTGGCGGCCCAGGGCGAAATTCGAAATTATCGCTGTAAGCAGTGCAGATGGTGATGGATTTCAATGATGACTGCCCACGGATTGGTGGAAAGTGCCGTATCGTCGTAACGGGTCAGCATCGTTGGATCAGCGAAGCCTCGGCCTGACGTCAATCGCCCATGTATCCGTCTGATCTACAGTCCGACCCTGAAGCTCTCATCACAAGCTTGGGAGCAAGCCCGCCCTCCACCTATTTGACTAATAATCACAATCACGATATTACTACTCCTACTACTACTCACCATCGCCATTGATCTCTGCCAGAGTCGCGATATTGACACCAGTAGTGTCCCTTCGATGGTAGGTACTCAACAAACGGATCTATCTGACTTTCGTTGTCTGTTGCAACTCATTGTATTATCAGAGTGGTTTCTTGCAGGATATATACCATAGCCATAGTGTTTGTATTCATCCAAAGGTTGCCAGGGTGAACGATCGAGGCAGGTCATTACATCATCTGTTCGGATTTACCAGCAATTAATACCGTCACCAGTCAAGCCTTGCCCGCATCAACCCATGTGCAGCGGACAGTAGTACTGTAGCCCCATCATTCATACAGATCGTGACAGCTTCTATAGCACTCATGAATTCCCTTTCAGTAACCTTTCGAAGACTCTACCGCCCGATCCCGTCACATATATCCAAGGTAACCTTCGCCGATGCTGCTGAGATGTTCCGATTCCAACATTGATCCACCAATTCTAGAAAACAATCAACTCCGGTCCCCGCCGCAAGATGCATATCGAATCGATACCCATGAGTGTGTCCGCCCTAGCTGCGACAATCATCCATCAAGGTGTTCCATGTGGCAATCTCTAATATCTGCTTGTGCCATATCATTAGGGGTGGGAACTGGTGACAATTATGCCTACCGTGAGTGGTTCCCGAAGTGAGCCTAGACACCGAATATTGTGTGCTGACAGTCTTTGGGCCGTTGATTACAGTCGTCACCGATGACAAAACCAAAAAAGCGGTCATCATCGATCCTGCGTACACAGACGAGTATGCATTGTCTTCGATACCTCCCACAGGCGCATGCCTTCTGACTTGAGCGTACAGGGTGATCCCAACGCTGAAAAAGGCCAAAGACAATGGCATCAAGATCATCAATATCGTCAACACCCATCAGTAGGTCCTCAGTCAACCAATCGCTTGTAGCGCAGACTGACCAATGCTTCTAGTCACGGCGACCATGCTGGCGGTAACGAGAAGATCGTAAGGGCCTTCGTTGATCAATGTCCATTTTCAAAGCTTACCTTATCCCTAGATTGAAGCGTTCCCGTCGGACAATCTTACCGTGATCGGTGGCAAGGAGTGTTTGAAGGTGAAACATGTGCCTGAGCACGGCGAAACTTTCACCATTGGCGACAATATCAAGGTCACTGCCTACCACACGCCGTGTCATACCCAGGACAGCATCTGCTACCTGTTCGAAGACGGCTCAGATCGTGCGGTGTTTACTGGCGACACTCTGTTCATCGGCGGTCAGTCATGGGCACTCCCGAGAGTTCAGTAGCTATGGTGCTGATGTGTTTCGCAGGATGCGGTCGTTTCTTTGAAGGCTCGGCCGCGGAGATGGACAAGGCTCTCAACCAAACCCTGGCAGCTTTACCCGATGACACAAAGGTTTATGTGAGTCCATTCGTGGGATTCCCTTCGGAGTAACATCAATGCTGACATGTTATGAAGCCGGGTCACGAATACACCAAAGGCAACATCAAATTCGGCATGAAGGTCCTGCAGTCGGAAGCGGTGAAGAAGCTAGAGGCTTTTGCTTCAGCGAACAAGGAGACCCAGGGCAAATTCACCATCGGAGACGAGAAGAAGCACAACGTTTTCATGCGCTTAGAGGTGAGTCCTGACGATTGGTGGACTTCGGGTGGTGGAATGATCATGCTAACCATATCCAGGATCCCGAGGTGCAAAAGTTCACGGGCAAAACAGAACGTGTCGAGGTGATGGCAGCCTTGCGAGAGGCCAAGAATTCCATGTAATTTTAGGCTCAAAGTAGTCCACAACAGACAGTCATGATTGAAAGCCTTGCTCTTTGAGAAAGTGACTGTGCAGGTTGGACACATAGCATGCCCGTGTGGACCTTTCCCGCTGGTCTATCATGCTTCGGGGCCAGTACGTCGCAAGAACCCATGGATCGTTCAATGCCCTCCTGAGTTGGCATCGATCGGGGAACAACAACCCTAAGGATAGAAAAAGCCCGGTCGGCACCCGGGGCAGGCTGATCAGCACAGGGCAGCCGCCTTTCACATGCCGATGACGAAATCATGGGTCGATCGGTGAACTGGGCCCGCGCGAATGCTTCGTCCGCCTGGATCATCCTCAGTAGCGTCGATTTCATTGTCGACAGTGATAATCCCTATTCAACTTTCCTACGTAGCTCCCGGCATTCCGTCTCATACCTGTCTCGTCGCTCGACCGACTCCGGTGCACAGGTCGACAACATGTCAAACATCCCACTGATAGGTCGACTCCACCTCCAGGAGTACCTGGCGCTGGCCGCCTCGTTCACCTTGGTCATCTTTGAATTCATCGCGCGCTCCATCACCATCTTTCTGCCCTCGCCGGTGATCAATTTCCTGTACCGCCTTTCGCGCAGATGCTTCAATGGCCTCTCCTCACCATACTCGCGTCGAGCACGCAACCGTAAAAAGGCTGTGTCGAGTCAGATTGCACACGCAGAGGGCTTCGTGGAGCTGTGCGCACTTTATGGCTACACCGCAGAAGAGCACGTAGTGCAAACCACGGATGGATACCTCCTCGGCGTGCATCGATTGGCAAAGCGGAAAGGCGAGGAGGATCAGCTGGTCAACGCAGGACCCGGGACTTTGCAGAAGAAGGTGGTCTACTTACATCACGGTCTGCTCATGAACAGCGATGTCTGGGTATGCATCACCGAGCATGAGCGCTGTCTGCCGTTCGCTCTGGTCGATCAAGGCTATGATGTCTGGTTGGGCAACAACCGCGGCAACAAGTACAGCAAAAAGAACATGAGACACACGCCCACGGATACAGCATTTTGGAGCTTCAGCATTGATCAATTCGCCCTTCACGACATCCCGGACACCATCAACTATGTCCTCGACACCACGTCTCAGCCGAGCCTTTCATACGTCGGATTCAGTCAGGGCACAGCACAGGCATTCGCAGCGCTCTCCGTCTACCCACAGCTGAACACAAAGGTGGATGTCTTCATCGCCCTCGCGCCTGCTATGGCTCCTCCGGGTGTTGCTTCCGGCATCGTAAGCTCCTTCACTAAGGCAAGTCCGGAGGTGCTCTACCTCATCTTTGGTCGTCGTGCAATCTTGGGCAGCGCACCGATGTGGCAAGCGCTGCTTTATCCCGCCATTTTCACCTGGTTCGTGGACAAGGGTTTGGTCTGGCTTTTCAACTGGAGATCATTGAACATCACACCACATCAGAAATTGGCCGCCTACCCACACCTGTACTCCTTCACGAGCACGAAGAGTGTGGTCCACTGGTTTCAGATTATTCGCAATGGGACGTTCCAGATGTATGACGATGAAGTGGCCAGCCCGACCAGCTTCAGCACACACAAGCAACACTACAAGGTGGCCAAATACCCCACCCGAAACATCAGGACCCCGATCGTTCTCTTGTATGGCGGAAGCGATAGCCTAGTGGATATCAACGTCATGCTACGAGAGTTGCCCAAGCATACTGTTGCGAAATGCGTTCCGAAATACGAACATCTCGACTTCCTCTGGGCCAACGACGTCCATAAGCTTGTGCTGCCGAACGTTCTCGAGGCTCTCTCGGACTACAGTGTCCCATCCGGCACGAAGAGGGACGATGCTTCCCGCTCGCGGATGTTGCTCTTGAACGATGCAACTTCGTCACCCGGCCGATCGCAGCCACCCGAGTACAACACCGACGGCGACTCGACCGCAGCGGAACAAATGGACGAGACCGACAACGACGACGAAGAATATGTGCAGGAGACCCCAGCCCACGAGATTGGCGTGTTCCGATACAGGTCACCCACGGATGTACGTTCTGCCACCACCTCCCTTTCCGAAGCCGCGCAATTGACATCCGGATATCACAGAACTAATGTGAGCGACATTGACACCTCGCTGGAGACCATCCGGCAAGCCGTGTCGACCGACAACCTCCGGCCGAGCTCGCGGTCGGAGCCGACGTCCTGGCTGGACTCGCCGGCCGTGACGCCCAGTGGCGACACCGAAAACACGAACAGGACGTTGCGGCCCGAGGGCTGGTGGTCGGGGACGAATTCGGCAATGTCCTCGACACCCGCCTTGGAGAGGCATCACCTGTTCCAATAACGACACAACGTGCGGTTCCGATCGTGTCGCGATCAGAGAAGCCGAGTGACCAGGTCCTGTTGCGCCCTGCTGTCGATGGCATGATACCTGCTATTGTATATCACCTTAGCTCATGAGCGGAAAAATGCATTTATAACCTCGAAATGAGAATTCGCACACGTTTCTTCATCCGTACATATGTCGTGTCACCGTCAGAATAGAGATGAATATTCCAAGCAATCAATCCGCCTTCTCTATAGCGTCGATGGGTTCGTTCCGTTCTTGGTCAAAACAGCGACAATATGTGGACGATTCGAAACCGCCCGAGCCGGATCATCCAGACAATGGGCTGCGTCGAGCAAACGATATCATGATAAAATTACAGATGCTATCAAGACAAGGAATTGTACAACAACATCCGGCCTGAAGTTACAACCACAAACCCCGTAGCCGGCGAAATTTAGTTCTTCCCCGATATGCCCCCATTCACTCATCGTCCTCGGGCGCATCGCTCAGATCGCTCTCGTCGGCGTCATCATCCGCCTTGCCGGCCGCCTCCTTGGCCTTCCTGCGCGCCTGCACCGAGACGCCACCCTTCTTCGACCCGTGGCGCGTGACGAGGTGCTCAATCGGGCAGCCCTCGTCCCACACCGCGCTGCTCTGACCCGTGACGGCGCGGCAGCGCGGACAGGTCTTGCCGTGGCGGATGAGGAGGTAGTGCAGGGGGTACTTGTACTCGTCCGGGATGCGCACGTCGCAGTGCGAGAAGGTCGTGTTGCGATCGACCTTCGGCTGGCCTTTCCGCGTCGTCTTCGGCACCCAGCCGAGGTACTGGCACAGCCGGAACACGTGCGTGTCCACGGCGAACGACGGCCGCTGCAGGCAGAACAGCGCGACGCAGGAGGCCGTCTTCGGCCCGATCCCCGGCAGCGTGAGCATCTTGGCGATGGCGTCCTCCGTGCTGAGGAGGTGCAGGTGGTCGAAGGAGATGACGTGTTGCTTGGCTTTGCTGATCTCGTCCTTCTTCTCGCTCTCGTCCGCGTGTTCGGCGCCGGCGGGGTCTCCGGACTTCCCCTCCAGGGCGGCTTTGCGTTCTTGGTTCTCGTCGTATGCGATTTGGATGATCGCCTGGATGTCCTTCGACTTCCTGTCGGCCAGGCCGCCGCGCTCGATGGCCTTGAAGACGTCCTTCTGCGGGGCGCGTCGCACCGCGTCCCAGTCCACGCTGCCTTTGCCGATGCCTTCCTTCAGCGTCCCGAACCGGGATACGAGACCCTGAAAGGCGGTGCTGGAGTTCTTGTTCGTCGTGTTGGCGCTGAGGCGCGTGCGGATCAGGGCGTCGAGGACCGACGGGACCTCGCCACAGCCGGCGACATCCAACGAAGGCGGCGGGATGGCCTTGGGGACGTTGACCTTGCCGTGGACCTTTTCCAGCAACCGAACCACCTCCTTGCATTCCTCGCGTGTCGGATGCTCATAATCGGGGTAAGGTGAGATGCCAGGGGTCAGTCCATAGTTCGCCTTCTTGGGCGTCTTCTTTGGCGTTTCTCTGGGAGCGGTGACTACTTCTTCGTCGAATTCATCTTTGACTGCCGAGTTCTCGACAGGTTCCTCTTTCTTCACGGAACGCTTCGAACGCTTAGAAGGCGGCGCATCGTCATCGGGGGAGTCTTCCTCGGCGCTGGGCGTAGGCAATGCCGTGCCGAGATTGTGCGGCAGATCGCCGTCATCGTTTTCTTGCTTGATCGCGGTCCTCGTACGTTTGCGACTGCTCGCGGGAGTGCGAGGACCATTCTCAGACTTCGTGGCCGGTTTTGTGTTGCTCTTCGGCGTAGCTTTGGCTCTGGCCTTGGACTTGGGGGTGGCTGCGGCCTTCGAGGTCCTCGGCGTCGCTGGCGGACTTGAAAGCCGATCCTGCCCAGAGGCTTTCGCAGTCGATGACCGCGTCGCGCGAGGCATTCTGATGGGCGAAATCGATGGACGACTTGACGCGTTATGTTGCAGACGATGCTGCGGTCGTCGCAAGCAATAGACGACCTTCTCGGTGGCGAGTTTCGCGGTGGAGCCCCAGCAAAGACTTGCGGCGGACGCTATAGACCGTCTCAATGCCAGCGCGGATTTTTTGGCACTGAGGGAGTGGACCAATCGTGTGTTTCGTGAAAGCCGCGTCAGATGATTACATTACAGACATACAAACATACTTTGAACGCCAGATGTGATTGTCAACTCGAGACGGTGATGTCCCTTGAATGACTCGGGCCCTCTTCGTCGCATCATTTCACTTCTTGACTGTGTCATGACGTACACGGGGAGCGCTTGGACCTGGTTGAAGGCTTCGTCAGGGTCGTGAGCACCTCCGAAAGTTCCAATGGAGCGACGCGCATGTATATCATTCCTCACCTGGCACAGCAATGAATTCACAAGATTCTTCCCGCAATTTTCGCGTCATTGAGAAGAGTGCATTCCTGGTGTTTCCGATGAGATGGTCACAGGCGTAGTCTAATTTCGCCATTACAAATTTACCGCACTCAGTCGCGTACGATCAAAGTCTTCACGCGTTCCCCAGAAACACCCATCTAGATCGATCATAAGCCCGTCGCTCATGCACCATGTGTGATGATTATTTTACAGTATTATTACATACGATTGTCAAGAATTAGCTCATGTCACATATCTCACAAGGTCGTCTTGCTGTTCGTGATGCGTAGGAACAAGTCGGAAAGTATCCCCGGTTGTGATGAGTCCGACGGCGACGCGTCCATTTCCATTGCCCTGAGCTGGATAGCAGGCAATGTGGACCTATCTTACATGTGCGGATCGAGACAGGTATCATCGCGTCCAGGCATCACGTCCAAGGTCGTTTGGAATCAGGGCTGGTTACGCAAGTGTGTTGTTAGACTCGCACGAACTAGTCTTCCATACGATGACTTCTCGTCAACGGTGTCTGTGAGCGTGTGTCCATTTCCGAAGAGCAACGATCTGTCAGGGCTGGCGTGATTGTCCTCGTTTGCGTATGCACTCTCGTATGGTAATGAGCCATCAAGGTTCTTGGGTATCCTCGAATATCACAGCCAGAGAGCCGGCGTGACTTGCATCAAGCTGCTTTGCGTCGAGGGCAAGATCCTCTGCTACTCATCAAGGCGCTGGGTACACTCCATGGTCTGCGTAGACAATTTTGGCGTCGCCGCAGCTTTCATGCAAGCCAATAACCAGATCTCGATCCCGTCGGTGTTTTGAAACGACGCTATTGGCGAAGCGCTCTCCCCAGCGTGGCTCGTGAGAAGCAAGAGTTTCAGGCATGATCAGATCCGGCTTAATCATGTTCAAGCGTTCTGTCGTGCCTGGCTTTCAAGGACCTTGATTCGTTCCAGCAATTTCGCTTGGAGAAAAGGGCTGAGACCAAGAATGCCTTCGCGAGTCACTATGCGGTATGTTCCCGATTCTTGATATCTGCCAGTGCCGTCGACAAATTTGCCGCTCGCATCCAATTCGACACTGCCGAAGATGTCTTCGGGCCAGGCGACTCGACCGTAGTCCGGAGGATTGCGTCGATCGCTGACGTGGATATAGCCACCACGACCACCGCCTCCCATACCACCCTGGGAACTAGCTCCTCCCGAGCCATCACTGCGGCCAGCCACGTTGCCAGGTTGTTGCTTGCTCATGCTGTGACGGCGCCGGTTGTTCTGCTGGTGTTGCGGGAAGAAGACGCCGCCACTACCCAGCGCAGAGCCTGATTGTGATGCGTAGACGTGCGCTTGCGCTTGCACATCGGGGTCCTGCGCAGCATTCTCGCGGATGACGGTGTGTAAGATGGCGAGAAATTCACGATTCTCGTTGAAGGACTCGGGTGTCGGAGGGACTTGTGTAGTGGTTCCGATCGCAAGTGCAGTATTGGGAGGCTCGGTTGGCGAAAGCGAGAGCAGCTTTCGAGGGGAAGTCTTATCCTCGTGTACGTACTGTATGAAGGATGTCATTAAACCAGGTACGCTGGACAATCATCGAACACGTTGAACGCACGATTTGAGTGCCTGGCAACGTAGAGACGGCTCTTCTCGACTGCCATGACGCAAGTCGAGCAGCTGTACATATCTTTGGGAACGATGGCAATGCTCTTCCCATCATGATTGGTGACATTTTTGCGGGTGAACACAGTGCTGATGAAGGCGGCAGGTGCGGATGGACAATTTCGAGATCGACGGACGATGGACGTTTGGGATTAATTATCATTACCTTGAGAGCTCCAGCCATTGGCGCGTTCAAGTGACGTATTCTAGGGCCATATACATACTAATGTATACCTCCAGGGCTAGGTGCAGTAGATGTCGAGATGTGTACGGGACACGAAACATGCTGCATCATCTATGACACTTCTGTGGCTCTCCGTAGCGATGATATGACCCCTCCAGCTCCTTCAAAGCCTGAATGATTGCCGGCGGGGGAAACTGAGAACATTCAGGAACACACGCCGCGAACAATTCGAACCATTTGCCCCTCGCGCGCTTAATTATGCCATGGGTGCTGTGGTCATGCACATTGTGTACACAGCAAGTGATGGTACTTAATACCTGGGTGAATAACGAATCTCACTTTTGCATGATGATTCAGCAATTGATATATGATATATGATATACATGATATTGACCGTCTGGGAAGCACATGAAGAGCAGTATAGCACAGTTGGAACATTTCCAATGTTATCACAGGAATGTATTCTCACCCACCAGGGCACGGTTGCGGGTGCGCCATGACGCCCGCGCCTCGCCGCATGCACCCAGCACCGTGAGTAGCTACAGTATCTAGGTAGGTAGGTCTTGTGCGAAGCTTCGAGAAGCTGAAGGGTTCTGCTTCCCAGTGTGAATATTATCAACCATCGACAGTTCATTTCACAAACCAGTTCAGAGAATATATTCTGATCACCACTCGACTTTTCCTTACTTCAATTCCGTTCAAAACCAAGTGCTTGATTCCCCCACTTAACCCTCGAATCAGATAGGCGAAATGGCCACGACCACGCAGCGAAGTCGTGTGTGGTTTGACATCACAATCGGCGGCGCATCTGCCGGCAAAGTCGTCTTCGAACTTTACAACGATGTCGTTCCCAAAACGGCCGACAATTTCCGTGCGCTCTGCACGGGCGAGAAAGGCGTCGGGGCGTCCGGCAAACCCCTTCACTACAAAGGCAGCGGCTTCCACCGCGTCATTCCCAGCTTCATGATCCAGGGTGGAGACTTCACCGCCGGCAATGGTACAGGCGGAGAGTCCATCTATGGTGAGAAGTTCGCCGACGAGAACTTCGAACTCAAACACGAGAAGCCATTCCTCCTCTCCATGGCCAACGCTGGACCGGGCACCAACGGCAGTCAATTCTTCGTCACCACCGTTCCCACTCCTCACCTCGACGGCAAACACGTCGTCTTCGGCGAGGTCATCGCAGGAAAGAGCATCGTTCGCAAGATCGAGAAGACACCCACGACCAGCGACAAACCGAACAAGGACTGCGTCATCGCGGACTGCGGCGAGCTCGATGCTTCGACTGACCTCGCCGAGTTCACCAAGAAGGCTCCAGATTCGACGGGCGACAAGTACGAGGATGATCCTGCGGACCAGCTTGCCCTTCGAGGTTCTGATGCGGAGTGGAAGGGAGTCGAGGTCGCCGACATCGCCGATGAGTTGAAGACCATGGGGAACGCCGCCTTCAAGCGAGGTGAGGTCGCCCTCGCCCTGGCCAAATACCAGAAAGCAATCTCATACCTCCACGAATACCCCGAGCCGTTGGACGGTGACCCAGCAGACCTCGGCCCACGCTTGATCAAGCTCCGAGTCAGCCTTCACACCAACAGCGCGCTGCAGCAGTTCAAATTGGGCGCGTACAGAGATTCCGCACAATCCGCAGACAAGGCATTAGACATCAAGGGCATTGGGGAGGCGGAGCAGGCCAAAGCTCTGTACAGGAAGGGCCTGGCACTCAAGGCCGGAAAGGATGAGGAGGGTGCGACCGAAGCATTGGAGCAGGCCGCCAAGCTCGCGCCGGAGGACGCCAGCATCAAGAACGAACTGGCCGCAGTCCGAAAGGCCGCGGCGGACAGGAAAGCCAAGGAGCGCAAGGCTTACTCGAAGGCTTTCGCGTGAAGCCCTGCCGATCATCGGCAACGGAATCCCATGTATGAGAGTCGCGGGAATCAAGATGTGGAAAGTTGCTAGGGACGGGGACTGTACAATTTAGCGACATGCCTGATGATGAAACGATCGAACCGAGAGAGGATAAGAAAGGACTCCGATGAAACGGAGACCGAAATGAATATCAAAAACACGAGAATTGTATTGAACACTAGTAAAAGTTCCTGAATCGACCTCGAGAAAATCCATTACCCATTACCCGCCTTTCCAGCTCTCCTCCCATCGAATCACTCAAAACAAAAGCTAGATCCATTTCCCGCGCGCCGCCACGTGACGAAAACATCCCGAATTAGAAACAGGCGACCTTTCGACAGAGAATCTCCACGTAACCTCCTTCTCCGGTGGGGGCTGGAGCGAAGTCGATCAAGCCTGACGCTCATCGTGACCGGACCGGACTTGACTTGCGAGAGCTCAGGCTGTGTGAGAGAGTGGACCCCTGTTTCCGGATCTCCCCCTCGCCGACGAGAGACCGTTGAGAACAGAAAGGCCTTTTGCGTTGGAACAACGTCGACGCCGCGCGGGCGGTGCTGCGTCGATGGCCGCGCATCGGAGTCTCTGCGATCCGCAACCTCGACCGACGGCCCTGGCCCTGGCCCTCGTCGAAGTCGAGGTCTGATCTTGACGCGGATGCTGGACGGAGTCGAGAGAACGACGTCGAAAGGGAATGATGGCTCCGGTTGCCGGAACCGCTGGAGTCCCGTTGATTTGCGGCTCTGAAAGCCGATGTGCGGCGGAGTCTGGTGTTCGCACCCGGACGATCTCGCATAGTCTGATTGAAAATCATCGCAGGTGGGGGGGCTCCGATGGTCGAAAAACGTGGCAAGTGGAGTCTTTTCTTCTTCCCCTCGACCAAATCCCGTCGTGCGGCTTCGACGTCCTCGTCAGTACTGAGAGAACCCGGCCAGCTTGAGCGCGCGGGGGTGCTTCTCCGAACGCATCGGACGCGGCGTTCGAGGGAACGAGTCTCCCTCGGATTGCTGGGACTCATCGGAGTCCCAGGCGTCGCTGTCCCGCCGGGAGCCGTAGGAGGTGATCGAAGTGGAGGACGAGAGCGAGGTGCTGCTCGAGCTCGACGTCAGCTTGATGGGACGCGGGGTGACGAAGGAGATGGTGCGCTGGCGGGCGTGCTTGTGAGAAGGCATGTTGAAGAGGAAGATGTCGGTGTCGATATTGACTGTTGATCGTTGTGTGTATCGAAGAGATGGTTGACGATCAGGTTCGAATGTGTTCAACAGAGCTGTCGATGCGGTCGTCGAGATATGAGGATGGATGGATGTTTTATCTAGTAGGCAGACTGGATTGATCGGTGTTCTGAATGGATGTGGAATGGTTTCTTCTTCTTCTCATCGGGATGGTCGGCCCATCATATATATACACCCTGGGAGAGGGGGAGGGGGAGGGAGATCGGACATAGCCAAAACTACGTGCTAGGTCCATGATCCGATCCGTCCGTCTGCGAACTTGCATATGCGCGCGTGCATAGCAGGCTGCCACTGCCGCACAGAATGATCTCCCGATATTCCCAGGTTCCTTCCAGACGCTCACGCGAGACATGCGGCCGGCCGGTGGGCATCGTCGATCGCCATGCATTGACAAACGTCGCACGCGGGCGCGGCGCCGTGTCTCACGCGGACACAGACGATGGGGATCAACGTCGACGAGGTCTCATATCGGCATGGAAGAGAGGGTGTGTGTGCGAATCGGGTGTGAGGGTATGACACTCGGTCGATGCAATCATGATACCACCACATGGAGACCTGATAGTTGATCGAGGGGAGTCCGATGATACTACTGCGGATGCTGGTTGAGCGGGATGCGACGGCAAGGCTGGCTGTGAGACCAACCAAATCCGCGCGGCACGAAACTCAACGAGGGAGGGCAACGTCGCGACCATCGGGAACGACATTACTTGGGAAATGGTGACGGATCGACTCGGTGATGTGTGCTCCTCAGATCATCGCCATCCATCTATCTGTACTGACTGGAAGCACATGTATCTGCCCCCCAAAAGCGCTCCTGCATGACCTGATCTGTTGCCCAATCGAGGCGCCGAACCGCACCGTCTCAAAGATGGGAAGCTATCGATGCAATCACATACGAGAGAGATGTCGAAGGACGAGCGGTCATTCGTCGATCTCGCCAATGTCGAAACGGTCATGCATTACGGTCGATGTCGGTACAAGTGCCGTGTGCATATGTGACAGATGGTCGGGGACATGCAGGCAGGTAGTATGTACTGTACATACACACATGCATGTCCATCGACACTAGAAACCCGGTTCCTATAGCGCGAATGGAAGATCGATAGTGCACCTGCATAACCTGTATTCCGAGCGGTGGCACATGCAAACACGGAATATGTGGAAACCTACTGCTTGCGAAATGTATTTCGGTGCACTCAGAATCCACCTGCATTGACGGTACGTCGTAAGCAGCAGGTCACATACACACACACATACACACACACGCTGTTCACTACACACCCATACCGCCGCCCGTCTGCTCTCCAGGCTTCGCATGACCCCAACCTCAACCCGATCCTTTTTCGTGAAAACGAATGGTTCACGACATCAACCACAATCTGGCTCCGCTCGTCTGCTGCATTCCAAGTTTTTTTGGGCCGTTGTCCATCTTGTCTGGCACACCATGTGGACCTGGACGGGCGTGTGTCATGCGCACGAGTCCAGACGCCCCCGATCCCAGACGAAACAAGAAGGAGAGAACGACCTTGGAATGAAGGGAGAGACACACGCACGGGCATGGAAGACTCCGTTGAGGAACGTGGAAGGTTGAGATCGCAAAGGGAGAAGAAAGGAAGGAAGGGAAGGAAGGAGGAGAGGCAATCTCTGGTTCATCCGCGCCGTGACGCCGCTTCTCGATTGTCTCGCGAGAAACGGCTGCCCGAACGTGGGAAATGCAAATGGTCGTCTCACAACAACAACGGCGAGCACGGGCGGAGAACAGCTTCGACGATGAGGAAGTGTGGGATGCATGAGGTCATGTCTCACATTGGGTCCCACACGAGCAGAGAGTTGAGCGAAACCGTTCATGCGGTGCTCGCGGGCCCAACTGTCTCGCGGGCGAAACCCCAGGGGGCTTTTCCCCGTGCCCTTGCTCACACATGCTCACCGTTTGTTTGTTTTCGATCAGTACGGTGGAACCCTGCTTCTTTCCCCGATTCTTTCTCGCCCGCGATGAGGTTATTGTGTTGTGAACACATCCTCGTAGCCGCCCGTCCGGCAGACCTCATGTGGCGCGATCGGGGCGCTGAAAGGGGCCTCAACCGTCTACAGACGTCGCGAATCATCCTGCGTAATGTTAACATTGGAGGTTATTCGACACTAGCATCGCCCTCGTCAGCAGGCGGAGAAACAATGCCCTGGTAGAATTCTCTCGTCTGGTCGAGTCGTTTGACCACCTGCATGCTGCACTTGAGTGCATTTCAGTGTTGAAACGGTCGTCCCGGAGCACCACCCATGCGAGACTTGCGGGTCATGCAGGGTCGGTGGAATGGGTCAGAACGAGCGTGTGGCTGATCATGGCAGCATACACATCGCCAACTCGTCGCTGTTGAAACGCAGGCGTGTGGCAGCAAGCCGGATGAGGCGGGCGGTGAGTACCAGCTGACATCGCCAGGTGATGTGAAGTGCATTAAGAAGGTGGAGATGGTTGTAGATCAGGTTTCGGGTGGAGGGGGGGAATTCGTGGGCTTCTGACTCGCTGGAGCTCACATGGACTCCAGCTCCCGCCTCCTATTAGGGTTGCGATCGCCCCAACCCCAACCCTGGCACGAGCACAACTCCGAAAACCAACTGTGTTGCTGACTGCTTTCTCCCATGTCAGAGGAAGTTGTATACTATGTATGACTACTCTTTGCAGTGAAGGAGACTTCAAGCTGGTCAGCTGTAAAGGATGGCGTGAGACTATGATGGACGACGGCGCTCGCCGACGTCCTCAGGACAGAACGCCGAACGCCCGTATTACTCTGGCTACCTGCGACGGCCTCACCAAGTGTGACTGGTCTGGCGATGGCATCCAACAGCACCTTGCATCACATGTCGGCAGAGACTAAACGCGGTTCATCCCCGACCTTTCAATTCAGATCCCAGGTCTGACGCGGCCGTACGATGACGCACATGAGCCAAGATTCACAGTGGTAATCCTGATGTCGAAATCCTGTCGAGTACATTTTATACATGGAAACGTAAATCGCCCGGTTGAGAGGCGGCGTGATGTTGTTTCCCATTCCCCATCCGGCCATCATCTCTGTCACGACAAGCACGACAAGTCATGCTGCCCGCTCGTTTTCCGCAAACAGAACCGCAGATGACAACTTTTCACTGCGAAGAACCTCCGGAGATGGTGATGACTTGACCTGCATTTCAATTCTCGGATTAGCCGGGAGCGCCGGGGGGTAATATGTGCGTGGGAGGACCCCGGGGGCGAATCTTACCGTTGACCCAACCGCCATCTTCCGAGGCCAGGAAGGCCACGACGCGAGCGACATCGTCAGGAGTCGCACAGCGCTTCAAAGGACAGTGCTCGGCCATCATGTTCTCGATCTTGTCCGCGGCCCAATCAGGAGTCGCGCCGGGGATGTAGTGCCCTGCGGAAAGGTGAGTCAGCTCAAGTCTGTCGCTAGAAGCAGGACCAGTGACGAGATAGGCGCCTGGCCCTCAGTGGGCGATCCGATACATACAAGCATTCTGTGTGAACATGTCCGACTTGATTCCGCCGGGAGCGACACCGTTCACCGTGATCCCTCGGACGCCGAAATCGGTCGCGAACCCCTTGATCATGCCGATGACGGCCATCTTGGAGGCGTTGTAGAGAACGTGGTCGCGCACGCCCAGGAGACCGGCGGCGATGGAGCTCATGAGGATCAGGCGCCCGTTGTCCTCGAGGTACTTCCACGCCGCCTGGCCGACGAAGAACTGCGCACGGGCGTTGAGGTTGAAGACGTGGTCGTACTTCTCCTCGGTGATCTCCTCGGTCTTGTCCCAGGACTCGGTGCCGCTGTTGCTCATGACGATGTCGATCTTGCCGAAGTGCGCCTTGGTCTCGGAGAACAGCCGCTCGATCTCGCTCTTCTTGCTCACGTCGGCCTGGATGCTGATGGCGCGGGCGCCGGTGCCGTTGCCCTCGATGATGGCCACCACTTCGTCAGCCGCCGCCTTGCTGCTCTGGTAGTTGATGACGACGCTGGCGCCTCGCTTGCCGAGCTCGATGGCGCAACCTCTGCCGATCCCGCGGCCGGCACCGGTCACGAGGGCGACCTTGCCGTGCAACGATGCGGACTGGACGAGAACGGGCTGTGCGGTCGACATGGTGTATGTGAGTTGTCAAACGGAAAGAAGTGGAAGCTGGAGGGATTGAGGTCAGCCAGATGTATCGTGATCAGCTTTGACGACCCGAGCTCAAGAGACAGGCGACGATGCAAGAGCTCTAGATTGTCTCGAGGTACTGACATGTCGATTTCGGTCGTGAGTCGTAAGTAAAGGAATATTCGATCGAAAAGAATCTCGGATTGATCAATGATCACGCGAAAAGTGAATGGAGCACCTGAGTTGATATCGAAGGGCAGTTGAAGATCGCGTCAAGCGAGAGAGTCAAGGGAGATGATATGGATCCATTGATGTAGTATATACTCCCGTCTGCACACGAGCATGTCCATCTCGGTTGACGGCATTCGCAGACATCTTGCCGGTCGTGTGTGTCTGGATCCCCGGAACAGCGGGGCCGACATGCTGCTCCTCCTGCTGTGCGCCTGTTATAGATCCCCATCAAGTGGTCTCGATCGGACAATTTCAGACGCCTTCCCCGACCATGCCCATGCCATGCCAGAGGTTATAAATACACTTCGAGGGCGCGCCGCATTTCATCGATGGTAGATGGTCCTCAGCGCAGGCTTGTCAAGGTAATAATATAAGAGAGAAGAAGTTGGTTCGGATCGCATGTGGTTCCCATTCGCTGGCTGTGGGTCCGGGGCTTTCGGAGGATTCAAGACGTCGGAGCGAGCGAGAGCGCCGTCGAGCAGCCTGGTCCATATCTTATATGGGTTACCGTAGTAGTACGGAGACCCACGACGGTGATTCATTCTCGGTATCAGAATGTGGTTGGGCGATCGTGCTGTTCTCACTCGAGCTGTAAGCTTCTATTGCATTGTTGTACAAGACGCCCGTCCAAACTTGGGACAGTCGTAAGGATGTCATCTGGTCGTGCCGTCGTTCGGTCCCTCGTTGTGTAGACCAGGGCGGCGTGTGTATGCGGCTGCCCAGCGCACACATCGCACCTCGCGCTTATGCAACAGCACCGAAGACCGAATCGTGCGAGCCGCGAGCAGAGCACCCTACGGAAAGTTTGGATCCGCAGCATGTGCATCCGTACATGATCATCGTCCTCGCACACTTCTCGACGTCCTGCAACGTTTACATTGTTCCCCCTCTTGATCTGACGGCAATTGCTTTTCCATCGCCCTTTGAATGCTGAGTGTGTTTCGCCGCGGCGGGACTCCCGAAAAAGGCAATCTCTGAAGTCTGGCTCTTGCGTCGTTCTGGAACTGGCCTCGTCAGGCTCGCTCGCTGTCGTCATTGTGGTCGAATTCATATGTGATCGAGATGTCGGGACAATCTATACGACGAGTGCTGTCTTCCTACCTATATTCCATACTTCTAGGGAGACTCCATGTTGGCGCCGTGATCAACACCATCCCAGAAAATTCCAAGGCAACGAAAGAAATGAATCAACTCCCCATCGGATTCGTAACCTACCATCTCTCAAAGTTTGGCAGCCCATATGTTTGTGACCTGGGTGAGGCTAGCTACGGTTAAGAACACTACCTTGAATATATACAGCCGTACATTCGTCGAGCTCCTGAAGTCATTTCGGATATTTCTAGGCTATAAGTTGTACCTTAGGAAGTTATCCAGAGTGCTCGGACGTCCATGCAGAGATCATCGTTGTCCTCAGTCCGCCAACTCGGCATGCCCATACCTCGCGACTTGAGATCACCTTGAATACGAAGGAGACTCTCATGCTCATTTCCAAGAATTCCCGCCAATGCCATGCAATGTGATATAGGAAATGGTCTGATAGCAAAGCGGCTACGCCAAGATCCGTGGCCCGACAATGGTCAAGATCTTCGGGAAGGCTCTGACTCGATCTGTCTCGTAGAGGGCTGCCTCCACGATACTGTAGAGTAGCAGGAGGTCATGAGTCCCCGCGATGACTCGCCATCATGATTTTGCGGCGCCAAAGCACATGGAGCATCCTTGTTAGAAGGCAGCAGGTCCTCCTCTGGTGCCACGACCAGCCGACCCTCTTCTGGCATGTTCATCGTCATCGCTCATGTCGGCAGAAGATTGAGGTGGAGGCCTACTAGCGGTGAACTGCCGAACAAGATTCGATACGGCCATAGAAAATGTCATTGTCAAACACAGCTTACATACGACACTCCGGCTGTCGCTCCCCTCGAATGTCGGGAACGCTGCATGTCCAAGGGGAATGTCAAGACAAAGGGCGGGACGGCGGCAAGCACAGTACACATTTGAATCGTGCCATGAATTCCGGCCGCCACGTCTGACAAGAAGGATGATAGCGATGGAAAGCAATAAGGTTGGCTCATGCCGGTGATCCGTGGTCCTCGCATACGGGGACCGTGCAGCGTGCTTGGAGACTCTAGTAAATGGACAGCATGATTGGCTTAACACGACAAAACTCCTCGCTATAGAGTTCGGAGGCGCTGACCTTCCAAGGTTTGCTTTCGACTTGCTGTGGCAATCCTGGAGTATGATTGGCCGGGCGCGACACCCACTTCCAACAGAGCGCTTAATGCCGCACGCGCTTTGGCTGGCACGTTTTGGCCGCCAGCGATTGCAGCGGTGCAGCCATACTGAATTCGTTCTCTCTCTCTCGCACCTGTGATGATGGTGATGATCACATACAATATAATATATACGGGTATGGTATGGTATGGCACGGCCGGAAACGCAGGTGTGATGGCATTCTCCATGGTGGTGCTGGTGCTGGTGCTGGTGCTGATGCTGCAGCCAACGAGGGCTCACTCTGACGAATCTCTTATGCACACGCCTCTCGCGCAGTTGGCACATCTTCCAACCTCGCTACCTGCGTATGGCTCCCGTCTCGCATTCATATCCGACAGACATGATGACCACCACATCAGGACATCTGCGTCTCGTCGGAGGATGATGAGCATGGCAAATGTTGCTCTCATGGCCATCCGATCGTGGTTGTAAAAAGTACACCTGGGCAGTTTGTAGTATGTGGATGTGATTCGGCGGGTACCCGCAGCACATGTGCCGCACGCACTGGCGCACCTGCACCGTTGAGAGTTGGTGATAGCGCTACTATCCCATCCGAAAAGGGTCCGCCCCCCCATTAGTGCGTGTGCCCGCGTTTCCCTCCTCGGCGGACATGCGCGTCGTGATTGTACAGTATTGTACAGTAAGTAGCCCTGGAGGACTGCGGGATCCCAAGAAATCCCAAGGTTTCGTGATCCTGGATGAACGTCCCGCGCCTGGCCGTCTTTCTTTCGAGGTCCTTCATCCGTGACCCACATCCATCCATCCCACACACATCTATCTATCCGTGTCACCTAACCTGTCTGCGCACCTCACCACACTGCCCGAATTCAGCCCTTTCACGTCCACGTCCTCTCCGTTCTCGCGCATCACGGCATCGCTGGCGATACTTGGGCCTCGAAGTGCTGTTCTTGCCCACCGTCCTGGAAGAGCCTCTGGTGTCGAGCTTCCTTCCGAGACCATATCAGCGAAACAGCAGCCGACCGGGCATTCACCTTCGACAGCGCACTCCGCCTGACCCGCCGCACGCGCGACGCCGCTTCTCTGCGTCACGGTTCAAGACGTCACAGCTTGCGCCTCTCGAGACATCTCCGTCACGATGTTGACCCGATCAATACTCCTCATCGCCGCTGCGGCCGCCGAACTTGCGACCGCTCACACCGTCATCACATACCCGCTATGGAGAGGCAACAACCTCATCTCCAGTGGCTCTACTCCACCGTCGATGAGTCCGACTTCAGTAGGAGTTGACTTTAACAATGTTAATGGGACCATACAACCGACATTCCCTTGGGGCATGCAATACACATTTCCTTGTGAGTCTCGCCTCGCTGTGGGAACACACAACCAGTCCGGTCTTCTGCAATGCGCGACCCGCTAACCGTTCATGCGCTTTCAGGCGGAGGACTCCCTCTGACTTCCAATCGCACAAACTGGCCGGTCGGTGGTGGAGCCATCTCCATCGCCCCCGGTATGGCACCTGGCTTCAAGAACTCCTTCATCTACATCAACATTGCCAAGATCGAGGGCAACGAGCTGGCGCCCGGCAATTTCTCTCGCCTCGCGATTCCCCCGTTGGCCATCACCGGAAAAGATGACTTCAACCCGTACCCGGGTCAGTTCTGTTTGCCTCAAGTGCCAATGCCGGCCGGAGTGCAGTTCAATATCGGCGACCGTGCCACCATTCAGGTCGTGCAGGTCGCGGCAAACGGCGCCGCTGTGTACAGCGTAAGTGTTGATACCTGGTCCTCGTTCGCGGGCTATGCATGCGCATTTGGTTCGATCTCCTGATGATGCGATGTCGCTGACTCCTACTTGTTTCAGTGCGCGGATGTCACCCTCTTCGCCAACGGCAGCCCCAACATTACCACCATCACCCCGCAGAACTGCTACAACAGCACCGACCTTGCCATCTCGGGCATCTTTACTACAACATCACTCTCGTGAGCCATTAAATCAGCTCTCGATTCTCAACGGCCATGCGGCGAAATGTTGGATTCAAGAGGGGATCAAGGTCTTGGATATCAAGACTTGCTCCAGCCAAGGCAACCGTCGTATTCCTACAATGGACACGGTCATGATCGAATCTTCCTGCGCTCCCACCGCCGCTGCCGCCACTACCTTATTTCCCATTTTATTCTTTTCAACCCGACATTTTTTTACGACAGCTTAGGAACGCCGACAAGGTGAAGCGGATAGTTTTTTTTGGAGAGGACGTGAAGGATGATTACCCATGAAACTCGAATGTATTCCCTCAAGCGCATTCTTTTCTGTATATGCAACCATAGATTGCGATTTTCCGTATCTTATCTCGGGGAGGAGACTTGGTTTCAATCGAACTGTCCAATTTCCCAAAAGCTTTACTGCCTGCTTGAACCAATGCGACCGTGTAATTTGCGAGGCTGATACCTGCGACTACGACGATCTGCTTGAGAAGGCCTGATGAAGACCTTAGTTTGGTGGAATGGGCAAGTGACAGACTGCCGCCGCACTGTGTGATAGCGGCTGTGTACGCTAAATCATTGCTGCTGGGCTTCCGTAGTGGACGCAGCGGGCCGTACCTGCTGTAGATTTTCACGACGTCGGCAAGACCCCGCGCGTCTCCCTTGCTGAACGGAACTTCACCCTTCTGCAGTACATCACGAATCCTCCCGTGTCGCTGTCGCTCCCTAAACCGCCGAGATCAGTCCCGCAGTCTCAGGCAACACATTCGTCTTGCTCGATCTTGACATCGCATGCATGGCATCAAGGTGCCCATCGGATGTGCCTTCGCTCTACAGGGTGCCTCGGGAACATTGTCCGCGAGAACATCGGAGCTTTCGGCCCGGTGCTCGTGGGGTTTGGACATAGGTGCTTAGACAAGAAAGGAGTCCGTAACATAATGTCGACATAATCATAAATTTAATATCGCAGCCTGCCGCCGGAAGTGTCTCGCGTCTGCCGCTGGTGGCCGAGATTGTTCTGACTCACATTGATCAACGACAAAGTCCCGATTTCAACGAGGGTCTGAATTCGGAGAGAACTTGCTTACCATCGGATATACAACGATCAAATATGCCGCGCAGCAAACGGGACACCGGCGTCGAACCAAAAACGAGAAGCCGTACTGGCTGCTGGCCATGCAAGGCGCGTAAGGTGAAGTGCGGCGAAGAGCGTCCTGTATGCACCAACTGTACAAAGAACGGAGAAGTCTGCGATTACAGTATCCGGTTGAACTGGGGCGGCCGCAGCAGGAAAGACAAGGATGGCACGCCGACCGATGGCGGTTTCACCTTCATCAGCAGTCCCACTGGAAGCGCCGCAAGCGGCAATGAGCACGAACACGTCTTTTCAGCACAACACATTGCTGTTGCGCCATCTCAACGCCCCCCGAGCAGTCATCCGGCCGATATGCCCGCATCAATATCCAAGGCGACGAAAGGCAATTTTACATTCAGAAACAGCAGCAGTTCGCCTACCGAATTGAGGTCGCCAGATCTGAGTGAGAAATCCGTGTTCGCCCCCCCTTATCCTCCTGCAAAGAACGATGTCCAAAGCCCGCCACACTTGGCCGAACATGCAGCGCCAACATCGGCGCCGACGACCGATGACTTTTCCTGGTCGTCACAACATCGAGCCAAGCGAACTCGACTCCACAGTCCCATGCCAGCCCGCTCGCCCGCACCTGAAAACGCCACCTCCCAGACGCAATCTCGTGCGAATCTCTCACCCTCGTCGACACTCTCCACATCGCGTGATGTGAGCAGCCACCCGGAGAGGCCCAATACGCCGGACTCCTTCGGCGTTCCCGCATCTCCGTGGTCAATGAAAGTCGGCCTCTCAACCCAAGAAACTCCAGATCTCCGCCGATTGTCGGTGAAGTCTCTTCTCTCAGAGGACGCCACGGACGAGCAGCGATCGTTCGCGCCGCCTCCACGCCCAGCATATCACAAGCAAGGCCACCGTAGCTATGGTTACGACCATGGTTTCCCCGATCTTGACGTACCTCACAATGACGACCATGCGGTCATCCGCCCCCGCTCACCTGATATGCGCCGAGCCAGCATCATTTCTTGCGCCAGCACGAATGACGGCGAGACAAAGCAAATGGCTTTCGAGCCTCACGGTTACTACGCCGAACCGGTGCTGATCCATATCCCTCGCGCCCTAGAGCCATTGCCCGCGGAGCTAGTCGAGAATCAGATGAACCTGCTCTACTTTCACCATTTCATCAACCACACTGGCCGTATTCTCGTCCCTCACGACTGTCCTGAGAACCCTTTCCGCTCAGTCTTGCCCCAGTTGGCCGTGCGGAACCAGCATCTACTGCATCTGCTTTTGGCCTTCTCCGCATCTCACCGCGCGAAACTACTAGATCACCCCGAGCCGGCGAATCGCATCGCTGGTTGGATGTCAGACGTGATCCCCGCCCTGCGAGCCGCACTCGAGCCGCACTCCATACCTAGCCCCACGGACCCCTTGGACCCTGCTTCCCTCGCTCCCTTGGCGACAGCAATCATGTTGGCCTCGTTGGAAATCGTGACCCCAAACACATTTCCCGTGCGGATATCATGGCAACAGCATTTGGAAGTGGCGAAGCAGATGATTGTTGCCCGGGGTGGTCTGCATCATCTTGCACATTCGCGCGCGGACGGAGCCCGCGACAAAGCCATTTTCTTCCTCTCGCGTTGGTTCGCCTACCTGGATGTCCTCGGAAGCCTATCTAATCGTCTTCGCTCGCCCCTCTTTGGGGCCTATCGCGAGGATGGTGGTGGCATGTGGCTCGTCAACCGTGATGATACTGAGGTCTACCAGATCGACTGTTTCTTCGGCTTTACGGGACGCTGCATCGCCCTGCTGGCGCAAGTCGCTGAGCTGGCTGCACAATGTGATGCAGAACGCATCGATCCCGCCACCAATACTGTGCGGCTCAACTGGCAGCCTGAATCTCATCACCGCACCGCTGCGGAGGACCTCCAGAGTCGCTTGCACGCCAGCGCCACGGCCCCATTCCGGGGTTGCATGCATGCTTCGAGCCCTGCTGACCTCTCCCTGGCCTCTACGCCCAGTGCCATCTCCACCCCTGCTTCCATGTCTACCCCCAGCGCCAACACGCCACCACCACCAGCTTTTCTATCATCAGCCGCACATGGTACAGCCCGCGCTGCCGAGATCTCCGCCACCAATACGGCGTTCCATCACGCGGGCCACATCTACCTCTCTCGCCGCGTCCTCAACCTGCCAGCATCAGATCCGCAAATCCAATCGCGAGTCGCGCTGATCAGGTCGGCGCTACTCTCCGTCCGCCGCGGCAGTTCGGCCGAGAGCTGTCTCATCTGGCCAATCTTCGTCGCGGGGTGTGAGAGCATCAGCGCGGAGGACCGCGAGGTCTTCGAGGAGCGGTTACAGGGCGTGGAGGGATGGGGGATGCCGCGAGTCCGAAGGGCTCGGGAGCTCATGCGGACAGTCTGGGAGCAAGGCGGGAACCTACATGGTGGAGCTCGCTGCGGTTGGGAGATGTTGGCAGAGGGGGAATTCTTCGGCTAGATCGATTGCTCTCCTGCTGCCAATATGGAGTAGCCGATGGCTTTATTCACTTAGATACCACGTGATCATAATCCAATCTCGCAGAGTTTCCCAGTAGACTGACATGTCGTCTCGATGCAGACAATCATCTCCGTGCAATCCGTGGACCGGGCGGTGGAGCTTGCGTCCAGCAAAGAGCGGTCGTGGCGCGACAGCCTGCTCGACACAGGTAGGCATTCCATCTCGCGCAGACAAACCTTGACTTGCTGTCTGGATCCCCGCATCGCTTCCGTGGTCGCTTGGCCAGACTGCGCCGTGTCCATCATCCTCACCACTGTCGTCATCCTCCGTCAGACGGAATATAGCACCCTCCTGGGTTTAGCAGGAGGTTCCATCCGCTCCTTCTTACAGGCGAAGGAGCGGTTCATCGGCACTGCCGCGTCACGCGTTGATGGGAGAGCATTGCCTTGTGGAGCCTCTCTCTCTGTCTTTCTCTCTTTCTCTCTCTCAGATGTCAAGAAGCGCGGCGAGAGTTGGCCCCAGAATCGCGCCGTCCCAATCGAGCTCCGCTGCGAACCTAAATTTATTATTAGAGCCCGCGTTCGCATGCCGCCCGCCCGCCCGCCCGTGCGGAAAATATTTCCGAATCAAGCGAATTTCCCCTGCCAAAATCTTGCGAAACACTCCCCGTCGCCTGCACGATCGCATCCGCCGAATCGTGCCTTTTTTGTTTTTGGCAGTCCACGAGGATCGCGCGTGGCGCTTCGCCTCGTCGTCGCTGATGAGTTCCCTGCTGTGGCGTGGGAAGTCTCTCCGCAGGATTCGATTCCCCCCTCGGATCTTCCCCCCCACAACGCCATGTCTTCGGACCACATCCGGGCAGGATCAGGAATCGCAGTCGTCGAGGGGTCGCCTGTGGGTGCGTAGGCCTTGTTACTGATGCAGACCCCGGTCGAACGTAAACCTCCGTCGTCGTCGTCGGACAGTCGGCCGTGTCTACTTGTTTGCAAGCTCCATTCGCCCTGTTGTCGTCCTCTCCCTCTGACGGGCATGGTCAGTGCCTGGCACTATCGCCAGGGGGGCACAGCCGCACACGTGGGGAACGTTCATCAAGGTAAGACCGTAACTTGATACCACCATCAGTCTGTGTCTGCTGTCCTGGCGCGCATCTCGAACTCTCGTCGAAGTGCTCTTTTTTAGATACGGAATCCATTGCCTCAATGGGAAGCCGCGTGTGATCTTTCCTCGACTGAAGCCCTCGCGCGTATGTCAGACTTCTTCGACAGAAGAGTGATATCTCGTGGATATAAAAGCCGGTTGATATCCCGTCCCTAGACTCTCTCGAACACAGCATCAACCACTCCGGAACAATCAAGAAACATTGCAACGAAAGCTCCAATTACTCTCCGTCTCTCGAAACATATCGCTCCCTTCAATCCACCGCTTCGCAGCCCCCAAGACTTCTACAAGATGGTTTCCATGTCAACTTTGCTCATGGTCGCGCTCAGCACTCTGGGCAACGCCGCACCCTTGGTGCCTCGCGTCGATTGCGCGACTGGCTCTGGCGTCTACATCATCGAAGCTCGCGGAACCTACGAGGGAAACCCGGGCAAGATTGACCAGGTTGCTACCCTGATCAAAGGCAAGTATCCTGGTTCGGTGGTGGCCAGTGTCAACTACCCTGCCTCGGCTGGCCTCTTCTTCGATCCCGGTTACAATCAGTCCGTCAGCGCGGGCGTCAACGATACAAAGTCCAAGATCGCGGACTATGTCAGCAGCTGCGGTGCAAAGAGCCGCATTGTCCTCCTGGGCTTCAGCCAGGGCGGCAATGTCATGACCGATACCCTTGCCGGCGGCCCCGGCAAACCTGCTCGCCTGGCCGAGACCTACCGAGCAAACAGTAAGATTGCCCCATCACGCGCTTCGATCGAAGATCCGAGAGATGGGAATTTAGTCTGACCATCCCTCCTAGTTGCCGGCGTGGCCGTCTTCGGCGACCCGACCTTCACCAAGAAGCAGACCTTCAACGGCGGCACCTCGACCAAGAGCGGCATCTTCGTGCGCTCCGGCGGCAGTCTCACCAACCTCAAGACCTACGCCAAGGTCGTCCGCAGCTACTGTGACGAAAACGACGAATTCTGCTCCACCGACAGCGACAAGCAGGGCCCGTCCAACAGCGTCCACAACAACGAGGTGCCCGGCCATGCCGACGAGGCGACCGCGTTCATCGCCAGTCTGCTCGGATAGATGGGACCGGTAAGATCCAGCGAAAGTCCCACCACGGCAAGGAAAGGGTTCCGCCAAAGTCAGTACACTCACATCGACAGTGAGAAGCGCGCCCCCACCAGCGATCCGTCACTGTCAAGATATATTCATGGTATATAGAATCTAGTGATGAATGAAACCATTTAAATTTCGGGGAAAACTCCTCCTGTGAGGTCAATCTTTATTTCTAACCACCCCATCGCTGGCACCTTGACGTTTTCGTTCACTCCACCTTGCTCATGGCTCAAATACCATTCCGAGGTCCTTCGCTGCACAGTGAGGCCTTGCGTAGAAACATCTACATCACGTGCGCTGTCCTCGATGATGCAGAGACGATACTTCCGAGGATAATATCTCCGTCTCTATTTGACCTGCGTCATGGCTCTCTCTTTCTCTCTCTCTCTCTCTCTCTCTCTCTCTCTCTCTCTCTAGCCACTTCATTCAGAAGGCATAAAAATCATCATCATCACAAAAAACGAACTTTGCTACGCTAAACTGATCGACAATCTCCTCGTGATCGAGGGGCGCGGAAAACTCAAGTGAATTCTTCACTGACCTGTTTCGCGATGGAGAGCGCATTCTCGAACTTGTCCTTCTGCATCCGCCCGCCGCCGCACTCCATGGCGGCGCCGAAGTTCGGCACGACCTTCTGGGCGGCCGCGATCATCGCCCGAGTGAGCTCGAGGTGCTCCTCGTGGACGACGCCGAGGTACAGCTCCGTGTTGTGTTTCTCTACGGAGTTTTCAGTCAGCTCGCGTGACGGAAATAAAAAGACTTCGTTGGGGTTTCTGTCGACCACTCACCTAGGTGGGGCACGAGATCCTTCAGCGGCGCGAGGTATGCGTCGAGGTTGTCGCCGGGCCCGTATTGGGCCGTCGCGGACTTGGGCACGGGGCAGTGGAAGTAGTTGATGGGATGCGGCGTTTCCTCGTAGATCCGGATGCCGCGCTCGACCACGACCTCGAGGGAAGGCGGCTCGAACCAATGCTTGTGATCCATGTCGCCTGTGTCGGGGGGGGGATTGTCAGCATCTGTATGGGCGTGTGTGTGGCCACGATCGTGGTTCGATGGACGACTCCGCAGACGAACCGTAGCAGTTGTGGATCCCGAGCTCGACGTCCTGATCCACCTCGGCGAACATGCGCATCATGTACGCGACCATGTAGTCCCGCACGTCACCTTGCCACCATGGCTGGTAGTATTCCAGTGCGGTCCCCTTGGCCTCACGTTTCGTCGCTTCCCATAGTGCCGTGTCGCCGGCGATGTCTATCTGGATGGAGAGGTCCTCGTGAGGGATGCTATCCTGGGTATTTCGCATCGCCTTGAACAGAGCTTTCTCGTAGAGAGGCGCGATCCGCTCCTGAAAGACTTTGCTGATGAACGGCAAGATGACATTCGGTATGGTCGGGAACGCAACCTGGAAGCGCACATGTGATGGGATGACGCCCTCGTCCTTCAGCTTCCGGAAGACCTTGTAACTCACAATCGCGGCGACGTCGTAGCCCGTCTCGAGACCCGACTTTTCGACCGCAGCCACTTTCTCGTCCACTTCCTCCGGAGTCCATGGCCCGCTGTCTTCGACGGCGCCATTGGACTTGAAAACCGTGCAGATGTCCTTGGGGAAAATAGCTTGCTGGAAAAGGGTGAAGTAATGTCGGTCGCCCGTCTCACCGTCGGGGATGCGCTTCAATCGATTCGGGAGCTCAGCGGTGCATGAACGAAAGACGGATTCGGCGTCGCTGTACGGTACGCTGCCAACCAGGTGGCAGCCGGTGACGGTGGGCTGAACCATTGTGACGGGTTTCGCGGACGGGATGGGTCGGCGGGACCGTACCAGAGCGTCGGATCTGGGAGAAGATTGGGGGATCGAGGTGGTCAGCGGTCAGCGACTCGAGGGGCCCATTATGTACCGAGGCTTGCCTGTTGCCTTTGCTCGTTTCGAGATATTCCTCGCACAAACTACTGCAAGAGCGCGGCATGGGTTTCGACACTCGTCGTTGGCGGTGCCCGCACTAACTCTGCACGAGGGCGAATCGCCCGTGATTAACGTGATGGACCAACTCGTTAGCAGAGATCCTGGGGGGCACCGGCGATTCTCTGGGTCACGATCGAGCCAGCCACGATCACCAGCGGTATCACTTGGGCAGGCGACATGTCCCAAGAATGCTAATGCGGTGTCCGGCGGCAAGTCCTTCCTTGTTAGCAGACAAAGGCACAAAAGGGCACGATATCTGGCGGAACATCCCTGCGTGATCGCAATCACCAGTCAGATATCACCCGTCGGATATCACTAGCCACTCTAGCGCGGGCACCAAAAGTGTTATCGGGACCCCGCCATCACTCTCCGATGGGAAAAGACGAGACGACTTTCCAGGCCACCAGCGTATCACGATTCTCTGGCATTAGCAACAGATCCATCACACTAATCATGCTGCCCACACGGGTCACATGCTGCTGGAGTTGCGGTTCCGGCGCTACCGTACACTCGGTTCTCAACTATCTCAAGCGAGGGAGAGAAAGAGAGAGAGAGAGAGAGAGGGAGGGATAGAGGAATCCAACATGAGGAATGCTCGTTATGGGATCCCTCTGGCGTATGATCGCCCTCGCCGCACGCCACATTGCTGCTAAAGAACAACCCAGGTAGCAAGGCTGTCGTTTCGTTGATGAGCCGCGAAAACGATAGATACACGTCGATGCCACCATCACAATGCTGTACTGCAGTCGCCCTCGTTTACTAGCGTCGCCCTCGTTTATCGCTATATCCATATCACATGAATTGCAGGTGGGCTGGGAGAGTGATATGGTACTGATGGGCTCTCAGCCGAGTGATCGTTGCGGCAGGCGCATATCATAGATGCTTCGACCTGCAGATTGAAAGCCTTGGTTGGCGATATATTGCATGAACAACCTGCAACTGAAGTCGATGTATCATCATGGGGCGGATATGCTCTCCATCAGGAATGCCAGATTCATCATGCCATTACCCAGAACCGACACGCCAGTACCTACTTTCCACTCCCCAGCACAGGATGGGTGCATGAAAAAATCCTGAAAAATCCACCACAAGAAATCCTGCTTCAATGCAATGATTACTACCATGATCTCCTCTTTGTCTTTGTTACTTCTCGCGAGACGAGACATCGCATTCGGTTGGAGAGATGTCAGGCCTGTTATGTTGGTTCACGTGACGAGCCGATTCATCCCCGGGCCTCAAATGAATCATCGATGCCGTAACGTTCGAAGTGAGAGGCTACACTCTCGAGTTCAAGGTCTTCTTGCATATACGCTCTCTACGGTCCAGAGGTCTATTAGCGTTGGAGGCTCCGAGTAGGTCGAATACTCCTGAGCACCACAACGTAACATGAGTCCAACCGACCAATAATCAGCGAGTAGAGCGTCATTATCGCATCGTCATGTAATGCCTCGAAACACCTGCTCGATCCACGTTCATGTCGAGTCTCACAAAACGAGAGCAGGCGCAACATCTTCGATCAGTCCTCTGCCGCGTTTCCCTACACGAACAACATGAGAACAGGCCCATGCTCCCCGCACGACCTTCTGCGCGACATGCCAGCACAGCACGACCTGATGAGAGCGCCAACGGCATCTCCCGACCCATCGTAGGCCCCTCGAGAGACGCATGCAAGTGTGGCATGCCCGGGGTGCGTGATAGGAAGTGCAGCGTCCATGCGAGAAGAGCGTGCGATATCACACCCGCCGATAGGCCACGAGGATGACGTGCTCCCAAACGCCGCCGCCGGAGGCTCTCCCTGTGCTGCGCTGCGGGGTCCGTCCGGTAGGGAAGCTCCGGACGATGCATCTCCCACACTACTGTGCCGTGACGAGGTCCTAGTCGAAGCCCGGCGGGATCGTGATCCTCGTGATGGTCCCATACCGACCGTGCGGACCGGAGCGGGCGCATTGCCCTTGACGTGCTGGTCTGGTCAGCAAAGCATGCAGTGGAGCCCTGGCAGGGAATCAGGCACGTACACGCACAAGCCCTTTCATTAGGCATGCCATGGGAGCCTGTCCATCACCGAATGTCAGAGGTGTCGCTGTCCGCGTTCCTCATGAGACAACGAAACTACAGTACCTAGGTGCGAGACGACTCCGATGCCCGTTGAGCTTGGGTGTCCCGTGGGTTTCGTCCAAAAGGACATCACTGAGCGGCGGTCTAGATGCGGTAGATAGATCCTGGCCCTCTTTTTTGCGGGACTGATGAATGAATCACATTCATGAGGAGGATGAGGAGGTCAGCCATGATGATATCGGTGAGTGCAAAGCGCATCTTCCGTGGCCCAGGGAAAATGTGTTCCGCGTCTCATTATTATTACTATCAATTCATGTCCTGGGTGATCACTCGTGGTGATCGTTGATATCATGTCGATTATCAGCTGTCGAGGATAACAACATGATCGATCACCATCGTATCAATGACAGCGAACGAGAGTGCAGCATGGAGGGATCAATTTTGGAGCAGTACTTTATTATGTACGTAGTAGTGGTGTATGTACGTGAGGAGCGTTTAACCATCGAGCGATGCCACCCGCAGTATATCTATTATTCGCGCATGGGGTGTGGGGTTGTTGATGGTTGATGATTGATGATTGATGATTTCCCCAGGTGCCCAGGTCATGGTTGATGATCGATTGGCGAGGACGCAGCTTGCAAGCGACAAAGCCCGCCCCTCGGCGCCCGCACCGGATTCGGCGAATTGAACGGATCTGAACGGATCGCCCAGTTCTCCTCCGTGCCCCCCCCCCCACCTACTACTCCTAAATTATTACCGGGCACGTTGAAGGCGGAGGCGAAACCCGCTCAGACCGGCGGTCTCATCGTTAATCTTTGACAGAAGGGAACAGAGGAAACGCATTTCCGTGATCCTCGCCCAAAGGATGGCACCGGGCTTACCGTCAAAGGGACCAAAAAAATGTGTAGAAGGACGAGACCCATACGAACGGCCACGATGACCACGCGCGAGGTGGTGGGTGACAATCCAGGACCGGCCAGGATGAATGCTACATGTGCATATCCACTCCGCGGTATCCAATGATGAGAGCGAAACTCTCCCAGCTGGACCCCTCGCCGTCACCACCGCCTGGCCTGGGCACCAACGTCAGCGGGGCGGGCGAGCCGATGCAGAAGCGTCTTTGTTAGCTCTTGCTTTCGCATGTCTTGGCTCGCGGACGTCGTTTTCTGGATTATTCCCTTTCCTAAAGGCCGGCTTGTCTCCAATCGTGGTGTGACTGGAATCGAATCGGCTTTCCGGGAGAGCTTCTATCAATCAAGTTGCCGGTCGGACACGCAGCCATCACCAGTCCTCGGGGCATTTCCTTGACCTCGTCGAGCGATAAATGCTCCGTCGCCGGAGAGGAGCCTTCGCGTCTTGTCGATCGACCGCCTTCGGGGAATGAAGTCAGACTTCTCCTCACTTTATGTCTGTCCCGCTCACTTTCCAACCATCGCCTGAGACGTGACGGGATTGAAACGACCGGTCCAGTGACCGCGGAGTCCCGCCTCAACGAGAGCATTTCTGCGCACCACCGCCGCCATGGAATGGTCACCCAGCGATCAACGAACCTCGCAGGGCCCGGCTCATGCGCTGTCATCAGAATCAAGCTTCCAGCAGACTCGAGATGTCGCTGGGAGCAGTGTCTCTGGGTATTGTACGTGAGATGCGTGATCGTGATCGTGGTGTGAGGTGATGTGCTCGCGTTCCCGTCCCTGTGGCGGCTGCCGTCTCCCAGAGAAAGCTGATCATTGAGCAGCCAGCCAACACAGCCAGTCGGGTCTGAGTCCCATCCCGCCTTCGTCGAAGCCGCCCAAGAAGCGACCGGGGCCAAAACGAGACTCCAAACCCGCGCCATCAGAGAAGCAAGAAAAAAACCGACACGCGCAAAGGTACGGTGGGATGGGCGGCGGAAGCTACAACATGTCTGACGATCACACAGGATCCATCGCGAAAGGAAGGAGAATTACACCAAGGTTTGTCAGCCACCTTGGCCAGCTTAAAAACATGCTCAGACGGGATGTAGGCACTGGAGGTAGAGCTGCAGCGCTGCAAGGACGTGTGCACCGAAGCTTTCATGGAGCGCGATAAGGCCTTAGCGGACCGTGACCATCTCCTCGAAGAGGTCCGCATGCTCCGAGCTCAACTCTCCACGCAGGCCAGCCATCTCTCCCCGACAGAGACCTACGCCAGGTCCGATGTCACCCGCAACAGCAGCTTTTCCGCGTCCTACGCGAACACGCCGCCGGGGAATCTGGGCCGCGACGGGACCTCCAGCATCGCGGAAGCGCATCGTGAGAACATGTTCCAACACGTCGGCGGAGGCAGTTTCAAGTCTGACACGGCCCAGTCAGGTCCTAAGAACCCGGAACCGCATGCAGCTGCACCCGAGAGCCATTGTTCCCCCCAAGCAACGTCGCACAACTCTCACAACATTGACTATGACGAGCTTGCGCTGGACTTTGTACTAACGTAAGTGCACAATTCTCTCCCCCTGATTCAAATACTCGTCGGAGACTCACTTCGGGCCCGTCGTGTGTGTCCTCGCCCGCTGACAACCATTGCAAAGTCTTGAACGGCCGTGCTTCACACACGGACAATACCTCATGGTCCGGGCGCACAATCTCGAAAGTCAGCATCCTGAAACCGGCGACGCTCTTCCCGTCCCGGACGAGGTCCCCAAAGATGAGTTGAATCACGACATATCCGGCCATTCGCTCATGGCGACTTTGCCATTCCATGACCACATCATGCATCGGCCAAACGAACTGCGACCGATGGGATATCCCGAAGGTCTCCAGCGTCCAGACCTCATCCGGTTGCTAGGCTTGACGGGCCAGCTCGATTGCACTGACGACGAGCTCCCTCCGGTCAAGGCTTGGCTCCGCGTCCTTCAGAACCCCCGCTTCAAGGAGCTCAATCTGGACGATTTGATGGAGCTCAAACGGAGATTACTGGCGAAGGTGCAGTGCTTCAGGTCAGTCATCTTCTCAACGTCCCTTTCAACCCTCGCCAGAGCTATGATGGCCTTGCCAGTACCGCTACTGACATGGTGTTAGATTCGGCGCGGTCGTCATCGAGGAAGATATCGTTGACACGGTGGAAGACATTCTACAGTCCAAAATGGTGGAAGTCCATTAGTCTGTCGAGCGAGCTTCTCTCCACAAATATTGCGCAGTGCCGCGACATGCTCTGATAATGCCGAGTTCGCTCTTGGGCATCTTTCCCAGGAGCGAGCATGATGATTCGATGCGCGGCCCAAACATGCCAACATGGCGACGAGTCTTGACGACATCGCTGCAAAGGTCGTTGCTCGGCCTCTTACGTGGTTCGCGATGCTGCTGAAAGATTACGAATAATGCCTGGAAAGGCTCCTCATCTTCGGTAGTCTTAGCATACTGCTCTGGAGGCACACCAAGCACGGATGTCGGCCATCTCGGGCGAGTTGGATCCGAAGAGTGATCTGGAAACAATGTGTGACGAGAGGCACATCCATCCGACTCTCGGTTGTTGGACCGTCGAGCTCAGAGGGAATCGCCTAAAAGTTTTGTGAGATTTGGATTCGCCCTTCTACTTCACGATGGGCCCGCGTTACCAATTGACCACGAAATGTACATCACTCCCGTCAAGGTATAAAAGGTCCGCGTAGAAATTGCACGATCAGAGGTTGCACTCTGCGTGGCGTACGGTCTTCCCCATGGCAGTAAATATCTAACTCACACGAGAACGACCAAAAGTTTCTGCCTGTTCATGAGGGAAAGGAAGGAAAGGGTGTGTTCCACTGTGGAAGTGAATCCTGATGTGGATGAAGGTAGATCATGATTGCCGTGTCCCTTTATACTGACGACGCTGTTGGAACAACCCTACATAGCCAACCCTATCTATATAGCCAATCGATAATTGTGCCACCGGATGTCAAATTTGAGACCCGCTCGTGCGTCATATTGATATGTGCTTTGCCTCATGACTATCAACATCGCGCAGCATACTCCACCACTCTCCCGCAGTAAGCGCAAACCGACATTCCCAGGAGCTCCGTCTATCGTTGCGATGGCTCGTCGTCTTTCATATTCACCTGTCGAAATATCCTCTTCAACTACAAAGCATCCCCGTCTCGCCCACAACCACGCCTCATCTGCCCCTTAGATCGAGATGCATTGGGCTCTCCAGACACTCCAAGACACGTCGGCCGTGAAGTGGATCAGCATCAGACTCCTCTCGCGACGCCCGTCAGATTCGAGGACGAAGATGCCCGATCAAGCCACGTTCCTCCGGGGTCTTGCGAAGCTCTACCCGGACGACGCAAACTCACCGTGGTACATCTTCGTCGGGCTCGTCCTCCAAGCCAACGACCGCATGGACGCGATCGCTGCCCTCTTCGAGATCCTGAGGGAGCAGACTCCGAATCGAGAAGATCTGATCACGAAGGTCCGCACGCTGAGAGAAGCGCAGCTCAAAGCCAGCGTCCTGATCGGCTTTCCCAAGGTGAGCATCGACCATGGGCTCCAAACCCGAAACCCGTCTACTGACCTCAGCCCTCAGGGCATCAACGGATGCATCGCGCTGCGAAACGCGGTCCAGAAGACCGCGCCCGAGCTCCTGACCGTGCTCGACAAGGACCCCTCGCTGAGGGAGAACCTCTCCCGCCAGGAGAAGGACTCGCGGGGCCTCGCCTTCTTCCAGAGGATCTACTCCCAGCACACGGACCGCGTGCTGGAGAACATGTCCCTGGCATCCGGGGGCGACCTGTCCCAGTTCGCCATCAACGCCGTCTACGGCGACCTGATGGCCGAGGAGCGCCGCCTCGGCGCCAAGGAGACCGGCCTGCTGGAGTTCCTGGCCTGTTATGCTGCCGGGTGAGTGACCCTAGGCTGGGACCCGACACCCGCTGCTCCCCGTTGAGGTCGGAATCCTTTTTCGCTGACATGGCCGCGTGATAGAGGTTCATCTTGGTCGCAGGCGAAAGGCCACATGTTCGGCAGTCGGAACTTGGGGAACAGCGCGGAGGAAATCCGGGGCGCGCTGAATATATGCGACGCGATCGAGGACCATTTTCAAATCCACGTGAACCGACAACCCGCCGCCAACTGGACTTGGTTATCTAAACTCGACGCCTGGGATCATTGATAGATGGGAGATGATAGATGATAGATTCAATGTGCCAGGAGACATTATTTGATTGAGAACTTTCGACCAGCGCCGTGATGTCACACGAAGCACAGGATACAACATGGTCGAAGACGAGCCAGAACGAGATGTGACTCGACGCGTCCTGCTGCCCGCGCTGCCATGGTCTGACGCACTCTGTCGTTCCCACCCGCCTTCAAGCCATTTTGAAAATCGCCTTGATCGCATCCGCCGCCAAGCCAACGTTGTAGTCTATGAGGACTCGCCGGTCCGGAGTGCTCCCGGGGCCCATTATGCATATCAACGAGAGGTAATCGTTGATTTCGCGACCGATCATGTACAAATTCTGGCTGCCCGGGAGGGTTATGCTGCTTTCGCCCACCGCCTCGCTGATCCCGTTCGATTCTCCGGCCAGGTCGCCGGCGTGGACATGGCTTTCCTCCTCGTCATAGTCGTCTGTGTCGCTGTGGCCGACGCGGCTGTGTCGGAACGGATCGATGGCGGTGTTGCCGTCGTTGCCGTCGTCGTCGTCGTCGTCGTCGTCGAAGTCGTCGTAATCATCGTCGTAATACTGGTCATGGCCGCTGTGGCCCGAGTATTCCTCGTCATCCTCATGGTCGCGCGACGTTCGTACGTTTCGACCTCCTGGCCGATTCAGTTGCTTTCTCGACTGTTGTGTTGCTCGTCGTCGATGACCGCTCTCTTCGGATCCATTACCGCGCCAGCCGTATATGTTTTTGGCGTCCACGATCATGTCTACATACTCGGAACAGACCTCGAAGTCGCGCAGGAACGTCGGGCTGGCGTCGGTGGCGAGGTATATGCGTGACATCGTGTCGAACAGATATACCTTCTGCATATTGCATTTCGAGCATAGCTTCGTCAGGAGCGTTTCGATGGCCGGTAGCTGCGGTAGAAGACGCTGCACTACTTTACTGATGGCCTCGTGGATCGAAGCGTCGTATATGCTGGTCTGATGGAACGTGAGCCCTCGATTGCCATATCCTCGATCGTTGAGTTCATCTTGAATATTTTGTCGGACGTCGCGGAAGGTATTGTTCTTGTACTCATCACTGAGGCCATCCGTTTTGTGCACAAAGACTTCGAAATTTATCCGCGGATAGTTGTTCATCAGCCACAGTGCTGTGCTGACTAGCTTGTGGATGCTGTGGATGTTTTCGTCCTGGATGTCGATAACCCAGACAATTGAGCCGGCCGAGCTGAAGATCGCTTCATGATTGTAACCTGGTGACATGAACGGCAGAATCGATGGTACCTCTACGCATTCCAATTTGATAAAGGATCTATAGACGCAAGTCAACACATGGGACAACCGGGTTGCAGACTCCAGACGTACTCGATCGCGGTAGATTCAACAATCGTGTTTGTTGGCTCAAGGTACAATGTCTCACCAGCAGACTTGGTCTTTAAGATGACATGCTGGATAGAGGACTTTCCACACCTGTATCACGCTTGTGATCAGCAACCCGCGCCATCAAAATAGCGCTGCGACACCATATATAAACATACCTGCCCAGGCCCATCAACAGTACCTTGGGAACACCCTTCTGACTTGCTTCTCCATTGCGCCACGTCCTCGACTCAGCCTCATAGTTCACAGATGCGCTTGATTGCACTGCGATGCGCCGTTGGCCCTGATGAGAATCCGTTAACCAAATGTCTTCCCCATGCGAGCTCGGAGTCGATGAAGTGTGGCTCGATGAGGTAGTGGCAGCTCGCGAGGAGGTGAATCGGAGTTGAAGAGGGTTGGTTTGATGGACGGCTTCGGGCGCCGACGAAGGACTATAGATGCTTGCGCCGAAGAGTGTCCTCATCGCGACAGACACGACGGCATGAATCTGGGATAATATTTGCACCGAAAGTTTGCAATTTTGATGGTGAGTAGCATAGAAGTGAACTATTCAAGTTACCGCCGCGATGCATACTTCCAAGGTGCATGATGCAGAGGGCACATGTGGTAAGTGAGTTACAATGCCGTGCTAACAGACATCTTTCATTGATACTTTGGAGATAGGGTCAATTCCGAAGCCCATGCCGGTCGCCTGCGTCTTGAGGAGGTGGAGAGGGGGAACCGGGTGGTTGACAAATAAGGAAACTGTGAACAAAGCAAGTGCAGCAAGTATTGTGGAAGGTACATCCCGCCGTCACGTCGATTCACCGGAACAATACACGCCTGAGCAAGCATGTTTCGAAGCGCACCTGGGCAGGGGTGGGCGGAACGATTGAAACGACTTTGGGACCACTTACATCCATTCCCGCCGCCATGATCGTTGCTTATCAGACGAGTTCGCGCCTGTTGCGGTGCCTCGAGTGCCTTGTCACCGTTGTACAGGGGCCTCTTGGGATAAGATACTGCAGGAGTGATTTAGTCGCGGCAGCTTGCTCCTGTGATGACCTTTCACCGCTCTTCGGATCGGACGCCAAGTCAACGCGGGGGCATAGATAGGCAGTGCGGGAGCCGTGGAGGGATGAGGCCGCGGGTCGACGATGACATGTGCGTCGTCCCTTCAGACGTGCATCGTGTCGGACGAGTGAGAAGGCAGATTAATGAGAGAGAGCGGCCCGCTCGGCCAGTAATAATAATAGATTACAGGGCTGAGGCTGAAATCCGACAGTGCTTTTTCTTCTCGAGGATGCTGCTAATGCAGAGCCGACGTACGTCAACGGGATGTTATGAGGCTCTCGGGAAGCGTTGCCACGATTTCGGAGATGACCAGAGTGAATCGAAGGCGGTTCCTCCCTGTCGCGGGCAGTTGAAATTAAACTTTCCGGCCCGTTATCAGTCGTGCACGTTTGTGTGACGGGGCGTGGGACGAGCCTCGGAAGATATGCCCCCCAGGTGCTTTATTACCAGGGTGGTGATGTCACGTGCGAAATTCCCATCGAGTTCGCAGCGCTGTGGACATATTCGACTGTTGTCAAGGTGTTGCGCAGTACTGCGGAAGGGTAGAAATTTGAGAACCCGAGAGCGTTGGGCCAGCTGCACGATCGGTGGAGTACAACTGGCTGGTCGCAAGTAGCATCTGCATGCTTTTGGAGAACACCACAACTTCAGGCGTGATCTCATCTCAATGCCTCGTCGAAGCACCAAAGGCATCGTGTCGGGCGAATCAGAGATGATTAGCGAGTAGGTTTGCTCTGAAAGCTACTTTCGTTAACACCATATCATGACTATGTGTAGCTGATTTGCGATAATGATGCTAGCCCTCTAAATGCGACCGAAGCTCGTTCAGAAACCCATCAGTCAACATCAGTCCCGACCACCAATGACAAGCAAATGCCTGCCGCGATAGTGGAGGCCTTGCCACCAGCGCAACCGCTACCCCTGGATGTCGATCTACGCTTCCTCCAGGATCGCGACCTGTACCATAAACTAACAACCGATGATATCCACAATGCATTCCTCAATTCAGAACTTCGTCCTCGCAATGACGCCACCTTGGCGATGCTCCTGGAGGGCGGCCATTTCCGCAGGGCAGCCGAAGTCGCCATGCGTGCCATCATCCAATGTCCGCCGGACGTCGCATCTCAGATCTTGCCTCTTTTCTACACACGCCTAGCTTGTCTCGTTCTGATCTCTCGACAGGACTTTGCATTGCAGGAGGCGCTGCCGCTACTCGAGATCCTATCAATCAATTCCCATGAAGCGCAAGCTGTCGTTGCACAAATCCCTTGGGAGCTACGGCTCTTGCTCGCACGACTACAGATGGCCGGTGCTGCTGACGGTGGTCGCCGTGGGATCATGACGCTCTACATGCTTACCACGGAGGCCAGGGCTGCCCTTCGTGCGGGAAGAGATGCTCGAGACCCAAGAGCGACCGAGCTCTGGAGCGCGCGTCTCCAGGATCTCGGCTTCCGCGTCGGCGACGCTCTGGTCGAGATGGGAGAGGTAGAGACCGCTGATCGACATTTCAACAGTCTTGTTGGAGTTTGTGCTACAGAGGAATTGGAATATCGCAGAGCGCTTCTGCGAGTCCGTCTGGGCGATAGAGATGGTGCTCAGCGAAGTGTGGCAAAACTTTCCGAAGGAAGTAGGAAACGAACCTTGCACGCCGTCTTGGACATTGCAGAAGGAGACTACACTTCTGCGATCGAGACTTGGCAATCGCTAATCGAGGAATATCCCAATCACGAATTGTTCGCTCAGAATGCTGCGGTCTCATTGTTATATACGGGTCATATCCGATCCACACGTGATGCGCTTGAGGACATTTCTCAGCGACTCCCGATGTTCCCGGCTCTTTTATTCAATCTGAGCACAGTGTACGAGCTCTGCACAGAACGCGCTGCGGAGAAGAAGAGTAATCTCGTCCAAGCGAGCGCGGACCGAACACCTCAGCCGGCAAGCGGAGGTTGGGAACGTGCTAACATCGAATTCAAGCTTTGAGCCCAAGATCCTGCTTCGGCTGTTCTTCATGGCGTGCGTTGAATGCCTGCAAGGCACAGGCCTCTTTGGATGTCGAGGGCGACATGTCAATCCCTACATCAGCCATGGCTTCATCGATGTCCAGGATAAGGTCTTCGGCCACGAGCTCCGCTCTTGCCGCATCATAAGCCATCACCGCTTCGGATAATTCCATTTCGGCTTGAGCGAGAGGCAGTCTGGAAATACTGTCTCTCTCTATGACATTTGACCAGATCTGAACCGCCTTTTCTAGGTGGCGTCTGTTGGAACTGCCAGTCAGCCCCGTACAACCAAGCCTTCATGTCCAAGGGGCTCGCAACGTCGACTGGAACTCACTGCGGGAAGATGAGACTTACACTCGCGTCTCGAGATCTTTCCCCATCTCTACCCGCGAGCACAGCATATGTGCTCGCGCCTTGACCGCGTCACTCGCCTCATAATAGAAAATTAGATCTATCGCCTCTTGACAGTCTTCATATCGCTTGTCAGCGAAGGCGTTTCTTGCATACTCTGCCGTGCGGACTTGGCAGCGGCCTTTCAAGGCGAGTTCGGCCCACGAGTAGCTGCCAGGGTCGCGCAGATGTCGTTTGGCCTTTAGAAGTGCAAGCATCTCGGTGAAAGAACCTGCCTTTTTGGGCCGAGCTTCGTTGATGGCCGTGTAATTTCTGCAACTCGAATCAATTAAATGCTCAAGATGGCTCTCCTCATGATGCTTCTCGGAATCCTCCTTCGCCATGGCGGTTGTTAGACACAATATATTGCTGAGCGAATCAGAATAATCAAAGCCGGAGATGTACGAGGGCGATGATTGCAGTGACGAGTATGTGCTTGGGATGAAATGGTCACGTACTGTGACGCATTTTTATAACGATACCTACCTATGTATGATGAGAGGAAACCCTGTTTGTGCAGTGTGACCGAAAGTTTGTTTGCACGGCATTATGTGGGCGTCGCGTGTCACCTGCATGCGTTGAATTATTACTATACTCGAAAGGTGAATTCACCTAAAGAGGAAGTACAGGATTTGCGAATTTGTTGTTTGGTTGTTATTATCCTGCCTTGGAATGTCACATTTCGGAGCTGCTTCCTTTCACGCCGCTTTCCTCACTGAAATGCACCTGCACGGTTTGACATCGGCATGTGTGCTTGGTATGACTTCATGACCAGGCAATCTTTGTGCTTGCGAAAGGCAAGGCGATTCTTGAAATGCCGACCAAAGGCAATTAGGCCATCTAATACCGTCATCTGAGAGTCAAGATGTCTGCATCTCATGATCAAGATTCCTGCTCAGAGTCGGTCGACGGGATCTCTCCGAATTCAGCGGCCTTCTCATCGCAGATCTTCGCAAGGCCTATGTCTTTGCTGGACAGGCCTTCGGGCCGATGCGTCGTCCATCGGATGTGCACTTTGTTGTAGACGTTGGACCATTCCGGATGATGACGCTGCGCCTTGATGTCGACGACGACCGCATCCATGAATTTCTAGACGGGAAATCTCTCAGTCATCGCGCAGTCAAGCCATGATTTCACGGGCGGACCGCCGCGGTGATGTCCATTCACCCACCCAGGTTTTGACGAATGTCGGGAAGCGGAAATCTCGCTCGAGGCCTTTCCCATCCAGACTCAGAGTCCATCCTCGCTTTTCGATGAGCTCCGTGGCTTGGGCGATGATTGCAGACGCGTCCGCTTCGCCAGGGGAGACGCGAATCTCGGTCGTCCGATTCATGCTGCGGGTTGTTGTACAGTGCAAGGCCCGACCGGGAGCGATGATTCCACCCACGACGACAACACGCCTTTCAAATTGTAGCAAGAGGCGGCGGCCCGCCATTGTGGATTTAGTCGAGCAGATGGCGAGATGCATTTCATGTTGAAGCCAGCAACAATAAAAAGACATATACACGTTCAGGGGTGCTACATTCATTTCTTATAGACTTTTTACAGGTCCTGATTCTCAGTGGATTTCGCTCATTGGCATCGATCGTCCTGACAAACAGTTCTTGACTACGGTCATGGACGTCAAATTGTCAACGCAGAGTCGCACTGCTGCAGGCCGGCTCAGTCGATGCGCACTGCTGTCCAACGCGCTCTCAAGGTGGAGTGGTCATATCACGTGACGTCACACCACAGTGTGTCGTTACGACATCAGAAAACACGACTCAGACGAAGACTTTTCCTCCAGCAACGCGTCATTTTATAATTTGTATTATTGGTAGCCGCCCATTGAAGCGTTATTTGCGTATCATGACACATGCATATGGTAGTCATCCTTTCCCGCATTCAGTACACTCGGGTCATGGTTCCTCCTACTCATACGATACGCCCGCGGAGTCGTCAATAAGTACCCGTCTTCCTTAAAAGTTGGTGATAAAACCTTGGTGGATTCAACAAACCGGAACTTGCCTCGATGGCGTCGAGCAAGTGACTGACCAGGCTCTCATGCTCTCGGACTCGTCACTTGAGTGGTTTGGTCGGAGCCATGCTAATGCGCACAGGCACCGCTGGCAGGAAAGTACAGCTTTCGCCTCAGTCACTTTCAAAATTGTAAGCACCAAAGGCGTGCTAGCTGTGGTTCCGGTGAAGTAGATCTTCAGTAGTTGTTGTCGATGCTGTGATGAGGTTGGCAAATGTGGCACTCAGGGTCTCACCAGCCGATACATCTGCTTCGTCCGACTGGCGGAATTTTTTTGCTCATCTTCACAATTTGCGTCTGTGTCGGCTCAGCTCACGTCACCGCCATTGGTTTCACGCGTGTTTCCTGCGGCTGGAGGATGCTTATCTTCGTTTCCGACCATCGCTGCCAGAGACCTGAAACTGACCTTGCTCTCTGGCGCCGCGGCTGTGGACGCTGAAGATGGACTTGACGTGTCTGACGGTGAGGTCTGTGGGGTATTCGAGCTTGTAGCAACAGATCTGGCGCCAGTAGTGGGCACAGTCAAGAAAGCAGATGATTCGGAAGGCATCCCTGCGGGCTCTCCGTCCCTGCCCTGCTGTTGTGAAGAAGCTGAAGCCGCTGGAGATGGTGAGGGCGACAAGGAGACTGACGAAGATGAAGCATTGTCTCCGCCATCTGGTCTGAATTCTGACAGCGGCTGTGAACTCTGTGCACCTGTAGGTGCGTTTCCCTTGGCCGCCTCGCTATCTGATTTCGCCTTTCTCTCTTCCTCCGCCAGGAGTGATTGTCGAATGGCCTCCAGCATCATAAGCTCTTCGAGGTCCTCCACTCGCGCAACCCGTTGCCTGCTACTCGTGTTCTCTGTCCCGCTTCCACCTTCGTTGCTGTCCCCGTTCCTTGGGCTTAAGGCACGGTTGCCAATGCCGTCGACGAGGATCATGCGCCGGCTTCGCCCGCCTAGACGTAAGGCCGAGCGACTACTGCTGTGCCCTGACCCAGAAGCGCCCGCGGCATGTTCTCCTCCGAGCATGTAAGCAGCCGTATGGAGCGCCGTAGCAGCAGCGGAACGACGGAGAGCTTGTGCCCGTGCATCTGCCAATTTTTTAGCCCAATCAGGGCGTACGCGGTCTGTAGTGATCACGTTCGGCGCAGTGGCGGATAGAGATGTCGCACGGCGACGCATCGCTGTGTTAGATGACGCCGACGGTGGACCTCCAGACGAAGCTGAGAGCGCCAATGAAGTTGTGGATGACACCGCCGAGGTGGCATTGCGAAGCCCTGAGAGTGGAGTTATGGTCGATGTGTAGGCAAGCCCACGCCGGAAGGGTGGAGGATCATACGTCACACCAAATTCAGGCGTAACGCAGAAGGGACATGAAGCGATCTCCGAAACGAGGAGTCCAGCCTCTTCCTCAGGGTTTCGCGGAGGTTGCCCCGGTTGCTCGTGCTCCGGCGGATGTGGGTCGGGTCGCTTGATCTGTACAAAGCACTCAGAACAAATGTCCTGATTGCAGCAACGCGTATGATTTAGGAAAGGGGGATAGTAGAGGAAGCAGATAGGGCATTCACTAGCATCCTTGTACAAAACAGCCTCTAGAGGCGTGCCGTTAACCGTGGGCTCATGAGGCAATCGGATTTCTTGCAATGTAACCTCCGGCTGGGACAGTCTACTGTTGTCCCCGGCGGCCGCCAAAGTCTTAGCGCGACTTCGAAACATTGGAGAGGTCGAAATGGAAACAGCAGAGGGCGAAGGTGGACCGGACATGGAGAAACTCGAATGTGGCGCCGAGAGATTCGCGGATGCATCGGATTGCTGCGAGAGGGATCGTGTCGGGATGGGGACCATGAGCGACTCGGCTTGGGGAACGTCCACACCTTGTTGGGGATATGTAGACGATGACGCCTGCAACGATTCTATCTCTGGTGGAACCTCGTCGGGCGCGGGAATTGGCAGGCCTCTAGCCGCAGCAATCAATTGCGCTTCAGTCCACGAATCGGAATGATCCTCTAAGCCTTTCCAGAAAGGTGCCAGCCGTCGCTCAATCTGTAGCTGACGTACGATTGCTTTGTTGAAATCCTCTGGGCCTGTGTATGTCCCTAGCGTCACCAGAAAGCCGCCATCAACACTCTCTTCTCGCATGCTGCGCTCCCGTTCCTTCAATCGCACCTGACGGTCCCGCTCAGCCCGGCGAGCGTCTCGTTCAGGTTTGGTCTCTCGTGGTCGATCCGCAGCTTCGGCATCGCGGTGGCCTCCGCTGCTGCCACCTCCGCCTAAGTGGAGGAAAGCCAGGTTCTGACTGCTGCGACGGAATGTGCCACCGCGAGTGGCTGCTCCGTAAATCTGGTTGGCTAAATCTTGATCGCGGGTCGACGATTGCCGTGACGAATCCTGGTGATGATGTGAAGATTCGCCGTGTCCGTGTGCGTGGCGCCCTTCGTGCCGGGACGATGGGCGGCCATCCTTAGAAGAGCTATTGCCCATTTCGTTGAAACAGACAGTGATGAACCGAGTCACACCGGCTCGTGATGATCAGAGGACTTCACGGATGAGACATGTGTCGCTTTGCCACTCTCCCCCGTGGACAGAGAACTTACAGCTCCAATGAGAGTAGGGTGTTTGCAAGTGATGGATTCCAAGGGTGATTCGTGGCTGAGGCAGCGAGCAAGCGATATGTAGATGACGCGGGAGCGGGCCCCGGTCGCGTGTACAAGCGAAGGAGCTGCGGGATGATGAAGGACACCACAAACGGCTGACTTGCAATTCAGCGTAACGAGAACAAGCAGCGATGTTCGTGCAAAGATCAACTGTCGCAGTTGTTGGTGAGCGGATTTTACAAATGATGCAGGTAATGTGACGCGACACTGTGCTGAAGACTGCGATCGCCGAGGGTGCGTGTCCGGATGAAAGCGGTCTACTCTGGCCTGTCCCAAGGTTCAGCAACAGGCATGGACTTCCGAGAACAAACAATGGTCGGCGGTCGCAGACGACAAATAGCAGAAACACGAGGGAGACCCAAAAAGAGATAAGAGGTCAGTGAAAGATGATACAGTGGATTGGATGCACACGCGCAAAGAGCTGTGAGGGCGTCGGCGATCATGTTTTGGAGTGATGATGGTGCACCTGCCTGTCCCATAAATACTTATCATTATGAGGGGCAGCGACTCGGACTGCATAATAACATTTGACAGAGCGTCTACACTTGTGAAGCTTCACATCGTCAAGTTCTACATCATCGCAGCACTCGAACAATTGCAGGCAGTGAATGTAGGTCAACGGTAACGCTGCTTGTCTTGCGGAATGCTGTGCTGTGGAGTCGAAGCTCTGCTTGAGCATACCTAGTGTGCCCAGGTGCCCAGGTGTCTCAGCGTTCAATGTATTTCAGGATCCTCATTTGGGCTGAAAAGGCGCACCTGCATGCAATGCTGCACGTGCACAACCTTACGCTTACTGAGAACCCAACTTGGCACAGAGCATTCGACGATCTATTCCAGAAATGCAGCGGCTGCTCGGCCTACTCACTGATGTATCGTCTACGGCCTCTAAAGCAAGACACATGTGCTCCAGTCGACTTGTCCTCAACGAGTGATTGATTTATGAACCATTTTGCATATCGCCTTCATGCGTGCCTCCATGCATTCGCCCCTCTGCCATCCTGAACTCAACCGGACAGACATCGAATTGCGTCCGAGGTCCTCGACTTTCCAGCTGGACAGATGGCGATGACGCTCACGCCTGTATTGCATTTCATGTTGAATGAATCCATTCACAGGCATCATTCATATCGGCGCTCGAGACGGCCACGTACACCCTCAGATGCCCAGCGCCTCTCAATATACTACCAGATCTCATATCCAATGTCGTTCATTGCAGGATAGCTGGCATAAGAGCCATGGCCTTTCAATCTAGCTGCCAGATCGATTTCTTGTAGTTCCGGATCAAGTCATGTCCACGCGAGTCTGTCAATATTTCTCTCGTTAGCGTTGCGATGAATGATTCTGGTTGCCGAGCAGGCGAATGTGGAATGCAAAGGTGTACGGCGCTGACGGAAACGACTTTAATTCCTGCGATCCAGTAAAGGTTCCCGGCACAACTTTTGCGTAAAATCTCGAGCATCAATATGTCTGTGTTGAACGCGACTCAAGTGTGCCACGTCGCTCTTCAAGGTGTGCTCCGGAGCTGAAAAGAGAACAGTTTGCCTGGCCGAGGATCAAGTTTGGTGGTTGGGTCGGCATATCATGATAAGTCCAACAATGACGCAATGAGAATGGTCTCCAATGCCGTAGGCCGTCTTGAGGTCATTCATTTATTGACCATGAGAGTGAAGGGGTTTCTTGTTCACTCCCAGTCGTCGTCTTCTTCGTCATCATCCTCTTTTCCTGCAGCCTTCTTGCTCGCTGCGACTTGAGGGCTGCCGGTAGCGTGGCTGGCGGTGCTGGACGCCAGCATCATATCATAGCTAGCATCTGAGTCAGCTACACTTCGCTTCTCGTCCTCGCTGCGCCTCGATTCGTGTGGCTTCAAAAGGTCGGAGGCGGATGTGCTGGTAGCTGGAGCATTCAGCGTCGTGGTCGATTCGGATGTTTGTTGAGTGGGCTTGAAGCCGGACGCAGAATCTTGCTCGTCATCGTCATCGTCGCCCCAGCCGACTTCTTCTTCAGCATCAGCACCTAATTCTGAATTAGCGATGGACCACAAATGACACATTTCCATCTCGATGACCAGCTGTCTGCTTACCCTTCAGGACCTCCTTGCGCCGGCGCTCTTCCTCATCGACGGCCTTGCGGAGGAAATAATAGCGCATCCAAAAGTTCTTGTAGTCTGCACGTTCGGGTACTGCCCATTCAAAGGTTCGTCTCAACTCCTCATATTTCTCCAAGTCTTGAGCGATGCCCTCGGTACGATCTGTGATGTTGAATGCCGCTTCCCATGCCTTCCATTCGGGTCCCGAAGGATCCACAGTAAAGCTTGATTTGGACGAGTGTATCGCGTGGAGCTGAGCGTCCAGACGAGTTGAATGGAAGATCTTCTTGCCACTTCCGTCATACGTCTCAAATAGCACTTCACTACTATATCCATTTCCGTCCCGGCCATCGGCCTCGTCTGGACCTGTGATTTTGACCGCCTCTCGGAGAAAGTCCCGCACATTGAGACCAAACTTCATCAGCGCATCATCGGCAGCGTCTTCGGCCGATCGGAGGTCTTTCAATCTTGCTGTGGCTGTGGCCCGGAGTGTTGCTACCAACGAGCCCGCTTCTCTGACGATTTCTGCGGACAATGGTCGTGTGGAAGTGGCGTCACCTTCAGCATCGGTAGCAGCAGCAGCCGCGTCGCGCTCCGTTGACTCCCCCTCTCTTGGCGCGGAGGCCAGAGAAAGTGCTCCTGTGCTGCTGACGACCTGCTCGCGAAGCGCGGTGAAACTCTTGGTCGCCTGTTCCGACGCATCGGAAGCCTCCTTCTGGAGATCGTGATATAGATTCTCGCCCTGTTTTTTCACTTGGCCAAACCACCCGCCCAGTGCAGTGCCCCATGGCGATGTCGACACGGCCTTGAAGGCTTCTTGCAGGTCATGGTTTAGATTGTTGGGTTCGGCCGAGCTGCTTGCAACCTCCGCTTCGGCGGGAAGGGCCTCCTCTTGTATGCGATCGTACGCTGTGTCCATATTCACCACGTATGAGGCGATAGGTAATTTTGTGAAGGCTATGCAAAGATGATGCAGCCACTGTTGTGCATCGGGGAGTCGAATTCGCAGGGTCTCGAGCTCGAAGAATAAAGGCTGACTTCCAGGAACTGCGATAAGTGCTGAGCACTGTATGCTGGTCCACTGAACCAACAAACTCCACTACTACAAGTAGTCCCGTGAGCGATCGACCTGTCACATGCAAGCGGAACGGGCGTGACGCAGCTCCCAATACAAGGGGTGGGGCCGCCGATTCCGTGGAGATTGGGATAAAGAATCACGTGATCATCGTCATGACCCGCAGTCGATTGTTGCTCTGGTGACTTGAACGATGTCAACAATGATACCATCAACCCTAATATTGAGCTACACCTGGACAAGCGCATCTGAGTAACAACCACGCCGGCAGGAAAGCATTTGGTTCCAGAAGCACTCTGACAGACTAGACGGGATTACCAGTGGAGGTTTTACACCCCGACCATTGATAAGAAGTTCCACAGATCTCTGATCACCAACTGATCTCTTCGCCTATGGCACGCACGAAGTCGTGAGACCGTCATGCGCAAATTACTCCTCACTCAATCGCAGGTCGCCGTCGTCGCCTCATCTGGAGCTTTCATCTTATTCGCCTTCCTACTGTTCGTCTCCGGCCTAGCGTTGCAGCAGAAGACCGTGAGAGATCTACACATCTCAATCAAGCCTCGACTACCACAACCTCCAGCTGCTCTTCTTCACCAGCGGGAGCAATCCGAGATCGCTGAGCGATTACTACGATCCCGATATGTCCATCGGAATGGCGACCGCGTCGCCTTGACGGACCTCAGTCGCGACATACATGAAGCGAACACGCAAATCGATTGGCAGCGCTTGGCACATGTGCAGCTTGTCCAAGACCATGGCGAAGTCTGCAATGCCATCATGATTCTCGCGGAGCTACAGCGGATGAAATCTCCGGCGAGGAAAGTCCTACTATTTCCCGTCGGATGGGCGGAGGAGAAGCGTGCCTCGAAGGGCGAGATCTCCGACCCGTTTCTTGACAGTACACGGCGATTGATGCGTATGGCTGCGAGACGATATCATATCGAGCTGCGGCCCATAGTTCCACAGAAGGCTGCCATACCCAGTGACGGAAGTGGAACTGCCTCTACCAACGAGATCTATTCCCTTGCAAACATCTACGCGTTACACGGAGAATTCGATCGCGTTCTGACGATCGAGTCGCCTGGTCTGGTCGTGGACGCGGAACCACTCGACGCCATCCTCGCCTTCACCGAAGATACCCCTTTCACCATGTTGCATGACACCGTCAATGACGACGGCGTCCACTCCGAAGACATGTTCTTGCTATCGCCATCCGAGCAAGTCTACGGCGAGCTCAGCGCACTCATCTCCAATTCATCCCTCAAAGATTCCAAAGCTGCTTCAGCACCGGAATTCCTCGCCAAAGCTTTCCCTCACCCTCTTCTCCTGGAATCGAGCACCGCCGACAGCGCATTAGTACGTGCAATTGGCGCCCTGCATGCTGCCGGTGACGACTTCAACCAGACAGCGTATATGTCTAACGTAGCTTATCTCCGCTTCTGGGATCCGCAACTGCCAGGCGGTCCACAATTTGATTTCCCGTGGGATACGAAACGTGCAGCACGACCTAAGAGTGCGCGGGCGGATTGGACGTGGACTTCGCTTTATGCGCGGTTCGCACAGACCCGGAGAGATGTCTGTGGATTGGATTTGGAGACATGGAGAGACGAGTGAACGTCCATGTGAGATTTCAAGAAACATGGTTCGATGACTCCTCATCTGCTGTCACAACGGAGTTCCTGCACGCCAGGGCGTTATTTTGGGCTGGAAAGATGGGTGGTACGACTTGATGACTGCATATTGTCGTGGCTCGGCTCGGTTGGGGTTTGGGTTATGGCGTTTGGATACACATTTTCTCTGTATGGAGTCGTTCAGTGGAGCCGGCGTTTGTGATGCTGGCGCATCTGTAGGTCAGTGTCGATTAATCCATTCGTATCGATGGTGATTCCATCATAATGAATGTCACCCTAACATGTCCGTCTTGCCCATATCATTGAAAGAGGTGTCCTGTGCACTTGATCGCATTCAGGCCACCATCGAGGATTGGATCAAGCGGCGATGCTGTGATCAATGAGGTCATTGTCGACGTGCGCTTGACTCTGTATTGCAGCATTTATCGAGACTTGTTGTGAAAGCACAGCAGACAGTTCGCTCGCCAAGGACAAGCCGAAAAACGCCATAGCAGAAGACGTGAGTTGCATGGTCGTTTGGAGATCCGCCTTAGGCTCAACATGTCGAGGAAGCGTCCCTTGAAGCGGCATGCGTTGCTCTAAAGCATACGCCATGCCGATCAGCTTATCTTCGCTCCACTTACGGCCGAGGAAGCTGATGCCGAAGGGCAGACCTGGCGCAACTTCGACTGCGTCCCAACCGTGCTCCTCCAGCACGACCGGTGTATCAGGAGATGCTGCGCCCAAAGGAATGCTGACAATGGGTGTTCCAACTACGGCAGGCACCTCTGCGGATGCCAATCCAGTCGGCAATACAATGGCGTCCAAGTTGTGGCGTTCAAGTGCACCGAGTACGCCACCTTCACCGCCCAGCCAGAGATTTCTTTCGTACATAGCTTTGAACTCGTCAGAACATATATCAAGACCTTTTTCCAGAACCGAGTCCCAGCTATGGGTATCCCGCCACGGGAATTCTTCTTTTGGATGGTCTCTAACAAAGTTGCGAAGGGACTTGAGATCGTGGATGTTGTTGGGATTATGCTCGAGCTCTTTGAGATATTTCGGGAGATCCCATAGAAATTCGGACCGTGGCACCGGATTGAAGCTTCGGGTCTTCACCTCGGCGTAACCAGTCAAATTGGTGTTCTCAACAATGATCGCTCCAGCATTCCGCATGATTGAAACTGCTTTCTCAAAATCATCTAACATGTACGAGAACTCGTTCAAGGACATGTCAATGACATTTCGCGCTACGCCGATTCGCTTGCCCCTCAGACTGCCCATTTTGCATGCAGCCAAATAGCTAGGTGTTGAGATTGGCGCTGCGAGTGTGCGCAAGTCGGCTGTGTCGGACCCAGTCATAACCTGCAGCAAGAGTGCTGCGTCTTTGACTGTCCTCGCGATAGGACCAACCGTATCTTGGCTTCCACTGATCGGCACGACAAGATATCTTGATGTCAATCCCACAGTCGGCTTGATACCCACTACGTTGCTCCTCGCAGCGGGCATAACAATACTACCTGCTGTCTGTATTCATCACATTAGCTGAGAGCGCGTGACGGTACTTCGCAGGGACTTCTTGCCTCGGTGCCCACCGTTGCCCATGCCAGCCCGAGATCTGCTGCCACAGCGCTTCCCGAAGAACTACCTCCAGGACACTGCTTCGGGTAGTAAGCGCCGTATGCCTGTCCAGCCACGGCGTTCCAGGCACGAGACATGTTACTTGACCGGAACATGGAGAATTCTGTGAGATGTGTTTTGCCGAGCAAGATCATACCCGCTTCTCGGAGCTTTCTGGCTATGGTAGAGTCCTGACGGGGTCGCGCGCCGCGTAACGCAAATGAACCAGCTACCAGACGATCAGCCAAAGTTCCGTGTAGACGTGTAAGTTGCTACCAGGCTTTCTGCCGTTGCGTCGTCATACCATCGGTTTCTTGATTGTCACAGGTGGCGATATTGCCCTTGAGCAGGATCGGGAGTCCATGAAGTGGGCTTTTGTGAATCAGCGCTGCTTATTCCGACTTCAAGAGCGGAAATATCTACCTTCTCAGAATCCCTCGTCTACGCTCATCATCAAGCTGCAAGGCAATGGAACGCGCATCGGGGTTGACTTGCGTCACGGCTCTTAGCGAATCATTGACCTCTTCGATTCGCGCGATGTACGCCTATATTTAGCTGTCAGTCATGTTTCCCTCCGGCTCAAGAGCAGTCCATGACTTGCATTCACTAGATCGATGCTGCGGAAGCGGCCTTGTTGCAATCCATGAATCAATTGTTCTGCGTCAGCGTTGGCCAAAGATGGCAGAGTTTGGTGCATCTTGTCTCCGGGCGGACTGTTCTGACAAGAGTCCTGCTGAGGACGGTCCTCGTATTGCCGGTCGACGAGCAGTTGGGCGAGACGATGCGGTCTCCGCATGATGCACGCGGCACGACTTCATTTTATACATGATCACTCTAGCCACTCGCCAAGCGATAGAGGAGAGGGCAGCTTATCTCCCAAGAATGGTACAATGCAAAAGATAACACGCCGAACCGGCCGACTCATGTTTATCTCGCGACCGGTCCTCCTCCATCTGTTTTTGGCACAAGCTGCACGGCTAGGCGCATATGGCCACGAACATTCGGAGGTGGATTTGGTTCGGCCAATTCGCCGCCACGGAGCAAGGCACGCCGTGATCGCCCAATCTGTGGTATGCCGGTGCTAGTGTAGCACGAGATGTCGCTTCCACTGAGATTGAAGGCTTGGGAGAACAGTTTCTCGGAGCAAAATTACTATCAAATTATGTAATAGGTCGTATTGGGAGGGGGCAATTAGTTTCCAGGCCCCGGCTAGGCTCCGTAGTGCTGCCATACGATACGGAGCGCTCTGCCCGGCTTGCCCTCATGCCTGTATACAACAACAATTTCGATGTGGTGGGCAGTGGCCAGCAGCGTGCGCATGATGGACAATATGTACATAAAATGTACAAGATAAGGGTGCAGTCCCTAGGACGATCATTCTGGCAGCGTAAACGAACGCCAAAAAGTAACATGCCCAGCTGACTGTAAGGTGCTGTGCGGTGTGATGTGATGTGAGGCGAGCCGGACCCTGAGGCGCGCACTAATCAGGCTGTTCAGACTACTGGATATAGATCAGAGAACCATGCATGTGGAGAGATTGTATCGCGCCGTCTCGTCCTCGAGATAGGAGCCTTCAAATATCGTCTACGACCTCTTCGGCTTAGTTGTCCTGGTCGCGGCGGATACCAACAAAGCAGCACGTGAGTAAAGTTCACACGATGTAATCCCAAGCCATTTGCGTAGTTCTCTTCACGTAATTTAAGCCCGGCGGAAAATCGGTGCAATTGCGCGATACCATTCCGTTGTAGGGTCTCGCTGGTCTCCATCCTTTTATGACTCCAACTCCACCCGGTCAGACCCGATGGTGCATTAAGATGCGTTCCGGTCTTCGGACGTGTGAATGATCGATGTGCTTCAGAATTTTGTCGACTATTTCCTAGATATGTACAAGCCGTTATCTCGTGCAACCGCCTCCTTTCCTCCTCACCGCATCTCTTGCTGTCCGTCCGTGCCCTCGATTTGCCCTGGCTTCTCCTTGAACACCACCTGCATCGCCTCTCCCAAGATCCGCATGCCCTCATCAATCTCTGCCTCGCTGATGATCAACGGCGGGACGAATCTCAAAGTGTTGGTTCCGCACGTGATTATGAGTAATCCGCGCTCTCTCGCAGCTGTGATCACAGGCGTCGGGTCGCCGCTTAGCTGCAAGCCCAAAATCAAACCCTTACCGCGCACTTCCGTGATGACATCTGGGAATCGCTCTTGTAGTTGTGAGAAGTGCTTGCGGAATCGCGCCTCCTTCTCAAGCACTGACGACTGCAGCTCAGAATCCGCCAGCCGGCCGACGATGTAGTGTGCCAGGCGTGCGGCGAGCGGGTTACCGCCAAATGTTGTCCCGTGGTCGCCGGTGACGATGCGCGAGGAGACCTCCTCAGTCACGAGGGTCGCGCCGATCGGATAGCCGTTGCCCAGCGCTTTGGCGGTAGTCAGAACATCTGGGTGTGCCTCGCGCGGTAGAGACGCGTGAGCCCAGAACTGCCCAGTACGACCGAGACCACATTGAATCTCGTCGTAGATGAGAAGCGCACCAACCTCTGTGCACCGCTTGCGAAGAGCTAGGAGAAACTCTGGAGTGGCCACGTTGACGCCGCCCTCGCCCTGAATGGGCTCAATAATGACACCACATGTAGACTCTGTGACAAGCTCGTTGATAGAAGAAATGTCGTTGTACGTCGCGTAGCGGAAGCCTGGAAGCATCGGGCTGAAAGGCTTTTGGTATTTTGGGTTGGGAGTCGCAGAGAGAGAACCCATTGTTCGGCCATGGAAGGAGCCTTGAAAGGAGACCAGCTCGTATTTATTGCCCGATGGATCAATCGACCGCCCGTACTTCCGTGCGAACTTGATCGCAGCCTCGTTGGCCTCGCTGCCCGAATTGCACACAAATACTCGGCTCACATCTTTCATGCCACCAGCTTCGCGAGTCTTCTCCACGAGCAATTGGCTCAACGCACCGGTCCATTGGTTGTAGTACAGGTTTGAGGCGTGAACGAGGGTTTGTGATTGCTCGTACATGATCCGGCTCATCTGTGGATCGCAGTGGCCTAGCGCGTTCACCGCAATGCCAGCCGTGAAGTCGAGGTATCGACGGTTCTCGACGTCGAATAGATAGCAACCCTCGCCTCGCGCAAAGACGGGTGTCGGGCGGACATAGGTCGGGACCATGTAAGGGGTGTACGAATCAACTAGGCGCATTGTAGCTGAGTCCGAGGCCGGGTCTGGCGTCGGTAGGGAGGCATTATACTTTGCCGAAGCATCAGATCATGCTCAATGGTAATCTTCATGACTCCCAGGGTATCCATATTCCGTGCTTACCTCGATAGCATTCTTCACACTCTCAGGAAGACTCGATGCTGCTGTAGCTGTGGATGCGGCGCGTCGAATTGGACCTGCTGTTGCTACGATGTTCTGTGTTCTTTTGGATCCAGAATGCTGCCGACGGACAGAGGATGCATTGCGCTCCGATTCATAGGTGGTGAAGCAGCGGGCGGTGCTGGTAGCCGGCGAAGCGATTTGACGCCCCGCGACGCTCACGGTGCTGAGGCGCTTGGTGCAGTGACGGGCAGACATGGCGAGAAAGCAAACAACAGACGAGGAGTGAATTTCAGTAGAATGCGGTGCAGTAGATTGAGAGGATATTCGTGTGAGGCATATATGGACATGTAGTCGCTCTAGCTTGCCGCCGCGTATCTTATCGTGCGTGACGCATGCGAAACTTTTTTAAAATCCCGCGGTGTCATTCATTACAGGGCGCGAATACGTGCACATGGCCCAGGGTCTGGATTGCATTGGCAAGACTTCGTGTCCCTTCTCCTCGGGCCGTGGACTGCGAGATACAAATTTTCTCTGCAGTTTCGACCTGTGCAGATGACCTCGAAAACATTTGCATACCAGAAGAAAAAACCATGTGTCGGCTGCGGTGCTCCTCATCACTCCAAATGAAAAGCCTTTGTTGAAGGCTAGCAGCCTGCCGAGTAGCTTGAGCATCTTGAGAACCCTTCTCTGCGGAACGAAGATGCACGTCAATCAAGGGACTATAGCCGGCGCTCTGTCGATTCTTTCCTCCTCCACTTCTTTGATAGTGATGGTTTGATGCATTTCCTCGACCGATACTCGTCGATTCTCTCGTCATTCCAGTAGAATGGGTGCGGAAAGTGACCAGACCTCGAGTCTTCAATGCTGCTATCGTCACATCTATCGCAACGCAGTATTTCTGGATGGACCTCCCAGTCGACCTCAGCTGACTATTCCAGCAAAAGACACCGCGTCGTCTCTCATTCGAGTCTAAGGATTGCGTACCTTTCGCCCAAGATGTCTTCGATCGTTGAACGCCTGATTTTACAGACCATGCACATCTGTGAGATCGTGGCGCCATGGCAATTCGCGGGAAGGTGCGATTTGGAGAGTATCTACGCATGCCATAGCCACAGAGAGGACTTGTGAAATGGTTCCAGGCTAGCTACTGACTGGGTGGCTCAACAGTAGGATGTCGCTCGTAGGTTGCAGCGCTTACACGAGGTCAGCACACGTTGCTCGAATCATGGCTTGGATCTTGCGTCGTTGTATTACTTCCGGTCTTTTCAGCTGCGTCCAGTCAAGCATTCAAGGCGGTCACGGTCTTAGAAGACAAGGATAATATTCCTCAAGCGGACACTGTTATGATTCCTCGGCCAGTATCAAACACGACCTCATATCACAATTCTCAGGCTCAGATTGTATCTCTCACCGGTCCATCCTTCACGGATATCAGGCATCCGAGTATCCTGCAGCCACTGCAGGGCGGCCTGGTGAGTGTTGTTGATGGTTTGGCGTAGTACATGGTTGTGGCTGGTCCAGACCTTGGGGAAGCTCTTCATACGTACATGAATTGCTGGCACAAGAGTAACAAGCAGTGCACCAAAGCGGACGATACTCCAAATTTCCAAGTCTCGCTCGGCGATGCCTCGCCTCCTAGCGGCAACTCATCCGAGACTCTACATCTTGCCAGCTCTGTATCGTCAACGGAATGGTCAGAACACAAAAGACACTGTGCCACACGGCTGCACGTATTCTTCACGCTCTCGAGCAGCGCCGAAGAAGTTTTGCCACGAGGCAAGCTCTGGGCACTCGAATTCACATGGCAACGCCTGCAGTGCCTCCCTCCACTTGTGCGACATTATCAGCCCATATACATGCAGCCACTCATTCTACATGCGATTGGTATCTGATGATCAACCGTCTGTTGCTGATTGTCTCCAGCACGATCTGAGACCTGTGAAGAGGCAGGAATGATACGTGTCGTCGGGGAGTTGCGCAGTGCCCTCATCATAGCATCCTTGATATAGCAGTACTTCTGTGGCGGGCCGCCCAACCAGCCTTTGGCGATGAAATCCTGTAACTTCAAAGGGGAATCCAGCTTTTTGAGGTCGAGAATCTCGTAGGCGTATTTCGCAAGATGCGTGAGCTTCCCTTCATTGAACTCCTTGTTGCGCAAGCCTTGTTCGTTTGCAATCTCCCCGGGCTGTTTGCCATGGCTGACCGTCGCGACGTAAGTGATGGCAGACGTCGGGCTCGTCTCGTAAATCCAGAACCTCCGCACTGCGTGAGGCAGCAGGTATTTGCGGTACTCGTGATCCTTGATACCGGAGGCGATGTTGGCCACGTGTTGTGGACGTATCGCGATCACAATGTCGGTCCTCACAACTGATCCCATCTCTCCAAAGAGTCTAAGAACCCCCCTGCGAGGAGCCAGGAAATTAGAAGAGGGGCGTCAAACTCGTGAGATATCATAGTATTAGCAGGAAGAGTCACACGTTGTCAACGACAGTACCTCAGATGTATACTGCGCGAATCTTACATCCCTGGAGCAGCAACGCCACTTGTATGCAGGTGTAAAATGAGGTGTCACAAGATGCCTGAGGCATGAGTCCTCCCAGGAGCATCCTTCATCATTTATCAATGTGCATCTGTACCCAGGTTTCTAGGTAGTTATGACATGAAGGAGCGATGTTCTTGGGCTATAGAAACATTCGGTGAAGTCATTTCGTAAGATCGGGGTCCTTCGTCGATGTAGCGCTTGTCAAGTCGAAAGCAGGTCTGTCGATCCGATCGACTAAAACCGGCTACCGAGCTTGTTCTTGCTGTCCACCTGTACAAATACTTTGGCAATAGAAGTGATGCACATCAGTCGATCACGAGTTCAAAAGTGTGTTTATGTATTGGTCAAAAGGTAGGCAAGAATTGAAAGTCATCTGCTTACTTGCTCAAAATCCCACCCCCCCCTTTACGTCCATCCCGATGCGCATGTTGAGCTGTGCCTGTGAGACGTATATATGGGACACAGCGCGGGTAGCCTAGCCTGTACACTCCCATTTACTCTTGGATCCATACTTTCATTCAGCTTTCGAGGGAATTCAAAAGCTCGCATGTGTTGTGTTGTAGTGTCTCTTGAAAGTACCTAGGTAGTCATCTCCCCTTTGTGTCTGTGGACCTTATCGTACCTTGTCATTATTTACAGCCATGACCAGCGCACCCTTCGGCCCTTCATCACGGTTATTTAGAAGAGCCATGTCCTTGTCATCGAGCTCGAAACTGAAGACATCGGCGTTTGAACGTATGCGCTCAGGCGAATCGCTCTTCGGAAGGCTCACCCAGCCCTTCTGAATGCTCCACCTGATCAACACCTGGTTGGGTGTGGTGTTATGTTTCTTAGCAATTGATACAAGCTGTTCATCATCGGCTTTCTGGTTGCGGGCGATCGGACAGTAGGCCTGAACGACAATGCCCTTTTCTTGGCTGTACTGGACAACCTCCTTTTGCTGCAGCCACGGGTGAAGCTTACAAGTTCAAAAGATTCTTGTTGTTAGCAGTGTAGCGCGATCGATCGGATCACAGAAGCGGCTTCTACTCACCTCAATCTGCAGAACATGCGGTGGCCAGACACTTCCCACGCCCTTGAGCGCTTCGATCTGTCCAATTCCGAAATTGCTCACACCGATGGACTTTGCCTTTCCTTCATGGTATAGTTTCTCCAATGCGAGCCACATTTGTCCGAATTTCTCCGGTCCGGGACTGGGCGAGTGGATCAAGAAACAATCAACATAGCCTCCAAGCTTCTTCGCGCTCGCAATGCACGATTCATAGTTCTCCTCTACGGATGCACCAGCCGTGAGAATCTTGGTCGTCACAAAGACTTCGCCACGCGGAATTCCAGATTGTTCAATGGCCTGTCCGACCTCGGCCTCATTCTCGTAATATTGCCCAGTGTCGACCTGGCGATATCCTGCTTTCAAAGCTGCGAGACATGAGTTCAGGGTGCGCTCTGGAGGCGAGAGGTAAGTTCCAAGGCCTAGTTGCGGAATGTGGCGCTGTGGTGTTGTCGATAGAGGCAACACATCTGTGATTTTTCGGGTCGTGGAGGACATTATGCGCAGCTTTCTTGCAATGCCAGCTTCGACAGTTTATTCTATTCGATCTTTCAATTGTCGAATGCTCTTAAAAATACTCCTCTTGTCGTACTCGTGCAACGCTGAGGCCCTACGTGAATATGACCCCACTACGCATTGGAGATTTACGGGGAAATGTGAATGTAATACGTCACATATCTCGTCACTACATGCATCGTCCGCACGGGTTCCGAAGACAGGCAGAAGATTCCACGTTTAGTACGATGAGCTCTTCCGATATTGAAAATCATGCATCTCTGTATACACGTACTGACTATCGAAGTAAAATATCGTTTGCAAAAGGCTGATGGAGTACAACCCCAAACACCAAGAGAATACAACATGAACCCTTCGGCGATAACGCGGATATAAGCGGATGCGCTATCGATAAGATAAACTTCGCTCAATGAGAGCGGTCTTTGTCGTCCGATGCCATGCGAGACACGATGGCTGCTTCCAATATCGCGTCCTTCTCGAGAACCTTCCTTGCAGCACCCTGGTTTGCAGGATTCCATTTGACGCGGCTCAGCTATCGTCAGCTGAACAGGACTGGTGGGTATCATGCCGTTCATGGGCGCGGTTCGTCGTGTCATGCCTCTCAAGCGCAATTATACCGTCAAAACCAATCAACGAATTTCGCGAACTCGATCTTGAACATGGAAGTGAGGCGCCTGTACGTTCCCAAGCACTCGTACAGGCTCGGGTTTCATGAGATGCGCATAGGGCTTCCCACTCCGTGCACCACCTTCTCCTTGAGGTTGAGTCGTTCATATTCGTCTTCACGGCGCTGCTTCTCGGCCGCCTTGGAAGATTGGCGCTCATGGTCTTTCTCGTCGTTTGCTATGCGTTGGCGTGTCTGAGAAGACTGCAGAGCGGGGACTTGCCGGATCTCTTCTCGGATCGATTTCCAGAATGATTTCATTGGAGATGCTTGGTTCATTGAATCGTTCGAGGACATCGTTGCTGATGTTTGGGGTTATTGGAAGAACTGTGTCTGTTTGCTTCTGGTGGACTCTGTATTGTCAAGATATGTATGAGGATCGAATAGGATGAGGTTCTGTGAGTTTATGGTCCATTTGATTTCATGACATGATCACAACCTTATATATACTCTCGATTTCTGCTGCCTGGACATGAACACAACGGAGTGACCATCCATGAAACTTCACGTCTCATCGCGGAGTAGACAAGGGGTGCGGAGTTGCTGTTCGGGGTAGATCTGCAATTTTCATTGCCTAATCTGGTTAGCTCATAGATATCTCGGGGTTCTCATCGGGGTAACGTCAGCATACTGCGAATTCAACCCAAGACCTGCAGTGATCGTGCATCATAATGATCATTTCGAGAGTAGTTGTAGGCTCCAATCAATGTGTCGCATTGGCAGAATGGCCTTGTCTCTGTGCAAGGCGCTCCGGTGAAGATCAGATCGATCAGCCAAGATAACAGCCACGGCCTGACGAATTCGATATCCAACCGATTGTATTTGCTACGACTGCTTTCCGTCGGACGTAGTTTCCTCACCAAGGCACTGAAACCAGCTTCAGATCGCCATCGCTCTGATTCTTTCAATATGCTCTAGAAGATGCATGACTGCCATAAGTCATCAACGCAGTCGTCACGGATTTGGGGACGAAATGAGTTTCTGCCTTACGTTTACCGACCTGCGAAGAGAGCGGAGTGATCATGATCCCTAGTAGCAAGTTGCGTCCTCTTGCTACTGCATGATCCGGCGGAGCATTATCTGAGTCGAATATCATGCTCATCAAACAGTCTCGATATATCTTCTCACTTCCCTATAATCGCAACGACTGTCAGTGAGAACTCGTATACTTGCAGGGCTTGTGCCGGTTGACAGGAGAGGAGCGAGTGGCCGGAGCGAGGCAGAAAGTATACCACTTACCAATCAGTGACGGCCTCGTCCCAAAGCCGGCATTCATGCTCCCTCGTACCCTTGAAGTGTTCAACAAAATCGTCGCCAAAGACTTCTCTTGCTACGCTACCCTTGCGCGCAAACCTCTCTACTGCTTCCTTCAGATTCTTTGCAAGCCGCTCCCCAGCATCGGCTTCATTCCCGACATCCTCACCCTTGCCCAATGGCGGAATAGGGATTTCCAGCTTCTTCTCGATGCCCCAGTATCCCAAAGCTAGTATGGCGGCCATGACTAGATGTGAGTTGGTGTCCGCACCAGGCACGCGGACCTCGAAACGCGTGGCTTTCGGGGAGGACGTCGGTGGTGCGATCAATCGAATCGAGGCTGCACGGTGCTCAAGACCCCAAGATACGGTCACCGGCGCCCAGAAATTCTCTACAAGGCGTTTGTAGCTATTGATTGTTGGAGCCAAAATAGGCATGACGTCCGGAAGTCCTGTCAACAAACCTGCAAGAAATTGGCGGCCTACCTCTGACAGATGCGTAGCGTCGGGATATGGTGCGTCCTTGTCAGGCGAGTCCCGGGCAAACAAATTCGCGCCGGTTTTGTTATCCTTCAAGGAAACATGAACATGCCCTGAATTACCCGGAAGACCTTCTCTCGGCTTGGCCATGAAACATGGAGTGATGCCGTAGTTGGAAGACACACTCTTGGTGATGTATTTGAAAAGCGCGGCGCGGTCGGACATTTCTCTGATCTCTCCGTACTCCAGGGCGGCCTCGTATACACCCGGTCCGGACTCGGTGTGCCAACCTTCGATGTTACACCGCATCTCGATACACGTGTTGAAAATCTTGTAGTACCAATCCTGGTTGTGTACGGGTCGCGTAAGTGAATAGCCGAACATTCCTTCTTCAAGATGAGGAAGGTCGTTGACAGGATTTCTCTGTAGGAAAGTGGCAGTTGTGCTGGAGTTCTGCTCAGATGAATTGTGCGGCTTCGAGGACGGTGTTCGAAAGGTGTAGAATTCATATTCAGCTGGGCACGAAGAACAAAACAGTCAGCTCAGCCAGCTCGGTGGATCGTAACAATGGTCAAACTCACCTCCAGCCAATGCACCCCAGCCTCTCGACGCGATCTTCTCGACAGCGCGGTCGAGCAGACTCCGCGGACATGCGCTCAAACTCGTCCCGTCCGGCTCGCGGAAACTACACAAGAACAGCGGGACGTTGTTCTCCCAGGGTATGCGACGGAATGTGCTCAAATCTACCTCGGCCACCATGTCCCGATATCCATTCTCTTTATTGCTGATCTTGAGCTCTTTGAAGTAAGTCTTGTCATGCATGTCCCAGCCGAAGATGACCGAACAGAAACCAAACCCGGATTCCACGATGGACAGGAACTTCTTCTTGGACATCAGCTTTCCACGCAGTTGCCCATCAATGTCAATGCCAGCGACCTTGACACCAGAATCCTCTGCTAAGAGCTCCGCAAGATCAGCGACCTCCAGCTGGGAGGGATCGTCGGTTATGACCATCTTGAGAGCGTGTCCGTTGTGATAGAGGCTGAAAAGGTCCGGACTGAGGGTGATTGCGGTTTGGGTGAGTGTTTCTATGGCTACACGGAGAAGAACTTATCTCTGGCCACAAATCAACTACGCGAACTTCACAGCTTGGCTGCAGGTGGTCGTGCGACACCGTGTGACGACATTGGACTTTTTGGCAGGTCTCGGGTGACCTTCCCGCAATCGTCCTCTCTCGGATTTACAAGGTCATTCTCCATGAGCCCAAGCGATAATAATATTACCGCGGGGCTTATCAGATAAGCCTGGTGTTGCGGATTTAAGTATGATGTCACACCAGATCAATACAAGAAAGACATTCCCTAGAAACCTTTGCTTCACACTGATCACAGTGGAAAGGTGAAAGATCTACGAACCGATGAGCCAAATATCCTCACTTCGAAAGACTTGAGACAGGGCGTCGGTACATTGAGTGTGGAGAGCGGCGCGTATGTCGGCATTGGGACACTCCTTGCACTGTGGCCGTCCCGCTTTGCAGGCTTTGTTGACATTTTCCGAGAATTGCCCAAGACTATCGATAGAGTGAGTAAAATCACTAGTTATACTCGGTACTCGAAGAGGATTCACTATCACACAGAGCGTACCGCTATCGGTGCCTGTAACCACTTAAAGGCATTGCCAACGATGAATTACTTCAACATGAAGATACCCGTAAACCCTTAAGAAAGCGAGCAACAATAACGAGAACAAAGCAATCTGGGCCCAACTCACAACTAGCGTGACGAGCTCTGTGAACCGGTGAAGAATCTTTGCTCACGGGCACGGCTCATTACAGCGAACTTGCTGACGACAACGGTGCACCACCGCCTGGAGCAGTGCGCAGATGCCCTCCTACGATCCTTCGAGATTACACGCTCGTGGGCAGAGGATACGAATGAATTGCTTCGAAGTGTTTGCCTCACATGACAAGCTATGTGGTGGATGCGGATCGATATTCCCAGATGTCCCGCGCATCGTGAAACAATAGAAAGTTCCGCGGAGGCTTTATGAAGCGTCAAGCCTCCCGTCTACGAGGGCGAACGCGTTGCTGTCCTCACTACAGGACAATATTGCTATTGACACCGACCGTGCATTGGTACACCAAAAATGTGTGCGGTTCCATCTCCACCCAGAGGGAGGTAGTCGAGAGAATAGCGCTCGTCAATATGTCGGCTCCCGCTGGCACGAAGAAGGCGTCAATAAGGACTATCATGTCGGACCTTGGGGTGACGTGCATGCTCACCGCCCTCCGACAATTGTCCGCTTCACGAGCTTCTCGCGCCTGCAGCAAATGAGACGCCGCCACAAGGACAACACGATAATCATCATCTTGGACCAGGTGCATCACTACACGACACACTCGATTGTTGCACAGATGTCTCGGCAGCCACCACTGTCAGTCCTCACGCAGAATAACCGATCACCAAACCGACGAGGACGGTGCCAGCGAGCGAGAACAGGCAAAAGACGGACTGTTTCATGATCTATGTTGCCTAATTTTACTCCTTTTCTCACCATGGTTTATCGTCATTTTTGGCCAGAAGTGGAGTGGATGTGGTATCTCACACCGGGCGCGGACGGGCCCACCACGATCAAGGGCGAATCGCCCGTATTTCGTTACCTGCAGTCCCTCCGCCTCGGCGCGCACGCACCTCAGGCAAAACCTCCTTCGAAACAATTGCAAAGCACATACAGGTTTGATCGCACACAGGCTTGGAGTAATGACTTGCCTTTCGATGAAACCATGACCATCATCGTCTGATGACCTGAAGGCCGTGGTTGCTTGAATTATTCCGTGCGCTCCAATGAGCGTGGCATCCCCAGGTATGGTATCCAGTATACAGTCCATTCTGTATATGCGTGCCATCTCGGCTCGGTGCGCGCCGAGCGCCACCTCACTTTCACCGTACGTACAGTAGTCAATGCCTGTCGGTTATATATTTCCCGAATGCCCGCAATGGACGTAGTATTTATATTCGCAATCGTCCACGATCACACATCATCAGCTGCTGGGATGTGTCGAGCATCGCAGTCTCCGGGAATTGGCCGACAACGTTGGGACCATCATGATCGTGGGGACAGACAAGTCATGGAAATGATGTCGGTCGGCTCGGATGGCCCTGGTGGGATCGTCTGCCCAACCTCCGTCGCGTCTTCCACCTAATCCCGTCTAGGTGCCACGCCGGCAGGTGGCTGCATCTCCCATGCTGCCCCAGTTGACAACACATACATCCGGCCCTGCTTTTCCCACGACAGCTAACTGGTGCCATGCCAATGCCTGCTTGTCCGCCTTTCTACTGTCGTGTCGGCCATTGTGCGCTCTCGTCGTGCGTTCTCGACATTTCTTGATCGTCTTCTGAAGCTCTTGGCTGCCAGCGAGCGAGTGGTGCAATGCAAGAAACCCACCGCTGCCAGCTAGGCATGGTGACTCATTCGACTGTCCTGGTGTCCGGGGCCTTCACTCCGGGGTCTCGTCCGGCTCTTCGCCTTCCAGTCACTCGTGGGCAGACTAGCTACGGACGTCGGGCATACATCACATGTCCCATCCCTTGCGTACGACCACGAGGTGACAAAGAGATAATCTCTCCGAGAGCAAACACGCCAGCTGCAGCACACCAGCGCACCAGCGATCTGCATGTTTGACGTGTTCACAATTACTCTGCAGTAGCCTATCCGTCGCCCCTTCTGTCCTCTGCTGTGCGAGTACTAGCGCTCGAGCGCATTGGCGCCCATCATCCTGCTGATGCCGCAAATGATTGCTGCTGATGCAGTGTCCGTGGCTACAGTGCTGTGCGAAAGTTGTACCACCACCGCCCTCGAAGATTTTACCTTCAACATATTCGGCTAGGGCTGCAAGTCTACCTGTGGTGCGAGAGTACTCAAGCAACGCACTGCTACTGCACGACATACGTCGACCTTGTTATTTTTTCTTCCCTGCCGATTTCGCCACTGTTGTGCATTGCCAAACCGCGCGCGCTCTGGGCTGCCTTGACGCTCTGGCAGCAAGACTTTTCGCGCCGTGGGGCGCCATCGTCGAGCCGGCGTAACTTCTGTCTCGATCTGCGCTTAGAGGCATGTGTACCACGTCGAACGTCGAGTGCTCAGCGGTCTCCGTCTTTGCCTCCATCGCTGCTGGTCGGATCCACCGCCAGCACATCACTCTGCGGACCCATCATCGGGTAGCGTTCTGGTGTCATTGCAGCTCAATGGCTTCCTGCGCCTTGAGCCTATCGGCATACAGATGATTCGTGACCTTGTGGCATCCTCGATGCCTGTCGCCTTTTTTCCCGCTTCGGCTCGTTGGCAGACAGGACATATCGTCCACGATGCCTTATTATCGTGGTGATCTCTGACTGTTTATATACCCGTCTGTCGTCTATCCTTCCAGATCACACCCGGTTGCTTCTGCCAACTCACCTTGCATTGTTGGGCAGCATTGAACTCCTTCGCATCGTCCCCCTCCTGCTGAGCAACAACACATACATCCCCACGACGCCGTATGAAATCACAGATCGATAGCCACACCTGCCCGACGCACCACCCGCGTCAGTATCAGCATCAGGACCAACACGTCAGATCACACAGGTCGCCTGTCAAAGTCATCATGTTCTACACCATGTACTTGGCTGGTATGTCGCACCTCTCGTATCCTTGTCTCACCTGCACCACATCGTCGGGTTCGACCCCATTTTGACTTTTCTTCACTAGGCACATGCAGCCGGCGGCAATGGCCAGAGCCCCGTTACGAGCCCTTCGCCGATTCTACCGGCTATCAATGCAAAGTGCGAGTGAACAATCGGGAGTATTGCACCGAGGTCTCGTATGAGTCTCCGCAGCTCGCCATGGAAAACGCCGCCCGGCAAGCCTACATGATCTGCCGGAACTTCTCGGCCAATGATGGAATGGTTCCCGGTCAGCGTCCCGGTCAAACTTCCGGCAAAGGCCACATCCAAGGAATGCCGGTTGCCATCGGATCAGGAAGGAGAGGCACCCGGGACTCCATCGTGAGCAATGACGCCGGAAGCAGCGAGGGTACCAACAGTGGCGGCAACAGTCCCCGTGGCATGGAAAGCTCCCTTGAGCATCACCTTCGGCAGCTGAGTCCTCAGCGAATGCCTCCTCCGCGCCATGTCCAGGGCTCGATGTACAGGCCCGCCGCCGCCATGCCCGGGTCCATGTACCTGTGCAACTGTGGACGAGCCCCTGCCGGACGATGCGGTTACTGCCACCAGGGACGGGCTTGGCCTTGAGACATGCCATACATAAGCCCATCCCGTATCGGAGGCCACAAGATTTATGATGACCTACGGATGCGAATCCCCAAACTTGGACGGCCGAACCACCAGAGAATGCCGCGAGGCACATTCCCTTACCATGACCTTACGACCTTACGACGGACCTATTGCGACTGTTTGATCACGATTTACCAACGGACATCAGCGAGCTTTGCAAATTTTTGTGTTCTTATCTGGGAAGAAAAAAAGATTGATGATGGGAACCCCGCTCTGTCAGCCCCGAATCTCGCACTGGACCGGTGCGGTCGTGGTGCAGACAGAGCACTGCATTTACCGTCGAGGCAACTCGTTAAAGCATGAATGAACATACTTTCGTTCAAACAAAGTGAAATCTATGTCATTGACGATCTTCTCGTGCACGAATACCAATGCGACACACCTCTACTACATTCCCATCATGCGGTCCTTCCCAATAGATGATGTGAACCATATGCGTCGTGGACGACTCACGCCTAGAAGGCTAGTCCTCCACGTCACGACGCAGGCGTGCCGGAATGAAATCGATCATTCTCGGGGGGCACTCTACCTCTGCGACGTGTGCATCGACTCTCCATGGAGCATGATGCCTTAATCAACCTAACCGTGTGGCATTGTAGATGAGATTTGTCGTCGAACATCCATCCCATCCCATCCCCCTCGTCCAGGGGAAAGCATCGATTGCCCAACGTGTGAACTTTTGCTCTGCGCCCATATTTTGCTGCCCCTAAAGGGTCCTTTGTATCCTCGGGCCACGACAGCTTCGAACGTCCTGTGGATGTCTGAATACCAACGGCCGTATTCGAAGATCGAAGACGCCGGCGCATATTTTCGCCCGCCGGGAATCTAGAAGCAATTGAAAAGTCGGCACGCGCGCTTGACGTAGGAGTGTCCACTTGTCATTACATGGCGCGCCCAGCAATCCTTTCCGCCCGCGTGCGGCCACACCAAACCACGCCACATTGCCTAGCTACGCAAGGACTGCCAGACAGGAATGAGCACCGATGGCCCCCCTGAAAAGGTTGGTTTCGAAAGGAAAATCATGATTTCTAGCAGATAGATGTGTAAGTTATATACAATCGTCGTGATCGAGAGCAGGGAAGTGAGACCCGCTCACTTCGCCACCCCGACAACATTTCCCGCCACGAAAGCAATGTGGACGTCCAGTTGATTTTCTACGCAGTTGGATCAACCGCATCGCATGATCGACGTGGGACTGTGCACCCCCCGCGAGGTGTGCTCTATCGGCTGCGATGCCTGGAACACATCGGGGTATAAGAGAGATGGGATTTCGGCGGCGGCCGAGGAACGACCGTAGGTGGTCGACAGGAGACGGTTGATGAGCCGCCTCGATGGAATCGATGTGTGTTTTTTTGGCCCCGGTTGACGACAGGATTACGGCGCAGACCGCAAGCGCTGGTGGGAATCCGCATCAACAGGAGCTCTGTGGCAACCTCCGGAGGCGACAAGAAGATCAATGCCGTTGATCTCGATGGGTTATAGCCCGTGAGGATGGAAATTGAGCTGGAGATGCCAATGCTACATGTTCGCAAGCAAGGATCGTAGCTGATTGAGCTGGTCGTTGATCTCCGAGACGGCGGCCAGACGGGTCTGAATCCCCGCGGTGGCCTCATCGCCGGCAAGTTGGATCTCCGCCATCCGCGCACAATTGGCGGCAATCTGCGCCTCGTTGGCGGCGATCTGCGTCCGCAGCATCTGGACCACGTCTGGCGGGACGGCGACGCGACTCGGCCTTCTTGACGGCAGCGCGGTGGCTTCCGGTTCGGAATGTGAAGAGTGTGAGATTCGTCGTGGCAAGGCGGCCTGTGGAAGCGATGATAGCGGTCGAGAATCTTCGATTTGAGTCTTCGATTTCGATTGGAATTCGAGGATGGGTGAGGACGATGTGCTGCTGCATGAGTCGCCCTGGTTGAAATCGCGTATGCTGGCAGTCCTGCTGCTGTCGTCTTGTATGGCGCTCTCGGGGCTGTTGATATCGATGGATGATGCAGAGTGTACCGAAGCCAGTGACTTCTTCCGTGGGATGGAGATGGTCGGTTGCTGGACGGGGTGTCTGGATCAGTTTGATTCGAGCCGAGCGACGAGGCTCTGCCACACTTACTGGTAGCATCTGCAGGTCGAGATCATATCGTTTTCTACTTCTGCGTGCCATCCATGGCGGCTGAGAGTTGACCGTCGCCTGGACCGCCATAGCTGGTTGTAATCTATTGCTGCTTTCGTAGGATATTTGTAAATGTCGTATCAGACTGGATATAGTGCGACCAGGCACTGGGAACGATGAATCGAAGACCTTTCGGTGAAGCTGACAATCGCCACGACGGACAAAGAAAACGCAAAAGAACTCAAAATGGTGGTTTCACAGATCGACAATCGTCACGCTCAGGCTGGACGATGGCAGCGATACATATACATGAGATCCCCCAATCGCACAAGTCCAAGCTTTAATCCTCGTTTAAAAGTCGAAACCACGCCGCGAAACTGCCACGCGGTCCGCATTGCGCTGCGGAGCAACGGATGGTGAGATTTGCTCTGACATCAGGCGGATTCAGGCCTGATTGCCATGTTGTATCAGGATCCGTCCCGTCCGAGATGGTTGGTGTGCCGGACATCGAAAGGGGACGACGGCCGCCGCCCTAGCCAGGATGTCGTTGGCCGCACTCCCACATTGTACTGTGGAGTGAGAGGACACACATATGCGGTAATATATACTGTACTTGTACATACACAGCACGGTAATTAGTCGATGATCCTGGACCGCCTCTAGGATCAAAGCTGCATGGCTGCCGTCAGCGACGTTTGCCAACTTCCCTTCCCAGCCTGTACGCTAAGTGCCAACGTTTGCGACGACACTTCTGGCCCGGTGGTGCCTGGCCTGGCCATTGTTTCTCTCAGGGCCATCCCATCGTTCGATAGCTCATCTACAACAATACTGACAGTAAATTTACGAGATGCCCATACCGCACGCAATTTCGATGCGTCGCCGGTGCGCATCGCTTTGAAGCTTCCGTCCTGATGATCGCGCAGAAAGTAATCTTACATGGTGGAAATCCTCTGACAACGTGTCCGTGGAGATACCTGCCGAATGCGAGTTGGCGATATACTTATCATCACTATATGGAGTGTGTGTGAGTGTGAGTGTGAGTGTGAGTGTGTGGAGGAGAGAGCAGGAGTGTTTCACCATCGATCCTGAATGATGTAGAACGTAATGAGCCCGAGCACATGCAGTAATAAGGACCAAGGTAGCGTGGGATTTCTCCGCCTCGAAGCAACAACCTTGGAAGTGCCAACAACCTTGGAAGCCTTGGAATCCATGGGTGGTGTGTCCGCCCGCCCGCCCAATCAAGGATGCGATATAGGGCAACAGCTGCCGACCGGCCAAAGCTCCGTGCATCTTGACTTTCCCGAGACCTGAAACGGAAGGCGGAATCGCGCTCTGAGCTACCTGGGTAGTCCCCGAATGTATGCCCTCCGAGCTCGACTCTGATCTCCTCCAGAGGGCTGCATGCAGTCGCACTGTGTAGTTTTCAGCTTGCCTCCGTATCGTAGACGGGAATATCACAGGTCGAGATGCCCGATTCGTGGCTTGATCGATCGAACAAGGCGACTGGAACGTTTGCAGATCAATCACGGGCTTGGCGGCGGCAGCTCTCAAGTCACGTGCGGGAGCATTGAAAATGTTGAAATTCAGGCAAATGGTCATCTACGTCTTCTTCGACTTCTCCTCACGATTGAAGTTTCAAAGCGACCACGAAGCACGCGTGCAAAGTAGACCAAACTCACACATGTTGTAGACCTATTCAATAGCCTCCTTTTGATCTGCTTATCTCGAAGGCATACGATTGAAACTCCATTCTTTCATGTATCTTCGGGATAAGTAGATCAAAATGAAGCTATTGAATAGGTCTATAACATATTTGAGTCTACTTTGGACGTGTGATTTGTGATTGCTTTGGAACTCCAACTGTGTGTAGTTGGATTTGAAGGGCGGGGCGTGGGTGTTTATTTTTCGTCTCAATCGTCCCGCACGGTGCCAGCCGAGAACAGAGAGGCCAAACAAATGACAACAGGGAAATGTCATAAATGGCCACATGCTGTAGGCGCAGGTGTTGATCTCATCCACGGACCTAAGCAAATTCCGGTGGCCCCGAATGGCTCGCCGCTCGCGTTTACAGTCTTTAGCAGCTCCGAGGGCACGAGCATCACATTGGCATGACGCACATTGCTGAGTAGCTCGCGGACAAATCAAAGAGGCGATTATCAAGCTTCACTTGTCCCATGATCAATGAATTTGGACCCGGCGTGTATATAATAAATGCAGATCGCTTCCGTTCGATGTCCGCCCGGGTAGAATAAAACCTATTGAAAAGTGGCCTTCATGTACCGCATCACCACACGCCGCAGCATCATTCCTGACATTGCAAGGCTATTCACTCGAACAATGGCGACTGCGACCAAAATTGAATTGACTACGAGTCAACGTCCGGAACAATATCGCGAGCCGTTGTCGCGCGAGGCCACTCAGCTTACATCGCAATTCCTACAGCAGAACCATGACGATTACCACATCTTCTTCAACAATGATGGCTTCCACAACCACATTGCTCACCACCTGTTGACGGTTTGGGCACTGAGAGGGTCAGCCGAGGACCTGCGTCAAGCATACGGGGACAACAAGACTTATCAGCGCCCACAAATGAAGCCGGACGAGTCCATCATCGACCGTCTGCAGGACGAGGCCTTCTTTGCCACCTACCTCGAGCCAGAGGAACACTATTCCACCTTTCTTCTGTTCTTTCAGCGGGAGATTGAGAAGACAAGCTGGCAGCAGGTCCTACAGAAGTACCTTCTGGCTGGAGACAAGCGCGCAAACGACTTGCTTGCTCGGACTTACGCTGGTTTCCTCCACCCGATCATTCATCTTGGTTTTGGCATTGAATTTGGACAGCCAGCCATCATTGCCGAAGCACTAGCTCAAGCAGCCTGCCACGATGCGTGGATTGCGGATTACTTTCTGCCTGCTGAAGAAGCTGCTCGGAAAGTGACGGACGTTGATAATCTGCCTTCGATCGTGCAGCTCTTGGACGACATTCGTGCCGACAAGCAGATCTACGAAGCACCTCGTTGGTCTGATGGAAACAAGATCCGCGACGGTATCATGAAACGTGCTGGCGATCGGATGTTGAGTTACGCCGCAAAGGTCCGCGTCAAGCCCGAAGCACTTGCGGAGAAGACCGCCGAGATGACCAACGCCGCGGCATACTACACAGCCGGCGCACAGAAGAGCAACAAGGCGATCAAATACGACTTCTTCTTCATCCACGAGCTGAACTGCTCCATCTTCTTCTCCGCTTTCTTGAAGCAGGACTGGTTGAGCGACGCCGACAAGGCGCGACTGCTGGAATGGAAGATCCGCGCCGATCTCATCATGTATGCGTCACGGAAGTCGCCCGAGATCCGGATGCAAGACATTCGCGACTACAAACCCAAGCAGCCCTCCGGGTTCGACGAGATCGAAGACCGCGTGTGTCGCTTGCCGGACGACGGTCATGCCTCGAAGTTGGTACGAGCGATCGCTCACGGACAGAGCATTTCCCAACCTTATGAGGATCGAGACAATTTCCGACTCAAGCATGATGATTGGCTTCAGCTAGCGCATATGGCGATTGATTCGGTCGAGATGCCGGGAGCGACTTGGGTCCGTTCCGCTGGTTTCGACGAGGCATGGAAGGACGTTCCCGCGCGAGCGCAACTCTGATAGTAATTGCGATAGATCATGGCTATCATCTTGTCGGGTTGTAGAGTACTCTTTGCTGCAGAGGAGCGCAGTCTCATTGTCTTCGTACTGATCTCAAGGGCCTGGACTGTGTCGAGGGAAAATACTGAGAACAACGGCAAGGTTGATTTGTGTACAAGCTCAGGTTTACATTGAACCAATGTGTTATCCTTCTCACATTCCACTACTACTGTTGTCACAGGTCTGGTAGGCAGACTATTTCTGTGCTTACCTGCATGCTTCAGCGAGGCCTTGATTGCCACTGTCGCAGTATCCGACTGCGCCGCAAGGAGGGGCAGCACGACATGATCAATCTTCGACGACGTCTAATTCGACACCGAGATTGGCGTGCTCCTCAGCCGTCAAGGGCTCCTTTGACGAGAAGTCGTCAGATCATTGTTTCCACAGAGTGCTCGCGGTTGACGCCGGAGCAAGTAGTGGCAGCAGCGAGAGGAGAAGTCTGTTAAAGTATACCTAGGTATCTGGGTATCTACCAAGATAGGTGGTTATCATCCGGCTCGTGAGATTTATTATTGCCAGCACCTTCGACGACCCTAACACCAAACGGACTCGTGGACGGACATGTGAAAGTCGCGTCATGCGGCAATGCAGCCACTCGCGTGCTGGCCTTCGCGCTGATTTCGTGTCCTTGGCGGCGTTCGGGTCGTGTGTTCAGTGCGGATCCCGGAACACTTTATTCAGCAATCGCGAAATTACCTGAGCAGTGCGGCACGAGATCGACGTCGACGTGCTAAGCTTTATGTGCATGTCTACCGTGCATCGCGTGGCCTGTTCACCGAGACTCCAATTCGCCTGCATCTCACCAACTGCAGTATGATGAGCCAGGCACGACTTCACAGCATCACTGCCGACACAGCCTGCTGATTTACCTTCCTCGTCACCCCGGCTTGTCACCAACATTATTACCGGGCACCCATTCAGCACCCCACATCGGACATCACCTGTGAACCTCATGTTCCAACACAATTGAACATCGTCGGCGAGACTTGCACGCACGCACCGCCATGCCCCAAAGCGACGTGTCCTGCCGTACAACGGAGGGTAATCCTCGTAAACGTCGCAAGGTTTCGTCTCCCTCCATGGCTCCTTCCGCAGCCTCGCCTTCAGATACAGAATCGCAGCCCGCGGGCACGACCATTCCAATACCAGTCGCGGATGCTCCAATGCAAATGACAGTCATGGAAAAACAACCTTGTGCCCACGAAGGGAAATTGAAAGCGCTCGGGACGGATATCAGTGCTATGCGAGATTTGCTCACTTGCAAGATCTGCCTACGATTGCACTACGAACCATACACCCTGCTTTGTGGCCACACCTTCTGCTACTCGTGTCTGTCGCGGTGGATGGGCCAGGCGCCAAAACCAACATGTCCGGACTGTCGGACTGTGATCAAAGAGGAACCACACCCGTCATATGTGATCCGCGAACTCGTTCTGGTATTCACAGGAAAGGATGAGCTCCTCGACGACGGAGAGACTGTGGAGAAGCACCAGGAATATGCAAGAGAAGAAGCGGAGGCAGTCGCCCAGGATAGAGCCAATCAGGACCCCAGAACAGGAGGTTTATTCAAGGGAGTTTTCCGAAGACACGCAAATCGGCTCGTAGCGATTCGCGACCATGAGGACAATGTCTGGCGGTGTCCAGAGTGCCATCACGAGGTTGAGGATGGCTGGTGTCACGCTTGTCAGGAAAGAGTGTACGGCGACACTGACGACGACGATCACGACTTGTGGTCCGACGATTCCGATTCCATGAGCGAAGAGCTCGACCATGATCTCGAGCTCGAAGATGAGGCGATCTTCGCAGAAGGTGCAGAACATTTCCCATTCGCAGATATTGAGGCAGAGGATGATGAGGGAGACATAGACATCGAAGACTACATGAGGCAAAGAGACCTGCTGCATGCCTTCGGCCGCGCCGAGGGCGAATATCCTATCTCAACCTCATCCTCTTCTGGGGACGAGGACGATGACGAGAATGAGGACGAGAATGACCCCGAAATGGACAGCTTCATCGTCAACGACGACGAAGTGGAGTATGAAGGCGAACCTACAAGCGAGGATGTGCACGAACCTTCAGTTATCACTGTGGCCGATGATGAGGACGACGACGACGACGATGACGATGATGCCCCGGTCGTTACACAACAGAGGCGTGCACGAGCAACAAGGACAATTATAATAGACAGTGACGAGGATGAAGACGAAGATGGTGGCGACAACGATGGCGACGATGATGGCGATAGCCACATCAACTCGGTTCCAATGAATCTGACATTCCGGCGCGGCTGGAGGAATCAAACACACGTTGTAAGCAGCGATGATGACCAAGATGAGGAAGACGACGAAGGCACTCAGCGCGACGAGGAAGGCACAGAGACCGGCGATCCGAGCGAACAGGGCAGCGAGGATGAGGACGATGGCGAATCCGTTCAAAGTGGAGTGCCTAGCAGCAGTGCCGCCGGCGAAGGTTTCTCGCCGATGCAGCACAGCATGCGGACAGGCTACGATTATTACGATGATGAAAACGAACAAGACGACGACGATGACGACGGCGATGATAACAACCAAGGCTGGAGCGAGGGTGCCGCGCGCTGGGGTTCGCATCGTGCCGCTCCCTGAGGAAACCCCCCAACACACGATCTAATTCGTATATTCTCTCACAGGCAGATCCGCGTCCGCGTCCGCGTCCTCCTCATCCTCTGGTGTTCACAACCACGACGAGAACCATTTCGGCGCCCACTGGCGTCGATCGGCCGACGTCCTCCGCCGCGTCGCACCAGAGCATCCCTTCCAATTAGAGAACGTCCTGGCCAACGTCAATCGCGGCGTCCAGAGCGGCCGAGAACCTCGCATGCACGCGCTTGATCTACTTCCACGCGCGGCAGCGGGTCGCGAGGTCTTTTGGAGTTTGGAGGAGGAGAATTCAGATAGTTATGCCGAGAGCGATAGCAGCGAGACTGTTCGGGGTCAGGATGGTGGGGAATTGAAGACCGACAGCGACGATGCTGGGCGCATGTGAAGTATGGCAGGGTAGAACTATGGAGGCCACGGCTAGTGGGGTTGGCAGCGATGTGAAGGCGGAGGTCATCCAGCGTATGAAGTCATTGGACAACGGATGTCATGACTTTACCGGTGTGAGATCTCACTGTCGGCCGCCGATAGATCTGTAGTCGACCGTCTGTGGAGTGAAGACATATATTTATCTATACCCACTCACCTGCATGCATGCACAAAAGAGGCGCCTCACATAATTGCAAATACCTAGTTTACTTCGATTCTTCCTGTAAACAACCATGGCAACACATCACCATCCTGTGCCGCGCGCGATGGGGCCTGTGGCTACGGAAGAGGCTAATGACCAGGAAAAATCCATAATGCCGCATGGGAGATGACGATGTTCGAAAAGCATGGACGCTTGGTCCTCCATTGGGGCGGGAGACCAACGGTCCGGTCGGATTTCGTTAGGCATTGTGCGACCATCTACATGTTTAGAAACAGCCTCGTCGTGTAGATACACTCTCTGTGGTGGCAGTCGTCGTCGTCGTCCTGGGTTGTTCATGGGTATTTGTATGCTTCACACTATAAGGCAAGAGGATCGTCTGGAAGGATTCGAGCCTCAGATCTGCGCGTCGTCTCCTCACCGTGTGCGGCACTTGCTGCGACCGCCCGATCCCTCCAATCCCCACCACTACCACCTAGGTGGCTATGCACACAGGAACTTCCAACGCGAAAGGGACGCGATGGAGAAGTCTGCAGGTCGGACTGGGAGGTCCGTGTCGTTGTGCACAAACCACAAACCCGGTTTGTCATGATTTCCTCCCTCCAATCCTCATCATCAGAGACCCATCGACTTGGCGACACTCGGCCTGCCGTTTTCGATGACGTCGCCCATGACGCAGGCCAGTCGGGCGGGAAGACTAATCAGCCACACGCCAGATCTACACAGCAAAACGACAAACGCTAATTAACCCACACAATACTGCTAGGTAAGTATGTGTGTGAGTGGTGATGACAGCGCTCCAGCTCCCTCTCTCGCTCGGTCTGTGACGCTCGGCTGGCTTAGAGAGGACGTGCTATGTATGTATTACCCCATCATAGCTCACCCGGCGTCTACCTGATCGTTTGTCTTCCTACACCCATCAAACATTGCTTCTCCTCCCTCCTCTCACTCACACTCTCACTGCTGCAATTGTTCGACACATACGCAGTGCTAATGCGCTCCCATACCACCAACGACTATTAATGATACCCACAGTATAGATTAACACCTAATATCGCCCTGGTCAGCATACAACCCTTTCGGCCTCAACCCCGACGCACATCGCGCCGTTTCCATCTCAATCATGGTCGGAGGTCACCAACACAGCGGTTCAACCGCCAGCGACGCCCCGCCATGCCCCGACCCTTCGGTCCACGAGAAGAGCCACAAAATATCTGAGGCGGCCTCAGCGGCAGCGCTGCTTGCCACGAACCCCGATCACAAGCACAACAGTCCGCTTGACGCCGACGGCAAGCTCTCTGCTGCGAGTAAGTTCTCATTTCAATGCGGATGACGAGAGCAAGGACTGACAGGAGCTCTAGGCGCCGCGACATCACTGAAATATGCAAAACCGCAAGATCTACCCAGCTTTCCCAGCCTGGGCGGCACCACCGCAGACTCGGCGGGCAAGGCAGCGATGCTGGCCAAAGACTACAAAATGAAAGAGCTGTGGCAGCCAGAGTTGAGCACCGCTGGCTCAAAGGCTGCTCTACTCGCACACGGAAAGGGTAGCAACTTGGATTTCTGGCAGCCAACCGCGAGCGCCGAGGGTAGCTCCGCGGCGACTCTCGCCTTTCGCAACCAGAACTCGAGCCCGCAGGCCCCTCAGGCCGGAAGCAGCACTCCTGACTACAAATCGAATGCGCTACTTGCTGCGACCGCATCGCACAACCGAAATCGCCAGCGAGCAGAGTCGACACCTGCCGAGCCGTACCCGTCATACCCCGACTCACACAACTCGTCGGCCAATGCGCTGAGCGCAGCTACCGCATCGCATCGCACCTCCACCTTGAAGGGAGCTTCAGATGGATGGGACTCAGACGCGATGCAGGCTGCACGCGTGCACAATCTACACATGGACCCAAGCATGTTCGGTGAGCACCCGCCAGTTCAGCCCGAAGTCGACGAGGCCACCCACAATGCCGCTCTGCACGCATCGGCAGTCACGTTGGCGAAGCAAATGTACGGCCTTCAAAACCGTGCTGCACAGCAGGCCGCCGAAAACGCGAGTCAGAACCAGTCCACAGCCGACGCCAATTCTGTGTCACCGGACATCAAGCAACAGGCGCTTCAATACATCAGTCTCCAGGACACTGCTCACAGGCTTGCAGCAGAACGTTTGGCCAAGGTTGACAAGAGCCTCGAGAATGACCGCTACCGACAGTACTATGGTTATGGCAACGAAGACAAGTCAAAGCGCTTGTCCTCCCGCCTATCTGTCCGCAACGCTCTCGGCCGCGGCCGCGCATCCAGCGAAGGTGATCACTACGACGATTCCGATGACGAGCTACAGGCCAACAAGATCCGCTCGCAGATGTCTCAGCTCAACTCTGGCATCAACCAAATCGATGCGAAGAAGCAGCAGGATGACCGCGCCAAGCTCATGGCTGCTGCTGAGAAGCGCGTAAGCGCCCAGATGCACGCTCTGGACGAGCGGGTATTCCTTCAGACTGGCAAGGTCCCGCCTGCCATGCTCGAGGAGTGGGAGGAAAAGTCCCGCAAGCGTGCTGCTGAGGAACGCGAGGAGAAAGCCCGCCACCCGGGCAAGACACACATCGGTGGTGGCAAGTACATGGATCAAGCAGAGATCGAAGCCATCGCCCTTGCGCGCCTGAAGCCCACTCTCGACGAGCTCAACGACACCGCTGAGAAGCGACGCGCCAGGGATGAGGAGCTTCGTCTCGAGAAGGAGAGACAAGACGATGCCCGACTTGCAGAGAAGGAGAAGACCAGATTGCAAAAGGAGGAGTTCAAGAGAATTCAAAGTAAGTTCATGATTGATGGATGCGACTTGAAAATTTATCGACATGCCATACTGACCGACCTGCAGACGAAGACAAGGCTGTCGCAAAGCGCGAGAAAGAGGAGGCCAAGGCGCGCAAAGAAGAAGAGAAACGCCTGGCTAAGGAAGAGAAGCGCAAGAGCCAATATGATGCCAAGGATGCCGCCGCCGCTGGTGCAGCCGGTGCCACCCTCGCTGAGGTCGCCGACAAGGTCAAGGACGATGACGACGTCGAGGACGAGGTCGATGAGACCAATAAGAAGCGCCGTTCTTTTTTAGGGGGATTCAGCGGCTTCCGATCTTTGAGAGGTCGCGAGGACAAGAACAAGGAGAAGGAGGAGAAGCACAAGAGCCGCAGCGAAGCTAAGGAGGCCGCTGTCGCCGGTGCTACCCTCAGCGAGGTCGCTGAAAAGGTCAAGCACGACCAAGAAGAGCCTACTCCTACTCCTGCTGCAGTCGAAGCGGAAGAGGAGCGCAAGCACCACTCCCTATTGGCCAAGCTGAAAGGCGGCGACAAGGAAGCCAAGCACGCCCAGGATGAGGAGAAGCCTTCAAAGGTAGACAAGAAGGAGGCTGCCGCTGCGGTGGCCGCCGGCGCTGTCCTCGCCGAGGTCGCCGATAAGGTCAAGCATGACCAAGAAGAGCCCGTCTCCCCAATCGAGACCGAGGAAGAACAGCGAGAGCGCAAATCCTTGTTGGCCAAGCTGAAGCGCAACAAGGATGACAAGGAGGCTGCAAAAGCCGAGCCCGTCGTCGTCGTTCCCCGCACTGAGGAGGAAGAGCGTGAGCACAAGTCCCTCCTGGCCAAACTGAAGGAGAAGAAGGAAGAGCACGACGCTGCCAAGGCGGAGAAGGCTGAGATCAAGCAAGCCGAGAAGGCCGAAAAGATCGACGCCAAGGAGGCCGCGGTCGCAGTCGCTGCGGGTGCCACACTCGGAGAGGTTGCGGAGAAGGTCAAACACGATCAAGAAGAGTCTACCACCGAGAACGAGGGCGTCAACAAGCACCGATCTGCTTTGGCTGCACTGAAGGAGAAGCTCTCGAAGGACAAGGACGCTAAAGACCCCGAAGTGGAATCATCAGCTAAGGAGCCGAAGGCCGAAAGCCACGCAGGCGCTGCCACTGCTGCCGGCGTTGTAGGAGGCGCCGCCACCGGAGCAGTCCTCGCTGATGTTGCCCATGACTCCAAGGCCTTGGATGCGCAACAAGCTGAGCATGCCAATGCTGCCACGACCGAGAACGACGCATCTGCTCCCGCGGCAGCGCAAGGCATGGAATTCCTGCCTGTTGTCCCAGTCGAGCAAGGCCCAGCGCCCACTGCTGCCGCCACATCCGAGGGTGTCAAGGACAGCAACTTCCTCGCCGTGGCTCCCGTGGACCCTACTGTCCCAGAAACTCACTCCGAGTCTGCCGCTGCAACTTCTGCGCCAACCATCGTCGAGCCTGAGACCTCCAAACCGGTAAAGGACGATGAGCTTCCCGTCGCGAGGTCGGATGCTATTCCTTTCGAGCAACAAGGCGCGCTTTCAAGATTCTCCAACGATGCCGTGCCCACGTTGGCCACTACTCGTCCTGACCTCGAGAGACACATCTCGCAGATTCCTGAAAATGACGATGACGAAGACGACGAGGACGACGACATCATTGCTGCGGTCGCAAAGTCGACTCAGCCGCAACCGGAGACAGTTGAGGAGCCTCAGACCAGGGCGGGCAAGATCGGAGCCGCCATTGCAAAGGGTGTCGCACCGATGGCATCCAGCTTCGGCCCTACTGTCCCCTACCACGAGTCCGCTACAGACGAGAAAGATGACGAGACGGCAGCCGCACAGGCGAAGACCGTGACCGACAAAGTCGGCAGCGTCTTTGCTGGCAACACAGCTCTTGCCTCGTCCTTTGCTCCCGTTGCAGCTGTGAAGCCGTCGCAGGCATCGGCGACAAGCGCCCAAGAAAGTGCACCAGACCCGCTTGAAGAGCAACGCTTCAAGCCCGAGCAGCAGCAAGCCGGCCCGACCGTCGTTGGTAGCGGCGGTAGCATCGCCAAGGGTGAGTCTTCACGTCCTGGTACTTCGGAGACCGTCACACCTGCCAACACGGCTGAGGGCGAGAAGAAGGGTCTCAAGGGCTTCTTCAACAAGCTCAAGCCGAAGTCGGGCAAGGAGAACTCTGAGAAACTACCCGAGTTCAAGTCTGTCGCTCAGCAGGACAAGGAGGCGGCGACTGTCGCAGCACTAGCCAGGCCCTCGACAGAGCAGAAATCTTCTGCACCTGTGGCAGGTCCCGCGCCCACCGTCGCCGCGATCGAGGCTACCTCCGAGGCTGGCATCGTTCCCGGAACTCTCACTACCTGGCAAAAGCCCACTCCTCTCCCAGTGAATCCTGGTACAGAGACCGAGATCCCCGCCACTACTCCTTCCACCGCCACAGCCAACCCCACGACCGCCACCCTTGCCAACACCGCTCCCGCCGCCCCAGCTACTACCGCTCACGACGACGACGAGGACGACGATGACGAGAACAAGCCCGGCCGCGCCAGCCGTCTCGCCGCCGCCCTCGGCCTCAAGCCCAAGAAGGACCAGAATAAGCTCCACAAGCGTTCCCTCGACGAGCACCCTGCTCGCGGCGCCAGCGTCGCCGGCACCGAGACCGAGGACGACGAAGACAACTTTTACGACGCCGACCAGGGCGTCACCCCGGTCGCACAGAACCCCCCTGCTTCCATCCTCTCGGGTACCAGCACCGATCGCAAGGAGACGAAATTCACCGAGAACCTTTAGGAAAGACCATCTCGTGCGGAATGATCTTTGCGCTGTGAAGTTGGACGTGAACGAAGACGAAAAAGAACGAAACCACTATTTCTATACGAAGCGAGAAGGAAATGGAAAGAAAGAAAAAATATGATGCTGGGAAGAAGTGGGGGACTCCTTGGATTTGCTTTCCGTCATTGTTGTCGTTGTTGTTGTTGATGCTGAGATTCCCCTTTCCTCTCTCTTGTCCTGATTTTTAATCAAGATCTCTCCTTGCGTTTGGCTTTTGGCAAATTTATCTGCTTGCGAATTTCGGCTTTCGCGGACACGTAATATAGTTCGTAATAAGAATGTCTCTGTTGATTCTAAGATTTTCTTTCGGTACATTGTGAGCCGATCTTGCATGTGTTGAGTGATTCTTTTCAAACTTTGGTTTGTTGCTGGACGGAAACGTCACGGCGTTGAATGATCTTTTGCCCTCCACAACCCCTAAACTTATGAGACCGTATTTTAGACGGTCATCATACATCCACTCTTTCGGACGTCGAATTTTCCTAACGAGTCTCTGTGTCTCTTGCGAGAGGGTTCTCGCGGAAGTGTAGAACAACCTCGGAAAGGTAACGCGTTCACGTACGACGCCAGCCTCCAAATCGGAGCGCGTCCACCGAACAACATCAAACCCAGCCAATATAACCTCCACAACACTCGTGATGCAAAGCGACCTCTACTCGCAACAAGGCCGCGATCACTACAAACGTGGCGAATACAAGAAGGCAATAGAATGCTTCGGCCGCGCCATCAGCCGCGCCGGAGCGGGCGTCTCAGCTCAACTCCTCGACCACCGCGCAGCCTGCCACGCCCGCCTCGAAGACTATCCTTCCGCCCTCAAAGATGCCAAGAAGGCTATCAACGTCGCCCGTGAGGATCCCACGGGTTACCTCCGCGCGGGGAAAGTCCTGGTGGGCATGGAACGCAAGAGCGTTGCGCTCGAAATCTACGCCCATGGTCTCAAATCCGTCAGGCATGTCGGCCAAGGCTACGAGGCGCTCCGGAAAGCGCATGGCGCACTTTTGAGCGAACTCGCGCCCGAGAGGAGCATCGATCCCTTCACGTTGCTCCCGCGGGAGATCGCGTTCAACATTCTGGAGTATCTGGACTTCCGGCAGAGAGTGGCGATCATGAGGACCTCCAAGCAGTGGAGGGCGTTCATTCGCTCCGAACCAAGGCTCTGGACACATCTGGACTTCAGCAAAGCCCGGAGGAAAGTGAGGGCGGCGTTCGTCTCGACTGCGATCAATACCGCTGGGCGGAAGATCCGCGCTGCGACGATCACGAGCAAGAACTATGACATCCAGAAGGTCCTGGGGGCGATCGCTCGTCAGACTACGCTGGAGAAGTTGACTCTACCGGACATTGGCATTTTCGATCGTGGGCTTGTCGAAGCCTTGAATCCCGCGAAGAGCCTCGTCCACATCGTCGTCGGCCACGAAGTCGAGACTACCGAGAGTGTCCTGAACTCCTTTTTCGCCCGGTTCACGCCGCAGCTGAAACACGTGGAATTAGACCTGACGGGTCATATGCTGGAGAGGGGGCAATCCGTTCCCACAATCCCGAGGATGCAATTTTCAAATCTCCTCACACTACACATCAAGACCCGGTGTTGGCCTTACGATGAGTTGCAGCATGCTCTATCCGAAGCTGCATCGTTACAGTCTCTCAACATCTGCGTGCGCGATGTCAGAGTCACCCCGGGGACGAATATCGACTTGCGGCACTGCGAACACTTGCGACAACTCTGCTTGCATCTCGATGGACTGGCGTTCGATAGCATCCTCTTCCCACCATCCGTCGAGATTCTGAAGCTGGGCGCGAAAACGTCGCCCCGGGGCTTCACGCGCGACGGCGATACGATCCATCCATTCCCACTGGACCTCCCGAGACTTCGCGAACTCGAGCTCGACATGCCGTACCTTTCCATAAGTGCAACCTTAGCAATGTTAGATCAACGCAGGACAGGCCCGGCGCAGAGCGACGCAAGGCCGAGGATCCCACTCCGGAAACTCGTCATACACCACCCCATCGGGATAGACCGGCCGGGGATCCTGCAGGACTCGGTATGGGACGCCTTCGAGCGCGACATGTTCGACCATGCGCTGCTGGCCGATCTGGAGCATTTGGCGGTGCTGGGGACGGACTTTATGAACGACGGGGACCTCGTGCCCCTCGTCAAACGCGCGCCTGCGCTACACACCCTCGACACCGGCCAATGCCGGATCAACGGCGTCACCGTCAAAGCGATCGTCGAGCTGGGCCACCTCAGGGAATTGCGCGTGGGCCCCTCTTCGGACTTGCCTCGAGATGCTCTCGAGTGGGCTCGCAAGCAGGGCATCCACGTCCACGTCACCCCTTACAGGGAGCCGCCGATCAATCCCGATCCACGGAATCCTCGCCCGAGGTTTCCTTTCTGAAACACCCGACACTCTGGGAATCCACGCATCGCCACGAGCGGCCCTCGTGCCCAAGCATCGCCGCATCGATCCCCCCATTGTAGCGGATCTCAAATCCGGTCACGTCACGGCACACATACATACATACATACCTCGTCGTGCTCATCGGATGATGACACGTCGTCTCCCAGATCCAGGCACATCGGGAGAGATCCCGATATCCGATTCGTCCCGTGTTCTGCGGACGAGAGTCGGTCGCTATCTGGCGAGAGGGTTCGCACGTTGCTTCACCCATGGTCGGAAATGAACAGCAGGTACGATCTCGTCATGCCTTTTTGCATCAACATGGCCGTTATGAGGATGGGAATATATGCGGGTGGCGCTACCACGCTTGGACGAAATGCCAGCACGATCAGTCCATCGCCGCGAACACAACGTCCGAGCTTGGTCGGTCTCACCGACAAGCCATCCGGAGTACGACGAACTTGGGATCGTCAACGTGGGACGTTCTGCAGAACAGTATCACTTGACATGACAGGATGGGTCTTCTGATTCGTTTACATGATGCATTTGGGTTACGAAAGACTACGAGGCTCTGCGTCATCCATCTAATCCAGAATCTCCTCCGACTCCTCGAGGATTTCCTCGAAGATCTCCTCCACGACCTTGCCCTCGTTCTCGCCCGCTTGCTCGTCGATGATGAGTGCCCGACGCTCCTCGGAGAATTCGGGAAGACCCAGATCCTCGCGTTCCTCGGAGAGCTCCTCGGTGGTCGTCTGGCGCCATGCGAGCCATTCGTCGAGCTGTCTCCTCCGACCCTCGATGACGGCGCGATCGGCGGTGCTGCGTTTGGCGAGATCGGCCTCCTCGAAGGCGCGTGAGTATTCGCGGAGGTTCTTGCGGACATTCTTGATTTCTTCCTTGGACAGGAGACGCTCGGGGCGAGGTCGCCAGGTCCATTGCTTGAATTGTTCGATGGGCTCTTCGCGGAGAAGCTGGCCGGCGAAAGAGTAGAGGTGGTATCCGTTTTCCATCTAAGAATCATGTCAGCTTTGTGAGATTCGTTGTTCGTTATTGAAGACGCATGACGCACCCTGTGCTTCCAAACACTCGCACTGGTGGCGACGAATCGTCCGCTAGGATCCCACTCAATGTCTGTCACACCGTAATGGTCTGCGGTGCCCATAAGTTGCAGGTTTGCAGTCAGGTCTTTCTCCTTTTCATCCTTCTCTCCCTCGAAGTCGAAGTCCCAGAAATCGAGGTCGTATCCTTGCTGGCTGAGTACTGTGGCAACAATGACGAATCGGCCGTTCGGTGACCAGTGGATGGCGTTGTTGTTCTTCTTGTCGATAGTACGGATGAGTTTGAAGTTACCCACAGCGTTACCCTTGGCTTTCTCTGGCGCGAAGAATGAGACGGCGGTCTTTGGCGGGATCTGCGAGCCCTGTGGTACTTCACCAGCGGTGATGATGACGAATCGGTCGCCCTTGGGCTCCCATGCAAAGTTAATGACGGTATCTTTCAAGCTGTCAACGACTTCGACTGGAACTCCCTTTTCCTTGACACGGAAGATTTCCAAGTTGGTCGCCATCGATTTCTTCGACTTGCTGTGCCTGTCGACCTTGATGCAGACGAAAGCTGATTCCGACTGCCAGTGAAGCTTGGCATCGCTGACGTTGAAAAGGTTCCGGGTACGCACAATCTCCTCGGATGGGATCGACATGAGACCGACCTTGGCAGGATTTGAGCCCAACTCAGGAGTCCAGTAGCAGAGCAGCTGTTCGTATTCTTTGATGTTATCACGCTGAGGGTTGCTTGGGGACCACTCAAAATCCACCACGCCCTCAATTTTGATGCTGGTCTTCTTCATTAAGTTCATCCTTGGGAGCTCGTAGACGCTAATGCTTTGACCCGGATTCATACGGGCAACGTACTTGGAATCTGCTGACCATTTGAATGCCGGCCATTGAATTTTCTTCTTGATCGGGTTGCCTTCGGAGTCGTTTGTGGGTCCAGGAAGATCTAGGGTGACAAAGGATCGCAGCGGTTTTGCCGTCGCCACATCCCAGATGATGTAGTTCTTTCCATCCTCCTCAAGCGAAAGGATAGGGTTGCCCTCTTCGACTTGCATTGGCGCATGAGACCACGTGGTCATGAATCGCTCGTCTGGTGAGAAGTCGACAAGGTTGACGCCGGGATGCATGAAACGCTTCTGTCTCGACCAGTTCGGACCACCCCAAAGTTGGACACCCTGGTTGTGCATAGATGTAAGATATGTTCCCTTTGGTGACCATCGGACGAAAGTCTCGGTCCAGTGTGCTCGATCGACGATAGAATCAGGTTGCCCTTCGCGCTCGTTCCAGTATACGCCCACATTATCGCCGCGGTACATGACAAATTGGTCTCGTCCATCCGCGTCACCCAACCACCAACGCAAGTGCTCCTTTTCCTCGAACGGCGGGATCTCTGGCTCATCGTATGTCTCATTGATGCGTCCTTCTCGTCCGTAGCGCTCGATGTCGGTAAGTTTGTTGACAGCAATGGTGTGCTTCTTGTCGAGAGGTGTGGCGTGAAGATTCTTTACGGCAGTGGCAGCCTGTGCCGGAGTCGCATATTCGACGAATGCAAATCCCTCGGTGGTTCCGCTGTCGTCCACTGGCATGAAAACGTTGTCCTCTGATGTGGTTCCCCATTTTGTCAAGCTGCGGAGCAAGAACTTGATGAGCTTCTCCTTGCTTGCAGCTGGAACCTTTGGCAGGCCATCGACGACCACGAAGGTGTCTAGGCCTTCCTCCATGTTCGTCTCATATTGCGCTCGAAGATCTGCTCTCCAGTCAGTTACACATTAACCTTGCTGTAGTCACGCTTTCCCACCTGAGAAGTCGATCTCCTCCTCATCGTCATCTAATTCGGTCTCGCGCTCGAGCTGCTCGAATGAAGGCGCCATTTTTGCCGAAATTTGTTCTATGTCGCCGTCGATCTCGTCGCGGAGAGTCCAACAACAGTGAGAGGCGTCACGTCTACAGTATTTAGTGGGTCTTCTGTGTGGGCTTAATATTTGCGCCAGCGGTGGGGTTCGGTCGTCGAAATTGTGCGCACGAGTCATGGACAAAGTCTATGCCAAGACCATGGGCCAATATTAGGGTTGCTACTGCCCCAACCTGCAATGGAACCGTCAATCGACGACATTGTCGACATTTTCACTCCTCATGGCTCTGAAATTAAGCTGCTTTAAAGCGGTCAATTTTGATGTAGTGCCAGAATCGGGCTCGACCTCGAGATAGTGATTGCTCCCGTGGCACGACGGGCCTCCAGAGAAGCCACCAACCATGTCCAGGCGGAAGTAGAAGTGGCTACTGGCCGCAAAAGTTGGACAATAATTGCTGATGACGACGAACGAATAGGGAATTACTGTCGTAACTGCCTGCTTGGTACACATTCAGTATGTTGCATAGACTAGACCACATGTTACCGGGGCAGTAACGACGAACCTCACCTTCAACAATTGAGACCAAAAGCGGTGCCAAACCGAGGTGTACACAGCCAAAAGTGATCGCGCTTGTGAACATATGGGAGAATTTGAGATAAGCATACATGGGCAGACATCCACGTGAAATGTTCAATGTACATCAGGAAGGGCACTGCTCCTGCCTTCCCGCGAATAAGACTTTACATGAGCGTCATCATGCGACTCAAAATATCGCCAAACCATCTGCGCCCCGTCGATGAGAGACGAGAGACAAGCTCATTCCTCCAACGATACAAGTGTTGTTACATATGCGACTCTATTTCGCATTCTTTCGTTCGGCAGCTCTCCTCTTCGACCTGACCATTGCTTGCCTGCGCTCACCACCGTCAACCTTGTGACCCCTGCGCTGCTCCCACAGACCCTCAGTAACACGAAGCCTTGCAACGCCTGTACGTCCTTTCACCTGCTCCACCCCGGTTCCTCCGATGGTGTTGGTACGGAATAGCTTGATGCCTCGCACCTGCACCTTGTTCGCCTGTTGCAGGCTCATATGTGCCGGTGGCGCCAGACCCTCCAAAGCGCCCTTGCCTTTCTCCTCGTCAATAGCAGATTCCGTGTTAATAACCACCTTCATCATTCCCGGATCTTGACTTAGTGTTCCAGCAGTGAGGTGTGCGTTATCGGTTGGAGCCGTGACTTGTACCACCTTAAGCTCTGCCACGCCGTCTTTCACAAATTTCAAGTCACCTCCCATGCCGTAGATGCCATTTCGATACCGCTCGCGCCACCAGAGCAGATACCTTCGCGTCCGGGCCGGTTCAACTCCAGCTTCTTTGAGTTGATCTGAACTCCATGTGAAGAGTGCTTCCCAACTCGGAATCTCGGCGGCGTGTTTCGAGAGTGATCGACCGATTAATTTGAGAAATGTTGGTACATCTGGAACGAATGGAATTGGTTTAGGAACTGTGTTTGGTATGGCGTTCAGTCGATGTAAGGAGCGGCATTGGAAGCAGACGTTTTGACGGGAGATCGCAGGCGCGCGAAGTAATGATGAGATTATCGTTTTGGCAGGCATGATGAGCGACGTGCTCAATGCCGGATTGTAACGTGGGATCTTGATGTCAGGCCTTTGCACATCGTTGGTACAGATGCTGGTCAATGGAGTGACTTTCGCGCCAAGAACCCCCGAAGTCCGCCGCAGATCAAGCATGTTCAATTAAGAATTGACGCCTCAGGCAACAAGAGTCGCCCGACTTCATGGCACTGTGTTTCGCTATCGACCTGATCGTGGTATTTCTGATTTGTGCCATTTACTGTGATATTCATAATTAAAAAGGTTTAGGTCTACCCGTCCAAATTTGCTCATGGGTTACACGTCACCTGCTCTGGATGTCCCTCCAGAGCCGCCGACTAAGCGATTAAAGCTCTCCCCTAGCAAGGATATAGCAACATCGACAGCACCTAGAGAACAAGTTACATTACCAGCAGCAACAGATCTTGCATCAGAACTGGACGCAGCCGAACGATCGAAATATGTCAAAGGAGGGAAACTTGGCTCTGGTCAATATGCAGACGTCTTCTCAGCGACTTTGGTCAGCGATCCCAGCAAGATCTTCGCAATCAAGAAGATTAAGATTGGCGCTGAAGCAGCAGACTTTGGAATCTCATATGACTCGATCCGCGAAATAAAATTCCTACAAGAATTAGACCATCCCAACATTATCAAACTACACGCAGTCTTCAGCACCAAAAATCAAAACCTCAATCTCGTCCTCGAACATCTTCCTCGTGGTGACCTTCTCAAACTCATTCAAGACAACAGCATCCGCTACACCGCCAGCGATATCAAAGCCTGGATGCTGATGCTCCAGCGAGCGGTGTATTTCATCCATGCGAACCACATTCTTCATCGTGATATCAAACCCAATAACTTGTTAATAGCAGCATCAGGGGCTGTCAAACTCGCCGATTTCGGTTTAGCCAGATCTTTTGCAGATCCAGGTCAGCCGATGACCTCAAATACCATCACAACATGGTACCGTCCCCCCGAGCTTTTCTACCAGGCGCCATTCTATTCCGGTGCTGTGGACATCTGGAGTTGCGGCTGCGTCTTCGCAGAACTCATCTCACGTGAAGTCCTCTTCCGCGCCATTCCCGAAACCGAGATCAACATGATTTCTCTTATCTCGACCAAAGTGGGCACGCCTACAGAGGAGAATTGGCCCGGAGTAAAGAAACTCCGCGGCTATATCTCCAATGATCCGCCATCGCCCCTAAGACCATTCGCCGCCTGGATGCAGGAGTTTCGAGCGGCAGGAACCACTGGCGTGAGCTTACTCATGGCGATGTTGATGCTGGATCCCCGGAAGCGACTCGATGCGGAAGGCGTCCTGAGACATGAGTACTGGACCGCGGATCCGAGACCTAGTCGTTTGGAAGATCTGCCGAAGAAGGGTGGCGGAGTGAATGTGATGGGAGATGATTTGACGAAGAAGGCTGGTCAGCTCGATGGCAGAGCAGGAGAGAAGGATCGAGTAGCAAGGAAGATTGATTTCGGTGCTGCGGCAGCCGCAGCTTGAAATTCGGATGTGATGTCTTCCACTGAATTGCCAAGCGAAGCGCGCGCTGATCTCGCACATGGCACGATGGTCACGATAAAAAGCATGAAGTGCGCTTACTCCTGCATCTAATTTATCAGATTTTTGATCGTCTGACAACGAAGGTTGGTATCAAAAGAAGCTGCTGAACATTTACAAGGCCAGTGGTCAGCTGAAAGGATCGAAAGGGCACGCCGCTATGATGTTCTTAAGACAACTTCAGTGTCGGCTGCCGCCTGCAACACCATTGGGCCTTCGATCTGCCTTTGCTTGCCCCGTGCCTGAATTTCCGTTCATCAAAGGGACAGGCCCACGAGCTCGACCACTGGTACCGCCCCCGAGAACATATACCGGCTTGTCTTTATCGTCTAACGGAGGTGGAGGCGGTGGTGGAGGTGGCGGAGGTCCATACGCTCTTTGACCGTCGACAAGTATCCCTTCATCTGGGTCCATGTCTTCCTCTGTGTCCTCGTCATCGTATACCTCCTCGTCTTCCTCGTCCTCTTCGTCCTCTTCATCCTCGTCATATTCCTCGTCATCCTCATCGTACTCGCTTTCCGTCTCTGCAAGCGAATGGTCGCCATTGGGATCCATGCCGTGTTGCGTTGGAACTCCCCCAACAGCCACCCCAGCCTTGCCGCCATATCCGCCTTCCTGCATCGCCCGACATAGCCTCTTAAGCTTTTCGTTTTCTTTTTGCACCCGATCCATCTGTTTGGCATTTCGCTCGCGTTCCTCAGCCATCGCAAAGATGTTCTTGTTAGTCGCTTCTTGCTTCCGAGTCAACGTGAGATTTTCCTTCTCGAGGCGCTTAGTTTTCTTGGACATTTCCTCCATTTCCTTGCGAAATGTGAGAAACAAATCGTTGCTATTGTTGAGCGTGTCTTCGACCTGCTTCAGAAGAGGGAGTGGTCAATGAATGCTTGTGAAGGAGAGCTTGCACGAATTTTCAGGTGCAGAGCATTGGCTAATATATGTAAATGTGATGTTGGTGCTGTGCTTGGGGCAATATATTTTGGAGACGCGCAGTGAGGCGGTGTGATGACAGCAGCAGACCTACCTGCTTGAACTTCTCGACATAGACGTTCAATTGGCCGCGCAGCTCGTTCTCCGTCTGGCTGAAGGTACTCACCTGTCGCGTTAGCTGGTGGCTTTTGCTCAATTCGTTCTCCTGCGCTTTCCGTAATTGCTCGTGTCGTGCGATCTGCTGAACCAGCTCCAGTTCCTTCACCCGTAGCTGACTCTGAAAATGTAGCTCTCGTAATTCGTATTGCAGAAGGAACGATGTGAACTTTTCTCGAAACATTCGATCATGCTCGACTTCTTGTTGTGGTTCTGCAGGCGAGTGTCGATTTGTAATGACGCCCTCCACGTCCGAGACGAGCCCTTCCAGACGCTGATGTAGCTCGTCGTTTCTATGAGCAGAATTCTCTTTCAAATCGCGATAGTCGTCCTTGAGCTTTTTGTTCTCTCGTGTCAACTCTCGACTCAGCTTCTCGAGCTTCTCTTTCATTGAGCGTTCCCGACCACGATCCTTTCCAATCTCCTCTTTCTCCTTCTGTAATTGATCCGCGCGCTTCTTTGCTTTCGTGTGCTCCCTCTCTACTCGTTTCATCTCCGCGAACAGATCGCTGTACTTTTTCTGTAGCAGATCAAGTTTACCCTTCTCCGGCTCGAGCGTATTTAGTAGCTGAGAAAGGTCACGATTCGCTTTCTTGACCTCCGCGTCGATTTCGGCAGACTGGTGCGCATCCTCATGTGTCGTTGCTTCAAGTTGCGAGATCTTGGATAACAGAGCCTTGTGAGCGTCCATCGGATCGTTGGTGCCGTTGTTATTGTTGTGATTGACGTTGCCTTTTTTGCCCTTTGATTTCGCAGATTTGGCGTTGGTGTTGACTGATGGCGGAGGTGGTGCAGCAAACGAGCCATCGGAAGCTGCTACAGAAGCATCGCGCGAATGCTCAATGGACGCAGGGGAGCCCCGAGAGGCCATAGATGCATTCGCCGGTGGCTGTATGGCATGTTGATGTGAATGCTGAGAGCCATTTGCGACTGCGGCCATGACTATCCTGTCTCGACCGCCAATCCGCTCCCTTTCGATTTAACGTCCACCCCTCTTCTCTCCAAATCCGACGATTATACGATTCAGCTTCCACTGCTCGCCGGAGGTGATGGCGTCCGACGGCAATTACTATGACTGTCGCCGTTTGGCATGGATCTCGAGCCAGGAGCAGTCCGGGTCACGCGACGAATGAACGATGCTGTGGTTATTCGACGAAGAGGTTGTCGTTGTTATGTTTATCAATGGAATATGTTTGCTTCCTGATGCGCTTGTCGTAAGAATGATACAGTGATTGTGGTGATTGTAAGATCAAGGGCCTAGCGGAAGACCAAGCAGCGGAGCAGTATCTGCGTCTCGGGTACGCCACTTAGGCAAGCCGGACCGAAATTGTCGACGATTAGTCGCCTGAACTATGGATGATGAAGAACAGATTGATCGCCGAATGTTCAGTCTGCGGGATACAATGGGCATAGGGAATGATAATGAAAGACTGTTGTTGGCTGGACAAGGTTTTCGACGTGTGAGGTTTAGTGAAGGTGCGCATTTGGCTCGTTAGGTACATGAACGCCTGCATGGTGTTGCCCGCCGGCCACGAACGAGTCATTGACGTCTCATTGGCTCTCCCGTTCCCGATGACTGCCCGCTGAATTTCATTCGATGAAACGTCCGCCACGATGGGATGAATGATCCCATTGTCATATCTTTTCTACTCCTTCCATCGAAGACCATCTCTTCTTCACGTATATACCTGGGTGCGTCATTGATCAGATTATTGCGCTTCGGCAAAAGTCATGCTACGTGCGCCGCGCCTATTGGCGCCATACACACGGCGATGCATTGCCAAATCGATAGTCGCTAAACGAACTTATGCCGCCGTAACGGATCTTACGAAGTTGCCCACAGTTGGTGAAGAGATCCACGGATTCGAACTGAAAAGACGCGAGCATGTGCCTGAGCTTGAACTCTCAGCACTACATTTCCATCATAATCGGACTGGCGCCGAATATTTACACGTCGCCCGAGAGGACTCGAACAACGTCTTCAGCATCGGCTTCAAGACGAATCCGCCGGATGCCACCGGAGTGCCTCACATCCTCGAACATGTAACACTATGCGGCTCAGAAAAGTAGGTCGACCGCAGCACTGCTCAAATCTGTGATTGAGCTGTCGAAAGATGGATAGGCTGATAGAATGGTAGGTATCCCGTCCGTGACCCCTTCTTCAAAATGATGCCTCGTTCACTTCAAAATTTCATGAACGCCTTCACCTCTTCCGACTATACAATGTATCCGTTTGCTACAACAAACCCTCAAGACTTCAAGAACTTGCAATCTGTTTACCTTGACGCGACGCTCAAACCATTGTTAAAGCGATCCGATTTCGTCCAAGAAGGTTGGCGCCTCGGTCCGGAAAATCCTTTGTCAGCCCCTCCACCCAACTCTAGTTCCGAAGCAGACGACATAGTCTTCAAGGGAGTTGTGTACAATGAGATGAAAGGACAGATGTCTGATGCCAACTATCTCTTCTACATTCGATTCATGGAGCAACTCATTCCGTCGTTGAACAACAGCGGTGGCGACCCGCAGAAGATGACGGAATTGACGTATGCTCAACTGCAACAATTCCATCAACAGCACTATCATCCGAGCAATGCTCGAATCATCACATATGGGGATCAGCCTGTACAGTCACACTTAGAGACGCTAGGCCGAGCGCTGGCGGGTTTCGAGAAGGTTCAGATCGACGCAGACATCAAAACGCCAATCTCGCTGGAAGGCGGAGCGAAAGAAGTCACCGCGCCTGGACCCATAGATCCAATGATGCCAATTGATTCACAGTATAAGACATCGATCACGTGGTTGTTGGGCGATACCACCGACATTGCGGAATCTTTTGCCTTACGAATTGCTACCACTCTCCTTCTGGACGGCTACGGAAGCCCAATGTATCAATCATTGATTGAGTCCGGCCTCGGTGCCGACTTCACTCCGAATACGGGTTACGATACTTCTGGACTTAAGGGAGTCTTCAGTGTTGGATTGGTTGGAGTCTCAGAAGGCAATGTCACCAATTTGAAAGAGGTCATTCAAACTACAATCAGGAACGTTGCCGACAAAGGTCTCGATCGATCAAAAGTGCAGGGGTTGATGCATCAGCTGGAGCTCGGGCTCAAGCACAAGACTGCAACTTTCGGCATGGATCTAGTGCAAAGACTTAAACCAGGCTGGTTCAATGGTATCGATCCTTTCGATGCTCTGGCTTGGAACAAAACAGTCGAAACTTTCAAGGCGGAGTATGCCTCAAACCCCACATATCTCGAAGATCTTTTAAAGAAATACCTTCTGGTGGAAGAGTCGTTGACTTTCACAATGGTGCCCACCGCAAGCTATGGCGAAGACCTCAAAGCCGAAGAGCAGACACGTCTCCGTGAAAAAATTGCCGAAGCCATAGCAAAGTATCCCTCTGAGCAAGAAGCTCTCGAAGATATCAGACGATGCGAGGCTGAACTTCAAGCAGAGCAGGAAGATGGGCGCGAACAAAACCTAGAATGCCTGCCGAGCCTCAAGGTTGATGATATCCCACGCGCGAAAGATCATCCTCAGCTTCGAGACGAAGACACGGCGAAAGGAAATGTGCGAGTTCAATGGTATGAGGCGCCAACCAACGGCTTGGCATATTTCCGGGCAGTCATTCCCTTCGAGAAGGATGAGCTGAGCAGCGAACTTCGTTTGCTGATTCCATTATTCAATGACGCGCTCCTTCGGATTGGTACGAAGGACAAGTCCATGGGCGAAATTGAAGACTCGATCAAGCTCTACACCGGTGGCTTGAGTTTCGGATATCACACCACTTCATCCCCTTTTGATGCTGGCGAGGCTCATGAAGGTATTGTGCTTGCCGCGTACGCTCTGCAAAACAACGTTCCGAAAATGTACGAGCTATTACGCACAGTACTGTTGGATACAGACTTCGATTCGCCCAAAGCGAGGCTCATGATCAAAGAGCTCGTGTCAAGTAGTGCATCCTCTGCGATGGACGCCATGTCTGATAGAGGCCATGCATACGCAAAGCGCTTCGCAGAAGCAGGCGTCTCGCCGGCCGCCAAAATTTCAGAGATGACCAGTGGCATCACACAGGTCCGCTACATTGCGCGACTCGCAGCCGCCGGAGAATCAGAAACAAGCCAAGAGATGCAAAATGTCATGCAGAAGCTCAAACAGCTCCAAGCAATCCTTGCTCAAAAGCTTCGCTTTGAGCGAAGGGGGGTACGTGTAGCGCTGACATGCTCCTCCGATGCTGTCCGCGAGAACAGCTCAGCTCTGGAGAATTTCTTATCATCCTGTACAGACTCGGCCTCTTCCATCTCATTACCATCTCTGCCGCCAGTCGCGATCTCCAATGAACTCGCTCAACTTCCAGATTATCCCCGGAAGGCACTGCTCTTGACACCGTTTCAGATCTCTCATATTGGACTCGCACTTCCGATTCCGTCGTACTTATCCAAGAAGAGTGCGCCATTTGCAGTCCTCGCTCAAATTCTTACCCACAAGCTACTTCATCCAAGCATTCGCGAGCAAGGTGGAGCTTATGGTGCTGGCGCCGTCGCCAACCCGCTAGGCGGCAGCTTTGGCATGTACACCTATCGTGACCCGAACCCAGTCCGTTCTGTTGGAGTCATGAATGACGCTGGACGCTGGGCATTGGAAAAACTTGGCTCCTCTACTGGCAGCGATTCGAAAGAAGACATCACTAAGCAGATTAATGAGGCGAAGATGTTGATATTCCAAGGCGTTGATGCGCCTCTGAGCGTCGCAGACATGGGAATGAAGAGATTCCTACACGGCATCGACGATCTAATGGAGAGAAATAGACGATTCCAACTTCTGGACGTCGATCCGAAGCAGATTAGAGGGGTTGCCCGCGAATTGAGTGATACTCTCTCAGCTACTGAGGACAGTAAGGTCCGGTGGGCAGTTCTTGGAAAGGGTTTCGCTAATGAGGAACCCTCCGCGAAAGAATGGGCTCATGTTGACATGGGCATCATCGCCCAAGCTCATGAGTAGCATGCCCATGTGTCAAGGGATGTCAAAGTCAAACTTCGGGGCATTCTTGTGTCATCACCATATAGACCAATTTTGTATAACAACACTGTAGAACACTGTAGCTTTCCTCCATACCCTGCCTTTGGGGAATGAGATTCATCTCGTACATTCCCTTTATGAGTCTAACATTCATAAGAGATACGAGTCTCCTTGCTCCCTCATTTCTACCGTATCGAACAGAAACCACCTGCATATTTTTGGGATAAATCGTAAGTGAGCCCTCCGTGGCCTTGTAGTCGAGATAGGGTTATCACGTGCGTCGTCGCAGGAACATCGCGGACATGCCAAGATTTCATCCCACCTCCGCATCGATATGGGCCAGGGAAACTTAGCAAGAGAGTCACATCATTGCCCCAAGAACAACTAGGCGCTCGAACGTGCAGCAACACAGAAGGAGCAAAATTGAGCAGCGACCACGGGGACTCTTGACTCCGACCATTACAGGAATCATCTTCAGCCAGTAACCCGCCTGTGCATCTTCGTCGAAGTGCCCGTTCGGCGATAACGACCCCGCCAAGCAGGAATGCCGGGACTTCTCAAACTCTCCCAGGTGGAGGGCTCGTTCGATGAATTAGCAACAGAACTCGCAACATACCTCGATGGCGCCAAGGGCGAAAGCTCAACTGTTGCGACCGATGTAACCGCACTTCTCGCCGACGCAGAAAAGCCTGATGGACCCAAAGAGACGGACCGCGATGCTGTCTTGAAGAAGCTGGTTCTTGCGAGCTCCGTCCTCAACAACGCGCCGGAGCGTGAGCTTCAGGCTGCATACAACCTCCTCCTCCATCTGATCTCACAAGTTGAAGAACCCGGTCGGTATCTCCAGCCGATCTGCAGATATCTCACACAACCCATCACCTCTTCACCGCACAACGGCACTGGCATCGCGCTAGGAATTTTCGCGTCAGTATTCAACACGATTCAACCTGATGATGAGACACGATTTCATGTCCTCCTCGCCATCATCGATGTGATCAAGAACTCCAACAATTTCGACACACTTCAACCGCAACTTAAGAATGTAGACAGCTGGGTGGAGGAGTGGGAGCTGGAGCCGGAGGAATCACAAAAGCTATATCTCGCCATTTCTTCGGCTGCAAGCGCTGCACGAGAAATTGACGAGAGCTACATCTACTTACTCAAGGCTCTGCGTACCACTCAGGATGAGCCCACTTCCGCTGCATCACGCGATATTTCTATTCGTGCCCTGAAGGTCGCACTCCAGAGCGACAAGCACTTTGATTTCCAAGACCTCATTGCCCTCGACAGCGTTCAAGCCCTCCGAAAGTCAGATCAGACCTGGTCGGAACTACTCGAGCTGTTCTCGTCCGAAACATTCGAGGATCTACAGGAGTTCAAGGAGTCCAACTCGGGTTTCTTGTCATCGAATGATCTCTCGGAGGCTGTCCTTGACCGCAAGATGCGTCTGCTAACGCTCGCATCTCTCGGGGCACAGGAAGCCAAATCACGCACACTCTCTTACGGTAACATTGCAGAGGCGCTTCAGATTCCTCTTGAAGATGTAGAGTCGTGGGTAATTGACTCGATTCGAAGCGGATTGGTTGAAGGCAAGCTCAGCCAACAGAAGCAGGAATTCCTCATCCACCGGAGCACATACCGAGTTTTCGGCGAGAACCAATGGCGAGAGGTCGCCAGCCGTCTTGAAACCTGGAAGAGCAGCTTGACCAATGTCCTTGCTGTGATTCGTGCTCAGAAACAGGAGTTTGCAGCGGACAAGGAGGCAGAGCTCAGTGGCGCGAACACCAACAGCAACTCAAACAACCACTGGCATCATGACGGACAACGGCACGAGGGTGGTCGTGGTGGCAACTACCGAAACGACCGGAGGCAGCGAGGAGGTCATCACCAAGATGGCCAGCAGCGGGAGCAGCGTGAACAACGCGAGCCGCGAAGAGAGGTGCAGTTTGCTGCGGTCGCCGGTGATGATTAGATCATGAGTTAGGATCATTTGCGATTGATTTTCCTTTTCATCTTTTCATCTTAATGCTCGGGCGATGCTACGAAAATCCGCCCAGAAAGACAAATACTTCGAAAGGTTGCCCTTCCCGTGCTCAAATATCACACTTCGAGTGCAAGATGCCCAGCACAAGTTCGATATGGGGCTCAGATCGAACATGAGTCGATGTGGGAGTGATGTCGATTGATCATGAGGATCATCAATGCTCCTCGGAAGAAAGTTTCTGCCACAGCGGTTGATCGTCGAGCAATTCCAGCTCGCCACAAGGCCCTACGAGATCTAGAACATGGAGGGAAGACAAATTTAGCTCCAACAAAACCGCAAAAACAATGAAAGAAATCCGCCCAAAGCAGAGAAACATCCGTCATCACCCGAATCCTCGTCGATGACAGTCATCCGCATGAGTGATCCTTTCCCTTACCCAAATGTACTGTATGTGCGACCAGCCAGCCCGCCAGCCAGTACAGCGGCCGGACAAAGCATGACCGCACAAAACCGTCATGTAGGCACGTCTGCAATGTGATCGCTCGATTGACTCTCCACCCCCCCGCCCCATGATCCAGTCACTCTCTTCCAAAAGAAAAACAGCCCGGGGACCGTACTGCTCCCGCATATGCCCGCTCGAGTCTGTCCATTTCCCTCCCGTTCGAACAACCACAACCATACCTTCCCAGCCCAGAACGACAACGACTGTGGGCCGCATAGCAGTGTTCCCACGCGCCGCCGGTGCAGCACGCATGCAAGCCGGCGAGGAAACACACGGCGGCATCCAACGGTTCTGGTGGATTTCTGTTCCCCACGGTTTCGACGAATTTCCTGCGCAGGTAGTATTGAGATTTCTGTCATTCCGCAGACTGTAGTCGGGTATGGTCACGCTTTTACATAATGTATTACGCACTCCATATCTTTCACACCATGGTTGGCCATGTTTTTCGCGTGCCTTCCGCGGATGGCTGCGGTCCATGATCGCCGCGCCACGGGTGGTTCTGTAGACCTGCATGCATGAGATTTGCGCAACCCGCCCGCACGCCCGCCTTTGCTGTTTTGGAGATCTTTTCCCTTTCTCTGCCACGCACGAGGGCGGTCACCTACCTAGGTACTGTGTACGCATGGAGAATAAGTTCCGGCTGGCTGATCGTTTGAAGATAGTGTGTCTCGCGGAGAGTTTGTAGATCCTGTTCCGGGGTTCCTCTTTCCCAGAAATGTGTCTTGTACGGTTTTGTACGATCGTGGGTGATCATTGACAGGCGCCGCCACAAGGGCGATCGATACCTTTCTCTCTCCGTGCTCTGTTCACACTGTACTACTGTTCGTAAGAGGGTTGCGTAACCTCTTCTCTGCGGGTTTGTTTCATGTACTGTGTTCATGCATGCATGTCTGATATGGATGTGGTGGTTGGAAACCCTTGCATGCAGGTGTCGCATGACCTTTTCTTATGAAGGACCGCTGGTCGTCCGTCGGCATCTGTAGTCTTTTATCCGTGGACTGCTCCTATGCCCGAAGATTAGGACATTGATGGAGTATAGTGCTCTCTGTACTGAACGATTGTTCATCTGGAGATCGTCGTCTCCGCCACATAGCGAAGGAAACACATACACAGATCATCCGGATTGCAGATGAACGTGGAACGGTAGACATGAGGTGGCAAAATGTGCCATGTCCTGCCCTGGCACACGCCTGGTCGGGCCCGCCGCTCCGACGATCTCCGGCTCGGGTGCAGAGTAGTGTCCTGTGCTGGTGTCCACATTTATCACAAGCGTCAACAATGGGCAATACATATACGAGAGCGAGAACACTCCATGGGTCTTGATCAGACCACCGCCATTGGAAGCGAAGATCGGTGTGTGGCGTAGTAATGATATTATCTCATACAAACGGTCAGCCACGAGGGATGAACAGCATGGGTTTCCCATTTCGCTTAAAGTTGTATTGGTATGTGTTCATTACAACAAACGATGGAGATGAGGCGTTTTGAACAGGTCGTAGATTGTCACATACTGTATACCGTGTGTCAATTCACCGTCATCGCAGGATGCGGGCGGGTGTTGTTATCATCCGTCGTGGACAACACGCTATTGCTGGGATGTCTATCCCTGGCGTTGCGGGTTTGCTTTAATCGTTTTGGCCCAGGAGTAGTTTCCGGCACTATCGACAGATACCGTGAACGGCTCGGAAATGGCAAATTGTGAATGTCGTCAGTGGGGGGCAGCTTTTGTGGGACCATATCCCATCATCTCGGGTTTGTTAAAATCATGTCAATAGTCTGTAGGGAGCGCATTTTACGAGACGTGTGTCGATTGCATTGTTCATCTTAATTCTAAAATACCTATGTATCTATGTCTGGTGGTTGGTGGAAAGGAGAATAAAGCCACCATGCGTCATGCACGTTGCACAATGTGGTGTATTTCGCTAAAACAGCCAGACGATGCCAGGGACGTAATATTAGTGTAGCTTGCTCGTGCGTGGACGGTGCAGTACATCTCCGTTGTACTGTAATAACAATAAGCATCCTTCTCGAGCCGTTGTTCACAAGAAACGTACAGGATCCTCATTCGGGCTGTATTATCGTCGTCTCTGATCATGTTTCAGTGTATCGTCGACATTGGGCAGATCGTGTGTAGATTTGCTTTCGGCCAATAGACGCGTTTGGTATCGTGGTGGCTTTCACATGTCGCGACCATCACGATGGACGCCGCCTCTGGCTTTGCCGTACGAGTATCCCCGAGTCTGCGCTGTATGCCATTGGAACGTGAAGACGGGAAGTGGGATATTGGTGTCGAGGACCCGACCGCCAATCCAGTGGATATCGACCAACGAAAGCGTTCCCGACGGGCCACTCCTAGCGCCGCATGCTTTCCCACACCCACCAAAACTGCCCAGGTGGCTGGTGGTGGGTCATCAATGTCCAGTCAAATCCTCCTTCTTCAACATGCGCCCTAAAAACACGATTTTCACGCAAGAGTCCCTCTGCCGCATGTATTTGGTGGTTGGCTTCGCTGATGGCTCACAGCACAGGACAATACAGCCCATGTGACGATCTGCGACATGAGAGTAAGACATTTGCAGAAGGAGATGACCATGTCTCGGCAGTAAATCTCCTGCATCGCCGCGATCATCAACGGAGACGGGGCTTCCAACCGCGCGCACGGTGCGGTGCGGGCGGGACACTCGAGAAGACACAAGTGAAACACGCCAGTGCCAACAGTTGGACTTCTAGCAGCAGCGGCAGCAACAGCAGTTGCCGTTGGGTCCAGGAGGCACACCGAAGCGCAAGCATACCTAGATAGATGGATTTAGGTCTGTCAGTTCAGTGGTGGTGGGAAGAAAACACGGTCCTGGAGTCGGATGGACCCTTGTCCCTTTTGTTGCGCCCACTCCCCTATATTGCATCCCCTCATGAACTTGTTCGCGTTCGTTTCATGCCCCGTCGCTTCGTTCTAGTATGGAGTTCAGAGCTTATGAGATTAGGCATATCTCTCGTATGGGAAATGCCACACTGCAATATGTAGATGTAGATGGTACATACAGTGTCGCGACGATCTCCCTGTTCCTACAGAGTACCTCTCTTTCCCAGGGGCCTGGCTGGTGGAAGTTGAAGCTCACTGTTGAACAGGCGCTTATGCATAGGATGGTACTGTACACAATACTGTACAATCCTGCTGCGCACACCAGAGAAAATCTCGCGACCATTGATTGCTGCGTTGCTGGGAGAGAGCATTGTGATTCTTATCGTTCTGAGCTTGGTCGGTAACAGTGTAGCTTTGTTTGACAGGGATACTGGTAAGGGAGCGAGCATCCATTCTTCATTCTATCACCAGTATCACGGAAAGGAGTGGGCAGGAATCTGCGGTCGCCGGGAACATACAGCGCAAAACTTGGATATTACTACGTGGTGATCACGGTCGTCATGTACAGTGCTTATCATCTTCACAGGCCAAAGACATGACGATGCATGGACGAGATATGCAATAACAGCCAATCTTTCCCAAGCAATAGGAGAGGAGAAGGCAAAGTAAAAGGGATACCTAGGTAGAAAGGGATTGGAACAAGCTAAAGCCCACGCCAGTTCGAAACCTCCCCTGAGCTTGATCATGTACCGTACATTATTTTACAACCGATGGAAATTCGACAGCCCACCACCACCACCACCCTTTGCTCGCCTGCGCACCCTTTCACCTTGTAGCGGATTCCTCCTGTTCCTGGGGAAAACCGCCCGCCCTCCGCCTCCCCGTTATTGATTGTCTGTCTGTCTGTCTGTCTGCACGGGACTGCTGCGTCTCTTTATCGATTCCTTGCTCGATTGGTCGGTCGCTCGGCCTGCTGTTATCTTTTCGCAATTGTTCGTTGGAGGGTGTCAACCCAGGCCGAATCTCCTGTTCTTGTGCTTCTCTGCTCTTTCGGTTCTATTTGCACATTATTGCACATTTCGCTTGACTTTGTTTTCACCGTCCGCCGCAGGGAAAACTCGACCTTACGTGGTCGGTGTGGACGTAAATTCCAACCCCGTCAGGAGTGTGGAGTGCATTGCTGTTCGCGCCAGACTTCACCGTCTGCCCACAGTTCAGGCCACTGACCACTGCTTGCGCTTCTCGACACGTCCGAAAGGGATCACGTCGCCTTCTGGTCTCGAATACTGATTGCGAGTCGAAGAGACTCACGTGCTGCACACTCGCTCAGTCACTGTCGCGAGGGCCATGCCTTCAAGGGGACCCTGATTCAAACATACATCGTTCGTGCAGCATATACAACCACCGAGCAACTGCTCTTTTCGTCGCTCCAGCGACTCTGCTGCATATACACCAAACACGACAGGACGACTTGCATGGTACTCTACTCATTCGCACCGACCAGTCGCGACGGCCTTTCTGTTCGGCAGTAGCGAGCCTCCTCACGCATCTCTTCTCACGACGTTCCCATGTCCACGACGACCATGACCTCCACCATCCCGCGTCCGCCTCGGACGCCTTCAGCACCGCCGAATGCTCCTCTCCCAGCTTTACCAGTTCCGAAGACGCGCGCCCGATCAGTCGTAGATCCGTCAGAATACACACCAAGCTCGCGACGTGGCTCCACCGCCTCACAGCTGCCACATCCGCCAAGCAGAAAAATCGCAACACCCACCCGGTCCGTCACCTCAACTGGACTTCCCTCTCTCAAAGTCCTGAAAGCGACACCGACGCCTTCGTTGCCTTCAGCCGTCGCTTCCGACTCCTCAGTAACGACTCCTAATACCCCAGCCACCCCCTCGGCGCTACCCAAGACCATTCGTAAGACGTCAAGCATTGGTTCATTCCCTCTACCGCCCCAGACAGCCGCTGCGCGAGTCACGAGTCTACCTCCAAGCCCGCTTTCGGCTTCCACTTCGTCAAATGATGTCAATGGCGGCAAGGCGCAAAATAAGACAAAAAGAGATTCTTCCAAGCATCGCAGTGCCGAAAGTGTACCGAAAAAGCACCGGTCGTCAAAGAGTTCTGGATATGGCACACGATCGCGGATGTCAGGAGCTGGTATGTCATATTCGCCGAGTCTAGGAGGCGGCGAAAGCAATTACATATCTGCAGGTGAAGGCGGAAAACAGCATGACAGTCTGCTCAGCCTGCCTTCACCGCCACAGAGTCGCTCGTCTTCGGCAAATGATTCATATCCTGCCGATCTCGCCGACGATGCTGGAGACGAGTCCACGACCAGGGGACGGCCGCGTAGCGTCGACGCAGCTGCAAAGAAGGAGCTAGATGCGAAAAATGACAAGGGTAATGTCTTGGTAAGTGTTCGTGTCCGACCCGAATCTGGTGGAGATGGAGAAGCGAGCAATGCGTCCGATGGCGAATGGCTTGTGGACGGCCGACGGTCGCTCATATCCTTCAAAGGCAAGGAAGGCGGAGACTACCGTTACGACAATGTTTTCTCTCCGCATGACAACAATGCACGAGTATACGATAACGCAGCGAAACGCCTCGTCCGGAGGGTTATGGAAGGTTACCACGGAACCGTCTTTGCATATGGTATGACCGGCACAGGAAAAACCTTTTCCATGCAAGGAACCTCGTCCTCGCCTGGTGTCATCCCACTCGCCATTACCGACATCTTCTCCTACATTCGAGAAAACCCGAATCGCGAGTTCTTGTTGCGTGTGAGCTATCTGGAAATCTACAATGAACGCATCTACGATTTGCTCAGCCAGAGCACTCCCGGACAAGTGCAACAGGAGGAAATCAAGTTGCGAGAAGACAGCAAGCGTGGTGTCTATGCGACTCCGCTAAAGGAAGAAATTGTGCAATCGCCCAACCAGCTTTTGCGTGTGATTGCTCGTGGTGACACGGCGCGAAGAGTTGGCAGCACTCAGTTCAACTCACGCTCATCTCGTTCGCACGCCGTCGTCTCCATCGTTGTTGAGTCTCGGGAACGGACGTCTAGTCACGGGGATGGGACGAGTGGTAGGAGATCAGACAAAATCCTTCCAGGAGGAGTCTTGGTTTCAACCTTGTCACTGATTGATTTGGCCGGTTCGGAGAAAGCCGCCGAGAACAAGGAAAGGCGAGCTGAAGGTGCTCACATCAACAAATCATTGCTCACCCTCGGAACTGTCATCGGACGACTGTCAAACGAAGACGAGAAAGATGGCAAAGACGGCGCGAAGAGCGGCGACAAGGAGAAGGCTGTCAAGCATCTGCCATACCGAGACAGCAAGCTGACTCGATTGCTCCAACCGGCATTGTCTGGTGACTCCCTCGTCTCAATTCTGTGTACGGTGCAGCTGTCGTCTGCAGGCACGAGTGCGGCGCACGCGAGCTCGCACACTGGTGAAACTCTCAACACGCTCAAATTTGCCAGCCGCGCGAAGAACAACATTGTCAGCCATGCGAAGCGTAATGAATCGAACAACAACCCTGGTGACCCAGGTAGTAGAGCTTTGCTGGACAGATACCGCCTCGAGATCCAGGAGCTGCGGACACAGCTTGATAAGCAAAACAAAGCCAAGGAGGTGAACGAAGAAAAGGACGAGTTCGAGCAAGATCGCAAGCGGGAGGAGGAGCTGGAAAAAGAAGAGCACATTCGACACGAGGAGCAGATGCTGGAGATGCAACTCGCGCGAACAGCACTCAAAGAACGAATCAGTCACCTCAATCGGTTGATTCTCTCGTCGAAATCGATCGGAGTGAACTCGGGACGCTTCTCCAGCTCAAGCGTCGGCGGATTGAACACCCGTATGAGCTCTTACAGTCTAGCCACCGATTATGGTCGACCTGTCAGCGTGGGCGATACTCTTGTTGACAGCAAGAGGAACAGCTCAACGACGAATGATGGGGCGGTTGGTGACGGGGCCGATTCTCAACCTCGCGACCGTGTGGTATCTGCAACATCCACCACATACGGTGAGATCCCGGCAGCCGCCATGGATCGCATGGAGATTGACGACACGGCAACAAACATCGGAGAGGATGAGGCTGAGCTAGTCGCGGAAGGCGAGGGACAAGCGAGTCTCGCACAACAGGTGCGGATGCTGCAGTCCGATCTGTCGGATAAGAACCGCTACATCACGACTCTGGAGAAGCGCTTACTTCAAGCTCGACGGACTAGCCACAGCCGAGTGAGCATGCAATTCGCTGCACGTGTTGGTCTTCCGGAGGATGGCACCCTCGAGGGTCTACTTCGCGAGCGTGATCGCGAGATTGAAGAGCTCCGCGCCAAGCTCGACGATCAGATGCGCATGGTCACAGCACTTCGCAGCGCTGCTCGAAAGCGCGACATGATTGAGAACCGACGGTCACATGTGACCGATATCTCCGACAACACCGAGCGGCCACGAACGACGGGCGGGACGCTTGACACGGACAGCACCGCTTCCACTCCAGCTGACGATAACGTCCCGGATATGACGAGTCAAGCCTGGCGTCGCCACAACAGCTCACGCCTCTCGAATCGGACCTCGACACAGAGCATGCGCCTCCGCAACTCCACCGGCGGCGCTGGAAACAACCACCGCAGCACGACATCTTCCGTCTCCCGTTCCAGCACCGGCGGCGCGGTCGTCAACTTCAGCAGCCCCATGGCCATCCTGTCCTCCCCCGTCTCCGTGACCTTTCCCGAAGACGTCCACGACGACAAGCCCAACAGCAACAGCGGCCACTCTGCCAAACCCCGCCGGAAATCCGTCGACGAAATGACCATGCTTCTCGACCAAATGATCCAAGACAAGGTCGAAAGCGGCCACGTCGTCCGCGGCGACCGCGGCAGTCTCCGCATCCGCCACGACACCGTCCTTCACGGAAACTCCATCAACCACACCGCCAACGATCCTTTTGACAACAACAACGCCGACGACCACGACCACAACGCCATGGGCACCCGCTTCGACACCTCCCCACTCAACTCACCCCCGCTCTCCTCTTCCGCCAACACGTCCGCCATGCTCCTCGGCCCTTCCTCGGCCCGCGCTCCCAATGGTCCGATCGCAGAGGAAGACGAGGAATCCCCCATCATTCCCTCTCACGCGATGTTCGGCGGAAGGTCGTCATCGCACCAAGCTTCCACCATCGGAACCATCACGGTCACACCCACCGTGCCGCATACGGCGCCGTTGCCGCCGGTGGTGAATGGGTTGGGGTTGACAGGGACGTGGCATTGATGAGGTGGAATCCTTTCGGAAATTCGGGGTTGACGTCTGGACGGCAATTGACTTGTGCGGTATTTCGGGGAGGGGAAAGGTAGGATTTGATCTGATGAATGATATATGGAAAGGAAAGAATTTTGCACACGGCTGTTTGAGAACAAGAATCTGCCTGGATTTGACGAGCTCTGCTTGCCTTCGCTACTTGGTTGGACCCAGCATTTGGGCTCGATTTGCTCTTCAACCTTTTTTTATTCGCGATGCCTTATGCTTGGGTTTTGTTTCGATTGCGCGATTGTTGCTCACCCTCACCTTCGCTGTGTTCTCGATACGTCGACATTTTGCTCCCAATGAGTTGGGCCAACGCGATTTTATGTACACGGATGGGATAGGATGTCTGATCAGAAAGAAATTTTATGCAACTCACGTTCTCATCACTCTCGCGAGGTCCTCGAATCTCTCTCTGATAATCCATGATCTCTTTGCTCATGAGAGCAACGATGCCGTGAAGTTGTTGTCATGAACGGTCAGTTGGCAAATGGGTCCGATTTTCCCCTGTTCTTTGCCTCTCCCTACCGCAAAGGAATATTGCTCGAACAGCGCCTATTAATGCTTCGTTACGAAGCAGGCTGACTTTCTAGTTCCTGATATGGCTATTTCACGATGTCCCGGTTCGGTGCAGTCGCAGTCACAGCGCTACACTGGTCGTCGTGTGCCGCGCCGATACGACATACGAGAACTTGGATCGGTCCCGGAGAGATTTCCTATCCTGGGGTAAGCGAGACCCTGGTAAAACGGTTAGAAGGCCAATCGAAGGCACACAACGCCCGCTAGAGATGTTCTGGGCCCAAATCTCTGTTCCTCTTCTTCGAGGAATACAGTATCGCTATGTATGCTCTTCCGCCGGATCTCACCCCTGCCGTCTATGCGATTGTGTGTCTCGTCGCTCCCCCTTTGCGCAAACGGCTCCAGAGGCATGAGGCTCGTGAACATCGGCGAAGAGGACCGTCGAATCATGTGTATGATATGATATGATATGCACCGGACTCTACGTACGGTCGACTATGGAATCGTCGTGGTCGGGTAAGACGGCAACGCAAGAAGTGCGCGAGAGATGTGATCACGCGGAGCTGGGTTCCGTTGTTGGCGATGGTGTTACGACCAGCCGGGACGAATGCGCCGCCTGTGAAGCTTGTTGCATTCCGATGGGACCAGCACAGCACAGCACAGCACAGCACAGTAGAAGACACCGGTATACAGCACCAGGAAGATCTGCTCGTGAGGTTCTCCTTCTCTCCATGCCGTCGTCTCGCTTAGCCGATTGAGATTGAGGCGTCTTTATGCACAGCTCTCTTTTACTCTCCGCGCCGTCGCTGCATCTGTGCCGCCTCGTATATGTTTCGTTTCTATCCCAGCAGACTCCTATCACAGCGACTTGGTTAGGAGGATGATCTGATTGATTTACCTCTTTGAAAGCGCCGCCACATTTGCATAAACCTCAAGCCACATGAGAATCAGGATCCGCATCCGCCTTTTGTTTTGTGTACAGACACCATCGTAAGCCACTTGCATTCATCTTTATAATTAGTCGGCAGACCAACTTGTTATTATCACTTCCGTGTCGCGTCTTCCCATTGAAGCTTGACATTGACTTTCCAAGACGTTGCGGCTCTCTCTCTCCATCTCGTGGCAATTTCACCATCGCTTCACCTAAGCCCGCGCCGAGAAATTCCACCCGTGGACTGCATCGATCGAACCTTCTCCGACACGTGGTGCTGACTTGGGTACGTAAATTTCGACAATAGTTCATCATTTGAACGGACTCGCGTTTCGCTTGCATTCAGGACGAAATATGTCACCGCGATGACGACCATCGAAACCCACATCGTCGAACGAAGTCGAGAACTAATATGCTCCTCCCTCCAGGCTCGCGACTGAAAACATCATGGCTGTCCCGCTCGGAGCCACGCTCGGCGTTCCCGGCAAGGACCTGCCAGAAGACCAACAAGTCGCCTTGCAACGCAACCACGATGCCGATTTCCCTGTCGAACCCATCGCTGTGCATACCAAACATCTGTCGACCTCAACAGACCCCCACGACGAGAAGCATGCCGCCAAAGCGCATTCAATATCAAGTAGCTCCAGCGGCATCGTTCATTCCCATGACCAGCAACGACAACACGACCTCGAGAAAGGTGCCTCGACAACCATCACTACCGCCAACGAAGAACCCTCCGACCCCAACATCATCGATTGGGACGGTCCCGACGATCCCGCCAACCCACTGAACTGGTCCTCCCTCAAAAAATTTGGCAACCTCTTCATCCTCTCGATGATGACCTTCCTCACGCCGCTCGCCTCCTCCATGTTCGCGCCCGGCGTACCCCAGCTCATGCACGAATTCGACTCGAGCAGCACGCTCCTCGCGACCTTTGTCGTCTCCGTCTACGTCCTGGGTTTCGCGATCGGGCCGCTGATCGTTGCACCCTTGTCGGAGCTGTACGGTCGTCTGGCCATTTACCATACGTGTAATGTGGGCTTTATCGTCTTCACCGTCGCGTGTGCGTATGCGCCGAATATCACGGCGTTCATCGTTTTTCGCTTCTTTCAGGGGTGTTGGGGCGTGGCGCCGTTGACCATTGGTATGTTGGGGTTTCATCTTCTTCTTCTTTGTTTGAACTGGGCGTGGTCCTTTTCGGAGTTGCGGTTTGTTGACCTTCATTTTATAGGTGGTGGGACGATTGTCGATATGGTACCTGCGGAGCGACGAGGGCGGATAATGTCGGTAAGGAAAAGCTGGTCGATAAGTGTGATTGAGAGACGTCCAATGCTAATGAAAGCACATAGGCGTGGTCTCTCGGCCCTCTTATTGGGCCTGTCATCGGTCCGGTTGCTGGAGGATTCTTGGCTGGCAGCGTAGGTTGGCGATGGTAAGTCAATGGCAGAAGGATCGAATCGCGATGGAAGGGCTTCGTACTGACGAGAGTCGCAAAAAGGATATTCCTGGTAATCTCCATCGCCAGTGGAGTCGTCACCCTCGTGGCTTTCGTCGTGCTCCGTGAAAGCTATCCCGTCACCCTCCTCGCAAACAAGACCAAACGTCTGCAAAAGGAAACGGGCAACATGGATCTCCGGTCCAAACTCGACCTCGGTCTCACGCCGAAAGCACTCTTCATCCGATCCATCATGCGTCCGACCAAAATGTTACTTTTCTCGGTGAGCTTCTTCGATTGAACTTCGTCCCCACATGCTCCCCGAACTAACCCCTCATCGTCCACAAGCCCGTCTGCGCTCTGATGTCCCTATTCATGGCCGTCCTATACGGTTTTCTGTACTTATTGTTTACGACCTTCACCTACGTCTTCCGGGACGTCTACGGCTTCGGGGCCTCGACCGTGGGCCTCACCTACCTGGGTTCGGGCATCGGCTTCTTCATCGGCTTGGGCGTCATGGCCTTCACCTCCGACTCCCTCCTCGCCCGGCTGACGGCCAAGAACGGCGGGGTCATGAAGCCCGAATACCGCCTCCCGCAGCTCGTCTGCGCCGTCCCGCTGCTCCCCATCGCGTTCCTCATCTACGGCTGGACCGCGGAATTCCACGTCCACTGGATCGTGCCCATCTTCGGCACCCTAATACTAGGCATCGCCTTGAATATCGCTTTCATGGCGGTCTGTACGTATCTGGTGGATTCCTTCACGATTTATGCTGCGAGTGCCATGGCGGCGAATACAGTGCTCCGGTCACTGTTCGGTGGGGTCATTCCGTTGTTCGGTCTGCAGATGTATAATAAGCTGGGACTGGGTTGGGGCAATAGTCTTCTGGCCTTTGTGGCGCTGGCGCTTTGTCCGATCCCTTGGTTGTTCTATGTCTATGGGGAGAGACTGAGGACGAGTAAGAGGTTTCAGGTCACGTTCTGATCATGGTCATGATGGCGAGAAGGAAAAGGATGCGGGATGATGACGATGGATGTTTTGACATTTTAGCGATTTTCTGGAAATCTTTACTGGAGCTGCATCTTGATACCACGATATACGGAGGCAGGAATCTGAAAAGCTTTTGGCACATTCATTCAATTTCAACTTTTTTATTGCGCCGTCGAGCAGCACCATTCGTGATCTCTCTCACTGGAAAAAAAAGGGAAACAAGTTGCATACATCGTTGATCTTCCCTCCCATAATAACAGTTGAACTCCAAAACTCATGCTTCCCCTTGCGGATGTCAATTGTCGGTGACCCGTGGTCTCGGTATTCATCCCGTGAATTCTTCCCCAGAATCGCAAATTCTTTGACTTTTAAGCCTTCGATTACGCACCACCGGAAGATCCAGCAGTGCCAGTCTTCATCTACCTTGATGCGACGACTCGAAATTCCACGTCGAAAGACAGCAGTCGATGTTCTTGGGAATTCCGCCGTCACGCCAGGAAAATTTGCAATTTCAGCCTTTCCGACCAAGCAAATCCTTGCGGTCGGGACATCAATGGACTTCCGAGAACGCCAGGGCCTCGGAGGAAAGGAGCATTCCTTCTTCAGTGCTGCCCAATTACTCCCGTTCAGTCACTTTTGGCTGTTCACACATCCCTCCCCTTCCTCTGCTGAAAGCCCTTCTGAATCCTCTCATTCCTCCTCGCCGTATCGCCCTTATCCCTCGCCCTCTTCTCCTTCTTCTCTCCGCCAGCATCTCCTCCATCCTTCTCCACCTCGACCAACCAATCGTCCGCGATGCCACCATTCGATTTCTTCCCCTTGTACCCATACTTCGGCGCCCACGCGCCCTTCTCATTGTCATACTCCAGCTTGCCGTCCCGCTTCTTCGCCTTGATCCCCTTCTTCGCGGCGAACTTCTCCCATTTGCTCTTCTCCTTCTCCTTGGGGACGGACTTCTCGCGCGGGAGCGGCGTCGCGGGGGACGGCAGGGTGATTTGGAGATTCCCGTCGTCTTCGGAGCGCGTTATGGGACACGTCTTGAGCAGCTGGTGGATGAGCGCCTGGGCGCAGGATTGCGCTCGCGCGGCGAGCAGCGCTTCTTTGGTCTCCGCGTCTCGCAGCGATGGCATCGGGTTGGTGTCTTCGCAGAGCATGTTGCCTAGGTCGAAGGTGTAGGGTTGAGGTTGCTGGTCGACCTCCATGGCGGACATCTTGGGCGAAGGAATAGTCTCTTGACTTGGATCACGGTGAGGATATTTCGGGATTGCTAGTTATGTGCTCGACTCTCCTCCCGTCGGGGCGATACCTGTTGGAAATTTTTGGGGCAGTCGAAACTTGCATGCGACAAGAAAGATTCCGAAATCTTGGCGCGCCGATAAGATACGGATAGATCCGGGCGAAGGTAGCGTAAAGTCTAACCGGGGCTGCCAACACGCGAACGGACCCTCGTTTATGCAGCTGCCTGTTGTTTTCGGACGACCTCTGTCCGTCGTAACGACAACAACACACGGTCGCGAACAGATTTTACGCTCCTCGCGTCGCCTCCATCGTCCAAGATGAGAGGTGTCACGCTGACACCGCGAGCGAGTCACTTGCAAATATGGCCGTCAGATCAATCCGTGAGAGCGCATCACAGAATCCAAACCCTCTCGAGTGGTTAGATTCTGATGATGTACGTTTCTTGCCGTCTCAGGCTTTCAGAACTGCTCATATTATCCCGAGAGGCTTACGGGGAGCGGATTACAGTTATGAGGACAATCAATCTCGTTGTGAAGTCTGTTCGTTGTCGCTGTCTGGTTTTGGTGTAGATCAAAAGGTCGGGACATCGATTGCTTACCTGCCTAGGTAGTATTAGTGGTGTCAGCATGCAGGTACGAATCCGACTCTCGGATCCACGGGTCACAATGCTGACAAGATCGACTCTGCAAATGTCCCTCGTCTAGTGAAAGGATGCGGTAAGTTTGAAGTCAATGGAAGGCAGCATTCAATCAACCAGGCAACGATGTTTAGATGTAAACATAAATAGCACTCCGGTATTCACGAAAACATGACATCTGGCAGTCCAACACAATCTCCACGAGCAATCATTCCTGTACAAGATAAATTGAGCATTTTGGCTCCATCGTCAAGATGTCTACATCGGCAACATCATCACCCTCCCAATCCTACCCGCTGAGCCGCAGCACCATCGCAGCCACTCGTCTCGACCTCCAGCATTTCCTCTGGACCTCCTCCACCGAGAGCCATCTCCACCCAAGCATCCCCGTCCCTGACGATGCATTCATCGCCGACATAGGCTGCGGCACGGGAATCTGGTCCCTGACCTACCCGCGTCCGAAGAACAGTGCAATCCGCTTCGAAGCAATGGACATATCACTCTCCCAGGTCCCTCCCACCGAATGGCTGCCCGACCACGTAACAGCCCGAACCCTCGACATCTTCGCACCGATCCCAGAGGACCTCCGAGCGAAATTCGACGTCGTCCACGTCCGGCTGTTCCTCCTGGTCGTGCGCGACAACGACCCCGTCCCGATTCTATCCAACCTGTTGAAATTGCTCAAGCCGGGAGGGTATCTCCACTGGCAGGAATACGACACATCCAAGACCTCGGTAGTGGTGGCGGCGGCGGCGGCTCCCGGCAGCGACGCAGAGACGGCCGCGCCGGCGATGACCGCTCTTCACCGTCTCACGACCGGCGGCGGGCGAAATGCGTCCGCCGACCAGGTCTTTGAGAATCTCTCCTGGGTCTCCACCTTCGCGCGCCTCTTCGAACGGGGATCCGGCAAGGATCTCGGTGCGGAGCTCGTCTCGCAGAACGTCACGACGCCGCCGTCGCATCTCCTCCCGCTCGCGCAGGAGATCGGCTTTCTCGGCGCGAGGGAGTATGCTACGGGGCTGAGGTCGTCGCAGCCGGAGCTCGCGGCGCGGTTGGATGGGGCTACGGACGCTGCGGAGACGGAATGCTGGGACGGGTTGAAGCGTGGGTCGGCGATAGGGATGGATATGATGACCTGGGTGGTGAGGAAGTCTGAGAAGTGATCATTATGCATCGGTTGAATTTGGAGTGGGTTTGAGCTCGTGTAATCGAGCGTTTCGATGATCTGCTGCTCGGATGAGAGATTCTAGCCACGTTCTCCTATGTATGAGGGTACTTGTCTCGATTGGTGAGAACGACGTATATGTCACTACCGGGTCTCGATGCTCAACCATTTTGGCCTTTTACACTAAATTTTCCAAGTGATGGATTGATTCGATTGTCGATGACTTGTAGCATCCTGCATATGCGTCCGTGGAGATATACAACTGCCCATTTTATACTGCACGCCGATGGTACTTGCGCTGGGTTTTGGAGACCACTCGTACGGTGCGCGCATGTACATATGTGCACATATTGTTCATGTACATCCAGGTGACCGCCAGATAGGTGCCATGGAGGACGAAGAGGGCGAGACTCCCGGGAATCCGGCCATGATTGGCTGCGGAGGAGTGGACACTAAGCCTTGACCGAGAAGTGATGCGCACGAGCTGAAAGGAAAGAGAGAAGAAACTTTGCCAGCTGAGACCCGCGCGCCCCCCTGATGTCATGCCCGTTGTGTTCGATCCGCTCGCTTTTCTTTCTGCTCACGTGAGGGCGCGAATGGAAGCAGATGCATATCCGGTGGATCAACTCCCGCGAGCCTTCTCACGTGTGCTGTGCATGTATCCCTCTCTCTTTCCGTGCCGCAGTCATCGCCATGGTATGACGGACATGGAAATGCCAACAAGCGAACATGGAACACACAGGGAAGGAGAATACATCGGTTCGGGGATCGATGGTGAAACAGGCGCACAAGCGGAGCAGCCAATGACCAACGCCTGCAGGGTCAATGGACGGGGATTCGTCGGGGGCCTTTTCGCCTCTCTCGTTTCATGTGGCCCGGCTGTATGTCCCGAGGTGGGGGAGACTTTCCCTTCCAAGGGCTCGTCCTCTTCCCTCTTCTTATGCACGCACTACTGTCCCGTCATGCATTACGACATGATACATACAGCATGTACTACTGTATCTGCAAGAATAAGGATAGATAATGATCCTGGAATACACTGCATTGGGGATTTGGGGGACTTGTCTTCCACGCTCCTGGGTCCACGCAGGTATGGCACCCGATGCACTCGACCGGGAGTATACAACGAGGGAGGTACATACATATCGAGGCGGGAGTGAGAGCATTGGGAAGAAGAGGAGGATGGCCGCTGGAATGGACTGTTCACCGATGTTCCCCCCCACTGCACCTCGTAATTGTCATTGGGGCACACGGGCACTAAGAGAGAAGTCTTTAAGTGGTAGTGGTAGTGGTATCATACACGGCCGGCCATTCAACGTTGAACGATGAGGTAGATACGGTCACAGATCGGCGTGCACAGCCCGAGGACGACGACGGACATGCCCTCTGTATGCTCCAAATTTGATGATCATTGTTACTGTACGCAGGGTGGAACATTGCCCGGACAGATGTTAGCAGTCATCAGTCATCAGTCATCGAGGAGTGTCATCCAATATTGGATGGGTTGCACTGTAAGAGTAGCACGCGGAATGTTGTTACACCCGAAGGAGGAGGGATCTTTCTCTTTCTCTTTCTCTCTCTGCTCCACCCTATACAATGATACATGTACATACTTCACCTTGCACTTACACGCACACGCACACGCACGTCCTGACTTCCCTGGTTGCCTTCCCTTGTAACGAACGACTCTTTCACACACACACACACACACTCTCTCTCTTTCTCTCCCTTCTGTACCACCACCGCCACTGCATTTCTTTGTATCATTATCGTATCGTATCGTCGACAACGGAGGAGCTGCCGGTCAGATCCTCTCATCCTCTCGCCAACAACTCTCCAGTCGTTCCTTCCCATCAACCTCATCAACGACCGTCTCTTCCGCCTCATTTGAGTGACACCACCGTTCTCTGTCTCACTCTCCAGTACAAACCCCACCGTCTCAACCGCCGCCACTGTTCCGCTCTGTTACATACAGATCGCCATCGGCTTGATACTGGACCTGTCTCATCGTCCCTGTATTTTGAGAAGAGTGTCCGATTTTTGATAGAAAGAAAACTCACCTGGACTGGTTCCAAGAGTCCTCCCTCATGATCACCATCAACGACTTACGATTGTGAAAGACGTGGCAGGCACCACTCTCGTTTCTCTCCCACTTTCAACGACCTTCCTCACGAACAACCTCAGCATTTACATCACCTTGCATCGCATCGCCTCGAACTTTCCACTATCCGACCACGCTCTCTTCACATCATCACCATCATCATCATTATCATGAAACCTCGACGAAACACCAACTTCTTGACCGTCCCGGTCCTTCCATCGCCTGCATCTTTTATACCGGGCATAGATGGCAGTGCAGAGAAACAATTCGGAACTCTACCTCCACTCTCACCTCTCCTGCCAACGACTCGACTCAAGCTCAACAAATCCGAGGAACGTTCCTTCTATCGCCGGTACGCCGCTCGACTCGTGGTAGCAATCACACTATCGCTTGTCTTCCTGTGGCAAGCATCAAATATCTTCACCGCTGTCAAAGACTTTCAGGCGCCCTTGCCTATCTCGACCAACACGACGCAGCTGGCCGATTTGCCCAAGCATGCGGCCGCCATCACTGTCAATGGTGGATCTAAGTGGACGGTTTCCATCCCGCATGACTCGGCCTTCCCTTTGTCCTCAAACGACTATACTCACATCTGCCAAACTACTGAGACAGTTCGCGACGAGATCCGAACTACCACGCAGCCTTCCGGTGTATCAGGATGGTGGGCAGATTCGGACCGGTCTTTCTTGGACGTCGCTGAAGCGCAGGCCATGGGGTATTTGCCTGCCAACAACAATCAAACGTCCCAGGAAAATGTCTGTGAGAAGAGTCTGACTTTCGTCCTCGAAAGCGATGACATCAGCTTCGGTGGCTCGTTGTTGATGCTGTGGCTCAGCTATGGCTTGGCTCAGAGGCAGGGACGAGCTTTCTTCCTGGACGATTCCCGTTGGGCTTGGAGCAAGTATACCTCCTACTTTCAACCTCCTCCTCGACCACAGTGCAACCCGCCGCCTGCGCATCACATTGTCTCGTGCCCGGCGATTGCACGCCATATCGTTGTCTCTAGCTCGACAGCTCAATGGACGTTTGGCCCAGCTTTCAAAGCTCAATACATGCGGTCCAATCGATTTGTGCGCGAACAACAAACCCAGGTCTTTGCACTCGTACGAGCTGGCTATGATGCTCTCTTTCATCTTGCAGATACGGATGCCGGATATGTCGACGAGCGTGTCTCACACTTTCGTGGAGACGCGCAGAATGCCCAGGCACCTGTCGTCGGCGTGCACATTCGTCGCGGCGACCGTCATCCCTATGAATACCAATACAGTCACGACTACCTTCCTTTGAGCCGTTACGTCGATGCCGCATATGAGATGCTTCCCTCGCTAGCGAAGAAGCCAACATCACAGATCTTCTCATCGATCACATCCTTTCTTTCCGCGCCAGTCCACCCCTCACAGCCCATCGCATCCACACCGAACCTCGTCCTCGCCTCCGATGACCCGGACATCCACCTCTCAGATGAACTCCTCCTCGCCCTCTCAGCCCACGACGCCTCCCCAGAATCCCTCACCCGAGCCCAAGACCGCATCCTCCTCGCCACCAAATCCGCCCTCGACGCCGCCGCAAACCTCACCGCCACCAAATCCATCCCACGAGGACCTCACGCGCCTCACGACGGCCACACCGCCATCCAATACCACAAACACGTCGCCGAGAACGCCGGTTGGGATGGGGGTTTCTACGCCGCCATGTTCGCCTCCCTCGGGAACGTCGGCGGCCCAGTCTCGACCACCCCTCAAGCCCTCGAGATGCGGATCCTGGTCGGACGCGCATATGTCCTCGACATGGCGGTCCTGGCCCGCGCTTCGGACGCCGCCGTTTGCGCTATCAGCAGCGCGAGCTGTAGAGTCCTCGGCGTCGCCATGGGATGGGAGGGCGTCCGATCGGGAGGGAAGTGGGTCAACGTCGACGATGGAAGGGGCTGGAGTTGGGATGGAAATGGGCCTTGAATGGAGGAGCCGGGGGGGTTGGTCCAAACGAACACCGCCGCCTGCATTTTCTTTCGGAGACGTTGACTCTCTCTCTGTCTTCGCGACGTCGCATGGGCGAGCGGCTTGTATGACTTTTTTTCTCTTTCCCTCTCTTTCGATGTACAAATAGACATCTCTGTGCGAGGGGGACGATGCTCCTTCCACTGATAAGTGCACATCTTCGCACCTCTGGAATTGCCACCCTGACTCCGCCACAGGAGCTTGGTCTATGTAGAGAAACGGCATATGATTGCTGTATAATGACGAAACGATATCGAACCCTCGCTGCAACTGTGTACTCTGTCATTTCATATATCGACTTTTCTAATCGCTGCAGGTCAGTCTATCATGATTGATCCGCAAAAGTCTCCTATCTCCCTCGATCAACACATCTCCACCCTCTGTACCTCTCAAAAGGCAAGACCCAACCCTGGGGGAATTTATTCTTTATTTTCTCTTCGTCTTTCCTTCTCTTCCCCTTGTTGGAAATCTCACATCCTCCCCGCCGCACTCCTCCGGATCTCCCCGATCGCCGCCCTCCTCAGCGGGGATTCCGCAAACAGCGCTTCGATCAACCCCACCACCTCCTCGGGGCCGAAGTCCAGGTTCATCCCGCCCTCGTGCCAGGAGTACTTGATGTCCGCGAGACTGCTGACCATGATCTCGCCCAGGTATTGGAATTTGATCCAGTTCGGGCAGAAGGAGGCGGTCTGGTCCCGGATTTCGCCGCCGACACCACCGTCGTCATCATCCCCGCCGCCCGCGTCCTCGAAGGAGAACAGGTCCCGGATCTCGCTGACCGATTCGATGAGCGCTTGGAGCTGCTTGCTGTCCGCCTCGGAGATGTCCGGGAGGTCTTCGACGTCCGCGATGATCTTGCCGATCAGCGTGGCGAGGAGACCCCCGACGGATTGCAGCAGCGCCGGGCGGGAGAGGATGGGCTCCCATTGTTTGTGCACCGTGCGCAGGTGGTGCGTGGCGTCGGACACGGCGGCTTCGCAGGCGGCTTGGTAGGGTGGTGTGGTGCAGTTCCCGAAACCCTGCGCGCCGTCGAGCAGGTCGCGCAGGATCGTGCGTTGCGAGTCCATGGCGCTGCTGTAGGCGCGTCGCGCGAAGGTCGTGAGGGTTTTGATGTCGTTGGACAGGCGCAGGCGGGAGGTCGCCGGTTGGCTGGTCTGGTACTTCTCGAGTTGGTCGGCGAGACGCGAGGCGTCGTTATAGATCAGCATGCTGCCGCTGTCGAGGTTGGCGTAGGCGGTGGTGGCGGTTGCACGGTAGATGGCGAGGGCTAGGGTGGGGAGGCTGTAGAGCCCGGTTGCGGCGGGGGCGATGGGAGAGCTGCTGTGATCCTCGTGGGCCAAGGTTTGGGCGTCTTGGACGACTTGCTGGATTGATGAGATGATGCCTTCGGGCACTGCTGTGACCATGAATGACTCCTTATAAGTGATCTCTCGTTCACTAGGCTTTGCTGGATTCGGCTTTGTGCTCAGCCTCGATGGCTGTTTCTTGAGAATTTTGGGACTTGCAGGCGACTTTTCAGTGCCTTCTTGTCCATCTTCCCAGCCCCATGTCTCGCCCTCACCATCATCATCCTTGGTCTGTTCTCCTTCCGTGTCGGGTGGAGCATCCCAGGCGCTGAAGTCGTCATCTTCGTCACCTGTTGCAGCTGGCGCATTGCCAGTCGGTGTGTTTGCAGTGGCATCCGCAGACTCATCCCAAGCATCCCAATCGTCGCCTCCCTCTGCTGCACCTGCATCCACCTCTATATCCTCCTGGATGATCTGAGTCTCGACGCGTTCTACAATTTTGGTCTCTTTCAGACCGGTAAAGACCAAATTGCGAACTTCTCCAAGCAGGAACTCTCTCCTTTTTGTAAGCCACAAGCGAGGGACATTCTTCTCCCAGTCTAGCAATGTCTGTGCGCCTTTCCAGCCCAAGTCATTAATTTGATTCGCAAGCAATGCTACTCGACCAAGCGCCTGCTGGAAATCCGGCATCTCTGCAATCGCAGAGGGAAGTGATGGGTTCAGCCAGTCATCTTCCAATCGCGTTACGAGGAAGGGTATCAGATGTTGCGAGAGTGACGTTGACACCTCTTTGGGTAGACTCGAATCGAGGAATTGTACGAGTGACGTGAGGTCCGTTAGCAATGCGGCGATGGTGGTGTCGTCACTGGTCGAATCGCATGCCACTGAATTCGAAGTGACCGTCATTCGAAACACGGTTTCCTCACGGCTCACCACCATCCTGGGTCGAAGCAATGTTCTTTCCAGATCTTTGGCAAGTCTGGCGATGCGAGGCTCGAAAAGATCCAATGCCTTGGCTGCTTGCACAAGAATATCGTGCCTCCCAGCATTTTGGACAGCAAAGCTTCTGTTCTCGGCATCAACAAAGAAGTGATGGTTCCACCTCTGCAAGATCATATCCTTCACCTCATCTCTCAAAGTTTCCATCCTCCTCTCCAACAGTGCCGCAACTCCCGTGCCATGCAAATCAAGCTTTGAGAATGCCACCTCCGCAGTCTGAAATTTGCCCACAGCACGCTGAAGATCGCCCTCCACCACCGCATTCTTCACCTCGCTCAAATCCGCATTGGTCTCCCGGACTCTCAGCAGCGTCTGCTCGAGGCTCTCGTTGAACCCGACCTCCTTTTCTAACAGCCCCACCTTGGCGCGCGCATCTTTGACTTTGTCTGCAAGTTCGCGGCCAGTCTCCGCAGCCTTCACGATGTCTCTGGCGGTGTCTCGAGAGCGCTGAATGTCCGCTTGTAGCGTCCTCGCGCGCGCTACCCAGTCGTCGACATCGGGTGCTGCGGTACGACTAAGACCTCGAAGGGTCTCTTTAGCTTGTGCTTGCTCTGCGCGCAACTGCTGGAGAAGGTGTTGGAGATCCGCGGGCTGTAGTGTTGCAGAGAAGACGCTTTCTTCTGACGGATATGTGCCTGAGTCGACGAATTGTAGAACGGCGGGCGTGATGGTTTCCGCCGACATCATGTCTATACGTTATGCGTGTGTTTGGCAATGTTGCCGTATGTAAGTCGGTTATCCAGTCTGCGAGCTTGCGTCGAAGTACAATTTCTCGGCCTTAGAAAAGTCCACGATCATCATTTCGAGATCTGGGCGGGGCGAGCCGATCTACGTCACAGCACTGTGCGCGAAAACAGGAACAGCACACGTAAATAGTGTAAACTTTCACACCCTCCAAAAATGCCTTTGTTTTGTTTCAAGTACAGCAGGGATAGGTGGTTTGATCGTCCAATGCCAACGGATTTGTTACAGCGAAAAACCATTGTAACTGATGAATAGTATCATCCTCGCAAGGCATCCCAATCTGCTACCTCATTCCCCCTCCTTCACAATACAACCACTCATAACATCACATCCTATCGATAAAAAATTGGACCGGAGATATAATTGATGAACGGCCAAGTGAATTTTGATTGGCGATCTAGATAGAATGCAAAAATTGTACAAAGCGGGTCTTCTATGATACAGCATCGAAAACTCGAAGAAGAAACAAGCCCCTCTGAGAGTCGTCGAGAAGAACAAAATGGAGAAGACTTCCCTTGCCATCCCTGCAAGCCATCGAGACCGTTCCTTGATGTAAAACATCGCATGCCAGAAAATAAGTCTCTGGTTGCGACGTAGGTGGATAAAAACAAAAACGCCGATCTAATGAGTTGCACAGCACTCACTGGCCCAAAGCAGCGAGGAAAGCGTCGATGATGTCGTAGAAATCGTGGCCCATGAAACGTCAGGTTTGCAGAGCAGGCGGAGATAGCGCCCTCTGCGTAAAAACGTCGAAATGTGCCGCGATTGTTGTTACAGGAGCGTCTCTTCTCCATTTCCCAGCATGCGCAGTCGCTATGCAGTTGGGAAAGAAAGAAACGCAATCTATCATGCCAGTTTGGGTATAATGTGAGTGTGCTGCCACTCGTGTCGATCCGAAAAAGGAAAATGCGCTGAGCCAGGAGTCGCGAAAAGAAAAAGGACCAGTATGAATGACACTGGCGGACCATGGTGTGGTCTGTTTGCTGTGGCAAGATGTGATGCATCTACCACCAGCTGTTGGCACCGGAACCGCCTGGGTTGCCGTAGCTGCCGCCACCGCCGTAGCCGCCTTGGCTGTAGCCGCCACCGCCGCCCTGGCTGTAACCGCCGGCTCCGCCGCCCACGCCACCTCCCATACCACCGGCATAGCTGGGACGCTGGCCGCCCCCGAAAGCACGGACATCCTTCATGCCAGCCGAGCCACGTCCGCGACCGCCAGAACGGCCACCACGTCCGCCGCCAAAGCCTGAGCCTTCGCGAGCGATGCTCTCGAGGAAGCCGGGGACCTCCTGATTCGCCTCCTTGAGAAGATCGATGAGCTCACGAACGACACCGCGGTTGCCGCGGTTGAAGAAGGCGGTCGAGATACCGGTGTTTCCGGCACGTCCGGTACGACCAATACGGTGGACATAGTCGTCAATGTCAGTAGGCAAGTCATAGTTGACAACGTGCTTGACGTTCGGAATATCGAGACCACGAGCAGCAACAGCAGTGGCGACAAGAATTGGGCAACGTCCAGTACGGAACATTTCCAAAGCTCGCTCACGCTCACGCTGAGTACGGTCTCCGTGAATGGAAGTAGCCGGGAAGCCTTGGTTGATGAGGTAGTCCGAGAGAGAGTCGGCCATACGCTTTGTCTCGACGAAAATTAGCGTCAAACCAGCACCGTGAGTGTGCAGAATGTCGAGGAGCACGCTGCGCTTGTCGACGTCCTCGACGTACTCGACTTTCTGGGTGATGTTTTCAGAAGTAGAGCCCACACGTCCAACGGAGAGGAAGATATACTCGCGGAGGAAGTCACGGGCCAACATCTGAATGTCACGGGGGAAGGTGGCGGAAAACATGAGGGTTTGGCGGTTGTCGGTGCGAGGCATGTCTTCACCCTCAACAATGCGGCGAATCTGAGGCTCGAAACCCATGTCCAACATGCGATCGGCCTCATCGAGAACAAGGTACTTGATGTTAGCGAGTGAAATTCTGCCTCGCTCAATCAAGTCAACCAAACGACCAGGGGTTGCGACGAGCAAGTCACAACCACGCTCGATCTGACGAAGTTGAGAACCGATGTCGGCACCACCGTACACGACGCATGGGCGTACCCAGGAGCGGTAGGCGAATTTGCGAGCCTCGTCGTAGATCTGAGACACCAGCTCACGAGTAGGTGCAAGAATCAAGGATGTGGGGTATGCCTTACGTTGACGGGCGAATCCCTGCTGAGCCGGTGTTGAAGTGCTCGGGCCTGTCTGGTAGGCCTGGGAGAGAATCGGGAACAGGAAACCACCAGTCTTTCCAGAACCTGTCTGAGCACAAGCCATCAAATCACGGCCGCCCATGACGATCGGAATTGAGTACTTCTGAACTGGAGTTGGGATCTTGTATCCGGCCAGCTCAATGTTGGCGATCAGGTGGTCGTCCAAAGGTGGGTTGGTGAAAGTGGTGACTGGTTCCGGCACACCCTGTCCAGATGCCTCGACGGGAATGTCGTCGTACTTCTCGAAGTTGATACCGGAGTGTTGCTTCAGGGGATCGTTGGCAACACCGAAAAGATCACGCTCAAGGTTAGCGTTGGGAGGCCCGGGTACGTGCTTGCCGTCTCGCCATTGACCGTCTCCTGCACCAGTGTTTCCGCGACCACCACCACCACCAGAGTTTCCGCCGTACCCGTTTCGGTTGAAGTTGCCGCGAGGTGCAGAGTGACCCTCAGGTCCGCGAGGGGTGAACGTCTGGGCAGCGCCCCAGCCGCCAGCAGCCTGTGGTGGAGGACCATGGCTGTTACACGATCCATTAGAATCCGTACTTCGCAGTATGCTACCAGACACGCATGACTTACTTCGGGGCCCAGGCGCTTCCTTGCATGCCGGAGGGTGGAGGTCCGCTGAAGGCACCGGGTCCAGGTGGTGGAGCGCCAGCCTGTGCAGGAGCGGGCCCAGGGCCACGCTGACGCATGTGAGGCGGTACGTAAGCAGAACGCTCAGAGAATCCGTCTTGTTGAGGCGGTCCTCCCTGGGGTGCGTGAGCGGAGTCTTGGAGAGACAAGCCATTCATGTTCAGGTTGTCTGCCATGATTGCGTCTTTCAGATGCTTTTCGACTGGAAAAAGTCGTTGAATTGATCAAATTGAGTGAATGACAGACGGTCAAGTAACTCGAAGATGTAGAAATGGGACTGTCACTGTCTTCACGTGCAAGATGCCCTGCAAAGAACAAATGAAAATCTCAGAGAAAGCTCGCAACAGAAAGAAGAAATGAATCTCCACACGCGCGAGGATGATGAGGTTTATCGTAACTCAAAAGGGAGAGAGGAGAGGGTGAAGATGTGAATGTGTTGAAGAAACAAGAAGGTTCAAGAATAAAAGTCACTTGTGGCAGGCACCTGGACAAGAATTTTACCCTCGACGGCCCCGGGTGTGCATCAGAGCGGCAAGTTGGCCCCGGGCATGACCTTGCGCTAGTTATGCAGGTATAATCAGCACTGTGATGCCTGAGGCGATTTCTGCGTTTCTACACTTTACTCACAGTAGTACGGCCTACACTGCCTTGCTACTCACATAACCTTCTGTATTACAATATACAATGTAATTGTCTGACGTGTCTGATGTGGCGATGCCGGCGTTGCGTCCGAGTAATAAAATACAGGGGATTGCATGTGAAAACGATCACTTGTCGTAGTAGATACTTAGGTAATTCTCCGACACACAGAGTCGTCATGTTCTGAACCAGGGTTCGAAACATCGAGTTCACGCTTCCCGGCTGGATGCTGCTTCGGCTTCATCGCAAAAAATGATGGCTCAAAACAATACCGTTGAGATGTTGAGTCGGCAAGTGAGGTTCGACCTCGTTGCAAACAGTACACACGAATTGCGGCCACACACGCGTGTGCAGGATATAACAGAGGAAGTACATCTGAAAATTTATCAACAGTAGTGACAAGACACCAGAGCACACCTGGGCAGTTGAGGCGCGATGATCATGGAATTGATTGAATCTTGCTCTATGGATACGCTTTGCTCTCATAGGCACCATGTCTGCCAGCAACGCTCGAGCGACGCGGACTGTACATTTTGACAAATCCATAGCAGCCCGCAACAACGAGGAGAATTAGGAAGATCTTGGTAATCATACCAAGTCCACCAGTGGGCTTGGCAAGAGAAGGCACCACCTTGCGAGCCTGCTTGGCTCCCTCTTGGATGACCTTGTGTGGCTTGCCGTTCACAATGATAGGTCTCATTACCGTTGCTTCATCATCATCTTCGTCAAGTGGCCCATCGGAATCAGCCGTGCCGTGAAGGCCTGGAGAGGATTATCGTTAGCTTTTGTGCCTCATCGCCGTCGTGCTCACCAGTACGCGATACGTACTGGCACATCTAGAGTTCCGCTCTGATACCTTCTTCCGGCACCGGGAGCTCGCCGCTCTTGAGAATGGTCACGGCGGTCGAAGGTCGGTCGTTGGCGCCCTTGGGAGTGTTCTCAATGACCTCGACCACATCGTATCCCTCAAGCACCTCTCCAAAGACGACGTGACGTCCATCCAACCACGGGGTCTCCTTGACAGTGATGAAGAACTGAGATCCGTTGGTGTCCTTGCCAGCGTTGGCCATGCCTGTTGCCGACATCAGTCAGTTTGAAGGCTACCAAAACGGGGTTGTTCCATCTTTTGACGTACTGAGAAGACCCTTCCTGCTGTGCTTCAACTTGAAGTTCTCGTCGGCAAACTTCTCGCCGTAGATGCTCTTGCCACCAGTACCGTCGCCCTTGGTGAAGTCACCACCCTGGAGCATGAACTGCTTGATAACACGGTGGAAGTTTGAGCCCTCGTACCCGAAGCCCTTCTCGCCAGTGGCCAAGGCACGGAAGTTCTCGACAGTCTAGAATGTAGAATGTTAGGGTGAGTTCTGCTTGGTGGTGCTCATGACAATATTTTTGCGAAGCTCACCTTAGGGACAGTCTTTCCGTAGAGACCAATTACAATGCGACCAAGCTCTTTGTCGCCTTGCTTGATGTCGAAGTACACCTTGTGGGTGATCTTGGGGCCCTTGGCCGCCTCCACATTCTGCGCGAAGAACATGAAGGCAACCGTAAGGATCAGCAACACGCTGATGATCAACCGCTGAAAAGTCGCCATGATATTGTGTGCGATTGTGTTATCGAATGGAATCGGTATTCCGATCGAGTTGTGCAGAAAAAGAACAGAGCTCACGACAGAGAGGCCAGCTGTGGCCTCAATGCCACCAGTACAAGCACGCAAGCATCAGGGTCCAAGTCTTGCATGCTCCGGTGGTCTGTGCTTTCGGCGTTGCTTGCGGCTCACAGCGTCGCGACTTTCGGTCATGTACGCGGAGGGAAATATTTCGATTTTGATCATTGCTCATCGCTGACAGAGCGCATCTCCATCGCTGCTGCTATCATGGTAAGGCATATTTCCCTTGCTGTTCGAAGCGATCAACCACGGCTAAGACATGACAGGCCATCCTCTTCGGCGTTCACTTCAACGACAAAAAGCTCGTCTCGCGAGCATTGACATCCTTCTACGGCATCGGTCCAATCATTGCCCAACGTCTGATGGCAAAGTTCAGCATCTACAAACTCGCCAAAGTCGGGAATTTGAACGACAAACAAGTCACCACCCTTGCCGAGGAGCTCAGCGGCATGACCATCGAGAACGACTTGCGGAGACAACTGGTTCAGAACATCCAGAGATTACGAGACATGAGCAGTTATCGGGGCAGGCGACACGCCATGGGTCTACCAGTCAGGGGACAGCGGACGAGATCACAGGTGAGCGGAGCACTGTTGAATATGGGTATTGGACTATGAAGAAATGCTAACAAATTGATCAGATCGTCACAGCACGGAAGCTGAATCAAGTCGAACGACGCGGTTAAGCATGTATGAGATATTTGTGTTTAACATAGCGACGGCGTTCTGGGACAATTCGATTGGAAAAGTCTTTATCTATACCCACGAGGTCAACCTGACAGAGATGGGACAGCAGGTCGTGCTGTCCGGGATATCATTTTCCATGTATCATACCGAGCCTCTGGAGGCTTTTCAGCTGACGATACTTCTTCCTCCTATCAGAAAGTTCGTCTTGTTCCCCTGCCATGCCTGTGCATCCATGTCAACAGTGGAAATCTTGAAATTCCTCCCGGGCTTTTTCTGGCAGCTCTTGACGAATTAGTTACCCTGATGATGCGGGATAGTTCCGAGATGTTTTGCAGCCCTGGGACAAACGTATGGTGAGGAATGTAACAGCACCACGCCGGGTCGCCGACGAGGCCAGCGTCACCGCCGTCTAGGTACCTCCCGACGAAGGGCCTCCCTGAGATACCTCTGCGCCACGATATTCCTGCGACCACTAAGTAATAAAGACTCGTGAATGCATGTCCTCTCGAAAGTGATTCGGATCTGTGGTAATTAGGGTTGGACCGCAGCTGACGTAATTCGCGGCCTGTGACTGGAGATGAAAAGGTCGCAACCAAAAAATGGCGATCGTCAACCTCAGACGATAACTATTCGAGTGCCATTTTGTTTTGTTCTCAGGAGATGGTCAAGAATTTAGGTCTCGAAAAACTTGCGGCCAAATCTACGAGGAAACCGAAGAGTGCCTTCGAAATTCAAAAAGCTACGTGCCGTCATCGTCACTTTTCAAAATTGTGGAGTCTACACGATTTCAACGACTTGACTCATCCCTGGGTGTTTACACATCTTACACGACAACATGCCTCACGCCGCGATGCCCTCGCCGGGCTTGCAGGCCTTGATTCTGTGCGGGCCAGGCGCTTCATTAAACACCTTCACGTCAAATCCTAAGGATTTTCCAAAGGCGCTGGTCCCCATTGCTAATAGGCCGATGGTATGGTATGCGTTAGACTGGTGCTATCGGATGGGAGTGAATGGTAAATATACATCTCATCAATACAGCTGAAGCTTTTATTAAGATCGTCGTAGCCATCACTGTTGTAACTCCTCCAGAATCCGAGCCGGCATTGCAATCAGCGTTCAAAACACATCCGGCTCTGACAAGTTTGCCATCTCCAAGACCAGATATTATAGCACCCGCAGAGCTTCAGCAGACAAGCGGAACCGGCCAGATATTGCGTCTGCCCGAAATTCAAAAGTGTATCACGACCGATTTTGTGATTATACCTTGCGATTTGATCTCTGAATTGGACGGAAGCAGACTGATCCAGCAATGGATCACCCTAAATCCACTGACGAGTGCTTCTGGCACTGCCCAGAGAGGAGGTCTCGGACTTTTCTATCCGACACAGGGTCTCGAGGGTATCAGCCACAAGAAGGATGAAACAGACTTTATTGCAACCACCCCGGTACCTCAAGCACCTGTCCCGCCACCTCAAGGATCCTTGCGAGCCGAGATTGAGCGAGTGGTCATGACAATGCCCACTGATACGCTCAACGATAAGCTAGAAGAGGACAAGGAGGTCCTCAAAATCCGTACCCAACTGCTGCACAAACATGGCCGCGTCAAGTTAAAGACCAAATACCGAGACTCGCACGTTTATGTATTTCCCCGATGGGTCAAAGATTTTGCAGCGCAGAATGCCCGCTTTGAATCCATCAGCGAAGACATTCTCGGTTGGTGGGCAAAGGCAAGCTGGCAGAAAGGCCTCGCGGAGAAGCTCGGTATGCAGGACGTCCTCATACGAAAGCGATCGACGATAACGGACATGGATGGATCGATGATGGATGACGACGATGCGGCTGAAGTAGAAATCCTATCAAGCACGCGAGCTTTGGACAAGACACAGTCATCGTCTGCCAAATTTGCGCGTCGTGTGGGTAGCACTTCCGACACTACAGCGCCGCAGATTGTCGTCCCACCTCTGCTAGCATACATTCAGCCTCCCCACACAATAGGGGCGGCGACTGCGAGCAACCCACTGATCCGGCGTGTGGACACCAGCGCAGCCATTCTCAACATTTCACTCTATCTCGCCAAACAGCCCACAACGCACGTTCTTGCGCACGAATCGAAGGTCCACCCAACAGCGCAGATCGGGCAACAGAGTCGTGTGGCTACAGAAGACAGCTTAGTCGCGGAGAATGTCAACATCGGCACACGAGTCGTCATCAAAGAGTCGGTGATTGGAGCAAACTGTGAGATCGGCAACAATGTTCGTCTGACTCGATGTCTCCTCATGGACGGAGTCCGTGTGGGTGACGGCGTACAACTGACAGGTTGTATTATTGGCCGGCGCGCTCGTATTGAAGGGATGAAGCCTGTGGAACCGATTCCGACGTCAGCGGACGGTGCAGATGCTGCGATCCAGGGAAAGAAGAAGAAAAGCAATGTGGACGATGATGACGAGAGAACGAAACTTACCGAGTGTGAGGTGGCCCCGAACTTCGTCGTTGAAGCTGGCACAGAGGCCAAGGGTGAAAAGCTGATGCCCTTTGATACTGACGACTTGGATGATTTGGAGGATGATGATGCCGAGAACATGAACGATGGCCTATGAGTATTCGGGATAGCTTGCCATAAGAACAATGAAACTTGAATTTTGGCCGTCCAAATCCACTTCGCGCCAACGCTCCCCTACAAACAGGCAAACCTTTACCTCATCTTCTTTTCTCCCACGCTGCAACGGTCATGGTCTACTTCTAGCTCATGGCTTTTCATATGCTTGGGTCAAAATGTAGCCTGAACTTCTTGGTGGCGCGGTCTGGAGCACGCGCCTCGAATTGACTCCCATAGATCTCAAACGAAAGCGGATCCCGCGATGTCTGTTCCATGCCTTCTTTGACCTCGAAAGGTACCTCGAAACGAAAGACCGTGTGCTCTTTGGGAACAGTCTTGAGTTCATTCTTGCGAGTAATGAGCTCGAAGCTGAACTTGTTGTCTTTCACGACAATACCTTGCAGACCGACCCTGCTCACACATCGACTCCTGACTACTTCCAACATTGCGCCGTGGTAGTCCGCCGATGTGAGCATGGGTCCAGCACCGACGGGATCTACGAATGATCGTTGTTCGCTGATGCCGAGGACTTCGCGCATGTAGGAACACCACATGACATGCAAGGGCGCGTAGATGTCATATTTGCGTTGCTCTTTGGGAATCTCGTAAATGCAGAGTGCACGCTTCTGTTTGGCCGAAAGTGGTTTGGGCTTTTTCGATTTTCGTTGTTCTTTGGCCTTTTGGAGACGGTCGTATTGTCGTTTTGACCGAGCATTTATGTTTGGATCGGGTGATGTCGGTCGTAATAATAAGGGCCGCAGACGCACTTTTTCGCGGAAAATTGTCTTGCTGTTCTCTGTGGAGTGTGCTCGGTTCAGCAGAACCTCTGCGATGTGCTCTGTTGTTGGAGTTGCCATGATGAGTGAACAGGCGTTCAAGTTTTCTGGTATGCCTGCAGATCAATCACTTGTGCCCGGTGACAATAAGTGCAGCCTGTCAATTGCATGAAATTGTCCCTCTCATCCGCATGCGTCACTGCATTCGGCAATTCAGGTGTGGCCGCCTTGTGCCATAAAAGTGCGCGGACAAAGCAGCAGCTGTAGGTGCATCAGAATTGGCCCTATGATCATCAGAGGCAAACGGTGCTAGCTTCGGCCGGCGGAAAGCATATATCATCTCGTGGCTTGCTCGCCCGCGTTCACCGCGCCAGCGATAGAGTTCAACAATGTCATCACGTCGTCTACACCTCAAACGCTCTCCGTGACAACTGATCTGCGCGCGTCTCACATCCGGACTTTGTCACCAAGCTTTGTGATAATTTGTCCCTGGTTCTAGTTGCCAATCTGTATCGTTTTGGCCGCAAATATTCGCATTGGTCTCGCTTTCACTGCGGGCATCAGCAATTGTCTCGGCAAATAGCATCGCTACACTCATAAATTCAGTCCAGTCTACGATCCGTTGATGATTTGGCCATCACTTCTTCGCAACACATCACCTGTACTCGCCGAACTAACACAATGGCGCCCGCACAAGAAATAAGCTCGCTGAAGCGTGCGAGAGACTCCACAGGTGCCAGTCTCGAAGATACCAAAAAGGCCCGCCGCTCAGATCGTTTAAATGTACTGGAGCCTAGTTCACAGGTGCATGCAGGTCCTTTCCTTTCGCCAGTCACACGAAAAGGGACAGAGGCAACCGACGAGTCACGAGGACAGGATCTGCCACCTTTTAGCGATGTGGAGCAACCATCCACTCCCATCTCAAGTCGCAACACATCCTCTCAATACAAATCTTCATTGCTATCGCCTCCCCGCGACACTCAGGCATATTCGCAATTCATTGCACCACCTCCAATAGCTTATGAGGTCGAAGATGAGGAAGCCGAGGGCGTTTGGGGATATCTGGTGCCAACGCAGGGCACCCCAGTCACAGATCCGCTTGTATTGAAACCCCGGACAAGTTGTCCAGTACCGGAAAGCTCGGTCGGTGATCCGAGCGGAAAGCAAGTAGTATCGAAGAAGTACTGGGCGAAGAAGGAGCAGGAGTACGAGAAGAAAAAATCGCTGAATGGCACACCCGCAAGTGGATATCTAATAGGACGGCATCCGGAGTGTGATCGTATCATCAACGAGCTCACCGTGAGCAACAGGCATTGCTTGCTCTGGTCAGAGAACCGCGATGGAGACTCGTTCGCTATCGTGGAGGACTTGAGCGGAAACGGTACATATGTCAATGATGCATTGCTTGGTCGAAACAATCGTCGTGAGCTGCAAGATGCGGACGAGATTTCCATCGTCGGCGAGGCACGATTTATATTCCGCTATCCGAGAAACAAAGAAGCGAACAGGTTTCACCAGGAGTACAATGTCCAGGGACAACTTGGCAAAGGTCACTTCGCCACCGTCTACCTAGCATTCGAGAAGAAATCTGGCAAGAGCTTTGCCGTGAAGAAATTTGAGAAGCGACGGGGGCCGAGCGAGAAGAGCAAAGTCGAAGGTTTGAAACAAGAGATCGCGGTACTAATGAGCGTATCACATCCGAACATGCTATGCCTCAAGAATACATTTGACGAGCCCGACGGAGTGTATTTGGTGCTCGAATTGGCGCCCGAGGGCGAGCTTTTCAACTGGATCGTCATGAAGCAAAAGCTCACCGAAGCAGAGACACGCAAAGTTTTCATTCAATTATTCCAAGGAGTCAAATACTTAGTAAGGACTATCATGTCAAAACGGGTCGATATGAAGCGCTAACACACATCACAGCACGAACGGAATATTGTGCATCGCGATATCAAACCAGAGAACATTCTCGTGATTGACAAGTCGCTCAACGTCAAGCTCGCTGACTTTGGCCTGGCCAAGATTATCGGCGAGGAGTCTTTCACCAACACCTTGTGTGGCACGCCGTCTTACGTTGCTCCTGAGATCCTTGTCCAAGGCGATCGACGTCGATACACCAAAGCTGTGGATGTCTGGAGTTTGGGAGTGGTGTTGTACATTTGCTTGTGCGGTTTCCCGCCGTTTTCGGATGAACTCTATCACAAGCACAAGTACCCATACACTTTAAGTGATCAGATCAGGCAAGGCAAATTCGATTATCCGCAACCGTACTGGGATGTGGTCTGCGATGATGCATTGTACCTCATCGACCGTATGATCGAAGTGGACATGGAGAAACGTATAACTGTCGACGAGGCTCTCCAACATCCCTGGATCACCCAGAACACAATCAGTCTCACCGATAGTACCGATGGACTGACCGGCGCTCTGGCGGGCATGGAATTCTCTCGACGACGAGTTCAGCGAGAACGCACTCTGCTTGCTTCCATAAACGACGTCAAGATCGAGCGGATCGTGCAGACGCAAACCGACGAACCTCCTGTCAAGATATTCGACAAAAACGCCAACACAAACGGGCCGAAGTTGCCGCCAGCCAAGGAGGCGGCTGTCAAGGCTGCTCAAGAGTCTGTCGCTGAGAACATTGACACGGTCAAGGGTGAGAGACAGCCCGATGCGGATCGTGACCCGAACGAGTTCATTTCAATGGGTGGAAAAGGAGACGCCGTGTTGTTCGGAGACAATTCAGGAAGTCACTATCCTGAAGATGCAGTTTGAGTGTTGAATTTGGTGGTTGAGACTGATGCATCTCGAGGGCTGTACAATAATCTTTTCTTGTATTATGCCCCTGCTCCTTCGGGCATCATTGTGGACGTTGGCAGATTTAGTTGGTCATGAGATTATGTACGAAGAAGACGAATTTGTTGAAAAGGTCGGTACACCACTCGCATGAATTTATGTCGCATATCATGAGTGATCTGCTCGATCGAGTGAATGCTGTAGAAGTTTAAAGTAGCCATCAGGTCAGTGACTTGTTCAGTGAATCGAAGCAACCAAAGTCTCGAGAACCAATAGTAGGATTACGTCATCGCAACTGTAAATAGTCTCCAATGGACGCGTCCCCTGTCAAACGACGCGTTGCTGCATTGTCTTGTTCGACAGATTTCATTACATCCATGGTTGCATGTCCTATCTGCGAGAAACCGGTCAGGGAAGTCGATATAAACTTACATATCGACTCCGGCTGCGAAGCATACCTCGAAGAATCTTCGCCTCCAGCGACACAAGCCAATGGCGGTAAAAGTGTACGCCCAACTAAAGCAATTGACTTTTTCACGTCGACCGCGAAGCGCAATGGCAGCTTCAAGGCTGAGCCTACGTCGTCGCAAATCACGAAACTCGATTCGAATTTCCAATCAGTGAGAATCGAGCCAAACACGCCAACACCACGAGTGGGCACAAAGCGTTCGCGAGATCACAATGAAGCGGAAGAACACAAAGATGAGAAGCCACCTGCGCCGTTGCTGATCGAGAAGAAGGTCAAATTGTCAAATGCACCATTGGCTGAGCGCATGCGTCCTCGCACCTTGGATGAAGTGGCAGGCCAGGACCTGGTTGGTCCCCACGGAGTCTTGCGCAACCTGATCGTCACCGATCGTGTACCTTCCATGGTGCTCTGGGGAGGACCAGGCACAGGAAAGACGACTATTGCTCGGCTGATCGCACAGACAGCAGGCACCCGCTTCGTTGAGATCAACAGTACATCGAGTGGTGTGGCGGAGTGCAAGAAATTGTTTGCGGAAGCCAAAAACGAACTGGGCCTAACCGGAAGGAAAACTATAATCTTCTGCGATGAGATTCACCGATTCAGCAAGAGCCAACAGGATGTATTTCTCGGGCCTGTAGAGTCGGGGCAAGTTACACTGATCGCCGCAACGACAGAAAATCCTAGTTTCAAGGTGGTGAATGCGCTGCTGAGTCGCTGCAGGACATTCACATTGTCTAAGTTGTCAAACGAAGATATTTTCGGCATTTTACGTCGAGCATTGAATCGTGAGCTACCGTCCCTATCAGACGCGCCATCGAGCTCCGATATATCTGAAGCCACAAGCATAAAGGCAGAAGTGAACGATGCACCCAAGGACGACACTGGGGAATCAAGCCACCATCTGCTCTCAGCCGACGAATTTGCCCTCGTGCGCTATTTGGCCACATTTGCTGACGGTGACGCTCGTACTGGACTAAATCTTCTCGAACTAGCAATTGATCTTTGTAGACGTCCTTCGATGACAATCGATGACATCAAGAAAAGCTTGACTCAAACATTGGTGTACGATCGCGCGGGAGATCAACACTATGACACGATCAGCGCCTTTCACAAATCAGTCCGTGGCAGCAACCCCGATGCAGCACTCTACTATCTCGCTCGTATGCTTCAATCTGGCGAGGATCCGCTGTACGTCGCGCGTCGCATGGTCGTAATGGCCAGCGAGGATATCGGTTTGGCAGACAACTCCCTGCTGAGCCTCGCAACAGCGACGTACACTGCGGCCGAGAAAATCGGGATGCCGGAATGTCGTATCAACCTTGCACATTGCGCGGTAGCGCTGTCACTCGCGCCCAAATCTGTTCGGGCATATCGCGGCCTGAATGCAGCGTATGCGGCGCTGAAAGAACCCGGTGTCGCGGGGTTGCCGATTCCAATACATCTGAGGAATGCGCCAACGAAGTTGATGAAGGAGTTGGGGTATGGCAAGGAATACAAGTATAATCCGGATTATGTAGATGGTCAGGTTGTGCAAGACTACCTCCCGGATAAGCTTGAAGGCCGCACGTTCCTCGGCGATGCCGACCTGGGCGACAAGATCGACACTGAACTTGGACGCGAAGACGAGGCGATGTCTGTCGTTGAGGGTGAAGGTGAGAGAGAACAGGAAATCCTTCTAGGCCCAGACGGAGACTGAGGTTTCGCAAACGGCGTGTCTGCACCTTCATCATCCGAGCGCAAGCACAGGGCGTTTTCCCACTGCATCCGAGAGTTCTCCTGTACATCCCCTGTCGCACGTGTTCAGCTTCAAAAACCATCGAATGACTCGTCGAGGATCAGTTCTGCGTCAGCTGCAAGATCAGTTTGGCCAAGCACTGCGTCAGCGCCGAACACTCGTCATCTTGCTGATGAGTTACCGCGCCAATCGACTATGCCCTTGGGAAGGAGGCTACATCCCAGGCCCCTACTCAGCGAGACCAAGGCAGCACACACAAACTGCAAAAAGCGACGTATTTCGAGGAAGTCGTCGGTTGTTCGCTAGCGATGATAGGCCAAGCTACCTAGGTAAGGTTCTGCATCACGCATCGATAGGCGCATGGTAACACGTGCCAATAAAGATAGGGCGTTTGTGTCTGAAACCAGGAGAGAGTGCGTGAAGGGACCCAAGGGCAAAGACGAAGTGGACACAAAATGATCGATCAAATCCATCATTTCAAATTTCTTGGATTCAAACATTTCTCGCTAATCTTACAATTGTATGCCAAAGAAGAACCACAGAAAAAAAACCAGGCTGGTCTCTCAACAATAGACAAACGGCCTTTCAGGAGCCAGATGGTGAGGCTGCACACAATGGAGAAAATGTGCAGGTCTTGGAGGATGGATGATGGATTGCGACTACGTCTGATTCGTGCCGTGTGATGAATTTCTCTCCGCAGAGTAATAATGAGGCTGGAAACCCCCAGGTGAAAGCGTGTAACCTCTTCAAGTGGAAGAGCCTGCACAGAGGCAAGGCATTGCCTTGCAGGAAGTATAGACTCGTAAAGCTACAACCTAGGCCGCGCTGCGTGGCAAGATCATTTTCCTGTATGCCGCCATCTTCATTTCCCTCCAAACAGCCAAAACGACAAATCCTGCACAGAGAGCAATCGACCCTGCCATCCTTGGGCAGGGGCGCGAGAAGGAGAGAAGCCAAAGAGGAAAAGCCTCGGGAGAATTCGTCTCCGTAGATTTCCAGGGAGCGCGATAGGAAAAAGCGAAGGGGGTTTTCAAACGTTTGAGGAACAATGTGGGGTATCGCGGGTTGCATGTAAGACAAGAGAAGATGTGGAGACGGCGAATTGCCGTTGGTCGTCGACGATCGTGATGGCCTCAGCGCCTCTTTCTGTGACGACGAGGCCGTTTTCGTGTGGAAGTCCCTTTGTCATGGGTGGTGTCATTGGCCTGGTCGGAGCGGTAAAGCGGGTAAAGGTGTCGAGCCGTTGGTCGTGCTCGAATTCATCAGATCGCTCGCGCTTCTGCGATGGCCCAAGCGAGGTAAGCCGTGGTCTCTCGTGCCGTCACTCGAGGCCGCGTTGCCCGAGGTGGAGTTGCTCTCTGCTGCAGTGGAGCTTGACGGACGCCACATGTCGAGATCAATACCTAGGCCGCCGAGTGTGCCGTCGGAATTGAATTTTGCGCCGGCAGGAATGTATGTGAGCGGTTTGGTCATCTCCCGATTGGTGGAGTCCAATATCCCGAAAGGTTTAGGGTCGTTATGGCTACTGCTGGGCTTGCTTGCAATACTGACGCTGGCGCTGCTTACGGCATGCTCGTCCAGGGGCGCATGATCATCGGCCGCTGGTAAATAAGCATTGTGTTGAAGTCGTTGGGTTTCATGCTGGATGTCTTGTCGGATGGCATCGGCCTCGCTTCGTTCAGACAGGGGCACGCCGAGTGCGATTCTTTTTTCGACTTCCTGTGCTGCTCGTTCGGTATTGCAGCCACGCCAGCAGTTCCGCCAGTCTCCCACCAGGTAGTTGAAGAGCCATCGATCGAGGTTGAGGCAAGGTCCGACACACACAGCTAAATTGTTCAGATCCATTCGGTTCTGGTCTTTGTGGTTGAGGATCAGAGAGAGATGGCAGGTGATGGCGAACAAGAGGTAGTAGTTGAATGGCGGTAGCTCGGAGAGGGCATCTCGAAGTAGTTGTGGTGCTGGTTCACCAACATTCTTGTATTTAGGATTCTCTTTCTCTAGTTTGGCGGCCAGGTCCTTTTGTCGTTGAGCAGGGAAGATCTCGGTGGGCAACTCTCGCAGCCATGCTTTGAGCATGCTGGCGATCTCGTTCACGTCGTAGGTTTCCTCTTTCAGAATATCGATGTCGAGCTCTGTGTCGAAACGCCGCTGCCAGCGCTTCACCTGAGGACCACTTCCGGGCACGCGATAAAGTCCCTCATACTCGCACTTGGAATTGAGGTAATCGATACATCTCCATGGCAGACTGGGCATCCAGTATTCCGTCTTGTCGCGGCAAGCATTGATCTGCTTGCTGATTCGCGTGATGCGGGTCTGCTCCACGAGCGGCAGATTGATGACTTTGAAAACGTATTCATTGTCCGGCACCTCCCTCTCCCTCTCGCTGGAGGGATTGCTGCTACCACTCCGACCGATTTTGCCAAGACGCGAGAGGAGACTTCCTCCTCCGGCCTTGGCTTTTGACAAGGCATTTTTGCCGCTTGCTTTGAAGCCACCTTTTGAATCTTTGTGTTGTGTCGTCGCGGGCAAGTTTTCTTCGCTGTCGCTCGGAACGCCTCGTTCCGCTGACTTACCTCGCCGCGCCTGCTCTTTCGCCTTACCAAACATCCGCGACTCAGCACCGGGCCAGTCTGACTGAAGAGGTGCCGTCATGGGTGGCTGCTCAAATGAGTCTTTGCTCGGAGGTTTGGATTTTGAGTGTGAATCTCGACGGACTGATTTGTTTCGCACGAGTGGGTTGCGAGTTGACTTATCCTTCTTGCTTGAAATTATGCTGTCTTCACTAGGGACCTTTTGGAACGGAGGACGTGGATCAGGTAACGGTCGTTCGGCACCTGTCAATAGTCAGCCGATGCTCAGCAACACAACAATTGCGAAAGCGAGGCGCCACAAGCTTGACGCGAAGCTACGACTTGTCGCAAATTCATGGGCTGTGTCAAACGCTCGTGTCTCGCAAGTAACGCTTCCAGATTCCCGGGAACTCCCTTCATCACATCATCACATACCGTCTAAGCTGGTTTTGCCAACGTTCTCGGCGCCGGGGACAAGACTGAGCTCCGGTGTGCTTCCCGGCGCTTTCCGCAAGTGGTAAACCTGGGATATGCTACTTGTAGACGGCTCGGCCTCCTCTTCTCGTGTGGCAGTGCGGCCAGCGGACTCCTGCTCTTTCGCAGCCAAGTCGGTCTGTGTTCGTTTCGATTTGTTGAAGTTTCCGAAGAAAGATCTGCCGCCGTTGCGATCAAATAGACGCGGTGATAGAGGAGGAGACTGCGGGTGTTGCAAAGGTGGAGAGCGACGTTCAGTCGAGCCAGGCGCCTGTGTGAAGTCTCCGCCGAACGAGGATAAATCAACGCCTTGCAAGTTTATCGGGCTGCTGTTAGGCCCAGGCGTGATGCCATTCTCGGTATTGGACAGGAGGGTAAGTTCGTTCGGTTTCGCTTGGCGCGGCATTATTCACCGCGCAGGATGACTGCGGGCTGCAGGTCACTGCGAATGCGCGGAGGGGCTGCCACGTCACGGAGGTAGAAGATGGCAGGAGATGACGATTGCCGCTCTCACCGGATTATCCTGTGAGTGTGCGACGAGCAGAGAGGGAGTGCGTGTCTTGAATGTATGTGCAGTGCGCCCAACGACTGCAGGTCACAGACACCAGGAGTGATGGTCGAATAGTGTGTTCTGGCGCCAAAAATATTCAGTGGCAGGTCGTCAATGTTGGCGCGAAGTTCCCTGGCGACACAACTGGGGAGCGGTGTCTATTGCTGGCGGAGGAGACGCATCCGGTCACGGTTTAGTTTCAGGCACTGGGCGGGGTACGGGGGCGGCTGTAGATGACAAAGTCGGTCGTGATGGCTGGTCGGCGTTGCACGCGGAAGAGAGAATATCCCAAGAATCGTTGTGAAAGCGCATACAGGGAAGGTCGATCAGGAGGATATTGGACGTAAATGAATGTGAATGTCGCTAGAGATTCGGTCGACGTGCAGGCCAAAGGTGGATTGGCGTGGGAGAAGAGCGACGGCGAGAGAGGTCGACTGGGAAGTAGATTGTGAAAAGAGGAAACGGTGGTGAATGGACGTTTGTTAGCCGGCCCTGTGAAATGCGGCCTGGGCACGGTGAACAGACGATAATTTGTTGCGGGCCCAGGATCCGAGGCCGAAGTCTTTGCTAAGGTTCCCTTGCTCTGTGGCACACTGCACCACCACCCGCGATTGTTAATCTTGTTACATTCCTTGAGGAGGTAATAATAGTAATGAATGACAACAGATACAGTCAAGCTGATGATGCTGGATTTGAAGGTGGTGGACGATTGTCATGCTCGTTATGAGTGCGATTCCCTGAAAGTGTCCCCATGTTCCTAACCAGCGCGAGGGTCCACGAGTTCCGCGCGGAATTGATGGGATCTATGGAGAGCGTGCCTATACGCAAAACAGAGAGACATGAAAGAAACCTTGGAAGGACTTCATTTCGATCACCACATATCACTCGAAACGGATGGTATTACCATCACGTTGGCGTGTCGCATTCTCCTGAACACAGTATCGTATTACAACATTCTCTGCAGTGCTCATTATGATCAATGGGGAGCTAATGCGGAAGAGTGCCGATACAATCACGAAGCGCCTGGCTGGTCTCCCGATTCTCACAGGCGGCGGTTGGGTGATGTGTGATACGACGTTGGCTTAACCACTGACGGTCAGCGTGGTTGACGTGGGTGTGGGCGTGCACGCGCGCGCGCGATTATCAACCCACATTTCCATCCGTCAGTGGTAGTACTTTCGGTTATGCGTGCCGGTACAGCATGCGTTCTCCTTCTTTTCAGGCAACTGCAAGAAGTTGCGCCTATGAGGACGATACTGGTTGTTTCATTACAATGTTATTACTGTGATAAAACAGGTGCGGTAAAGGAGATGTCTGGCGCCATTGTGAGTCATCGAGCGCCGTCTACAGGCACCCGCATATTTCAAAATTCGTCTGATCTGCGATCACGAAACTCGACAGGCTGCTGCTGTTGCTGCTGCCAAATCAAGTACGAGGCCGGAACGGAGGATTTATGCCGAGAACAACAGGGGTGGTGATGATGATGATGATGATGATGACGATGCCCAGTTTGATGGTTACAGATGGGGATATTGCTGCCACCTTTAGTGGAATTCATTTCACGTACAGGAGGTGTGTCCCATATGAATGGAGTTGCCTGTCTCTCTCGCCGTGCTGGAAAGGACAGACAAATATTCTATTGTTATCGCAATTGTCGTCGTCAGCTGACTCGTGTAGATTCGTGGACTGCTTCGATCCCTTCCAAGGTTCCTTTTCTTCTAAATACCCTGCTGTCGTCAGCATCGTTATCGTCGTCAGCATCATCATGTGTTCGAATGACTACCTGGGTATGAGTCTTTGATCACGGTTGTCCACAAGCACTGGACTGTACGTACAGTATTCTGCTCCCCCACAGGTACAGTCTCAAGTACCGGCCGGGCCTGTCCGTTGTTCGCAATGCCATGACAAAAACGTGTGTCGACCCTGTTCGACCGATGAGACTATTGATTGCGCTTGCGGTGAACGCCGTTTCAGGGTCGGTTGCAGCTTATTTATCTCGAGGTTGCAGTCCTTATTATCAGGAGCGTTGAATCTACAATGACCACATCCCTCTCGCCAGCAGCTACCGGCAGTGTCCGGATTCAAAGTCGCTTGTGAAATGCTTCCACAGCAGGAACCCGATGGATTTACGGCTGCGTGTCAGAGGCGATGATAGTTGAGGTAATAGTTAGTGATGGCGTGTAGTGGTGGACACTGGGGACACCCACTGAGGGCGCGCCCGCCCGCCGGGATCCACTTGGGGAACGTGCAGCCACAAGTTTTTACGTGCCTGCACCACTGGCGCGCTGGGCATCTCAAACCTTCTCTTGTTTCATCATCGCCTTTGGCCTAGGTAGGTAAATATGATTGTTGTCATTACAGGTCCTCCTAACTCCGGCCCATCTACCACCTCGTATTCTTCCTTTTCCACTGCGGTGACCGTAGCAGGTGAGCTTCCATCCCAATCTTGGGTGCGCGACCGTCTCGCGATAGAGGCAGCTCCAGCCTAAATTTAGCGCCTGTAGGAGGATCTCTTGATGACGGCGAACTGCGAAAGCGCGGAACCGAATGGATCATGGGATCCTTGCGAGTCAGGATGTGGGCGGAATCATGAAGCTCCACCATTACCACTAATAACAGGTGAAGCCCAGCAAAGTTGTTCGTCAGCCAGGGAAAAACATGACTGGACTGGGTTAGTCCAGGAACCTGAAATCCCCGGATCTGCCCACCTGGGCTATGGACATGCGTGTCACCTCTCTCAACCCTCTCCCTGCCCACCATATGCATGCCTCTCCAGGTACCCATGGACTGCACATGATAAGGCATGCAAGCATGCACGTATGTACATGCAGTATGCAGGCAGTATGTAGGTCATATGCGTGGAATGCTCCTATCAGCACTATACGGTGTTAGGCTCAGATTGATGTGTCCAGGCTTCCACCTACGTTCCGCTCATCGGCCAGTACGACAGTAGAAATGCCGCGATACATCTATGGACAACATTCGGCAATATAGAGCTCCTACTACTGAATAGCGGATGTTTGTTGTCATCAAAGGGTAGCGCACGTCCATGGGTTGCGGGTACACAGCCCTCGACGAGGCGACGTCGCAACACTCCAGGGCTCTCCACGTTGACCTGAAATGAGGCGCCACCCGTACCTCGCACCCCACAATCGATGTATCGAAATGTACATTCTAGTCTGCTGGTGACGATGCTCTTAATGTGTGCCTACCAAGGTAACTTGATAATCTGCGGTTTCTGCATCATACAGGAGTACTTTCGCGCCGGAGAGCTTGTGCAAATGAGTGCTGCCAGACCTGTCCGAGCTAAACGCATTTGCGGTTCCTCGTCGGAGATAGAGAAACGACGACGATGCATTGACATGTCGACGGTGTCGCGTGCACATTAGATTGCGATTGTAAAGCCGCGCCTATCTCCTGTGGTAATGTATGCATTGCACATGAAATGCTCCATTTTGAACTGTTCCGTCATCTTGTGATATCCGCTTCGGGGTTAGCAGCTTCATTCGCGAACACCTCTCCTTCCGACTGGAACAGGTACTGTACGGTACATGTAGAATCCACATAGCCTTGAAATAGACAAATGTCCGGGATCTCGGATGATTCTCTCCACTCCGTCAGTACCGAAGTGCCAGGCATACCCACATACCTTTGATGACCATTCGGAAGCTTCTTCAGCAGCGAGATTACATGTCACTCGGGTACTCGCGTCATCCACCCCAGGCTCCTCATCCCTGCTTTTGAACCTGAGATCTGGCATCTCGGAACTATCTCTATCCGTTGCGACTTGTTACAGCGCCACAGTAGTCCTCAATATCTTGGCCGCGAGTCAGACTTCGAATTGCATACGATACAATACTGTGTAGCCCTGCTCACGAAAAGTGAGACTCTCATGTCTCTTGCGGCCGGACCAGGTCGCGGCGGGCGCCCACAGCACGGCCAGCGCTCTGACAGCGGGCAAGATTTGGTCATTGACAAGCACGTGGCATATATCCAGAGGCTTGATACTGTGCGCCATTCCTCCCTCCCACATGTCTGTCCGTGTTCAGGCAATCCGAAGTGAGACTGACGCGTGACAGTAGCGTCGCGATGAATTGGAGTATCACTTGACAGAACATCTTCGCGTCAATGGTATATACTGGGGCTTGACAGCACTCCATCTATTGGGTCACCCGGACGCCCTGCCTCGCGCCGGCGTCATCGACTATCTTCTCGAATCTCTTCATGATAACGGCGGCTTCGGTGCAGCTCCAGGGCATGATGCGCACATGCTTTCGACAGTCTCCGCAGTGCAAATCTTAGCTACAATAGATGGCTTCGACGAATTGGAGTCGCGTGTACCTGACGGCAAGAAGAAAATTGCTTTGTACATTTCAGGTCTTCAACAATCCAATGGTACCTTCGCTGGAGACGAATGGGGCGAGACTGATACGAGATTCCTCTATGGCGCGCTGAACGCTTTGTCGTTACTGAACATGCTTCCCTCGCAGCGTCTGCAAGAACCTCCGCTTATTGATGTGAAGTCGGCCATAGATTACGTCAAAGCATGTCAGAACTTCGATGGCGGCTTCGGCGTCTCGCCCGGAGATGAATCTCATTCTGGCCAGGTCTTCACCTGTCTCGGTGCGCTGACCATCACGGGAGAGCTGGATTCGTTCCTCGGCGAGGAAGGTAAGGATCGTTTAGGTGCCTGGCTGAGCGAACGTCAACAGCCGAGCGGCGGGCTCAATGGCCGCCCGGAGAAGCTCGTTGATGTGTGTTATAGTTGGTGGGTCATGACCAGTATGGCGATGATCGGGCGACTGCATTGGGTCGACAAGAGGAAACTTACCGACTTCATTCTGCAATGCCAAGACCCTGAGGAGGGTGGTCTCGCAGATCGACCTGGTGATATGGTGGACGTGTTCCATACGGTCTTTGGTATCGCCGGCCTGAGTCTTCTCGGCCATCCTGGTGTTGCGGAAGTTGATCCTGCCTAGTGAGTTAACCCCCTGTTGGTCGTCAACCCCCGTCGTTGCCAAGAATCCCTCCGAGCTTTGCATAGCAGTCTATTGCGGTACCAGCTTTTGATGTATGCTTGACGTTTGGTACTGACCTGATTTCCAGCTGTATGCCCAAGTCTGTCACCGACAAGTACCTTGGCCGACACGAGACGTCATAAGCAGAGAACTACGACTCCCAGCTACAGATAAATTATTGATTCCTGCTCCGAATAACAGCCGAAGGAAGAGTTGTGCTGTATCTCAACGGCCCACTCATTCTATGCCACAAGCTCACATCTGAATGCTTACTGCCCAGATCCTCGTCGCTTCAACGCTCTGGCAATGATTACAAATTCGATGATGGGTATCGTTAATATCCCTCATTGCAATGCGAAGAGGATGGGCACGCCGTCGCACGGAGGTGTCGCAGCGATCACGTGGTCGTTATGGATCACGTTCTGATGTATGATGCCCTGAAAGCGGAGAAGCCATGACGGTGTACATGAAAAAGATCGATCATGTGGATATCAAATCACTTCACAGATGATGCATGCCAGATCGGCTTTTACTTTGTCCGACCGGATCCGATGTTGAAATCCCTGACATTACAAATTAACAGGATTGTACTGCGCTGGTTGGCGAGGGCCAATAGCACTAATTAACGTTGTGATTGTACACAACAGTCCGAGTAGCAGGGCGAACAGCTAGCACACGTTACTGCTGTCGAAGTCTGTCTGTCTGACTCCAGGCTCACATGCCGACGATTGTCACACAAGATGACACATGGGAGCAAAGGTAGGTGCTCATGACAAGCGCGTCTTATGCAGGTACATATGGCATATCATGTCAGTCGAGAGGCTCTGACCGTGGTCTTCGTGAGTTCACACATGCACATTCATTACTCGTTGCTCATCTCCTATACGGACTTCGCCTGGGACACGCTTGTAATTGCACACGGAATGAACAGCTCATTCATCACTTATGCAAGGTACTATGCCTAGGTAGGCGACCGATTTATTCTTATCACGCGTTCCTGACGACACCAACTCTTATTGACGGCGAGGCCGGAGTAACTGCTCTACAATTCGTTCGGTTGAAGTACGGAAATGCTAAACATTCGCTTAATCAAGCTGATCGAACTTCGCATCATTCTTTCTCAAATCCGCTTATCGCCGACGACCATCTACGAGGTCACTTCCCCAGCAAAGCGATACCCGCAGGCATATGAAAATCCGCTTTGGTTATTTCGAGATACTCTCCTGTGTCCAGCGACGATCAGCAGCCACGACAACATCCGCTCAGAGAGTGGTTCTCTCCTGGCAACGATCGGGCATTTCCTTGACGACGCCTGCTGGGACTAGCTGCTTGTCTCTTACCTACCTAACCTACCGACCTACATACCTCTGCTCATCCTCGACTTCTTCTCTTCACTCCACCCTCTCGATTGCTTCATTGTCCAGACATCTCTTGCCTGTTGCTTCATCTGCCTTGCGTTCTGTTTGCTCTTGTTTCCCGTCCGTCATTGTGTTTCTCTGTCACTCCTTCGCGCTTTAACTCTGCATTGACATGAAAGTGTCACTGGTTCGTCTGATGAGATGCATTGCCCTTCATGCTACCATGTCACTTCCAGTATCGGCTGACCTCATCCATTGTTTCATGACAGGGCCTTCGCCGCTCATTCACCACCGCCTGATTTGCAAGCATCTTATGAGAGGTCACTGCATTTCCGAGCCAGAAATTGACTCTAGGCTTGACAGCCACGCTTCCCAGCAAGCATCGATCATCCACCGACACGACAACGATCATGAATCGTCAACCTCCAGCCGGCAGTAATGCCTCCCTCAGCTGTCACATCTGTCCCCGGAAGCCCGACTTCTCTGACATCAGCCATCTTCTTACACATGTAGCAAGCAAAGGGCATCTCAGCAATTATTTCAAGATGAAGGTCAAAGCGGATCAGGATCCAGTCGCCAAGCGCACTCTCGACTTTTATGATGCATGGTACGATGAGAACAATCTCCAAGAGCTGCTGCGGGAGCGTATGGCCCTCAAGGACCGCAAGAAGGGAGGAGCCAGCGTTGCGAGCTCTCGCCGACCATCGACCGGCAAGTAATAGCATGATCTCGTATCGACTTCACAGACTAACCCCATTCAAGTCTCTTCCTCGCGCAGCACTCCTGCCGCCTCCGCCGTTTCGCCTCCTCTACAGCATATCCCTCGTCGCGGTAGCAAACTTCGTGAGAATCTGCTCGACCCTCAGCTCGACCGCAGAATCAAACACGAACCACTTTCCCGGTCTGCCACTCCCACTGATAAATTCTTCCCACACGCTGTCGATCTTCACCGAGCATATGCTCCACACATCCAGACCTGGGTTAACAGCTCATTTGAAGAGATGCCAGCAGAGTTGAAACAGGAGAGCTCGGAGCATTCACCATCTGAATACAGCCTTTTTGAGTCTATGACCACTCGCCATTCCGACCGCCGGGACCTTTCTGGCTTGCCGAGCGATTCTCTCTTCTATTTTGGCGAGGAGTACGGCGAGCCTGAACCCATCACCGACATAATGATTCCCAAGGGAGTACAATGGCCAGGCATGGCGATGTTTGATTCTGCTACGATTGAAATGAAGCGCAAACGGAATCAGAAGAAAAGTACCAATGTCCTCAAACAGCTTCAAACTACCAGCGAACTGATCGAGCCCAACGAGCTGGTATTCGACGCCAGTGGCACCCATCGGAAGACCCGCGTCATCACCGGTGAGCCGGAGTCGAGTGATTCTCTCATCGAAGGTGAATCCGAACCTGAGGTTGAAGTGGTGAAGCGGAGGCGACCCAATCGTCGCACTCGGCAGCCGCTTACAGAGAAGAATGTGAACACCTGTCGCCCGACACGGCAACGTGCCGCAAACCCTCCTCTGTCGACAAGCAGATTGAGTCGGGGCCCCTACTTTGATGGCCTGCATGATGAAGACGACGAGGATGACCTGCTCACTTATGGCGAGCACAAGCCCCCTGCTCGGACCGGGATCAGCGTACTACGTGACAACAGCGGTCCCGACATCACCTTCGAGCCGCACAACCTCAATTACCTCACCTCGGCTTTTCGGCCAGGCACTCGTCCAGGACCGCAATTTTCACATCCGAATATTCAGGCCGCGAACCCACGTGGGCAACCTCGACTGTCCGCATGGAAGCCATACGATCAACCGGGAAACTACCACCCCATCATGAACAGATACAATTCGCGACCTCCATCGTATGGGTCATTTGATCAATTTCTCACCATGGGCGCCCAAGGCAACAATCCGTACATCCATGGTCCGCAGGGACAGCCTCAGCACTACCACTTCAGCTCGCTAGGCAATGAGATATTTCCCTTCGATCTCAACGACCACGGAGACAACCTGGCTGACCTTTTTGGTATGGGTCAAGATCTTGATACCATGAGTGCCAATCCTCTCCTGGGCTTGCATGTCGGCGCTGACATGGGCCACAACAACCCACTCTTCATGGAAAGGGCGTCCCGCGAGGAGGACGAAGCAACCATATCCGCAAAGAGTGAGCGCTAACCCGCATAAGACCGCTGCGACATGTATGCTGCCGGAACCACGCGATATTCGTCGGCATCCAATGCCTACACGACGCATCCAATGGCTGCTCTGTGTACCGGGAGACTGACATCATATTTACAAAAGCACGACTTACGACATTACAATATTACGGTCATCTCTTGCGACTCAGACAAAAGTTTTGTCTTTTCTGTTTTGATTTGGTGCATGCATTATTGCACACACCCCTCACAGCAGCATTGCGTCAATCTGGTCATCGGCTGGGACAGACTGAGAGGTGGATCAGGGATTTTCGCTCTGGCTGACGCGCGGAAAAGGCGTCGACTTGGTTTATGACACTCGCTTTTGCCCGTTCACTCGTTCTCTCGTTTGTATTGAAATAGTCTTGTATCTTTGGCGAACAAATTTAGTGATGAGTTGGTCATTTGAAATTAGCATGTTTTAGCAGAAATAAAAGTTGCTTTTGTGCGAATCAGTCGTTAATTTGATCAAGCAGACTGACTGATCCAATACATCAAAATTCGCAGGTGCAAACACAAAACATTCAATATCGGCATCACTTCTACGTACATATCAACAGCCTCCTTCGTGGACTCTACTCTGACGTGTTTGTGTCAAGACGCAGCTTTCGACACCTAACCATACATTCTCCATCTTGATGAATTAGTCGGTTGTGACCATGAAAGCCCGAATCTTCCATCGATCAGAGCCAGACGCCTCGTACGAACGATGTTTGATGCATAAACGAGCGTGGGAATGAGGAATGTGCATATTCCATTGCTTCCTTGTTTTAAATTCCATCTTTCGGGAGGCATTGGTTTATCTTTGACAAGTGACTTGATCAAGGTGATGTCAACCCCAAGATGATCAGAAGCGGTAATACTGCAACCCTAAGACCGGCGCCGCAAAGTGCTCTTCGTATGCCGTCACATTTTGGGGACCATCTCACACGAGTTCAACATACAAAGCTTCTGCTAAGGCACGGCTCTGAGTACTTGTAGCCAAATCGACGCCCGGTATGATGGATATACCACCGCCACCTCCACCGCCATCAGATCACCTACCGCCGCCGCCTCCACCTCCGCCTCCACCACCTCCGTCCTCGTATGCAATTCCTCCGCCTCCACCTCCGCCATCAAGTGAACAACAAGACTCAGCACCGCAGATAGTGCCGCCAGCCAAGAAACGAAAACTTACCGGACCCGTATCACAGCCTCTCAACGTCGAGGAACTGCTCGCCGCGAAAAAAGCCCAGGATGCAGCTGCCGCCAAACCTAAATTCCTTTCCAAGAAGGACCGCGAACGAATAGCACAGGAAAAGAAGGATCGCGAGCAGGCTTCGGCGAAAGCAAATACTACAGCATCGACGGTGAAGAATGGTGCGCCTGCTGCTTCTCGGACGCATGGCTCGCTCCCTCCGCCGGCGCCACGAGCGATGCGCGGTGAGATTCCGAGAGGACCGGCGGCCATGGGAGGCCGGAGGAATCAAGACAAAAGCTCCGCAGCGATGCCACCTCCGCCACCACCACAAGATGGCGCGACCTCTAACGGAGGACTCAAATCTACGAAAGAGCGTAAGGAGGAAGCGGAGTTGATCAAACAACGGTACATGGGTGCTGATACTCACAATGTATCCACCTTCTCAGCCAAGAAGAAGCGCAAGCGGACGACGGAAAAGAAGTTCAATTTTGAGTGGAATAACGAGGAGGACACAAGTCCCGACTACAATCCTCTATATCAGTCTCGCGCCGACACGGCCTTCTATGGTCGCGGCAAGCTCGGAGGTTACGCCGACGACGAAAACGACACAAACGCGCGCGCATATGCCGACGCGATGATCAAACTCGATCCCGAAGCGGGCGCTCAGCGAGCGGCCTTGCTGATGGACATGGCTTTGAAGTCCCGTGAGAGCAACGGAAAGACGCGCATAGAGAAACACTGGACCGAGAAGCCTCTAGCGGAAATGAGGGAGCGTGATTGGCGAATTTTCAAGGAAGATTTCAATATCGCTGTCAAAGGAGGAGGCATTCCGAACCCCATGCGCAATTGGAGTGAATCAGGATTACATCCGGACATTCTCAAGATCGTGGACATGGTCGGATACACGGATCCCTCGCCTGTTCAGCGCGCGGCGATCCCCATTGCGCTACAGTCACGCGATCTCATTGGTGTCGCTGTGACGGGTTCAGGTAAAACTGCGGCATTCTTGCTGCCGTTGCTGATGTACATCAAGGATCTGCCGGCACTAAACGAACAGACTCGAAACGATGGTCCGTATGCCATTATCCTTGCCCCGACCCGTGAATTGGCCCAGCAAATTGAGATTGAGGCCAAGAAATTCGCAACTCCACTCGGATTCAACTGTGTATCGATTGTCGGTGGCCACAGTATCGAGACACAAAGTTTCAGCATGCGAGAAGGTGCGGAAATCATCATCGCAACGCCCGGTCGTCTGGTGGATTGTATCGAGCGGCGTGTGCTAGTCCTCTCACAATGCTGCTACGTAATTATGGACGAAGCAGATCGCATGATCGATCTTGGCTTCGAAGAGCCTGTGAACAAGATTCTCGACGCTTTGCCGGTGTCGAACGAGAAGCCCGACAGCGAGGAGGCGGAAGATGCATATGCGATGCAACACCGCGGCGCGGGTGCTCATCAGAGATACAGACAGACAATGATGTACACCGCAACCATGCCGGCCGCTGTGGAACGCATCGCGCGCAAATATCTCCGGCGTCCTGCGCAAGTTACGATCGGAAATGTTGGCGAGGCTGTCGAGAGCGTTGAACAACGCGTGGAGTTTGTCGCTGGCGAAGATAAGCGCAAACGTCGTCTAGAAGAGATTCTTCATTCTGGTCAATTCGTCGCGCCGATCATCGTGTTCGTCAACGTCAAACGAAACTGCGATGCCATCTGTCGCGAAGTGCAGCGCATGGGCTTCAGCAGCATTACTCTACACGGATCCAAAACACAGGATCAGAGAGAGGCAGCACTTGCTTCGCTGCGGAATGGTTCCACTCAAGTTTTGGTTGCCACCGATTTGGCTGGGCGTGGTATCGATGTGCCCGACGTCTCTCTCGTCGTCAATTTCAATATGGCGACGAATATTGAGAGCTACACGCATCGTATCGGTCGTACCGGTCGTGCTGGCAAGACTGGTGTCGCCATCACCTTCCTTGGTAATGAGGACAGTGATGTGTTGTACGATCTCAAGCAGATGATTAGCAAGAGTGGCATCTCCAAGGTACCGGAGGAGCTCCGGCGCCATGAGGCTGCACAGCAGAAGTCGACCAAAGGTCGAAACCAGAAGATAGAGGACTCTGGAGGCTTCGGCGGCAAGGGAGGCTGGTCATGAGTGGCAAACTCTACAACCTGGGACATGGGTTTAATTGTTTGAGCCAATGTACCCGTCGTTCTCCGCCGCGTACGGCGCATCGGCGTCAGCCCCATCGCCAGACCCTGACGCAGGATCGTCCACCCAGCCATGCTTGATTCTCAAACTCCAGAAGGTCGAGATCAGTCTATCAAAGAGTCCTTGGCTGAGCGCATTCCGCTTTAAACTATGTATAAAGTCCTGTGGGGACCAATTTCGCTCCACAGTATCGCCATTGGGTACAATCGCGAGTGCCAGGATGCAAAGCTCAGCGATTCCTGGGTGATCAGCTATCCAGAAATTCTGCCACCATTGAATGGGATGCATTTGATTTCCGGCGATCCAATACATATCATTGTTGAATGGCCCTTGCTTGATGCGCAGGAGAGACAGCATTCCGAGTAGCCGGGCTGCATCTTGAGCTTGGTTATCACAGTATTTCAGTAGAAAAGTTTGGAGAGAGCGCGATTGTGATTCCTCGTTGCTGTCGAGAATGGCCGGACGTCTTTGTCGTTCCTGCGGATCTGCTAAATAGGCAATCATCATCAATGGCGCATCAACAAGCGCGCGGTTCAATTGATGCCGATCTGGGACTTTGTAGGCTGGTCGCAGTGTGTTCATAAATGCGCGAAAAGCGGGATGTTCGGTGATGCTCATGTTCAAGCCAGCCGCATTGATCCACTGGGCACAAGCTGCAGTCGCATTGTCTTGGTCGGTCGCGGTCATGGCTCCATGACCAACTCGAGTCCGCGCTCGCTGCTGCGCCTGCAGTTCTTGCGCGGTTGGCAAGCTGGGATCTAGACGATGAGGTTGATATGTGCGCCATAATGACTCTGGCAGCTCTGTGCAGCGCTGCAGATGCTCGACGACGCGTCCTTTTTCATTCGAAGTCCACGAAGTCCCGCAGTGGCGACACGTCACGCGTGGATGTCGCTTGCCGGACTCCTCGGCCAGCTCGCGATCGACTTCCTGCCAGCATTCATCACGACCACGAGGCATCCTTCTGTGGATTTGCGATTGATGATTTACTTGCTCACGGGGAACGATGTGGACGGCGGGCGTGGCGTTCGTGACGGTTCGTGTGGAGATCGTCTTGAACCACTGTGGATGTTTGGGCATACTGGTGACCGTAAGACTGTTGGACCCTTAGGAGACTAGCGCGTCAATCCCGTCAAACAATCACATCGAGTGCGATCCATGGATAGTACATGAACCAGCGGCTTGAACTTCACGTGATGTTCTGATAAAGTAACCTCGAACAGGCGATAGCAGATACTCGACAGCATCTCGGACAATGGACTGCGCAATGTTTACGCGCTTATGATCCAATTTGCGAGAGAACAGCCAGAGGACGCGTATGGAATGAGCGTCCTCAACTGTACATGCTCTGTCGTGTACATGCGTCTATAGCCTCGTATCTCTGGGAGCATTCTCCGCGCACTCCGTCCAAAGCAGTGTGATCCCAGCCGATGCGCTTCCTTTGTTCCGTCGAGAGGAGCAATGAGTACCAAACTCGCACTGCGATGTCGAAGAGGTGAATTCGCATTTACTACACGATCGCTGACTACCGTGTGACGACAGAAATGGGGCCGACGGGAGCGATTGGGCATGTGTCGCTCGTACGTCGTTTAGCAACGTTCCAGCCTCCCCTCCGCTTGCTCCTCCACACAAACAATTCCGGCGCCATACCAGTGGGCACGGCAAAATGGAGTACATCCACGACATCTCACGTGTGAAAGTCTTCATGAACCGACGAACGAGTACTCCAACTTGGCTCGGTGCGGTGCGTTTGACCAATTACATTGATCCTCGTAAAATGATCTGCAGCCGACTTGGTTGTCATTTGTCCTGTCATTGCTCTGCATTGCGCGGCTGATTCTCCTCGGCCGTTTCGAGCACACCAGGGGTCGCCACTTTCGACTCGCGATGCATCGCTATACGACGCGTGATGGCCAATGCCTCGGCGATGAATCTTTCATTAATCAGGCATGTGTTAGATCGATAGATGGCGTAAACGCCTCATGTGGTGATGTCCTACATATGTAAAGGTCCATGCTGCTCATCTACACTCCAGAAGATTTCTCCCACGAGTCGGCTTCTCGCCTTCGATCGAGAAATTGTCCTCACAACATGTGGTCGCTATTGGTCTTGGCCACAGCGGTTGCTTCGACCACCGCAGCGTCAGTGACTAATGACACCTTGACTGTCTGCAAATATCTTCAAGGCAAATATCCCAATTACTTCGCGTGGGACCCATTAGGTCCGAAAGGCTTCTTAGCATCAAACGCTTCTGTGTACAACGACATCAACTCGATCTACTGGAACGCCAAGAACTCGCAACTTCGTGCTGCTTGCGCTTTCTTTCCCAGCAACGCCCAGCAGGTATCGGATGCAGTCATTACATTGAACAAGTATCCTTCTGTCCGCTTCGCACTGAAAAGTGGAGGGCACCAGCCTGCTCCCGGCTTCTCCGCGACTGATGGCGGAGTGATCATCTCATTCGAGCCCAACCTCGCGTCGACAGTCCGGTCCCAAGATGGGAAGCATTTCTTCATCGGTCCAGGTGCTCGTTGGGGCGATGTGTACAATGTGACGGGGAGGACCAATCAACTTGTTGTTGGTGGTAGGCTGGCACATATCGGAGTAGGAGGATTGACCCTCGGAGGAGGTCTCTCGTATCTATCCGCTCAATACGGTCTTGCTTGCGACAATGTGGATGAATTCGAGGTACGTGGCTGATGAAAGCCTCGGTGTAATAATGCGTTAAACTTATTTCTTGGCAGGTCGTGCTCGCAAATGGCACCATTACCAACGCGAATCGCACCCAGAACAAGGAGCTATGGTGGTCATTGCGAGGTGGCGGCAACCAATTTGCGATTGTCACCAGATTCAAGACGCAAGCCCATCCTGCTGGGATGAACGGTCTCGTCTGGGGAGGCACTCGCATCTATTCTGCAGATCAACGACGAGCCTTGTTCTCAGCTCTAACTAACTTCACGAGGAATGTACCGGACTCCAAGGCCGCCGTCATCTCTACGTTCCAATTTACGGGGCCTGGCGCTGCGATAAAGGTGCCGCTCTTCTTTTTTTTCTACGATGGGCCAAAGCCACCTCCAGGGGTCTTTGACGAGTTTGATGCCATCAAATCGACATCGAACGATACCGACACCAAGACTTATTATGCCCTATCACAGTCTGCGGGAGGAGCATCATTGAACGGTTTTGGTAATTCGTTCCGGGTCAATACCGTTCCAAACTTGCCGCACGATCAAATGGTTCAATACTACGATGCTTACTGGAACATCACGGAATCTCAGGCGTTCAACAACAGCGTGACCAACCTTCTGGATTTCCAACTGATCGGATTCGATGCTCAACCACTGCCTGTTCAGATTGCTCAAGCCTCGCAAGCGCAGGGCGGAAACGCTCTGGGACTCGATCCCGCTCACGGTGATCGTGTCTGGGTTGAGAATGACTTCTTGTGGTCTAACAAACTATGCAACGACAAATGTCCCGAATATTCCCGCCACATGTCAGATTTGGCGCTCGACTATCAAAAGCAGAACTATGCTGGTGTACCACCTACCAATTACCAATCAGGTGACTTGGACTGGATCTCGTGAGTGCTTCGTCCTATCCATCGCAGGAACTGTTCGCTGACCGATGCGTAGATACAACCCGTTGTTTATGAACGATGCGGCACCTTACCAGGATGTATACACAAGCTATGGCAGCGAGAACCTGGCGCGGCTCCAAGCTGCCAAAAAGGCCTATGATCCTACGGGATTCTTTACCAATCGACAAGGTGGATTCAAACTTCCAGCTTAGATTAGCTGTCTTCGTAGATCATGAGTAGACGATTTGATGTACTTTTCACGAACTCCTGCAGTCAGCTTAGCTGGCCGTGGTCGACATATTGCCCACCGTATGATTTATTGTAAATTTGTTGGTGTAAAGAAGAACGGTTGTGCCGATAGACGGAACTTCCCAGCGTGATGAAATTACTATTATCCGTGCACTGCTTCAGTCCACTCGCTCCGCTCGTGCACCACAACTCAACGTCCACAACGGTTCAACGTCCACAGGCTCGTCGTGACCATCATCGCCATCGAGATGACGCTCTGCACGCTCGTTGCCATCAATATCCTGCATTAGACGGAGCCATACTGGCATCAAACGACGTTTGAAGCCATTAATTACCGCCTTTGAATGCCTCGAAGTCATGTCTATAACATTTAATACAAGATTCAGTCGTTTACGACGATCCTTTACCTTCTCACGAGCAAGTACTTTATCAGCCTTCTCTGCCTCTTTTTGACGTCTTTTTTGGATGACTTGACGTGCTTGTGCTGCAGTAAGGACTCCTCCATTCTGTAGATACTGGCGCTTCATCGAGCGACGCTGATTGCGTACGTTCTGGGCAACCGTCGTATGTTGAAGTTCATCTACAGCCTCAGCTCCAGCGATTGCTATGGCGTATGCGCCACGGAAGATCCTCTGAAGCTGCTGCGTCGCTATAGGCTGGTCAGCTAGAGCAGAAGCAATGAATTGGCTCTGAGTACGTGCCAGAGTCCGTACTGTACGTGGTGTTGTAATCATCGTCGTCTCTAACGTAGCCTGATCAACTGGAGTTGCTGGCCGCGCGAGTGTTGCTGCTTTCTCTCTAAGGCTTGAAAGAACAACGTTTGGATTGAATGGATAAAGGCCAGTCTTTGCAAAGCCAGCACGTATTGTATCCGGCTTCATAGTCTTCTGTCTAAAGCCCTCGAAGGCAGCGAGGAACTCTGTCTTATTGAAGTCAATACAGCCGCTGCGCGTAGCATAGTCAACTGCTTCTGAATGCCAGTGTTTGAACGGCTGAAATATGGCTACGTCAAGCGGCTGCATAAGATGCGACATGTGCGGCGGCAATACAAGAGGTATAATAGCATGTTGCTCACAGAACTCGACGAACTCGAGGGTATAGTGAGATCCATATCCGTCGAAGACAAGTAATCGCTTCACGCCACGCTGGAGTCTTCGCGACTGCTCCTCCCAATGATACAGCCACTGGAGCGTCAGAGCGTCTGTTGTATAGCCTGTGTCGCTCAAAGCAAGCATTGTAGCTGAATGGAGCTCTGTGAACCACGCGTCTTGAAGTCGTTTGCCAGGGAGGATCACCATCGGCTGGATTGTTGCGCCAGCTGCGCTAATGGCCTCAACAACCGTCACTGTCTCGCGATTGTTAGAGCTCGGCGTCCAATTACGCTGCTCCGGATGCTGCGTTAGCACGTGCTGCGTACGTGCCATACCAACACGAAAGCCAGTCTCATCCATGTTCCAAATGTCGTCTGGAGGTATGCCTTCGGTCCGGACGATCTCTTCGAAGCGAGAATACCATAATCCAATACGGCCTGGCTGCTCTGCTGCTGCACGTACTGCATCAAGTGATCGTGATGGACGCTTATACCACTCAGGGTGGCGTGAAATGAAGCGTGAGACCCACATCTTCGAGACGTCTGGCGCTGGCCCTTCGAGATTGTGGCATCTAGCTAGGATCGAATTGGCAGTCTTATGCACGTCGACAACGCGCGCAGACACACCTATCTTATCACATCGCTTTAGCCACGTTATTAAGGCCTCTTCTTGAGCGTTATCCAGCTTCCTGTTAGCTGGTTGCCTTGTAGACTTGCTTTTCAATCCACGAGCGCGTCGTTGGAGTCGCTTGTACGAAACTCTAAACTCCTTTGCTAACGTAGTCAGAGGGCCCTCAAATTCAGTCTCCTCGCGCCAGAGGAGTGCAGCATTGATACGAGCCTCTTCTTCAGCGTATTCAGCCATGTTGTGATGGATACAAAGACGCGTTCAATCTACAATCCTATTAAGTCGCATCGTGGACGTTGAACCGTTGTGGACGTTGAGTTGTGGTGCACGAGCGGAGCGAGTGGACTGAAGCAGTGCACGGATATGTCGGAGAATTCTCGGGTCATGAATCGGTGGAGTGTGCGCCACAAACGTCAACCTCACTTCTCGCCTACCTGAGTAAGCATATTATGCCTCATTTTGCACATTGACCACCGTCGAACCCACGTAGCCACTGATTACGATCAGGCCGATGATGCGGCGTCGTGATGAATGCGTTTCTCCTTAGTCGCCAGCTCGGATCGGTCAGCCCGCAAGCGTTGACGCAAGCTCAATATGACATTGCGCATAAGGCTCTCGAGCCTGCGGAAAACATCAGCTTCAAATCGAAGGCGCCCGACGTCCAGCATGCCCATCGGCATGATGGCAAAGATGAGCTCGCTCATCCGGCCGGAGTCAACAGCGTAGCCATCGATCGTTTCGAAGGCCGATAGTAAGGATCAAAGCCTCGCGTGCGCTACCATTTGCTCAAACCTTTCATCGCGACAGTCTTATATCTGCTGGTGCAGATTCCTCGATCGCTGTTTGGGATCTTGAGGAGCCAACACAACTTGAGCAAGAGACAGAGCGTTGCTTCCTGCCCGTTTCCAAAACTGCGAGGTGCGGAAGGCCATTGGCGAAATTGCTCGATGTAGCTGAAAGGTTGCAGGACATCAACTACTGCTACTCTGGGAATTACTCATATCTCTTTTTACCCATTTGACTCTTTGGCGTTCCTCACAAGCGGTTATGATCACACCGTGAAGCTTTTCTCTTCGGAGACTTTGGCCATGTCAGCTTCGTTTGATCTTGGCTCGATCGTATACTCTCATGCAATGTCGACAGTTGCACCGCATCTTCTTGTAGCTTGCGCATCTCAGCATCCTGCTGTTCGATTGGTGGACCTCAATTCTGGTGCATACACGCACTCTCTAGCAGGCCATGCTGGGTCAGTGCTTGCGGTGGCATGGCACCCCAAGGAGGAGCATATCCTTGCAAGTGCTGCCGCCGATGGTGTCATAAGGCTATGGGATATTAGGAAAAGTGCCAACAGTCTTGGTGTCCTTGATATGGATGACAGCATCGGTATCGCTGGCTACGATGGACGTGGTACTGGCGCTCGACGACGTGAACGCGGCAAGTCGCACCGCGGCGCCGTCAATGGCATAGTCTGGACTGATGATGGCCATCATCTTGTTTCTGTTGGACACGACGAGTGCATGCGAGTCTGGGACATGATCACCGGTGCTAATACGCTCGCAAATTTTGGCCCAGCTTTGAAGAACACGACCACTACAACATTGATCCCGCTCGTTGCGCCGAGATACACTTCCAAGGCCGGTACTGCTATCATATACTACCCAAATCCCAAGGAACTCCTCTCCTTCGACTTGTACTCGGGAGCGATGCAAAAACGCCTACGGGTGCCAAAGCGCGGAGGCTTACACGATCACTTGCAGACCGCAGAAGCGAATGCACGGAACTTGAAGCACAGAACCACATCGTTGGCTTGGCGACTACACCACAGTGAGATGTACTCGGCCCACGGTGATGGCACTATTCGATGCTGGCAGCCACACACTCGTGAAGATGCTCTGGCAGACCAGCTTGACGAGGACGACCGCGATGGCGACGAGGGGGAGGCTCGCAAAAGGAAACGGGAGGAGTTCGATCAGATCATTCAAGATCTAACGCGAAGGAAAATCACTTTCAATTAAAGTTCCAAGGTTTATCGATGATAATACCAAACTAGAGTCATTCATTCCTGGAATAATCAGTAATGCATGATGGGGATAAGGGCTGTCTGGCTTCGGACACGTATCATCAAGATCGTCAAATACCGTTGCAGCCCTTGTACTCCTTTTTGTTCTTCCTCAATGTGCTCGCGCTTCTCGACTTGCATCTGTGCAATCTCAGCGAACAGCATCTATCGAAATGCAAGCTCAGTACTGCCGACCATGTTCAAGCGCACCGGGTGTGTGGCGACTCGAATGATGCTGATCGACGCGGTCATTTGGTCAGGCCCCTGTGACGAGATTGGCAATTTTCCTTCGGATTGATCTACCATATTTTTGAGGCGCTCGCCACATCTGAAAACGATCATGATGGTGTCGGTGTTGACCATGCCAATCTTGAGCTTCATCCCAGAAGTTCGGATATACTTTGCAGAGACTATGTCTGAGAGTTTGATACTGTTCAGCGCCGAGTCGAGGCCGGTGCCTGGGGGCACATCAGTAACCAACGCCGTACGGAAGGGAAACACATCAGCTGCGGGTGCGTTGTAGAAGAGCTGATTGACTTCGAGTGGCGGTGCCACACGAGGTCTATCTCTCAAGAGAGGAGTCGGCATCACAGCCGGAGGCGGCGGAAGTGCCATCTCTACTTCGACAGCAGGTGGCAACTCTGCGCCGACTTTGTCATCGACTTCGTCGAATGTTATCAAGAGCTCATCCAGATGGGTCAAAGAATCGACACGCTTCAAAGTCGGCGGATTCTCTCCCGCGCCTCGTCCCTCCTGCTGCTGTTGCGAAACTGGCAGCTCACCTTTATTGCCCGGAACCCTTTCAGCATCGACAGACAATACATGACCATGGTTGTCAAGGGCAGGTCTGATCGGCGAAGGTGCGGCAGGCTCACGAGCACGCTGCTTCGCAAGATATCCAGGGCGAATATCAGATTCATAATACGATTCCCATTGCGCAGCACTGGCGTATGGAAAATCGCGTGCGAACTTTTGCCAGTGTTCCGACTTGCCATGAGCATCCATATCTTCAATGAAGCAAGCAGCTCCTAGCAGATGATTGTACTGGAGGTGGACACGCGAGCCTGGCATGCTTTGACGAAAGACCTCTCTGGTCCTCGTATGCGGTCCCGGAATACTTGTGACATGGCTTACAACACCTGTGCTATCTTTCCTGTCCTGCGGTAACGACCTTGGCTCGACCAGCTTTCTCGTCTTATCTTCGATAGCAGATTTACCTTGCTGAGTCACAGTCGAATCGTCGGCACGTTGTAGCTTGCTCGAGAGACTCTGGCCAGATCTCGAGGCATGTGGATCAGCATCGCCCAAGGTCGCTGCGTTCAGGGTGACAGGAAGGCTACCGCTGAGCTGAGTCCTACGCTCGCGATCATCTCGAGGTTCATTGGCCAGAGGCTTGGTGACAATGTCATCTGAGCACTCAAGGAGGTTCCCTCGCGAAATGGGTTGGGACTGTTGAGCAAGGTCCGGCGATGACGCAAGAGAAGCGAGTTGCTGAAGGAGATAGGCATTGGCGCCTTCAGCCTGACCTAACTTCTCCTGCGTGAATCGCAACTCCGTCTCGAGCTGTGCGATTCGATACACGAGTTGGAATGAGTTGTCTGTCATCGCGTTGTGTGCTAACATGTTCATCTTGGCTGCGAGAATAGGTGAATGTGATGAGGTTGAACATGTTAGAAGCACGCTTTGTGGATATATGTAAGGCCTCGTCGGCTATCACGAGCATGTTGCATAGGCATACACAAGCATTACACACCGTTTGAAGCCATTGAGATACTGACGTTTCGCATCAAGATTTTTAACATATTTCGGATACGGCGCATCGGCTCGCGCTGGTATCCTCACAGTATTGGCAAAATGGCATGTGAGAGCGGCTTCGTCACAGCAGGAAAGGGTCTTCACGTCCTTGACTGTCGGAGCATGCGTGCAACGATATCGAAGTACTGTCACGTGCGACTTTGTCTTTGTAGAAAAGCAGAGTCGGGAGAAGGTCAAGGCATGGACGGAGCGCGACTATGAGCGGATCAGGAAGGACGGTCTTAGCGACACAAAGCAACGGAGATTGATGAACGAGAAATCATAAATACCAAGCTACCCTTCGATACAATTTGCACGCCAAGAGAACAAGAAAACCTCACATCCCGAGAGAAATCATAGGAGTTAGTGACCAGTCCTGCGACTATTCGATACGTCGAAACGTCGACACCCTCGGAAAATTTCGAGCATAAGTCGCTCACTGCATGCCAGCGTCGGAATTGGTGGTGAAGACGGCTTTGACCGATCTGCCAATGACATCGTCTTCCATGAGTTGACACACACTGGTGTCCCACTCATCCAAAGCTACGGTAGATGTCAGCAAGGCTCTGCATGTCACGCGTGATGGCGACTCACTGGTGGCTTCTCCCGCACAAGCTGCTTGACCAAACACCTGCAGGTGGGCTACCTGGATACTGTCGCCGATCTTGAAGAAGAAAGAGGTAAAGTTGGATGGGAGAGTCTGGCACTGTCCCGATTCGAGGAGCATCGCGGTACCCGTTTCGCTCGAGTTGCCGCAGCTGCCGCAGTCGCGGTTCTGGAAGTAGGCGAAGGATGTGCCGTTCGGCGGCAGAGCGTCAAACTGCTGGTGGACCACAGTCTTAATCCTCCTCGTCGATTCCAGATTCAGGAAATCAGTGGCGTCTTCGTCGGGTAAGTCGAAGTCGTCGTCGTCCTCGTTGTCATCATCATGCTCATCGGCCTCGAGGATGGTAGAAGCGGAATGTTTGGCCCCGTCGGCAACTTGCGCATTGCGAAGCATCACGCGAGTTGGGGGGATAGGTTGTTGAGTAACATTGTCATTGTCGAGAACGTCATCGACCTCAAAAAGGTCGGTGGCAGCGCAGCTCATGACTTCATCGACAGGCCAGTGCAGAAACTCGACACGATCATGAGGCTTTCCGCACTCGACATGAACAGACTTGCCACCATGTGGGATTGTTTGGCAGTGATGCTCGGCATTCGACTCATAGGCTAGGTCACACAGTCAACATTGGAATCCGTACGACTCTGAAGACAAAGCGAAAACTCACAATGAGTGACTGGGCCGTCGCAGTCAGGTTCGGCGTGAACGTCGAGGCGGCAATCGGAAATTTTGCTGCCATAGTCGAAGATGAAGCTGTTCCATTCTGTCTCGAGCTTGAATGTCTTGCAGCGGCCAGAGGCGAGCTTGTCAACCTTGCCGACCTGGTAGTGTATTGGCTGCATGGGAAACTCTGGACAGAGGCCGCACACGTCGTTGGCGAATCGTGCAAAACGCAACTTGCGGTTGCCAACAAAGATGTCGGTCCTCGTCTTGAAGCTCTTGGAGAGTCTGTTCCAGTACCAGTCGGGAACTGGACTGTCACCGTGGCCGACGGCTTCGCAAAAGGTCGCTGACTCTTCTTTGGTGGTAGGAGCGTGGGACAGAGTCTCGTTGAGGGAGGCTATAGCAAGGTCAGCATATGCGAGATGCTATCATGGTGGCAGTATAGTCGAAGCTGTCAGTGTGCACAATGCCACTATTCAGGGAATACAAGTGGCGTGAACGTACCACCACTGGGCAAGGCCGCGACAATGCCGACGAGAACCCAGCCAGCCAAGCCGGTCAGAAATGATTTCGAATGCATTGGAGTGTCGAATGTCTCAAAAGCGGAGCGATGTGTGAGGCAGAGGAGAGAGGCGATCAGAGAGGTGATAGTACTGCTGAGCTGAGATACTTGTCGATGAATGTGAGCTGATGGGTCGTTCTGCAAACGAAATAAAAGTGATGATGATGAAATAGAGAAGATGAGGGGACACCAGAAATGCAAAATTGAAGGAATACAGCATAGCCACAGTCGCCCTGACGACAATGCTTCTAATGGCTCGTAGTCAAGAGGTAATCGTGTAGTTGTCAGGTGTCTACAGTGAATGCTCTTGCAGCCTAGAATGGGCGGACAGCCTGTTTGAGTAGCAGGATTTGGGAAGTAGCGACGGCCCTCAGCCAGCCGCCCATCTTGTGGGAGGTTCCTACATACATACATACCTAGGTAGGTAGGTAGGTAGGTAGGTAGGTAGGTAGGTACAATTCATTGTCGGAAATATCCGAGTGCTCTGTCCAGTCCGCATTACATGATGACACTTGCTCAAGCGGTCTTCGGCGGCAAGTACTGAACGCCTGGCCTCGATGCTGAGATTGTATCACAGTGACTCTTGCCCAGATGCATCGTCGCCAAGGAGAGCAGCACAGATTGCCATGCTACGATCCAGCTCCACGGGCAGTGACGTCTCGGTCTTGCACATTCATGAATGCCATCTGTATCGACAAGCCGGTGCATGCAGAGTGCTTTGTCCCAACAACCTCTAGGACCTGGAATGAAGTCACGATTGCGTGATCAGTGACTTGGACATCGAGTGAAGATGATGTTCTTCGTTCCAAGGTTGCCCAGGTGTAACTAAATGCCTGAATTCAAAGCTGCTATGAATCATCGACAGAGTGATCGTTCCCACAGTAACTGAGATTTTCGCACTCCGACTTCTGCTAATCGATGTCGTCTTCCGATCGCTTTGCTTTGGGTGTTTGATGGTCAAAAGGACCCAACACTTTTCGCTCTTGCGCGTCGGCATGGAATGGCGTCCACTTGCAGATGCATTTCTACGTGCCCCCGAAGGATTGTGCGCTGATGCGTCAGCTCGAATGGCCACTCAATAATATGTTCGCCGTCGCTCCTGAATAGTGACGCCGCTGTGGTTTCCATGATTCTTCGGGTTTGCTGTGCACATTGCGTGACCTGGCGAGATGCACGTGATGACGTGGTTCGGGCAAGCATGACTCCCTGCGAGCCATTGTCGCGGAAGACTGGTAATGCTGCGCACAAGAGAAACTTATCATATAAAAGCGAGAAAAGCATAGATGTATCACGTCCAAGGTCGTTTCCTACCACAGACAGAAAGAGTGTGATGATGACCGTCTAATGAGCTGTCCTGTTCCCACTTAGGCATACTGGTGCCCGAATGCGTTGACGAATTAGGCGCGCTGTCACCGAATCCTGTGGCCATCGGGCGGGCTCGTCAGTGACGCGCATGGCGGCGCAATCAATTCGCGGGCCGCGTCTTCTCCCCTCGTTTGTCACGTCGATGCGGAAACACCAGCAAATCCGAAACACACCTGGTCAGACCGTAATGCTTGATGATCAGCAGCACCCGACGGTCCTATCGAGCGATTGCGAGGCCCGGCACAAGACGATAATGCCTTGGGAATCATTCTTCCACCACTCTGACATATATCATGCTCTGTGTGCGAAGACATTTTGTAATCGAGACGACGTCGCGATATCGATGTAGAACGTCTCCATAACCTTCAAACAGGCGCACCATGAGCTCTCGTCCAACTGCGCGCTCGGGTCAGTAAAAGTCACATGTGCTCCGCGCTGCTATTTTGGCCGAATATGGGATTTGACTGTTCTGGGTATGCCGACAGGTCGAGCACGAATTCCACCTCCGACGCAGCAAACATCACACAACCATGGACCGCAGTTTGCGCCATCTGCTCTCGATGCAGTATCCGCTTTGCACTCACTCTCGCGACAGAACCAGCAGCAGCAGCAGCAGCAGATGAACCAGACGCCACAGTTGTTTCCAGGCCCAGCGCAACCGTCATCAGCGACGCCTGCAAGACCAATATCATCTCGGCCCACGACCCATAATGGTCATCCGGTTGGACTTGTGTACGGTGACATGCAGCCTCAACAACCGCCTATGCTACTCAACCAGCAACCTCAGACGCCAATTCAGTCCCTGGTATCGGGCAACGGAAACCATCCGTCCATCTATACGCCGGATACGGCTCTCGCCAGCACACCCAATGGCGCCGCTACGGCTCCCACTGGCAGATACGACCACAACACAATGAACGATCATGATCAGGACAATTGCAACCTTCCGCCGCCACCTGAAAACATTTATAAGAGCGAGGAAGAGCTGGAGAAAGCCATACACGCTTGGTCAGCTGAGCATGGATATGAGCTCGTCACGCGAAATAGCAGGAAAAATGCCCTGGGTGTCCTGTACAAGCGTTACTTCTATTGTGGTAAACATGGTAAGATACGCACGCGAAGACGAGACGGGGGGAGCGTCCGACCCAACAGGAAGAGTGGCCGGACGGGCTGTATGATGTCGATTGCTGCCGTCTCACTTGATCCCTATGAGCCCTCGGGCGACTGGCAAGTCCGCCATCGCTTCATTCAACATAATCATCCTGCTCAACCAGCAGTCGAGCTCGCAAGTCACAGACGGCGCGCTCGGACTGGAAATATCGAGAAGGCCGTCAATGACCTGTTTGTGCTTGAAACTCCCAATCGCGAGGTTCTCGCTATCTTACAAAGGACGTACCCCGACGGTCTTTTCAACATTCATGATGTGGCGAACATGAAATATAGATGGAACCGGCACGGGACCTGTAATCCTGGCGCAGATGACAGCGCGCCGACCCCGACAGTGACAGATACAAATCGGCAATTGCTTACGCGGCCTGTTGCGTGCGCATCTTGTCGTGCAAAAAAGACCAAGTGCGATAACGTGAAGCCTGTCTGTGGAAATTGTATGAGACTGGATGGCATTTGCCTATACCCCGATGGACCCAGGACGGTATATGATCCATCGACCCAATCATTGGCCGCTGCAGGGACGCAAGGGAACACTGTTGGCGTAGTCATGCGGAACAACGAGAGCGACGACGACGACGAGAGCGACGACAACGCACCTGCTAATGACGATGCAGGAGCATCCATCGCCTTACCCGTCGCGGGACCCCCAGTCAGGCTTACGATTCAAAGCTCCTCAGTCGAGATCCTCGCTTATGCTGCGTGCGGGATTGGCAAGCATTACAGCAATATACCTCCTTTGTTAGATCCCAGTGGCTGGCAGACCTACGAGGATGCTTTCCTTTCAGCGTCAATGAAGGAAAATACACTAGAAGTCCTCAGCGGCGACAAGGTCGAGCCGCTCTGTCCTCCCGACAGCGTCTCGACCGATGAATGGAACGAGTATATCCGGCAACTCGCCATCTACAGACGCCGCAACAATGTCCTATTAGGAGCAATCCGAAGCAGCCTTGGCCCGGCACTGAAAGCTCGCGTGGCTGGACATACTTCCGCTTGTGCGCTGTGGATGTCTCTGCGGCACACATGCAAACCATCAACCAATACTGAAGCGTGGGGCCGCTTTCACGAATTATGGGCAACGACGCTGTTGAACTGTGGAAACAACTTCGAAAGGTATGCACATACTATGGAGATGAAGTGGAACGAATTCAACCGACGCCTACCACCATCATCTGTTCGTGCATGGCAGGGCTGTAGGTTCACCGAGGAGGTGATGTGCCTGCTCTTCCTGGAGAATCTGGGCCAAGAACATCGACGAAGAGTTGAAATGATCTGCGAAGGTTATAATATTGGCGGGTTCGGCTTGGGGGAAAAGATTGGTTTTCAGGCCTTAGTGTCTATCCTTGGCCCTCTATTTCAACCTGGGTATGTTGCCCACTGATGAGAAATCTTCAAATGGCCGTTGCTTTCGTCATATCGGCGCAATGCATTTTTAATGTTTACCTAGGTAGATTACAGTATTTTCGAGCAAAGTCTATAGAAGCATTGGCGGTGCCCTGGTATCGCCGGAGAGCACGTGGTTCACGGGCCTCGTCTGGGATGTGATATATGAGAGCAGGGTACGACATGATTTCAGTCTCAATGTCTACAAATTCATGGTGCATATAGAAATGAAATGAATACTGAGCAGGTGTAGTAGCCACGAGCGTTTATTCTGATGGAACTTTTGGTGCGTCCTTGGCTGTCTCGATGTCGACTTCATAAATTTGGTTATTTACACGGATTGGCGCTCGGACCTCGCTAATTGCTCAACGTTGTCCCTGAATCCTCTTGCGCAATCACAAGATTTTGAACTTGTCCAATTGATTTATCTCGTTTCAAGCGGATGCGACCATCTTATGCAGCACGAGCGCATTGCGAATTGCGAATAGCATAATGGACAGCGTTGAAGAACCTGATGTCTTCAGCCGCATTCTGCCGTTGCCATTCAGGTTCGAGTTTCAGCTCATCGTCGGATTCTGGCTCTGGGGTCTAAACTTACAAGTCTTCCATTGGGCCAACATCGACATCTATACACTCATCCGATATCCTGTCCGACCAGCCGACGATGAGCCTCTACTACATTATTCCGTCTATCGACTGGCCTCGATTCTGACCGGCATGTGGGCTGTCGTAATCATGCTCTACTGGAATTTCACCGCTGGAGAATCCTCAAAAGTCATTGCGTATGACTGGATGCCCAATCTCTTGTTTCTCGCAATGCTTGCCGTCCTACTGGCTCCAAGATGGAAGGCACTGCAACCGATATTCGGCCAAGGACGGTCTACTGGGCTGGTGCGCTTGTGGACGGGCCTCCAGAGGGTGTCATTGGGTGGCATCGCTGGTCCGAAGCCCGAGAAATTTGGAGACGTACTGCTGGCAGATGTTTTGACTTCTTATGCGAAGCCTATCTCTGAGGTCTTTGTATCCATTTGCATGCTGCTAAAGCAAGTCGGCACCACGAACCGACCCGACCGAACTTGCGGGCACTCTCTTATCGTTCCTCTTGCCATCGCCTGGCCTTTCATTATCCGACTCAGACAGTGCCTCAAGGAGGGCCAAATTCTCAACGCATTAAAATATTCAACAGCATTTCCGGTCATCATCCTCAGTACCTTGGCTCAGGCGGGCGAAGAATCTTGGTACCACGCAGCATGGTAAGACGGTCGTGCGCTCGTGGTCTCAGTCATGAACTAACATTTACAGGCAATTGGCAGCGGTAGTAAATTCTCTCTACAGCTTCTGGTGGGATGTCACTCGGGATTGGGATTTGACGTTGCTCTCCTACTATCAGCATAAATCGCCCTATGGCTTACGACCAAGAAGAGGTTTCAAGCGTCTATGGCTTTATTATGCCGTGGTCGTTTTCGATCTGATCCTGCGTTTTGCATGGTCGTACAAGCTTTCTTTGCATCTAGTATACTTTGAGGCTTTGGAGGGCAAGATCTTTTTGTTGGAATTGATGGAGTTGGTTCGACGTTGGGTGTGGGTATACTTCCGAGTTGAAACGGAATGGGTCAGGTCCGCACCAACAGCACAAATAGATCTGTAACATCACGCACATGTAACATTGTATGATACATCGTTCGCTTTGAACCGGTTTCGGCAAACAACCCATGTCTGACACATACCGATCTGTGAAGCCATAGGATTCAAGATGGTCCTCGCAGATCCGACGTGGGTGAGCTTTGCTCGCCTGTCTCTTGAACGAATTCAGCAGAGATGCGAGCGGGGAATTCAAGAACAAACTGCGCTTGGCCTGGTCGCCAAAGCTTAAGCGTGCGTGAAACGCTACACAGAGGCATGGAAATGTGCAGAAGGCTGCGGCGCGAGGCGTTATGGCAGCGGTAACAGGGGCAGTATTCTGTCTGTGCTCCAATCGTTCAAGCACGTCCATTGATCAATCAAAGTAAAGCACGACTTTTTCGCTTATTGATATACCGTTTGGGAAAGCGCTCATGCCCCGACCATGCATGTGAGAAAGGACAGTGGGACATGGCACCTTGCAATAAAGTCAACGGGGTCAGCATCTGCAACACGATGCAACGCTCCCACTCATGTTTCGCCACGATTGATTTTTGGGGGCCAGCAGCTGCGGGAGAAAATGGACGGGGACAAAACGCACAGCGCAAAGCACCACCAGACATACCGCAGACCTCAGAGGCTACCTTCCTTTCATGATCTGTGGTTTCGTGTGCAGCTGAGCGACATGTAGGCAATAAGAATTCGGCACACCGGCATGGACGGGGACCGTGTCTCGCATGCACGATTACGTTCGACCAGATTGATTAGAAGCTGCCCACGCGGCTGTATTGCCCACAAAGGTAATCTCGAGGCACGATCACGGAGAGGCGGCGATCGCTCGCCAGTAGCTTTGCAAATCTCTTGTCCATGATTCGTTGTCCTCCTCGCCAGGGGGAGACGTGATGAGTGTCAGTGTGCCGAACCGAGTGTGCTCGACCGAGTGATAATGTGTAGTAATGGGTGGTGATGTGATAGGGACGAGTGCAGTACGTATGCCCACCACATCAATCGACGTTAGGGCTCGGGACGAGCCCGCGCGCGTTTTGTTGCTGAAGGCCAGTGGGGTGACTGTGCCCTATGATTTGATGTCTTCCGCAAATGATCGTCTTTCCTCACACCACGTTCCCGAGACCTCACTTGCTACAATCCCCGCTAACCGGCCTTCCATACGTCCTTCTGGATATTCTGTGAACGTTTCAAACCCTCTATCCTCCTTGGTCTGTATGCAAGTGATGTCGCGCTACTAGACCAAGCTTTTGTCGGCAGACTTCTTTCGTCTCGGCACAGTCTGCTTCTTTGGGTAGAGCAGTCCGCACTTGCATGTTCCTACACTTCAAGTTGCATCGAATCCCACTGTGATCTACAATAGAGGCGTTCTTGGCGAGCAGTGGTCGTCTGATGGCTTTACGCGCCGTCTCTGGAGTCGGAGATCGCTAAAGAATCGCGGTCAACGAAGTACGCGTAACATTTATTCCTTCTTGTCGTGCTTGCCTATATATTATGGTTCTTCCTCTCGCCAAATCAATAATCCATATCACAAATCATACTCTTCTAATCACCATTCAAATCCTACCCTAACACCGCAAACATGAAGAACGTCTTCGCCCTCCTCGCTGTGCTGCCTTTGGCGCTTGGCCAGACCGTCTACCTCATCCGACACGGCGAGAAGCCCGCTGATGGAAGCAACGGCCTCAACAGCCAGGGTCAGCAGCGAGCTCAGTGCCTCAAGAATGTCTTTGGTAGCAGCTCTGGCTACAACATCGGTTACATTCTGGCCCAGAAGCCCAAGAAGGGTAAGCGGTTTCCGTAGTTTGGAGCTGATCGTACTTACTGACCTCTGCCACAGACGGCTCGCGTATTCGTCCTTACCAGACCGTTCAGCCTCTCGCTCAATCGCTCGGCTTGACTGTCGAGTAAGTAAAACAAGATTGCTATTTTGTAGCTCCAGCTAATGCAAATTTTAGCACCCACTGCGACCGTGACGACTCTGACTGTGTTGCCAGCGCCGTTGACAACTACTCTGGCGCCGGCAACATCCTCATCTGCTGGGAACACGATGCCCTCACCGATATCGTTGATGCTCTCGGTGATTCCAACCCTCCTTCATACCCCAGCAGCCGCTTCGACATCATCTGGACCGACCCATCGCCATACAACAGCATCACTTCCATGACCTCGGAGCACTGCCCTGGCTTGGACAGCTAGATATCTTCCCTCCAGACTGATTAAGATCATGGATCATAGATAGACGAAAATGAAAAAAAATCTAAAAGCTTTCGAGTCGCCGTTGTTGTGATGTCACATGCTCGGTCTGAACATTGCCGCGTCGACCTTCTAGAAGACTACCTCTGGGAAAGCATTTGGACATTTCCTAGATATGGGCAAGCCAGGGATGAATACACAAGGATCCCGTGCCGGCACGATTTTTTGAACCACACCATCATATCGTCTCAAATTCTCTAAAAGGAAAAAAGGTATTCCGGATGCGGGCCATTTGATTGTGTATCAACGTGCTTCCTTGGACACGATCTGAACACCGTACTGAAACATTTGATTACTTGCCACGGAGTTCTTGTCACGCATTTTGGCGACTGCTTCTGCGCCTGCCACGGGCAAGCGGACTTCTTCGCCTGCATCCTTTCCAAACGGCAATGTATCTGGTAGGACTCCTGCCTGTCGCAGCACGGTTGCTTGATCCCAAGTTATGTGCTCATGGTACAGGCGATCACCGCTTTTTCTTTTGTTAGCGAGTGTGTTGGTGCTTCTTTAATAAGTACACTTGACTCACCGAATATTCACGATAGCGATGAATGGGATTGCCAGGTCTCGGAAGGTTGGAGGTACTCCGGGAAGCCTGGAAATTGCGTCAGTGATGCGAGCAAATCAGCCATGTTGCCTTGCTTACAACCAATCAACCACCTTGTTATGGTTCAATTTGAAAATGAATTCGTCCACGACGCGGTCTACACCGACCGTCCGACTGATGAGATCCAAGCTTGTCCCTTCCGGGTTTGAGAACACGAAATGATCTCGATAGAAATTTGTCAGAGCCTCACGACCAATTCCTCCAGTGAGCTTCGAATCAGTCAGTCAAGTAACAAACACACTGATGCAGGTTTTGACAAGAAAACACACCGTCGGTATATGATTCACATAAGGTTCGGCAACCATAGTGTTCATCGTGTGTTCAACGGACCGCGCTTCAAACTCATAGTACGTGTGCTCGTCCCATATGGTCTCAAGATCAAAGTATGGGCCTCCCATGTGCCGTTTCAAGAATGTCAAATTTCGTGTGTGAGAGATCGCTTCTGCAGCATAACTGAAATCTTCGTTGTATGGCGTTGCGAAGCGAGAAGATGCTTGTTCAGGATATGCATAGCTCTTCGATAGCTCAGGCTTGTTTTGCAACTCTTTCCGGGAATGAATCAAGAAGGGTATTCGAGCATTTTCGGATGCTGTATCAATAGCATCGCCATACAGGACTGCTGCCACTATCGCAGATCGAGGCAACTCATGCGTTCGCAAGCGTCGCTCTAAAGCTTCCGAATAGCATAGTAGTCCAAGTTTGCCGGGATCTTCGCAAATTCCAGGCGCACTTAGTGAAGCCACGCATTCATCTATTGGATTGAGAAATCCATCCCATGCCTTTGAAGTAACTTCGATGACATTGTATCCTTCTTCTGCCCATTTCATGAGTGGCGAGGGCACGCCATTGCGGATATCAACACCAGCGGCAAAATCGTCTACGAGCACAATCAGGCCCGGTCCGACGCCCTTCCTTGTCTGGGGTCGAAGCAAGGTAAGACCAGGTCCGATAGCTTCAGGAGAAGGGGGAGGCACAGGTCTCGGTGGTTCGGTGAAGGTCATTTTCGATTATAGTCTACGAAGGTGAAAATAGAGAGAGAGAGACGCTCTTATCCTTAAGAAAGCTATAAGGTCGATCGGTAACGTATAAAACGAATTTATCTTATATATAACTCTTATCTAATCGAATATTATATGGACCTATTTGGTTATAAACGATTATTATGTTTTTATCTATTAGTATTATAAATACTATAAGGAAAAGAAATTCTAAGACTTTAAATAGCTTTATAAGTAGTTAGAATAATTGTAATTCTAAAACAAGATATATAAATAATGTTATACCTAGAATATTATTAATAATAAAAACGCATTTTATATAAGAAAATCTTATCTCTAACTTTCTATATACAGGTATTCGTTAAAACGTATAGAGTACTTTAACGTATACTACTATATAGGATAATTTATAATTTATACTAATTAATATAATAAAATCCTTTAAGATTTATAGCTAATACCTATACTATTTGGCTATTTAAATATAAGAAATAGAGATTATATATAGTTATTATAATACTTTTACTTATCTAGATTTAAATACTTATAGAATACTTATACTTTACTACTTCGAATTTACTCTAAGCTTATAATAAAATAATTTCTATAATTAATATAAAAAAGGTAGGTAAGATATCTTAAAAAAAGATAAGAGTATTTACTATTTACGAGAAATTATTTAGTATATTATAAGTATTTTAAAGCGTAGAATTACTAGATATATAGAGTCTAGTATTAAGTTTTAAGTTACAAGGATTTAAGTAGTCTAGTTTAAAAGTAATTGAATATATATTTAGACCCTTTATAAAATTAGAATTAAGGCTTATACTCTCTAGCTATAGAGAAGCCTCTTTATTTACTTTAGAGAAGCTTAGAAAATCTTAGAAATATATCGAAGGCAAAATAAATAAGTAGAAACTAGTTAGAAATTATAAAAGAAATTTGCTCCCTAAGATAGAATAGAGAAGTAATATAGTAGAAGAGAAAAAGGACTACCTTATAATATATTAAGTAGAAGTCTAGTTTTTCTAGAGTTTTATATAGATACTTTAAAAAGCCCTAAGAATTTTACGTAACTAATATAGCGTCTCTAGCTTTAAGAAGGTACTATACTAACTATAGTAAGGCCTAGAGAATAAAAAGAAAGGGAACTAAAATTAGTACCTTTATCTAGTATAATATTAAGTACTAGGTAACTTATTATACATTTTTAAAAATCAAGTATCTTAAAAATGCTTTAGAATACTAGATAATTAGAATCGATAATCATAAGCTCTATACCCTTAGATAGGCCTATTTATTTAAACTAGAGAAGTCTAAAGAGATTCTTTTAAGAAAGAGAGAAGAAAAAGCTCCGAATACCTTGTTAGTAATACTAAGTTTTAAGTATATACTTTTCTAATAGAAATACTCGGATACTAGCCTTATTCTAATTAAAACTATAAAATTAAGATATGTTATTTAAAATGGTTAATTAAACTAATAACATGTCTTTTAATACATAAGTACAAGCCTTACTTTGTCGATTATAGTATATAAGTAGGTATAGCTGAAAATAACGAGGACGACTCTCTACTCTCTATATCTAGAGAATGCTATTATATTCTTAGCTAGAACTATAGCTAAATAAAATAAGTAAAGAGCTAGGCTTCTTTTAGAGCCTATATTTTACCTTTCAAATATATATAAATACGAGAAGAGTAAAAGGAATGCTCTATTTAGTAAATCTAGGCTATAGCCTAAATTTCTTTACTTTATAAGGCCTATATACTTAGTATAGCTTAATAAGGTAATTTTATTAAGTATATAAAATAAAAATTATAGCTATAACTTCTAAAATAGCTTTAAAATTAAGTAATAAAAGTAATTCTCAAAGTTTTCTAAATTAGTTCAGATCTCTTTCATTAATTCAAGATACCTACAAGTTTAAAGTATACTCTAGCGTCGAAGAGCTTATATCTTATATTAACTTTACTTAAAGTAAGATTACTTAATTAACTAAGAAATATTATTAATATAAACCTAAGAACTTCAAACCTATAAATACTCTATTTAAGAATAAATAAGCTATTTAATAAAGTCTTAGTCTAATAAAAAGAGATTATATGTATCTGTTGAACATTAACTTATAGGAGCTTAAATTTTGATTTAATACGAGTAAAATAGCTAATACTAGCTTAAATATATATATTACTATTAAACTAGCCTTATAGAGATTATTATTCTACTATTTTAGTAAATCTAGCTATAGCTATAGCTACGGATACTTCTATACCTCGTTAGTATATGTTTTTTATAGCTAGTTTAAGTATAGGTTATTAATTAAACTGTAAAAGTTTTATATCATTTATAAAAAATTATATAACGTAATCTATCACCGAGCGGGCCAAATCACCGAACGGGCCATTTTGTCTTGGCATTACAACTGAGGTGACTACAACCGTTGTTTATTCAACCACATACTTAGTTATACATCTGCTATGCTAGGATATGGTTCAGAAGGAGCATCTCTATCTGTCTGGCAAGTCCGTGAGTTGTGTCCAGCTATTCCGTAGTTTCTACATCGTCGTTGAGTTGGAGGTCCTCGTTCAGACTCAGCTTCATTACAAGTCCTTTTTGATCGTTGAGCACCTATACCCGCCTGTACAATTGCCTGTGATGCTCTAATACCATACTCTATAGATCCACCTTGCTGGATCTGCTTCCGTTTACGCGATCTTCTCTTAGTCAAGGCTGCTAATTGCTCTTCAAGCTCTGTAATCCGTGCAGATTGGAGCACGTTCTGATGGAGCATCAATTCAGCACCTTTAACTAATTGTGAGAACCCTTCTTTAGCTTCGGGCGGAGACCTAAGGAAAGAGCGGCTAATAAGCTTGGATTGAGATCCAAACTCATACGAATTGCTCGGTGTTTGGGACTCCTATGCTGCTTCCGGTAATAGCTGTTGAGGAGGGGTGTGCAAACGTAGATCAAGACGATCAATAACTGTTTACG